ATAGAAGTGAAATGACAAAGTTTCCAGGGAAAAAGGGATTAGAAATTTTTGAAAAGTCCTCTGATGTTTCAAACATTTGATCCAAAAATGATCAAACAGACCTTACCATTGCTTTCAGAAGGTTGGTTTGAGGGATCAAGACTCAAAGGGACTTCACTTTTTCCGTGTTTACGACACAGCTCACACACATATATATCTCCTTTAACCTGCAACAGCACATCGTAAGTCCAAGTTACACAATCCTTGTGAAGTTGATCAATAAAAGTGGTCTGGGTGCATTACCCGACAATGATTACAGACTAAAACAAGCATCCGGCATAATTTGCAACGGCAACGTGGAGAATAGTCGTCAAAGGTATTGTTGCAGAGAAGGCAGCTGCCTATTATATCCTCTTTTGAGCTCCCAACTGAGATCCTTTAAACCCGACATGAAAATATATGTTACCCGGACCTATATGTTCCTGATAGATTAGAAAGGAAAGTTGCTAGAAATATACCGGTGATCAAACACAAAGTTCTTCCCTTTGAAGAACCCACCACTGGGAAATTGTTCAAGGTATCTCTGTATGCCACCATAGAGCTGCACGGAACAAATAACGGCTGGAGTCAGCCAAGTCCAGTGACTTGTATCAAATCCATTTGCGATCCAGGATCTCACCTGAAAAGTATTCTCAAATCCAGCGCCTTTAGATCTGATATATGCAGATGCCATTTCACATCTGATTCCACCAGTGCAGTACCTAGATTCGCCAACACATGAGAACTTCAGTGATGTGGAAAGTAACTGGACAAGAAATCGCTGTATGTCACAGAACTATTATTCATACATGAGCACATTTTTGCCTTTCAATTTCTCGGCATTCTGATCAATCCAGGTAGGCAAATCGCTATACTGCCTGATTTCAGGATCAAGGGTCTCAACATTTTCTGATTCGAATTTTCCAATCCGTGTCTCGTACAGGTTCCTCGCATCAAGCAAAACAAGATCCTTATTCTCAGACTTCCCATCTCCATCCAGATGTTCAGCTGAGTTGCAAGGAAACAAAATCAGCTAAGAAATGCAATATAGCCGTAAGTAATAAAACAAATAAAGAAACTTACTGGCACTCTGCAAGACCGAATGAAACTCCGCAGCAGAAAGATGCTTTCCAGCATTTGAAATTTCTGGGGGTTTAAGGGGAGGGCTAGGACTAAAGGTCACTAACTCCTGCAAATCACAACACAATGCCACAAATTTATCAAAATGCTATGGAAGTACAGTCACAGTTGAAGAACCTCGACACAATGACAAAAAAACTCATCCACCAGATGCAAAAAAAATGTGAACTAAGAATAGAAAGAGAAAAACATTTGAAGTCCGGAGAAGACAGACAAGCTTAACTTGACACCAAGTCATCCGTTAATCTTGTAAAATTTAAGACTTAATCCGCACATACAACATCAAGATCATCAGTTATAGAGACTATGAAACGAATATGCATGAATTTTGGGAATTAGTAGAAAACATTCAGTCAGATGAGCTAGGATCACAACATGAATATTTCCATCATCCCGGCAAATGAATCTTACGCACATGTTTCGTAGATAAGAACACTAACTATGTTTGGTAAGAAGATAAGGCAATAACCTCAACAACTCGGATGGAGAGTGATGTAAACCCACATTCCTCAGCAACTTTATCATTCAAGGGATGATGGCAAGATGCAAGCTTGAAGTCAGTCCCTTCAAACAAACAATTCAACTTTGCAGCGGCAATATGTTCCTCCAATGCAGTTAATTTCCCACCAACCTAACGAATAAGCAAAGTTTCCTGTTATCCCAACAGTGTAAACAGAACTCTAGCAAAAGCTTCAAACTTTGGGTGTCTGCTTCTTTAATGGTTTAGATGGATTATACTTGTATGTTGTAACTATACACGGAGAACTTTAATCCTCAATCAAACAATTAACAGAACACAGTTCAAAAGAGCTAAAGACATATTTTCATTTTTGTCAACACATAAAGGATTAGACTTTTCGATTCATGGCGTTAAAACTCAATCAGACGCCAACCACAGACAGAGAACTCAAAAAAGGGTTAAATCAAGTATACAACATTGGATATGCAGAGAAGGAGATTAGATGCATACAGTGACATTGACTCCCTTAGGAGAGAGCCTGACTCGGCCGAGTAGACCTAATGAGTTGCAGCTAGATTCATAGAAGGAAACGAGCTCATCTAGATCAGGAACAGAGGTGTACTTGTAATACAGCAACACACCGTATTGCTCTTCATCTTCAATCCTCTGCTTCTCGCCATCGCCACACGAGCTCATTCCCATTAGGGTTTCTTTTCTTTCCAGTGAGATAGGGAAGCAAAACGATAATCTCAGGCTCTTGGCGTCGCGAAGATGGAACCAGGAGGAAGACAAGACTGTTTCAGAGCGCGATTGGGAAAACCACGTACCAGAGGTGGACCAAACCGAACCTTGCTTAAACCGAAATTTGTTCACAAAATCAATTGGTTTAAATTTAAAACCGAAATTGAAAAACAGGTGGATATGAGTTTTATCTTTTCTTGAATAAAACATTGGTTACACATTGTTGTTGACACCATTAGAGATACTGAAAGCAAAAGACATCTAAACCAAAACAGAGAGATTACAACTATTATTGATCTCTTTGGCTCCGGAAAATCGAATGCAACGATAGGTCTTTGCGCCCGTCAGTTTTGTCCCTTTTTGTGTTTGCTTTCAGGGACTAGAGGCTTGATGCAGAGTTTCGGCTTTGTGCTAACGAGTCTATGTGGAAGCACTGAAACAGCAGCTACAAAGGAGCCACTTGGTATTCTAGAGAGCGGTAACAGTTCCACCAGAACGCATAACTGCACATTTTTACTCCAATCTTCAGACTTTATAAACGGAATGATGCAACAAGGTTTGAATTATTTTCTATATATATACACTACCTCTGGAGATTTTAGATCCACAACTGAATCTGGTACAATGTCTTTTACTCCAGCTGCCACAGTTTCAAAGCATTTGATGCGGTCCAGCAACGGACATTGATCTAGAACCTCTGAAGCTTCTTTCTGAATCTTTCCTTTCGTCTCCTCCACACCTCTACGCTGGTACCCAGCTGCAAACTATATGGTGGTGGTATGTGGTTAATAACCATTGCCATGCATCTAACAATATTCTTAACATATACTCCTATATAACGAAAACTTGATTCTACAGACAAACTCTTTCTTACCTTCACGGGTTTTGATAGTGTATTGTCTTTATCATTGACAAACCGCTGGACAAGCTTTGATACTGTTTCCCGAAGTTCTTTCTCTGTCAAACCACAAGTAGCTTGAACTGGGAATATCCGATGGCACCAGCTGCATCAATAAAATCATAAATTACTTGTTTCGATACAAAAACATGCTTACATCAACAGAATCTGAGAAGATAATGATCAAAAGTTCCTAGTACAGGGGATTAATAACTACATGGTCCAAAAAGAATGAAACAGGTCTGATATGTAACAGATGCCACTCTTTGAAACTATCAGACTTGATCAATTCATTCGAGACTAAATCAGAACTCTATAAGCATGCTTATTTAAAGGTAGAGTTAAATTATAAGGCAAGTGGTAGCGATAAAGGTTGATTTCCAATCAAGAACGGTCAAAAGGTTAACTTTAATCAAATGACCAAAGGTTCACTAACTAACACAAGAAAGACTTACATTGGTGGCTTCAGAGCTCCAGATTCCATAGACTGGAAGACTTGTGATACGATATTGGTAGTCTCGGGAGAGTTTTCAACAGGGAAAGTAAAGAGAAGCAAGCCACTTTTTGTCAGCTTAACCAATGACATGAGAGAATTGTGTTCTTCATTTGCTAATTTGAGATCCTCAACATTTGGTTTTTCACCTAAACAAGGCACAAAAAGAGAAAATAAAGACAAGACCATAAGCAAAAAAAAAAACAAGAATTTTGACTATGCTCTTCTGCAAATGAAAGTCACCGGTATCCTGCAAGGCATCATTCTCAAAAGGTACAGTCTTCTCTACGCCTTCCTCTATCTCTTGTGCACAAAGTTTTTGTTTTTTAGATGCAGTAGATCTTAGAACTTGAGGATTCTCCTCATGCATGGACCCAATAAACTGAACAAAGCAAAAGTTTGATTTCTGTGTGAGACAAGCTGAACATTTGAGAGCTAGTAACTTCCACTAATTAAAACCCCCACTAGTGCATTGATAATCATCCTTACAAACTTAAATTTTCACAAGTACGTTCGTTTCAAATATAGTGTTTCTCTACCACAATTGATTATCAATCACTCTATAAGTTATCTTCTAAACGCAGGAACAAAAATCCAAACTTTTGCCTCACTAATGATGGAGAAATGTGACGATACCTTTCCAAGGATGGACATGACCTCTTTTGTAGCACTTTTCTCCCTTTCTGATAACAAGTGAAAATCAGAAATTTAAGGTCATGGCCGCAAAACGAAATTAATACATAGAAACTAAAAAGGATGATGATACAAGAGTATTGGAAAGAAGATCATACTGATGGTGCAGGTGACGAGGAAGCCGGAATGAGAATGATGAAGCAGAGAAGAGGGAGCTTTGTAGTCGAATCGAGGGATGCTTATGATGCTGGAGTGTTGCTCCCATGGAGGCAATGTTTCAGCTTCGTCTCCTCTTTCTCTCTTTTCACTCACAGGCTCTTCCTCTATTGTTCTTCCAACATCGTCTACTTCTTCTGCATCAGCCATCGTTACTCTCTACCTCTCTGTCTCTCTCAAAGTCCAGAGTTAGGCCAAAAATAAAAGAAAAAGGAAAAGACTTTGAGCCTTATATGATTCAGCGATTAGGAAAGTGCGGTAGCGTTTTAAAACCCTGAAACGCGACGTTTAGAGAACGCAGCTTCAAAACAGCTAAACCCTGAAGCCTACCAGACCAGACCAGACCAGAGACAGAACAATAGAACATCATACGAGGTCCGATTCCATCCTCTCAAGAGTTTGCGAGTCTAGGAGAGGAAAGAGATGCAGGTACTTGCGCGGAATCTAGTTCGGAGAGTATCAAGAACTCAGGTAAAGGTAATGCTCTCAATTCATGTTTTCTTCATAATTTGCCTCCTCCTTGTTCATTACTATACTCAGTTCGCGAAGACTTGTACAGATTAAAGATCGAATTTTTAGGTTCGCTCCAAGTGCAATATATAAAATTTGCAGAGATCTTGTGGACCATAAAGTTTCATCTTTTGAATAGGAATTGACTTTCTATAAAATTTGCTGAAAATTTGAGACTTGATTGCAGAGTGTACATGACCTCCAATGCTAATTGCTTGTGTTTCATCAACTAATACTGTTCGAATATCTAAATTGCAACTTAGTTCTACATGTTGTTTTTAAATGGGGTTTCAGGTTGTCAGTCGTAATGCATATTCAACCCAAAGGGTCAGAGACATTGGTCAGCCAACTCCAGCATCTCATCCTCATGTAAATCCCATGTGCTATACTTAAACTATGTTCTCTTGGATTTGCAAATGCTATTTATATGCTCTGATGGTTTGCTCTTCCCCATCAGTTAATGGCAGAAGGAGAGGTCACACCAGGAATAAGGATAGAGGAATACATTGGTAGAAGGAAGAAACTTGTGGAGCTTCTCCCTGGGAACAGCTTAGCCATCATTTCTTCAGCCCCCGTGAAGATGATGACTGACGTTGTTCCATATACGTTCAGACAAGAGGCTGATTATCTGTATCTAACTGGTTGCCAGCAACCAGGTGGTGTGGCTGTTTTAAGTGATGAACGCGGTTTATGCATGTTCATGCCGGAATCAACTCCTAAGGTATGATGATATATTAGTACATGAATTTTTGTATATAGAGTGAATTTGATTTCTGTTTGACAGTTTATAAGAATTGATTTGTGGTGTAGGATATTGCTTGGGAAGGAGAAGTTGCTGGAGTTGATGCAGCGTCCGAGGTCTTCAAGGCAGACCAAGCATATCCCATAAGCAAATTACCCGAGGTAGCTTATATTTCTTCCCTAAGTAGCCTCTCTTTTAAAATTTCCTATGTTGTTGACTTTAGTACTTCTATAACGCGAGATTTGTTTTATTTTCACGTTCTTTATGTACAGATTCTTTCAGACATGATAAGACATTCGTCAAAAGTGTTTCATAATGTTCAAACGGCTTCGCAAAGATACACAAACTTGGATGAGTTTCAAAAGTCAGCATCTCTTGGCAAAGTGAAAACTCTTTCAAGTTTAACACATGAGCTGAGGTTAATTAAATCACCTGCAGAACTCAAATTGATGAGAGATTCTGCATCTATTGCTTGCCAGGTATTCTTGTATTACAACGAAGCCATTGTTATGCTTAGAACTTTTCTGTTTTTAGCTTCTTAATACAACTGAGATGCTAGAGAGTAACTGAATATTTAAGATGTTGGAGAAATTTACAAGAGATACTGTGGGCAAATTTGTTAGGTTGATAACTTTTGCAGACAAATGTGTGTGTATATAGTGAATTTAATCTTAAGAATTGATCTGACAAAATGACGAACACACACATAAAGAGCTCCCAAGCCATGACCTGATGGGACAATTTTTTTTTTTTAGGGTATTATAATGTGATTGCATGAACAGCCTCTCGTGAAAGGCAATGCCTTCCTCAATGATATGTGAAAGTTAATCTATTCCAAATTCTACGTTTTTCTTGTGGCCAAAGTTCTAAGGAAAAGGAATATAGAGCCAATAGAACTCCATGAACCATTTTCTGCATATTTATTGAAAATAATAGCTATTACAGACAATAAGCGTATGGAGTGATTTTGATCTTTTCATCCTCAGGGTCTTCTGAAAACAATGCTACATTCAAAAGGGTTTCCTGATGAAGGCATTTTATCAGCCCAAGTTGAATATGAGTGCCGGGTAAGAGGTGCTCAGCGAATGGCGTAAGTCTCAACATGTGTAGATAGTCCATGAATAAATATGTAGTTCAGGATTTTATTCTTAAAAAAAGTATATCCTATTATTCTTATTCTAGTGACAAGAAAAATGTCACGTTTTATCCTCAGATTTAATCCTGTAGTCGGTGGTGGCTCAAATGCTAGTGTTATTCACTATTCACGAAATGATCAGCGAGTAAGTTTGACAAAACCCTATTTGATTTCTAGTACAGAGATGTTCTTGAAGCCAGTATCTTCTTTTTATAATTATCTGCAGATAAAAGATGGTGATCTTGTCTTGATGGACATGGGTTGTGAGTTACATGGGTATGTTAGTGATCTTACTCGGACATGGCCACCTTGCGGAAAATTCAGTTCTCTTCAGGTTGATGTTTCTGCTGTCTTATTTTTCATCTTATTTTGTCTGGTAGTTCGATATTCTTCTGTTTACGTTTGTGCTTTGCCGGTAGTGTTTGGATGATGCAACCAAGAGATAAACCCTTACTTACTATCTCATACTCTACTACCAAACTTCTTTCTTTTTTCTGAGATATACGTTTCACATTCACAGGCTAGCTTTTTCCTTATAAATATGATTTAGGAAATCTTCAGAATTACGAGATATTTGTTAGTCACTAATATCTACCGAACCCGATCGCCTGAAAGCATTTTTTTTTGTTATCCATTCTTTTGGATTGTTTTAGCAGCGAATAGCCCTTATACACACTAAGAGAAACTTATTATCACGCTAATATAGGTTTTTTTGTTGCATGTTAGGATTGTTTACTGCAATATTCCATTTGTCGGAATTTGGACATGTGCATTGGTTACATAGGGTTTTTTTGTGATCTTCTCTCGATTTCACAATTATTTTTAGATAAAAAGATGAAAAGTAATTGTGAAGCTGCTTTCTTGAAACTTTCCCTATCAAAATATTAATATTTGTATTTTTTTTCCAGGAAGAGCTATATGATCTTATACTTCAGACAAACAAAGAATGCATAAAACAATGCAAGCCTGGTACAACCATCCGCCAACTAAACGCATATTCGGTAAATATAAACTTATCTTAAGCCGTGTCTTCTGTGCTTAAGACGTATTAAACACACAAAATGTACCGTTTACTCTTAACAGGGGTTTGCTATGATGTGAAAATATTATTTTACTTCTGTAGAAGGCTGGTTTACAAATATTTCAGAAGCTAAAATGGACCAGAGATTTCATAAATATCATCATAAAATTTAAAAGCTTTATTTGCCAACAAAATTATGTTTGGGCTCAGATGATGCTTTGTGGTTTGCAGACCGAGTTGCTGTGCGATGGACTGATGAAGATGGGCATCCTGAAAAGTCGTAGACTGTATCACCAGCTGAATCCGACCTCCATAGGTACGCATTATTGAACCTTGAATCACATTAACTTATTTGCAATTTTGGTTGATGAAACGAATACAATCAACTAAGGCTGATTGATGTGTAGATGGTAACATCCTTGTTATTTCCCCGCTTATGCTGTATAAAAGTTATCATGTAACCAAAAACGCAAAATATACTCTATGGTTTGGGAAATACTTATCTAACAGAATTATCTTGTGATGGATAAAAAGGTCACTACCTTGGGATGGATGTGCATGATTCTTCTGCTGTGGGATATGACCGTCCTTTGCAACCTGGTTTTGTAAGTAATACTACTCTTTCAAGTCATAGTTTTTATAAGGAACCAAAAGTCAGGCTTATAATCTCTTCACCTTTCTACCTACCCTCCTCCCTCAAACACTCTGCTTGTTGATGCTAGTCCATCGAAACCAATATATGCCCTTTGAATCCTGATTGTTGAAATTTATGTATTAATCATGTGATGGCATTGGGTCCTTACGTTTGAAGCAAATGGTTTTGATGGTGCAATTAATAGAATCTAATAGGCTGGATTACATCAAATGGTTTTGGTGTTTGCTAGATAATGGATCTTTCAGACTCTCGATGTCAAACTTATGATCGCTGTTTGAACAGGTGATTACGATTGAGCCAGGAGTCTACATTCCATCTTCATTCGACTGCCCTGAAAGGTACAAATGCTCTCTTCAAACTCGCACTAACTTCATGTAAAAAACGTGGCTTGTAGGAATATTCGCATCCAATAAGCATGGAACTGTGTAGATCTGAGTGAATCAACCGCAGGATATGACATGGTCTATCGGACAAGAAATATATGATTATGTGACTTTACTGTTGAAATCGCTTATTGCAGATTCCAAGGGATTGGGATAAGGATCGAGGATGACGTACTGATCACTGAGACGGGCTACGAAGTGCTCACAGGGTCAATGCCTAAGGAGATCAAACACATAGAGACATTGTTGAATAATCACTGCCATGATAACTCTGCGCGAAGCTTCGCCAGTTTCTCTTCGCAAGGTTAAAGGTTGCATACGAACTGTAACTCAAGACGATTGTTTTGAATTAAACATCATTGATAATAATTCAAACAAAATTTCAAACGTAAACTCATTTTCCTTGCGTTTGACTCATAGAATGTTTCATAGTGTGTTAAAGAAATCATGACATTGTAAATAGCAAAACCAAAAGACATGGAGTTACTACGAGAAAGTAGGGTCACAAATCACAATCAATAAGTTAGGAGTTGGAACACTTATAGTTATGTGAATCACTTAGTCTTTATTGGTTATAGTTGGTTTCTTAAGATAGAAGAAAAATAATTCACAATACAGTAAAATAGTATATGTGATCACACTAAACGCTCAAGAAATAGATGTTTATTCATATCAAAAATAATTGAGGAGATCGGTTACTGGTTAGCAGGTGAAGAGAGTGTGAGATGATAGGCACTGCATTTATATGTACGGGGCCATGCACCACATCACAATAATCATCATCATTAATATTGTGATGCTGATAGCCATATGATCGAGATCGATCATGTAAGATATGGTTTAACCCAAAACTCAAAACAGATCCGACACGACGTACCCATAAACCTGCCCAACCATGGCCATTAATGCTTTTACATGCACCTCATCTTCAACTTCAAGGATCAAGAGTTTAGATATTACATTAAGCTCTTGTCGGTTTTTCCTATTTCTTGTAGTAAAAGAACAATCGATCACGTCGTTTTCGATAGTGAGGTTTTTTCACCTTTTTAAAAAATAGGGTTGGTCTCAGTTTGATACCAAAACTAATAAAATTTTGCTAAAATTGTATTAACTATTAAGTCAACGGTATGTTTTCAATCCGAGTGTATTTCACATCCTATACTATTATTTGGGGAGTACACTTTATAAGATACCCTTAACTAACCTTCTCATTTGTAAAAAATTACTTAAGAATGCCATTAGAGATAAAAATTTAAAGAGTAAATTAATTCAGCTCATTAAGGATAAACAAGTCAAATACTAATTTATGCAATTTAATTAATTTAAGTATTAAAAACGAAAATATATTATTAATTTAAAAAAAAGAATGACCAATCAAAATGAACATATAAGATTTGATATCTAACTTACCATATTAATTTGTTATTAATCATTATAGTTCACCTCTCATCTTTATATGATTCTATTTTTATGAAACAAATAAATCATCATATCATCCATATAAACAAAAAAAAATAATTTTTTTCTCCATATGCCAAGATTTGAATTTTTAAAAACGAAATTAAATTGTAAAATCTATGAAGAAAAAAATTTAACGGGTCAAAAATTCACATTTGAGTAATATATTTCTTTTAACCAAAAATAAGTTCAACAAAAATTTCGACTGAGTAACGGGTCAGAATTTGAATATTTATATTCAATTTCATACATTTATTTTTTGAAATGTATTATTTTATATACTATAATAAGATTTTTAAACATTTTAATTTGCAACATATAAAATTAGTTTTACTTGATATTTTTCAAGAATATCATCAATATTTAAAGAATATCATCAATAAATATTCTAATTTGATTTTTGTAAACAAATATTTATAATAGGCAGTGGGTTAAATATAATATATTATATTAACAAATGAGTTATGATCCTTATAATTGTTTGAATATTTCTATTTAATTTCATATAATCTTTTTTGAAATTCATAATTTTATATACTAAAAGAAATATTTTTAAAGATTTTAATTGGAACATTTAAAAATAGTTTAATTTAATATTTTAATGAATATCATAATTCATAAATATTTAATAGATTAAAAAGATAAAAAAAAATTATAAATACTATAATTTTCTAAAAAGATATATTTAAAATAGTTATAGTAGGCGGAGGGTTACATGTAATATATTATATGATATAAAATTATGATCCTTATAATAGAAGGCATGTTAAGATTATATGATCAGATAGATTAAATAAGGTTGACACCTCAAAATATTTGAAAATTTGATTGTGCAAGCAATTTTGGAAATAACGAATAATAGATTGTGCACGCAATATTTTCATTAGGATTCTAAAATAAAAATATAGACTCCACGCACGGGTTGAATTTGGTATATTATATACTAAATATATGTTCATAACATATTCGATTACGCGAATAATTGATAAATTCCGTAGTTACCTCAAACAAATCTCTATTTCAACAACCAAAGAATTAGAAATTGAAAAACGAATTTCCTAAATTAATTCAAAATAATAGCTAACTATCTTAATTAATTAAAAATAATCTACGTTTTAGAAGCGATTCATTTATAATATTTTGATTTTTGATCTAACTGAATTATATGCAATCTCATTTTGTGGTTGTTAATATAAATTTACTCATTTTTCAGACTATATTAATTTATTAAAATAATTTTCTTTTCTGTTTTCATATCTTTAAAAAAAATCCATAATTGAGTATAATTAAAAAAAAAAGATATTCATTCTATTATATATAGGGACTGACAAAAATCTAATTATATTTTTCAATTACTATTATAATATATCACAACTTTATTCTAAAATATATAATATATAAATTTTGTAATAAATAAAATTTAACCCGTACTGTAGTACGGGTGATGATCTAGTGCCATTTATTTTCTAAACCCTGTGGCAATCAACGTAATAAGATCAGGGAACCAAGGGCAAACACACAACACGTCACCTATATATCGCAAGGCTAAGTACCTTACCTCTCCACAACACACACAACCTCAGTCTTGAGACAAAGCTAAAACTAAAAACAAAGAAACAGAGATGGGTTTGGTTACAGAGGAGGTGAGAGCTAAGGCAGAGATGTACACCGGAGATGAGATATGCAGAGAGAAGACAAAGTGTTTCCTCAAGGAAATATCTATGCCCAATGGCTTATTACCATTGAAGGATATAGAAGAGGTTGGGTATGACAGAGAGTCAGGTGTTGTATGGCTGAAGCAGAAGAAGAGCATCACTCACAAGTTCACAGAGATCGATAAGCTTGTCTCCTATGGAACCGAGGTCACAGCCATTGTTGAGACCGGGAAAATCAAGAAGCTCACTGGAGTCAAAGCCAAGGAGCTTCTTATTTGGGTCACTATCAATGAGATCTATACTGAGGAACCCCCTACCAAGATCACGTTCAAGACACCGACCACACTGTCCAGGACTTTCCCGGTCACAGCTTTTACAGTACCTGAAGAAGAACCTGCCAAGGAGGAACCTGCCAAAGAGGAACCTGCCAAAGAGGAACCTGCCAAGGAGAAGAGCAGCGAAGCCACCGAGGCCAAGGAGGCTGTTGCAATCAAGGAGGCTATCGCAGTCAAAGAGGCGGCCTAATCAAGCCTCTGCTTCAGCAGTTAAAAGAGACCCGAATTTTTAAGTGTACTTTAAGAATTTGAACAAATCATGGAGAGTTAGTGTTTCTCACTGCTCTTACTATCATGTATTATTACCTATCACTTGTTGCTGCTTGTTTTACCTGTAATAAGATATCAATTTCATCCTGTTCCACTAAAAATTATCCGTAGTTATCTATAAACTACACTAAAGCTGGTTCCGTATGTAACTTCAAAAACATGGGAAACCTCTTCGCAAGCAAAAATGAGAGCATACATTCCTAATATTCATAAGGTGCTAAACTTCGTAGGTAATATGACCTACCTTTTTCAAAAAATATTTGACAATAGGATAACCAATAAGGCAAAGAAGTAGCCTTACAGCAGAAATTGTCTATCAAATAATCAACCGAAATCAGGAGCATTGAGAATCGCAGTATGTCATGGAAAAACAACAAATATCAACTGGTTGTTGCATCTTAGTTAATCATCATAACTGCAATTATCTACAATAGCAAGGGAACATTAGGGTTAAGACTAAGAGATAAAAGTACCTCAAAGAAAACAAAACTAGAGATCCCAAAATCCTGACGAGTTATCCAGCCCATTTACACCTTCTGAGACTGAAATCAAAATTAATGACAGCAACTCCATCAGTAAAAGCTTGAAGATAAATGAGTTTTGCAGGAACGATGCTGAAAACCTTAGATATTAGGGCAAATAACGAAGTTATATGTGATAAAATGAGTTGATCGTTTTAGAACCATACCTTAAAAGATGTTATCCACTTTCCATCAATCCATTCCTGATGTAGCCTTAGTTGAGAGTGATGAAATCTTAGCATCTCTTGAGTCTTTTCAAAGAGAACCAGGTAAGATGACTTTGCAAGAACCTTCCTAATCACCCCGACCCACCATCCATCATTATACAAAGCATTAACTTTGTCATGCCTCTCGAATGGACTAACCATGACACTCTCTAGTGGTTGAGGCCTTATATGTGAAACATTAACCTCTTCTCTCAAAGGCTCTTTCCCATCTTCAGCTTTCAGTGAATCATATTCTACAAGGCATTTGTCATTTCCTCTGTATTCAATAAGTTTTGCAAGAAACCAAGAATCTTCAAACCCTTCTTCCTCAGGGCTAACCTCGACCGGAGTTCCAATGCTGAACGCTTGCTTCTCGGTTGCTTTCTTAGGTCTCACGTTCCGATTACATGAAACAGTCTGCACATCCAAATCAAAAAATTTAAACACATATTTGGCGAAGAATATGTTGCACATAAAAAAGAATGGGATAAGAATGATCAATGTGAACTTCTCTAGAGTTCATTAATATGGAAATCTTACAGAACCTTTTCCCTCTTTATCTTCCCTCCTTTCAGTGGTAGCTGCCAGGTCCCGTCAACCCAATCTTTATGCAGACGAAGGCCCAGCCTTCCAAACCGCATCTTCTCTTGTGATTGCCTAAAATATATACCAACTGTTCCATCCTTCATACCATCTATGACAACACCTACCCACCAGCCATCATTGTAAAATGCATTAATCTTGTCCCCAACAGCAAAATCTATATCCTCATCTCTTGGGGGTGGCGGCCTTATGTGCAGAAAATCGGTTTCTTCTCTCAAAGGCTCTATGCCATCATTTTCTCTCAAGTCTCGATACTCAACAAGGAATTTGTCTTCACCAACGGGTTCAACGACTTTAGCTACAAACCAACACCCCTGGAAACCTTCCTCATCGCTGCTAACCTCGACAACCGTGCCACTGGAAAACATTTGTTTGGCGATTGCTCTGGTAGTTTCCAGATCCACTCGGGCTAAAATATCCTGCATTTTATTACTGTCATGATTAATGTGCATTCTAATATCCCCGTAAAGTAAAACACAGAACATCAAGAAATTAAGGATATAGAGATTTCTCTACAAGAACTAAAGTAAAACTCTCCAATAAACAACTTCCACAGAAAGGTTATCAAGCACCAATCGTATCATTGAGAATGTGTTACCTCCTCGTCTTCTGAGTCGTCTAATTTGTCTTCCTCTGATTCCTCTTCTTCTGTTTCCTCTAATGGCGGCTTCCAAGCTCCATCAACCCATTCCCTGTGAAACCGTAGCTCATCTTTCCTAAAGCGAATCTGCTCCTTAGAACTCCTGAAGAAAACACTGAACTTCCCATCATCCAGAACCTCAGTCACATCCCCTTCCCACCAACCGTCATTGTAAAACGCGTCGACCTCTTCCCCAACAGCGATATTCTTCTTCTTCTCTCTCTCAGACATTGGCGGCGCCGGAGGACGAAGCTGACTCATGTCGACAACTTCCTTCAGAGGCTTCGTCCCCTCTTTGTCGAAGAAGAGCGTCGTGTACTCGACTTGGCATTTAACGGAATCCTTATGTGAGGATGGAGTGGTGATCACTTTTCCAAGGTACCACGAGCCGCGGAACCCAATCTCGTCGGAGCTGATTTCCACGGTGGCGCCAGGTTTTAGGTAAGAAGGGAGACGCTTTCGATTGGCTCTCGTAGCCATGGAATTCGTAGGAGCTTTCTTCCTCTGCTTCGCCGGAGATGAGATACCAAAAGATTGGCGAGGCCGAGACCGCAAACGCGAAGACATGGCGTTGAGAGTGTCAAGGACGAATCGGGGAAAGGAAACTGGCGGGAAGAATTGGTAGTGAAGATCAAAGAAATCACCTTTTTAGGGTTTTGGGGTTTGATTTCAATTTAATATTTTGCTTAAAAAAAAAAAAAAAAAAAAAAAAAAAAAAAAAAAAAAATATTTTGCTTAAAAAGATCAAAGACTAGATTTTCACGCCACAACAATTCTGTAAAAGATTTGTGGTAAGATTGGTGAATAAATGATCATGGGCTGAAAATAAATTGTATATTTTTTACTTGGGCCACCGAATTTATTTGGGTTTATGTTTAAGTAGTACGTAAATTATTTTCATAATAATGTCCTTTACACAAAAATATTTTAAATCATCTCTTCTTATGTCTCATGAAACAACATCATCTACATGAGCTCTGCATTAGTAAATCATCATGAAGCTTACTAGCTTAGTATTAAGAAGTAACTCACCAACAACAAAAAGATGCGTCGCCTGCAATATGAACCGAAGATGCATACGCAGAATTGGAAAGGGATGAGAGACTTAAAATTTCTGAATTTTCTTTCGGGCTAAATATTTGTATATGATAAGACCATTACGAGATGCAAAATGTTAATAGGTAAGTCGAAATTGTAAAATACATATAAAGACGAATATAGGACCTCTTAAACCCTTACAAAACATTTGAAACCAATCAGTCAAAAAACCAACCATGTCGTTTTGGCAATCTTCTTTGTACACTGTCTTTCTTTGCTCTCACAACCCTTAAAAAGCTGTAATTCTTCCCTTCAGACAAGGGTGAAAGCAGATTGTACTGTTGATTGGAACCTTGATGCGATTGTCTGCGAGGCAAACTGCTGAAATTGTTTCTTTGCATCTGCCAACAAATTGGTGATTGCCTATTAGAGTCACCTCTATATATGTACATGTGTGTGTTCTTTGTATAAAAATCTAACAACCTAGTGATCTATAGCTTTTGCACACAAAAAAAAAAAAAAAGTGATCTATAGCTGATTTGATTCTTAACAAAATCAGGGCAATTGCGGAAGACTAATTAGGGATCTTACCTTTCTTGCATTTTGTGAAGCCGATGATATTAGCTACGTTGAGAGACAAGCAAACGCCAACAACAAGCAGATAGTCAGCTTGAAACCTAATCAGAGAAAATACCCCAAGGATAAACCATGCAGCTGCCTGAAGAGTGGAAAAAAGAGAAGATTTAGCTGTGAAGACAACAGAAAAGGATAGCAAATAAATTCACATGCTTTTAATGTTTACTAAGCTCCTGTACTATTGACACCGAATCCATAGCTACCATCTCATGGCTACATCTATACATGGGATACTAAAAGACTACTCAAATTTTTTTATCTACCAACTATGCAAAATATGATTCACCATTAGGGTCAGGTTTATTCTTGCCTATTCTTATTCCTAATCCTCCAGTATAGCTTCAGAAGAATTGTGAATGAGTTTAAGTGACTAGCATATGCTGCACTGAAGTGTTAGATAGGAAATACTCACTGCAAGATAAAGTGTCCACCAGAAAAGCCATGAGTCTTTCTTGTTCATCCGAGCCAAGGACTGTAAAGAAAAATGACGAGAACACAGGAGTATTCAGAAACGGAAAGGGAAACACAACCCCTTCTAGACAGACTGAACCCATAATTTTAGGAATAAGTGAAGAAAGGCTAACCTCCTGGTCAAGAGACTCGAATTTCCAGACACTTTCTCCCAAGTCATTGATCTCATTCCACCACCTGAGACCAACGAGTATACGCCCACTGACATTCTTAACCACCCAAAAGTCAAGTGCAGCAAGAAGAACAGTCACTACAAAGATGATGACAAAGCTGTTGAAGAAGAGCGCAGAGAGAATGTAAAACGCCAACGCAGCACCCTGGTCCAAGAACAAGAACAAAAACAAACTGGTTTACCATTTGTCCAATGTCTAAGATTTCCTTTGACTAAACATTTATACTGTGTTCATACCTTGAAGAGAACATGGAAAAGACATGTCCTTGGGTTTGCATAATTTTCAACTGGTGCCTGTATCTATGGAAGAATAAAGTTTTGGTAAGCTTAGCAGTAGCAGTTATCAAGTATGATAGCAAAAGCTTGAGAATTACATGCAGCAATTTGACATTGTGATGCTAACCAAAAGGGTACATAAGGATTATTTTCCGCCTACACATTGTCACAAGAAGGAAAATCCTCTAACCTAGCAATGCTTATTAAGCTCAAATGCATACTTTCTAAGGATTATCGGAGACCAAAACGTAGAAACACAGATCTAACACAATAACGTCCAGATCGAACAATTAGATTCAGGTTAATCAAGAATCTGATATGCAATCGAACTCAGAACAAAATGAGGAAGCAGCGAAACAGCACCTGATTATTAGGGTCCATCTTTCGAAGAATCCAAGAGGATCAATCCGAAAAAACGAACAAGTAATCTGCTGATCAGCGGAAACAAAACACCTCCTCCGTTGTAGAAATTATCGATCTTCCCTCTCTGAATTTTTCCCGAGAAAATTTTCTGTATCAGATCTTCAAAACTCTTGCGCGTGTCTGCTACTTGATTTCTTCTCTCTTTTTGATATTTCTTTTAAATGTGTTAAAATTCTAACTCAGCCCAATAACTCTTCTCTGGCCCAATAATATTTGGAGAAGTTAGGCCCAATTCTTTAAAAAATGCTTAATGACGATTTCACCACAAAAACTTTTGTTTCGATCAAATTCATCCACTATCCACAAGGAGGCAAAAGAAGAGAGTTATGAAAGAAGAGGACGCCATTGATCCGTAAATATGTGACCATGAAATGGCGAGAGGCGGAGATAATTGTCTTATCCCTTCAAAAATTAAGACTTTTAATGATCGGAAGGAACAAGATGATGAGGTCCCACGAACCATACACAGATACTCACACACTTCAATTTTCAAATAAGAGCTTTTCTTCAGTTGTTGCTCAGAGAGTGAACCAACAACAACCATGGCGAAGATGATGATGTTGCAACAGCATCAGCCTTCTTTCTCTCTCCTTACTTCTTCTCTTTCTGACTTCAATGGCGCTAAGCTCCATTTACAAGTCCAGGTCTTTTTTGTTTCCTTTCTTCTGACAGATTGGTTCTGCTTTTGTATTTCTGATGAACCAAAATCAGTTTGGCACATTTCAAAATTATCCCTTTTTAATGGGTTTAATGACCTCTTAGCGTGGTTCTGGTTACAGCTCTGATTTTGTATTGGGTTAAGGTTATGACTTATGAGCTTCTTTGTCATACTTGTGAATGTTTTAGGTGTGGTTTTGGTTTGAGATGTCTGAATACTTCCTCGTTTGTGTTTATAATGATTTGTTTCTGTGAAGCTCTGGCTCAAATTCTATCACTAGTCTTAGATTTGTATGTGGTGATTGAAACTACAGTTTTTTATTTTGGAGATAAGATTTGCTTAAAGAGTTGGCTTTGTTATTGAAATTGCAGTACAAGAGGAAGGTTCATCAGCCAAAAGGAGCACTCTATGTTTCAGCATCTAGCGAAAAGAAGATTCTGATAATGGGTGGCACTCGATTCATTGGTGTGTTCTTGTCCAGGCTCCTTGTCAAAGAAGGACATCAGGTTCTCATTTTTCTCTTCAATTACCGATCAAACTTTCTTTTCAGCTACAAATTTAGTTTTTTTCTCAGTCACACATTTGGCTAATGGTTACTTTTGCAGGTTACATTGTTCACAAGGGGTAAATCTCCTATTGCCAAACAATTGCCCGGTGAATCTGACCAAGACTTTGCTGATTTTTCTTCTAAGGTATTACATGAATCCTTGTGAAAGAACTAGTATGCACACTCAAATATAATATACATTTAGGATAATCCAAGGAAAACATAGTATTTGAGCAAGAGGAACTTGAATGATTAATTAGGATTCCAATATATGAATGATTTTATCCGGTCTTTCCTAGATTCTTCACTTGAAAGGAGACAGAAAGGACTATGACTTTGTGAAGTCAAGTCTTTCAGCAGAAGGCTTCGATGTCGTTTATGATATCAACGGTAACAGCTAATCTCTTTGTTCTTACTGTGAATTCAAGAATATACAGTCTTTTGCCTTTGACAACAAAGATTTTAAGATTTGGTATAATTTATGCTCGCTTTTTTCTCAGGGAGGGAGGCTGAAGAAGTTGAGCCTATAATAGATGCACTGCCCAAACTAGAGCAGTAAGTAATACATAACATCTACCAAGGCCTAGCTTGTTCATTTGGTTGATAGCTCTCGAAACATAGCCTTTCAAAATTGAAATTTTCCGTTAATTTTATAGGTACATCTATTGTTCTTCAGCTGGTGTTTATCTGAAATCTGATATCTTACCACATTGTGAGGTATGTAAAAGATATCTTATTCTTATACTTATTCCTGGAAGATATGAGCTTGTACTTTTCTTGGATTAGCCATAGAAATAGTATGATTATGTGATTTGATCATATGATGTCACCCAGAAGTTTATTATCTAAGTCCATTTGTAAAAAAGATTTATTTGGGACATAACTGATGCAGGAGGATGCAGTTGATCCGAAGAGCAGGCACAAGGGGAAGCTAGAGACTGAGAGCTTACTGCAATCAAAAGGTGTAAATTGGACTTCTATACGTCCTGTCTACATCTACGGTCCATTGAACTACAACCCCGTCGAAGAATGGTTCTTCCACCGTCTAAAAGCCGGCCGCCCAATCCCAGTTCCAAACTCTGGGATACAGATCTCACAACTCGGTCACGTTAAGGTCACACACCTACTTTCTCTAATTCTTGAGCTTCCTTTCATGTTCAGAAAACTCATTGTTAGAGGGACCCACTGACTCAAACTCAGCTCTGATCAATCTTGAAGAGTATTGATCAATAACATCAAATCATTCTGTAATTCAGGACTTGGCAACAGCCTTTCTCAACGTGCTTGGTAACGAGAAAGCCAGCAGAGAGATATTCAACATCTCGGGGGAGAAATATGTTACCTTTGATGGGTTAGCAAAAGCTTGTGCAAAGGTACATTCTTTTCTATGGGTTTCATTGTTGTCTCATCAATCCAAATCTTTTCAAGTACAACCTGGTGTGGTCCGTTTGAGATAGATATCATACTCTGAGCTTTTTGGATCATTGCTTGAGTAAACTAATTCATGTTCTCAACTCTCTCAGGCTGGTGGGTTTCCAGAGCCAGAGATTGTTCACTACAACCCGAAAGAGTTCGACTTTGGGAAGAAGAAGGCATTCCCTTTCCGTGATCAGGTAAAAACTACAACGTTCTAATGATTCAGGCTGCATCATCAACGATTCCAATTCAGAAGTTGAGATTTTGATTTATGTATATTCTCTTGCAGCATTTCTTTGCATCGGTGGAGAAAGCAAAGCATGTCCTCGGATGGAAACCAGAGTTCGACTTAGTGGAGGGTCTCACTGACTCATACAACCTTGATTTCGGTCGCGGAACATTCCGGAAAGAAGCGGATTTCACCACTGACGACATGATTCTGAGCAAGAAACTTGTTCTTCAATAATCAATCCTAAGAATTGCTCATTCTTGGCTTGTATGATTCTGATCACCCGGTTCTCTTAAAGTTCTGAACTTTATTGTCATCTCACGTATGTTATGGTCCGGATTTTGTTCGACTTTTCTCTATAGTACACGAGAAAGAGACGGTCTGGCTCTTGAGGGTCACTTAGGAATTTTGGTTTCTATTCGGTATCCTCTTTCTAAATCTGAACCGAACCAAAATTTCAACCATACCGACTACAATTTCAGTTTTAAATGCGGACCCATCTTTACCATAGGCTATGGTCCATAGCTCATAACCGAACGAACCGAACCAAAAAATCGAATTCACACGAGTGGCCTTCCAAAATTAGACCACAAGAAAATAGGGCTAGATACAGATTTGACCCGTGCTTGGTTATGCCCGCGACATACCGGTCAAATAAAAACTCAATTGGGCTCCAATACTTAAAAAAAAAAATCTTTAGACTTCTATAATTCTAGATTTTTCAGTTTTGTCGACTATCAATATTTCTATAATTTGTCAAACGAGTGTATAGTTTATAACAAACTACAAATTTGTTCAGATAGTCAGATATGAGAACTACTCATGCCTGAGAATTGTTTTTTTCTTTTGCACCAAAATTTGGTCTGACGTCAATGCAACTTCATAGAGACTCAGACGTTGAGGAGACGCGCATGCGTGGGTTCGGACACGAACTCGCTCTAAGAATGTGATAACAATGACTGGAAAACTCTCAATTCAACGTGAATTTATTGATGGCCCAAAGTTACAATTATGGAGGGTCATCGTGTTTTTTTGGCAAGGAGAGGTTTGGTCACTGCAAGTTTTAATCTTGTGGAAAGAAGAATCTTTCAAAATTCTTGTGAAATTTAAATTCCAAAGAATATACTAAGAAAAATGAAGTCTTTTTCCTTTTTTTGTTTGGTCAGCACGAGAAGGATTAGTTAAAGTCGTAGCTCCATATAATAATTTATAAATATCATCTTATTTTTTCTTGTTTTCTAGATATATATGTCGGTACGTCTTTTTCTTTTCACGTATGTCGGTACGCCAAAATGTTATAGTGCTACTCTTAGATTGAATTTCTAAACCTAGTGGATTAAAAGCTTCCTTCGAAGAAAAATATATGAGCAACTATGGGAGCTTGCTCTATGGCTCGGCTCCCCCGTTTTCTACTTCCACACTTGGTTAGCAACATCAGAATACACAACAATACTACATATCCAACTAGTCAAATTCTCTATATATAAAAAACTGACTAACGATCATTGATCCGACAGACAGAATAAAAAGAAATTTGCTAGTCTAATGAGCATTTTGGCTTACAAGTAAAAGATCTTGAAACATATATCTTTCCACAGCTAGTTAAACAAATTATTGTAGCTTAAAAAAATCATAATCCGGTGTCATAAATTGAAAACAAAATTTAGCAACATACATCAATTCTTTAGTGAAGTCAAAATATTCAGAAAACTACTTGATGGAATCTCAACTCCTCCAAGAAATTAACTATGCAAGTAGACTTTAAAAAGAAGATCTAATAATGCATACACTATAACTTTTGGCTTTTGGCCAGTTAACAAAAAAATTGGGAAAAAAATATATTAAAACTACGACGTTAGAACAAAATAAGAAAATATCAACGTTATGGAAAACAACCACTACATAAATAGTAGGTCGGTCATGGGTCGGACAAAATAGATTAATTAACAAACAAATAGCTTTGGGTATAGTAAGTTAATAACAACCAATCAATGTTCCCTCAGCTTCTTCTTCGTGGGCTCCTTTTTGGCCACGTGGCATTATCACAGCCTTGTATTGAATTAGACAGAGATCCTTCAACCAATCACAAGATTTCGTTCGCGGTGGTAGGGCCCTCTCTCGCTAAACACGGGGTACGGGAGTAATATCTAAAGTGGACCCTGCCTCAACATTTTACGTACCAAAATTGTGTGACACGTGTCATTCTGCATCGCCATGTCATCGTAGCAGGAAGCCAGTAATACTAAGCTTTCCCTGGTAGAATACTTAACCGTTTCAAAGCCTATATAAGCCAACCTTGGTTTCTCACCAACAATCAAATCACTCATCAACAACTCAAACTCATCACAAAGAAAAATTTTCTCTCTGATAAGATGGCACCTGAGATGAACAACAAGTTGAGTTACGGAGAAAAGAAGAGAGCGTACGTTACGTTCCTAGCCGGGACCGGAGACTACGTGAAAGGAGTGGTTGGTCTGGCTAAAGGGCTAAGGAAAGCTAAAAGCAAGTACCCATTAGTGGTTGCTGTGTTACCTGACGTCCCGGTGGATCACCGGAGACAGCTGTTGGACCAAGGCTGCGTCATCAAGGAGATTCAGCCGGTTTACCCGCCGGAGAACCAAACTCAGTTTGCTATGGCTTACTACGTCCTCAACTACTCCAAGCTTCGTATTTGGAAGGTATATACACACACATATATATACATGATCGTGTCGTGTGACTCGTGTCTAGGTTTAGAAGATTGAGAATCTGAATTTAAGTTTTCATGAAAATTATAAGGTAGGTTTAACTAAATAATAACTATGTGGATGCAGTTTGTAGAGTACAGCAAGCTGATATACTTAGACGGAGACATACAAGTGTTTGAGAACATAGATCACTTGTTCGATCTTCCCGACGGCAACTTCTACGCCGTTAAAGACTGTTTCTGCGAGAAGACTTGGAGCCACACGCCTCAGTACAAAATTGGCTACTGCCAACAGTGTCCGGACAAGGTGACGTGGCCAGAGACAGAGCTTGGTCCTAAGCCACCGTTGTACTTCAACGCCGGCATGTTCGTCTACGAGCCAAGCCTCCCCACTTATTACACCCTTTTGGAGACTCTCAAAGTTGTCCCTCCCACACCTTTTGCTGAACAGGTAAAACCAAGGTCTACACATTTTATATGATTATATAAATCCATGGGGTTGCCACCATTATACATATTTTAGAGGCTAAATTGATTTATGTGGGTTTATAGGATTTCTTGAACATGTACTTCAAAGACATATACAAGCCTATTCCACCAGTATACAATCTTGTCTTGGCCATGCTCTGGAGGCATCCAGAGAACATAGAGCTTGACGAAGCCAAGGTTGTTCATTACTGTGCAGCTGGTGCTAAGCCTTGGAGGTATAGATATGATACAATTGATCTTCTCTAGTTCTTTTCTAAAAAAAGGTGAAAGATCTGAAATTGCTTCTCTGTTTTGTGATCAGGTTCACAGGCCAAGAAGAGAATATGGAGAGAGAAGACATCAAGATGCTTGTAGAGAAATGGTGGGACATTTATAACGACGAGTCACTTGACTACAAGAACTTTAATGTCCATTGCGGACAAAAAGAAGATGTCCACAAGAAACAGCAAACACTTCCACAGTTCTTTACAGAATTATCTGAAACTGATGTGCTTCAATGCGCCAAAGCTCCATCCGCGGCTTAGACAACTTTGTAAAGGCGGAGCTAGGTTCTTGGTCAACATCTGTTTGCTAGTAGTTTGTGAAACTGATGATGTTTAATTAGGAATTTACTATATGAAATTGTGTTTTACTTTTTTTTTTACTGAATTTAGAGGAGTTTTTAATTCCCAGACCCTCTTTGTACCTTATATGTTTGCTAAGGACTTTTCTTCCTAAAATACAATAATAGTATAGTTTTTTTTTTTAATTTTCTTCTTTTTGATATTTGGGAAAAAATCCCATGGAGTGAAACAAATCTAGTTATTCAACACTTATTTATGAAATTATAGTATTTATATTTAGTTATTTGGTAAGTCCTTCATTTTCCTACATAATTGACTCAATAATTTTGGAAACTTAATTAACAAAGTAAAGCATAAATGGGTAAAGCTACCACAAGTATTTCATACTTGTTATTCAAGAATCTATGCAACACAATCTCTTCTAAAATTTAGAACACAAAATTATGAATTTCGCGCGCTGCGTTTTTCTCATGATCGTTCTTGTTCTCTATATTTTTACTCCTCACATTGAAGCAATCAAAGCCGATGGAGCAACAGAAGCACTCATCAATAGTATCTGCATCGAAAACGAAGATTATGGATTTTGCAATAAAATCATCCATGAAAAATTGAAGGCACCAACGGCTACCATCAAAGAACTCACCAGTCTGATAATAAACACCACTATGGATCAAGCCAGTGATACTTACATTTTCATCGATAACATCCTCCGCGAATGGCCTGTCCCTAAGGAGACAACTGGTCTCAAGACTTGTCATGAAGTTTATAATAGAGAGACCAATAGTTTCTTAGAAATTCGATTTCTATTTTCAAAAGGAGAGTACGAACGTATGGGTGAAGCCATTTTTTCCACAGCCAAGATCTTAGAAGATTGTAGGGGCGATTTTCTTATTCCTCCTTACAAGGAGCCTCTGCTTGAGAAGAAGAGAGTTATGAGAATATTGATCACCATGTCTGCTGTTTCTGGACATATGATCAAAAATGACAAGGCTTCCTTGATTAGCTCAGTAGTTACTGCGCAGCTTTTCAATATTTGAGAACATTAATCAGTGATTTGTAACAAATAAAGTATCAATAATATATAAAAATAACAAATATTAAGCATAACATTTCTTTTCTTAATTTTTATAACAATAATATATAGTGAATGACCAAGACTTATAGAGTTGTAGTTTAGAGATTTGTATTAGATTAGTTGTTGTCATCATCATCAGATTCTAACTCGGCATTTGTTGATAACAAAACTATTAATTAATTTATGTAATATAGTATGTTGCTTATAAGGAATTCCTAATATGTTTCTCAAACCCAATGACCTTTTCTTCTTACATCTTAGAGAAAATATCAATTTTAGACTGTTAACTTTAATTAATACAACTATCGGAGTATCAAGCGAAGAAACGTGTTCGAATACTAACTCTTGGTAGTCTACTCGAATTACTAAGATCTGAAAATATTTAAATAGTCAAACTAAATCTCGTTCTATTTGGTGAATATTCTTTCTTTATTGTTGTGATTTTGGCGAATTAATAAACTCGTATAGCATAAAAGAGTGAACGTTTGGGTACAATGGTGAAGACCTCAAAAGTCAGAACATAACAAACCAAAAAACAGAGCTTAATTAAAATCAAAGAAAAAGCTGAGGAAGATATTCTTAACACGTATGTCTTCTTCAATCCGAGAAAGGAGCCAAGCCGGACCACCGATGGAGAGATAAGACGTGAGCCTACCATCTCTAGTTACTCTTTCGGCTATGTCTCGTGCTATCATATTTGCAAAAGAAAAGGAAAGTTGTGTTTGGTTTTATGATTTGTTTTAACCACAACGAACAAATCAAAACAAACTATAATGTTTAATTAGTTTGTAATGTAATATATTTTAAACATAACTGGGAAATCAAAGGGGACTATTTTCCACATCTTTGGATCGAATTGGTCTGACTATAAGTCAATAATTTAATAATTGTTTATTAAAAATTAATAAATATTTTTACATACACATATATTTATATATATATATATATATATAAAAAAAAAAATAAGTATAGGCATAAAATTTTTTTAACTTTTTTCAGATACAATTTGCAAAATCTTAGAAGTAAAGTTGGTGTTTTTATGAAAAATTATAATGATTAAATTAAAAAATAGAATGATTTAATTTAGAGGTGTAAAACTAAAATTCTATAGATTTTAAATTAAAAGAATGCTATATAAATACCATGCAATAACACAATTTTTTCATCTAAATAAACTTACAAATTAATTTTGAATATTTTCATGATTTGTATTATACAAATAAATTAGCATTTATATCTTTCATAAATTTCTAGATATATATATATATATATATATATATTTATATGTTCTTTTAATTTTTATAATATATAAATAATTGTTTAGTGTTAAAATGTATTTAATATAAATTAAATTTTATATAGAATTTTTTTTTAATTGAAATATTTAATTTTGGTGAGTTTAATTAATACTTATATATTTGACAATTAGTTTATGAATAATAAGAATATGTAGTATATATAATTGAAAGTGTTTGGTAAAAAAAAGATAGTATCTCATTTAAATAAGTGAAAAATAAAAAAATTGAGAGTAACTGTGACCATAACACATAAGCACCAATAGTGATTCTTTTTAATATATAGAAGATTTGGTCAACTCAAATAAGTTATAAACATTGAATGTTAATTCAGATAAATAAACAAAATGTAATATTTTGGGGAAATGTTTTCTTTTCCTTGAATTCACAAATTCTCACATGCAATTTTGGTAACTTACAAAGACTTTTTTTGACTTTTGACTGATTCATCCAAAAGCCTAATTTTCAAATATAAAATAACAAATTTCATCCTCAAATGACCTACTCACAATTTACAAGAAAAAAAGAACAAACATGAAAATGCATCGCATTCTCTCGATAGTTTTGGCAATTACACTCGCTTTCTCCGTTGCAGAGGCTTTTCTAGATGAAAAAACTCAACAAATGGTCAACGGAATATGCAAACAGACAACGGATACCAAGTTTTGCAGTAGTGTCTTGCTCAAGAACCTGAATACTCTTCCCGCAAGTAACAAAGATATCATGAACGTGACAGTAAGCGAAGCTGAAAGATTCGCGGCCAACACTTATTTCTTCATCAGCACGCTTCTCAGGAATGCTGGAGACGAGAGGCCTGATCTTCAAGCGTGCGCCGAAGCTTACGCTATTGTGAACTCGGCCTTCACGAATGCTGTATCTTTCTTCAAGCAAGCTTACTACAGTAAGATCGTCAAGATCGAAAAGAAAGTTTCTACGGCTGTTGATATCTGTAAGACAGATTTCAATGTGCCTGGTTATAAGATCAATCCGCTTGTTGAGAGAAACAGACAGACTAAGATCTTAGTATCGATGGAAAAGATTGTTAGTCATATGGTTTCTTCATAATATGATTGTTGTTGAATCATAACATAGTACCAAATGGTTTTACATAAATATTCTAAATTAATAATGGTTTCAGAATCTTCTTAGTTGCAATTTTCTCTATATGCATATATGTTTTTGTTAGTGACGCTGAGGTTGAATTGAATTTGATTAGGATAAACACTTGGGATATAATATTTATCTTTTACTATCAATGCCATTACCTCTTGTTGGTGTTGTGAAGACCGAGTTTTAGAAGCTTCTAAGATCTTTGTTTCAAGGTTGAGAGAGAGTTTGGAGATCATCAAAGTAATAATTGAAGTTCATGATGTGTGAAGCTTGGATTATAAAACTCACTAAGAAAGGGAGAGATTGTTGATGTATTCTTAATGAGTTTTATAATCCAAGCTTCACACATCATGAACTTCAATTATTACTTTGATGATCTCCAAACTCTCTCTCAACCTTGAAACAAAGATCTTAGCAGCTTCTAAAACTCGGTCATGTCAAGATTGTTGATGATGTATTCTTAATGAGTTTTATATCAAGATGAAGAGAAACAGAAAGTGACATTTATAGAAGGCGAAGAGTGAAGATGAAGCTGCTGAAGTAGTCGTTGAACTAGTTCAGAGTACTTCAAGAAGTAGTTCAAGAAAACAGAGCAACGTGAAGCGAGCATATGGAAATTGGTAAAGTCGGTCTATGGCGGTTGGCTGTGGATACTAGAAGCTTGGAGAAGATTCTAGAAGACTGAAGAGTTTCCTTTTCATAGGAGGAAAAGGAGACATGAAGAGAAAGGACAATTTCCTAATCCTTAAAGAAAAAGGAAATTGTCTATTCCTATTAGTGTTAGAATAGGAAATCGGCTTGTTGTATAGCCACGACCTATTTAGTATAAATAGAGTGCTTAGGCTTTAGAAAAGCTCAGCACAAGAGAGAAAGAGAATTCTTAGACATTAAGGTTATGGGGTTTCTTGTGAGAAAGCATAATGCTTAAGGGGGCTAAGGGATTTGTCTTGAGAGAGTTCTTGATCGGGTTATGATCTAAGAACGAGAGATTGAGAGAATAGAAAATAATTTAAGGAAGACCTTGTAAACGTATTTTCTATTAATCAAAAGAGTTTTAAGAAGAAATCCTTGTCTCAGCTTGTGACTCAGTTCCTGACTCAGTTTCTGTCTTATATCGTGAGCTAGTTCTCAAGTACTTAATAGCTCTTGCACTTTCAATTGGTATCAGAGCGGTCACTTGTGAGGATTGCATACAGGTGAGATCTTGTGGAGAAGATGGAGAGCTATCATGGACTTGACATCGGGTCAAGAGTAATATTGAATGATGGAAACTATGGTTTTTGGAAATCAAGGATGAAGGCGGTTATAAGAGGCATTGATGTCTATGCTTGGAAAGCCATATTGGAAAAGTGGGAAGAACCAAAAATCAAGGATGAATCAGGAGCCGAGGTTGCTAAACCGGAGAAGGACTGGACTAATGATGAATTGAAAAAATCAAAGTACAACGCAAAGGCACTCACCGCTATTCACATTAATGTTGGAAGAAACCAGTTCGAACTAATTCAGGGATGTGAAACAGCAAAAGAAGCTTGGGATATCTTGCAAAATCACTTTGAAGGAACCACAAAGGTGAAGAACTCAAGGAAAGACATGTTAGCCTCAAGATTCGAAAATCTGAAGATGGAAGAACGTGATTCAATTTCTGATTTTAGTTCAAAGATAAGTTCTCTAGCTCAAGAAGCATTGACACTTGGAAAGAAGTACAAAGATAAGAAACTAGTCAAGAAGTTTCTACGATGTTTACCTTCAAGATTCATGGCATACAAAACTGCCTTAAGTGTGTCACATAACACGGAAGACCTTAGCTTTGGAGATGTGGTCGGAATGCTTCAAGCTCATGAGATGGAACTAGAGGGTGTGAAGAAAGTGAAAAATCCAAAGGATTTGGCATTAACTTCTCTTGAAAGGAAAACTCAAGAGGCAGAAGAAGATGATCCTAAAAGTTTGTTGTTTCAAAGACTTGATCAACTATTAAGGAAGGTAGAAGAAGAACAAGGACAGAGGAGGTTCAGCTCAAGCAAAAAATATCCAGAAGAAGGTAAAACTATTAAGAAGGTAAATATGCAATGTCATGAGTGCTTAGGGTATGGACACTTCAAATATGAATGTCCTACATTCAAGAAAAAGGATGTAAAGTGCTTTGGGTGCAAAGGTATTGGACATACTCAGCATGAATGTGTTAGTAATCAGAAAATAAGAAAAGAAAAATCAATACAGAGAATAGAAGATGATTCAGAGGAAGAAAGTGATGTTGAAGAAGAAGTAAATCATTTTGTTACACTTTTGGGAAAAGCTGAATTTGAAGGTGGTGAAGAAGTGTTAGGGTCTGAGTCTGAAGAAGAACATGAAGTTGACTTTGCTGAATGTTATAAGGAGGTACGTGAGACACTGATTAAGATTGGACAAGAAAATCAAGCCTTAGTAAAAGAAAAGCGTCGTCTTGACGAACTTGAGGGATAAAACAAAAATCTGTCAAGAAAGTATGAAGGACAAGCTGACTGTTTCTACAAGAGTAGGAAAATCTAACAGAGGTTTGGGATATACTGGACAAAAAAGATCTCAAACAGGGCAAATCAAGTTTGTAGCTGAAAGTGCCTCTCCACCAAATCCAAACAAATATGAAAGTAATGCATCCAAAGGAACTGGATGTTATTTTTGTGGAAAGAATGGGCACATTAAAGCATATTGCTACAGATTCAAAGACAGAATAAGTAGACTCAAACATCAAGGGAAATTTTCCTGGAATGGATTCCGAAGTCAAATATGGGTGAAGAAATCTGATCTGTATCAGATTACATCAGAACATACGTCAGGAAGGATAGGAAGTAAGTCAGGAAAATCAAGAAGTACGTCAAGAAGTGGATATTCTCGCAATATGACTGCAACTGCTACAGAGACTGCAACTGCAACAGAACCTGCAACAGAACCTACAGCAGAACCTGCTTTAAAACCTGCAGCAGAACCTGCATTAAAACCTGCAGCAGAACCTGCATTAAAACTTGCAGCAGAACCTGCATTAAAACCTGCAGCAGAACCTGCATTAAAACTTGCAGCAGAACCTGCATTAGAACCTCCAACTGTATCAGAACTTGCATCAGAAGGCTGCAACGAGGTAGAGAGTTTCAAGTACAAGATGTTATATGAACAATGGCTTAACCTAGTTGAGGAGAATTCAGTGTTAACAAGGGAAAAACTCAAGATGGAGGCAAAGGTGGCTGAAACACAAAAATATGCAATAAAGAAGGAAGAAGAAGCATCACAAGCTAGAGTGCAACTTGAAGAAACTCACAAGAATTTGAGGATGCTTAATAATGGCACTAAGCAGTTGGATCATATTCTAAACATTGGCAAAACTGATCGATATGGTCTTGGATTTAAAGGAAATCTTTCAAAATCAGATACAATGTTTATCTCTGGTGGTTATTAGAGAGAGCTACATCAATGAGGAGAAGAAAGAAGAAGAGAAGATATGATATGCATCATCAAGGACAAAGTATGAAATTTCCGGATTAGTGAAGCAGAAAAACAGTTTCAAGATGCCTAATTCAAGGCAACGTTTGGAGATCTAAAAGTAGTCTGATCGAGCTGAAACTTGGTGGCAAGCTTCGTGGTACTACTGTCTAAAAAATCAACGGTGGGATTGAGTTTTTGACGGTTGGTTTGGGTTTTATTCAACCTATTTTGGACAGAAGTCATATGAACTTTCAGATTTGACCAACTTGACATTTGAAGTAGTTCAGCTGGGATTCATGTGTGTGTCAACCTATGAAAGTGTTTTTAACTTGTGTGTGCTCACAAGCAGGGGGAGAAGAATGTGGCTAAGAGAAGGATGTTGTTTTATGGGGGAGTTTTCATAAGATAGTTTTCCTTGTTCTTTGCTAGAACCCTATGTGGCTTGTGTGTAGCTTTATGGGTCTGCTTTACAGATGCTTGTGAGACACAAAAAGTTAAAAAGGGGGAGATTATTGATGCAGCCAGTTGACACACTCGATGTACCGGTGACAAAGTAACACAAGAAGTGATATAACGAAGCATGATGTTTGATCTCAAATTAAGTATGTGCTTTGGTTCTAAAACTCAATCATCAAGGGGGAGATTGTTGGTGTTGTGAAGACCGAGTTTTAGAAGCTGCTAAGATCTTTGTTTCAAGGTTGAGAGAGAGTTTGGAGATCATCAAAGTAATAATTGAAGTTCATGATGTGTGAAGCTTGGATTATAAAACTCACTAAGAAAGGGAGAGATTGTTGATGTATTCTTAATGAGTTTTATATCAAGATGAAGAGAAACAGAAAGTGACATTTATAGAAGGCGAAGAGTGAAGATGAAGCTGCTGAAGTAGTCGTTGAACTAGTTCAGAGTACTTCAAGAAGTAGTTCAAGAAAACAGAGCAACGTGAAGCGAGCATATGGAAATTGGTAAAGTCGGTCTATGGCGGTTGGCTGTGGATACTAGAAGCTTGGAGAAGATTCTAGAAGACTGAAGAGTTTCCTTTTCATAGGAGGAAAAGGAGACATGAAGAGAAAGGACAATTTCCTAATCCTTAAAGAAAAAGGAAATTGTCTATTCCTATTAGTGTTAGAATAGGAAATCGGCTTGTTGTATAGCCACGACCTATTTAGTATAAATAGAGTGCTTAGGCTTTAGAAAAGCTCAGCACAAGAGAGAAAGAGAATTCTTAGACATTAAGGTTATGGGGTTTCTTGTGAGAAAGCATAATGCTTAAGGGGGCTAAGGGATTTGTCTTGAGAGAGTTCTTGATCGGGTTGTGATCTAAGAACGAGAGATTGAGAGAATAGAAAATAATTTAAGGAAGACCTTGTAAACGTATTTTCTATTAATCAAAAGAGTTTTAAGAAGAAATCCTTGTCTCAGCTTGTGACTCAGTTCCTGACTCAGTTTCTGTCTTATATCGTGAGCTAGTTCTCAAGTACTTAATAGCTCTTGCACTTTCACCTCTTACAAAAAAATTGTATGATCTTATTCTATTTTTGCTTTTATAAATTCTAATGATCGTATTGCAAAATCAGGCGGTCAATAATTTTAATAAATGTCCATAGTGTTTGTCCTTGACAATCAAGTCTAACTAAATCGCATGTGATTCTCCATGTTCTGTATCAAATCTACTATCTCCATCGATTACAGGTACATGAACCGAGATAGTACTAGCAACTCGCAATCAAGAATGAAGAAGAACAACGACTCTGTTTTCAATTCTTTATATATTACACTTGAGTTATTAAACCAGGATTAAACCGTTACCGCCAATTGTAATTGACTTGCACAAACCGAAACCCTCTGTTTCAAGCCACTACTTTACATTTTGGGTCTGTAATAACTTTTTAACCCAAAAAAATAACTTCAAGACTATAATTTGATAAAGGAAATAGGTTATTAGAAAGAAAAAATAATAATGGAAACGCATGAAGATTAAGAATACTGAATATATAGAGATCAAAGGTGATATTTGTTATGTCCATGGGACGAACACACAAATTAACACTCCATCATTTGCCTCAAAATGGGATACAAAATCAAACACTCCGAATATCCAATTTAGTTGCTGTAACTTAGACAACAAGAAATCCCAAAAGGTTCATAGCTCATACTTATATATATGATGAAGAACCAAATCAATGGTTTTAAGGCGATATAGACCTTGTGGAACCATTTCCACTACTTGCGACCGGTAATCTCGATTCGATATCTTCATTACTTTCACTCTTGCCTTTACTACGTTGTTGTTGTTTCACCTTCTCCCTTTCTTCTTCCTTCTCACTCACCTCTCTGTCTTTCCCCCACAATACGCCATAGAGACCAATAACCACAAGTGCTGATCCCATAAACCTAATATACATATATCATATAAATTCATCATCATCATCTCGTTTAAATAGATAGAGAGCTAAAGATGTGAAGAAAGAAACATACGTGCCGGTGTAGAGTTTCTCTTCAAGAAGAGCCCAGCTGAAAATGGCGACTACTACCAGAAGTAAAGGGCTGAAAACAGAGACGTACAGAGGACCTTTCCTCTGCATCGCCCATGACATTAGGCAGAACGCTAACGCAGACGCCACCACTCCCTGCATGATCCGCGCGCGTTTTAAATTAATGTCATATATTTTTACCTTAAGATTTATTTTCTAATGATCATAGTATATGTATATGGACTTACTGCATAAAGGGCGGATATGAAGCGGAGAGGAGAGCTGAGAGACCAATCAGAGAGTTTATGATCGGAGATCAAAGCAATGGCTCCACATTGGATACTTCCCATCAAACACATTAGAAGTGTGCTTGTGTATGGTGCTGCAAATGTTTCACTCATCTTCGTCTGTAATAAAAGAAAAAATACTTATCATAACCAAATGAGAATTTAGTTCAAATTGCTTCTTCTTTCTGGATGAAACTGATATAAGCTACGTATTATTATAGTTAAGCTACCTGGATAATGAACCAAGCGGCCCAAGAAACGGCAGCAGCCATAATAAGAAAAGGTCCCAAGAAGAAGTTAGAATGGGCAGAACTGGAACCCTGTCTTGTGATGTTTTCAGCATAGGCCCAATGAATCTTGGACTCTCCAATGCCAATGGTGTGACCATGGTAAAAGGAGAGAACCATGGCTCCGATCACACATACTAGCGTTCCTATCACTTTGGCTTGTCCTGATGCCTTCTTGATCCCTACGGTTTCTTGTCTGAAAAAAAGAGTTTTGTGTTAAGCAATAAACTATAAACGAGTATTGTTTGATGGAAACTAAATTAATAGTAATTTCATATAACCTGAATATTGCGGCGAGGAGGAACGTGACCGCTGGTAAGAGATTAGTTAAGGCACAAGCAATGGTCGGAGATGAATTCTGAAGTCCTATGAAGTATAGCACTTGGTTTCCAGTCGCACTGCAAAGAAAAATTAAAGTAAATCGCTTTGTTAAAAAAGGTTTAAATAGTTTTAAAACGTGAGATTGCAATTAGTAAAGTGTATGTAATTAAGATACCCAGTAATGGAGCAGAAGAAGACTTGAACAAGAACCCTAAGTGTGATCTTTGGTCTTGTCTTCCTGCACAAGAAACCGTGTATGAAATTTATGTTTTTATTACTCCACTAATCATTATTAATCAAGTAAATCAATATTTAACCTTGAATGTCATCATGAAACTAACCCTAAAACCACCCGGTTAAACCAACCCAATTGAGACTCAAGAAAACATTCAAATTTCACTTCACATATCAGATGAAGAGATCAGAGAGTAAAAAACGTAATCGAAGGAAGCACGTGTCTTGGCAAATTAAGATGGCACGGCACCTGACGACGCTTAACTCACCTGCATCATGATTTGTTTGTCGTCATGTGTTTCGGTTTAAGAAAGAAACGTGACGCGTGGATTGTGTGAGACTGCGTCACATTTCTCATTTGATTCTCTCTCGGAAAACGGAATTAATGATAATGTAATTACTTAGGTTTCCACATACCACCAAAATCATTGACGGTACCATGATTACGAAAAATAACGGTAAATACTAAATAGTAATGCCAATAACCAAAAGTAAAAAATAAGCTAGTGTCTACATTTCAACTAATAATCAGTGTCAATTTACCCCTTTTTTCTTCACATTCTGAAATAATATTATTCATCAAGAAACCTATAAATTACCATTGTATGCGTATTTATATCGTAATCTCCGGACTATAAGACGATGTCGTGCTAAGCTTTTTTTTCTTAATTCTTTTTTTAATGTTTAGTCTTCCAAATGGATATTAATTTGTTACCAAAATTGTAAAAAAGAAAGGAAATTAATGAATTTAAATCTATTCAACCTTTTGTTCAAAAAAAAAAAAATCTATTCAACATATAGTACTGATGAATTAAGTTATTAACATATTTCAAAAAAAATCTTGACCACAAAAGAAGACTTTAATGTAAGTGGTACTTCTTTTTTTTTTTTTTTTTTTTTTTGGGGTCAAATGTAAGTGGTACTTCTATGTCAATAAATTAAAAAGCTTTATTTTTGAAACTTTGGAAAGTAATTAATTTAGGTGACGCCAGAAAGTTCAAAGACGTAAAATCGTTCTACAAAATAGACTCACAAAGCCATTTAGTAAATAAAATGGTTTTTCATTCGTTAATATTTAATATACGCACTCACTCATTTTGACGTTTATGTTGATGAATGATATGATGTCATCGTTTTCTACTTTCGCACTTAAGACGAACTTGAAAACACACTTTAAGATATATAATCAGTTTAACCCAAAAACAATGCTAAAAGAAAAATTTAGTTAATCAAAGTTTAGCATCTCTTGCTGATCTTTGTAAAACATAGACTCACTACCTAAAACCTAATCAATTTAACCCCAAAAAGTAATAGAGACACCCATATAATTTATAACAATGTCATTCAAGAATTAACACAAAATTTCAACATTTCATCGATGCAATTAATTTAATCATGTATTCATGCATGTCCAAAATCGTTAGTATAAATTTTTACCGTTCGAGAAAAAATGCGACCGGAAAAGTGGCGATAGTGGCAAATATCTGGCGATAAGCGACCAGAATGAGAGGCTTCATGCCGGCTTCCATAGCCATCTTCGACGTAATGTTCATGCCTGCGTAGCCGATTTGCACCAATACCATCGCCAAGAACGGCAGCATATCTGATTTAGCCATCTCTCTCTTTTATTCTATTCTTCCAATTTATATGTGTTTAATATCTCTAAAATATGTCTCTCACTATTGCTAATCAATAATAATAGGTCGACAAACCAAGAAAAAAAAGAGAGAGAGAGAGAGAGAGAGGTGGGTTCTCTATATCATTTATTAGTTTTCCCAAATTCTATTCTTTATTTTGGTTCAACCTTATATTTATAGTCGAAGATGTATATATACACATTTATTTTTATATATACACGTATATATATAGAGAGAGAGAAAGAGAGAGATGTTTTGAACAGAAAGGTGAGAAACGGTTCGAGAATGAAGTTTGCTTGTAACACTTGTGCTCTCTTTAGGGCATAAGAACACGAAACAATAGGTGATATGTATCATTTGATATATTTGGCAATTTATTTAACTTTTCTCCTTGCTGATTACTAATACAATCCAAATTGGCGTTTTCTCAAAAAAATCTACCTTATTTTCCTCTTTTTAATCCCTTTTTCTGGTTTCCGTTTTTTCATGGGTTTGGTGGAGCTTGTGAATGTCTTTCTCAAGCTTCAAGCAATCAATTTGCCTTTGCTAAAACTCGTTTCTGCAATATTAAATCATGGGTTTGGTTTATCGCTTGATTAACAATATCGAATTAGTATCATCTTACGTATTTTGAAATGATTTTCATTATATTATTTAGTACTCTTAGTTTTTTGTTCAAACTTTTTTTTTGTGTATAATATGGTAAACTATTTAAATCCCAAGAGCGTTGGACGTTGGGCATGGATTATCAAATATATTAAGTAGCATGCATCTTATGCAATATAAAGATAGCATGCACGAATTAATTCTAAAATTTAATATAGAATAGAATGAAGTACATATATCAATATTATTACATGTTTCAGTTTGAGTACATACTATATATTTTTTATGTACAGACTAGGTAATCCTTTACACAATGAGTTGGACATACTTAATTTTAAAATATCTATGAAAATAGCTGAAATTTATATCATTAAAAGTTGGATATAAAAAGAATGAGTAATTTAAACTCATAACTTCAGAAAATAATTGAGTTTTTAATTCAAATATATTATGAAAATTTATAATTAAATTATAACAAACAATATATATAATTATATATATATATATAATGTTGGGCCACTTATTTGTCTTAAAGGGCCTTACTTGGGCTTAAAGGTCTTTAATTTCCTTAGGTGTACAGTGACAAGCTTGAGCAAGAATGTCTTTTCTTATGAGTCTGCACTCTGCAGTATGCACAATGCACTTAGGTATACCAAACACGTTAATCTTTTTTGTTTGTTGAAATTTGAGAGAGTTAGTGATGCTTCACAGTTTGCTGGATTTTAGAGGTTTTATACGAAATGCTTTTCCAATTGAAGATGACTAACTATGATTAATGCTCCATTAATTTGCATAATTAGTCAAACAAGCTAGCGTTGGCGTCCAAATGATTAATTTCCGTGTCCTCTTCTTAGTTAGTTGGCTTCCAAGTTCCAACGTAAATTTTCGCCGCATATTTTTCGTTGTTACGTACGAAAGGAAAATTCCGTTGTACATTGGTTTTGGATATATACATTGGGATGCATATGCATATTTACGTATGAACGATTAACATTTTAATGCAAATGGATTCATTCTATCATGTTCACTTCGTTGGGGGCTAAATTTTTGAAATTTGATATCTACATTTATTAACTACTAGTATTCTTTTCCCCCGAACTGTTCCATTATGAGTATTACTTTTTTTTTCTAAGAATGTAAATATTCATTAAAAATGAAATGTTTAGGTTTACAATCATAGATTTTAAACCTAAAAATTTTGGTCCCATGACAAAAAAAGATAAAAACATGGAAGCAAAAACAAACATGGAAGCAAAAACAATACTCGTAATACTTGATTATGAGTATTACTTATCACAAGAAAAAAGATTAAAATATCTGCTAGTATTTCTAAAGAACATCAAATCGTAATAACCAAAAAAAAAACGTAATACTAAATTATATAATCTCTTAGGTATTTATATGTGGGAAATTGGATTCGATCTCGATATGCCTAAACCTGAGTTATGTGTATGTCACTGTCAAGCACCAACATACAAAAATTATTATATCCGCACGCACCGCACTTGTTACAATTACCATTAAATAAAGGATCCCTCTTACACACTATAGCTTAAAATAAGAGAAAGAAGGCCCACACACTAAGGCCCACACACTAAGGCTTACCACTATTACAACGCTCTCGATCTTCACTATCTTGATCAAATCTTTACTGACAATGGCTACTGTCTCTCTTCACTCCCACTCTTTCCTCCTTGTTCTCTTTCCGGTCATCCTCATTCTCCGACATAACTTGGCGGTGGCCGGAGGATGTCAGTTGCCGCCGGTGATCTTTAACTTTGGAGATTCCAACTCCGACACGGGTGGACTCGTCGCTGGTCTCGGCTACAGCATTGTTCTTCCTTACGGTCGCTCATTTTTCCGGAGATCCACCGGCCGATTATCTGACGGACGCCTCGTCATCGATTTCCTCTGTAAGTCAACTCTTTTTTAAAATCTAGTTAATAATTAGACGATTGAGATTCAAAGGTAGTGGAATAAAGTCGTAACAACCGTCCGATGAAACGGATGTAAATCTTAATCAACGGCTGATAATCGATGTCGGTGATCGCGTTGCGTGATGCCACAAAACGACACAATTTACTCGTTGAAATGATGAAATCTAATCTAAAGAAAAGTGGGCCCCATTTACCAACATGGGGAGATATCACAATCAAAAGTGGGTCCCCACCTTGTAGATTCGGCGCGTGAATCCACCCGTTAGATTAGATTGCGTGACTAAAGAGTCAAACAGCGCCGTGTAGTAAAATGTTGAGTTTATACAGTTTTGTCCAAATCACATGTTATAAATTGCATAAATATTTTTTGTTAATGAACTTTGTGCAGATTTAAATAATCAAACTAGTGCAACTTCTAATCAAACTTTAAAATTAAATGAATCTAATATTCCATTTTTTTGTGTAATATTGGCAGGCCAGAGTTTGAATACAAGTCTACTGAACCCATACTTAGACTCATTGGTTGGATCAAAATTCCAAAACGGTGCCAATTTCGCAATAGTTGGTTCTTCCACTCTTCCTCGATATGTTCCTTTTGCTCTAAACATTCAGCTTATGCAGTTCCTCCATTTCAAATCCCGAGCACTCGAGCTTGCTTCTACTTCAGGTATCTATCTGATCGTAATTAACTCCATAGTAATCAACTTAGTAATTCACTGAAGGACCCTTACATTTTGCAGATCCTTTGAAAGAGATGCTGATAAGCGATAGCGGATTCAGACACGCGTTGTACATGATCGATATAGGGCAGAATGATATTGCAGATTCATTTTCCAAAGGCCTTTCTTACTCCCGGGTCGTCAAGCTTATTCCAAACGTTATTTCTGAGATCAAAAGTGCCATAAAGGTAAAAACTAGAGTTTGTGGGTCTATTCTGAAAAACATGCTAGAGTACAAAACAATAAGTCTTGATTTTGGGAGAAAGTTGAAATCTTTTGTTAAATTTGTTTTGCAGATATTGTATGATGAAGGAGGGAGGAAATTCTGGGTTCACAACACAGGACCCTTAGGTTGTCTGCCTCAGAAACTGTCAATGGTTCATAGCAAAGCTTTTGATAAGCATGGTTGTCTAGCAAGTTATAACGCAGCTGCAAAACTGTTTAACGAAGGATTGGATCATATGTGTCGGGAGCTGAGGACGGAACTGAAAGAGGCCAACATAGTCTATGTCGACATTTATGCCATCAAGTACGATCTCATCGCAAACTCCAACAATTACGGTAAGCTTTGATGCATATAAGTTAACACCATTACTCCATTAGTGTCTGCTTACCGGTTAAGATGTTATGTCATCATAAATTCTTCATATATATGAGTTCGTTGAGCATTTTTGTGTCCTGATTCAAGCATGATTAGGGATTTTAATCCGGTTTAATTGATTTGTATCAAACCTTAATTAAACTTGCTTAGGTATCTAAAAAATCAAATAATTTGTTTTGTTTCCATGGTTATGGTTTATCTAGAAGACTCTATCGTTTTTGTGCAGCCTTTGAGAAACCCTTAATGGCGTGTTGCGGATACGGAGGGCCTCCTTACAACTACAATGTGAACATAACGTGTGGGAACGGTGGCTTTAAAAGTTGCGAGGAAGGGTCTCGGTTTATAAGCTGGGACGGAATACACTACACCGAGACCGCTAACGCCATTGTAGCCATGAAAGTATTGTCGATGCAATACTCTACGCCACCAACTCCGTTTCATTTCTTCTGCGGCGGCTGACATTGCACATGTTTCTTTTGTTCCAAGTAAGAATTTTTTTTGTTTCAGATTTGGTTTCTTGAACTGATATTGATATAAAAATCGATCACAATTGATTTTCTTAATGGTCTTAAAGTAGTAGACATAACTATTGAACTGAAAAGAGAATGAACAAGACACGATTTTATTGATCTGTAGTGTCGAGAAAAGGGTAATCAGTGTAACCAACGACAGGATCAGAACTATAGAAACTTGGTCTGTCGTACTTATTCAGCGGGGCATCGAGCTCGAATCTTCTAGGTAAATCCGGATTAGCCAAGAACAATCTTCCGTACGCCACAAGATCTGTTCTTCCCTCTGCCACCGCCTTGTTCCCATCTTCTCTTGTATAACCTCCGGCGACAATGAACGCTCCATTAAACGCCTTTCTCATCGGCGTAAGTGAGTCCGTGCACTCGAAAATCTCACTGGCTGTTTTCATTCTAGGCTCAACCATGTGACAGTAGAGTATCTCGAATCTGTTCAGAGACTTTGCCATGTAAAGCCCTAATTTTTGAGGGTCTGAATCTCCTGATTCCATGTAATTAGCGAACGGAGAGAGTCTGATTCCTACGCGATCAGGTCCGATCTCGTTCGACACCGCTTCTATAACTTGTAAAGCGAATCTGCATCGATTCTCTAGAGATCCGCCGAAACTATCGGTTCGATCGTTAACAGAGTCTTTCATAAATTGGTCGAGCAAGTACCCGTGAGCTCCATGGATCTCCACTCCGTCGAAACCTGAGAAAAAATTAAAAAAAGTTGGAACCTTTCATCAATTTCAAAATTTGGGATTGGAAGTGAAAGTTTGGATTTTTACCAGCTTCGATTGCGTTTCTTGCAGCGAGACGAAAATCATTGACAATTGTCGGGATTTCGTCAGTTCTTAGCCTTCTCGGAGGAGTGAACTCATTCGATGGATCCTCGACGAATGGCTTATCTGTAGAAGAGACCGGAGCTTCTCCATTTGGCTGACAATCTACAGATATTCCACACGCTAATTACTCAATCTCGGATTTACACAACTCTATGAACCATTTTTAGCTCGACTCCGATACAACTCATAAGATCAGCAATTTCAAATCTTAAAAGAGAAAACTTTAAAAAGAGTTCCTTATAAACCTCGATGAGAAACGCGACCAGCGTGCCAGAGTTGGCAGATGAAGACGCCGCCGTGAGAGTGAACGGCGTCGACGATGGGCTTCCATGCTTCGATTTGTTCTTTCCTCCATATCCCTGGCATGTTTTGATACCTTTAAGAGAAAAAAGTCAATCAAAAGCAGAAAAAGTCAACTTTTCTTATGAATTGGTTTTAGAAAAGACTTACGCCATGGCGGTTTCGGAAACTCCGGTGGCTTCGCTGATGAGAAGACCTCCCGGAGTTGTTCTTTGAGAGTAATACAAGGCGACGTGAGGTTGTGGAACGTTACCGTATGATCTCATTCTCGCCATCGGCGCCATAACTATTCTGGAATTTAGATTTAGATTGAGTTTTTGATAAGACAGAGAAATTAATGTAATTAACACTGATTAGGAGTGTGGGTGTGTGTGTGGATGATATTTAAGAGAGAACCTGTGAGTAAGATTGAAGTTTTTCATTGAGAATGGAGTGAGAAGGGGAATTGTCTGGTTGGTTGGGCTCTCCATCGATCTTGTCTTCAAGAACTTCAGATTAGATGTTGCCTTTCTGATTTTTCATTACCAGAAACGTGGAACCGAGGAAGTTTTAAAGAGACACGAATAGCTTGGGTGTTAAAAGTCAAGACTCAAGAGTACTCAGTTTCTCTAGTTTTTTATTTGTATACGTAACAAATTAACTTCTAATTGTTTTTATTCGTTGACTCTTTGATTCGTTAGGTCAAAAAAATCTGTATAGAAAAATACAATTGGGCTATAAAATGTTTGTATTCAACCAATCAATGGTTCCTTGTTCATCAAGATTTGTTTTTTTATTTTTAGTTAAATCTCTTTTTGCATTAAGGTTTTCTTTTTGGGTTTTTGTTTTTGTGGTAACTCTTGCTCTCCAAGTTAAAGATTCATCACTCAGAGCTAGTACTCGGAGAATGAAGGCACAGTTACTCCTACGACATCGAACGTATTGCTCAAGCATCCCTCCCACTGCAAATGCTAAAATCACTCATATCTCTCGTATCGGACAGATTCATGAAGCTCGGAAACTTTTTGATTCATGTGACTCGAAATCAGTGTCTTCCTGGAATTCAATGGTTGCTGGGTACTTTGTGAATCGCATGCCCCGAGATGCACAGCTACTGTTCGATGAAATGCCTGAGAGAAACATTATCTCTTGGAATGGGTTGGTGTCCGGGTATATGAAGAACGGGGAGATCTAGGAAAGTGTTCGATTTAATGCCTGAGAGGAATGTTGTCTCATGGCCGGCGTTGGTGAAAGGGTATATGCAGAATGGTAAGGTTGATGTGGCAGAGTCGTTGTTTTGGAAAATGCCTGAGAAGAATAAGGTTTCTTGGACTGTGATGCTTATTGGGTTTATACAAGATCGGCGAATCGATGATGCGTGTAAGCTGTATGATATGATGCCAGTGAGAGATAATATTGCAAGGACAAGTATGATTCATGGATTGTGCAAAGAAGGAAGAGTGGATAAGGCAAGGGAAATTTTTGATGAGATGTCAGAGAGAAGTGTGATTACTTGGACTACAATGGTCACAGGATACGGTCGGAACAATCGTGTGGATGATGCTAGGAAGCTTTTTGATGTGATGCCAGAGAAAACTGAAGTTTAATGGACTTCCATGCTTATGAGCTATGTACAGAATGGACGAATTGAGGATGCTGAAGAACTTTTTGAAGCTATGCCAACGAAGCCAGTTATTGCGTGTAATGATATGATTACCGGGCTTGGACAGAAAGGAGAGATAGCAAAAGCAAGGAGGGTTTTTGATTCAATGAAGGAGAAAAATGATGCAACTTGGCAAATGGTAATCAAATTTCACGAAAGAAACGGTTTTGAATTGGAGGCTCTTGATTTATTTGTTCTGATGCAGAAACAGGGAGTTAGACCGACTTTTCCAACATTGATCAGCGTTCTTTCGGTCTGCGCCAGCTTAGCAAGCCTCCACCATGGTAAACAGGTCCATGCTCAGTTGGTTAGATGTCAAGTTGATGTTGATTTGTATGTTGCGTCTGTTTTGATGACAATGTACATTAAATATGGCGAGCTTGTGAAGTCGAAACTAATATTTGACAGGTTTCCTTGAAAGGGCATTATCATGTGGAATTCAATCGTATCTGGTTATACCTCACACGGTCTAGGAGAGGAAGCTCTAAATATTTTCTATGAGATGCCTTTATCTGGTAGTACTAAGCCTAACGAAGTCACTTTCATTGCAACTCTCTCAGCATGTAGCTATGCTGGGATGGTTGAGGAAGGGCTTAAGCTCTTTGAATCTATGGAATCAGTTTTTGGGGTTAAGCCAATCACCGCGCATTATGCTTGCATGGTAGATATGCTTGGGCGTGCAGGGCAGTTAGATGAGGCAATGGAAATGATTGATAGTATGACTGTTGAACCAGATGCTGCAGTTTGGGGTTCTCTATTGGGAGCGTGCAGAACTCACTCGCAGCTGGATTTGGCAGAATTTTGTGCAAAGAAACTCATAGAGATTGAACGGGAGAATTCTGGGACTTATATCTTGCTCTCCAACATTTATGCATCTCAAGGTAGGTGGGCTGATGTTGCGGAACTGAGAAAACTTATGACGACTAGGTTGGTAAGAAAATCACCAGGTTATAGCTGGACTGAAGTCAAGAACAAAGTGCACGCGTTCACTCATGGGGGATTTGTAGCCATCCCGAGCAGGAATCGCTTTTGAAGATATTGGATGAATTGGATGGGTTATTGAGAGAAGCCGGTATAATCCTGATTGCAGTTATGCATTGCACGATGTAGACGAGGAAGAGAAAGTCAATAGCCTGAACTATCATAGCGAGAGACTCGCGGTAGCTTATGCTCTCTTAAAGCTACCTGAAGGAGTACCCATCCGAGTCATGAAGAACCTTAGAGTTTGTAGGGATTGCCACACAGCGATAAAATAATCTCTAAGGTGAAAGAGAGGGAGATCATTCTAAGAGATGCAAACAGTATCCATCATTTCAGAAACGGAGAGTGTTCCTGTAAAGATTATTGGTGAGATTCAATAACTGCCAAGCAGCATGGTTTTTCATCTTAGCCATCAATCCGCCTTCAATAAGATCGTTGGAGCGTTGGGGAAATGGACTAATTCTCGCAAACCAAATAGGAACTTGCTCAGCCATTGATGAGAGTCCTCTCTGTGTTCTTCTGCTAATTTTTTTTACTCATCTTGTTAATAATGCACACATTTGAAGCAGTTGAAGTGATGATCACTCTTCAAGCAATACTAGAATTACATGGCACAATTTGTTTTTGGTACATAGTTACTAACATTATTTGTTGCTTGTACAGAAACTGAAGAGCTCTTTGTCTTTCGTATACTACAGAGAAAGATTCAAGTCTAAACAAATGTTAGTCTCAGATCCGTCTTGCTTTTCCTTAGAGCCATCATACTCGTTTGATGCTGAAGAGCTCTCATTAGCTGCTTTTTCAATGTTGTTGGTCTCTGCTTTATTCATGAAAATGAAATCTTCTGGTTGAAAAGAAGGGAATCTACGAATCCTTGCTCTTTCTTCTTCCTGTCTCTTATTCTCCATGGAGCTGATGACGTATTTCCGCATTTCCCTTGCGTTTTTAAGTACCGTGTACAACTTCTCCATCTTTTCTTCTTCGTCTTCCTCCTTCTCCATTTTCACCCTCTTTCTGTCTCTATCCATTGAACCACTCTCTTCCTTCCCCTTTGAAAATGTTTCTCTCTAGCTACATCATTTTCATCCTACTTTGATCATCAACACATGATACATCTGGAAGAATTTTCTGCAGGAATTGGTGGAGGAGATATAATTATTGCCTCTAGTGGGAAGACTAACAACATGACCTTATCTAAAAGTCTCTCATACTTTCTTCTTTTCTTTGGGTGGCTTTGGAGAATTTTCAACACTATTATGGACCCCACCATGATGGACATTCATACAGCAACATGTCATACATGTGTACATATGTACAGTCTACAGGGAATGGCTCAGCTTCAAGCTAAACAAACACACATCACAATAACCATACTGAACAATCTGACTTGCACAGATTCAGAGTCACTCTCATTTGTTTGTTGCTGCATCTATGTTTCTCCTTCAGTCATCTGCCCATGGGACACCGTGCTTGGCCCAAAGATAGTATGCCGCAACTGGTCCTCGTCCACCAAATTCATACAACTCCGGAGCTGTGTGGTGCTTGTCTATCTCTTCTAGAACCGGACTCAGAATGTTCCATGCTGCTGCAACCTCATCGCTTCTCATGAACAGATGATTGTCTCCATCAATTACATCATGAATTAGGTGTTCATATGAGTCTGGTACTTCGGCTTTATACCTACAGGTTTGATCCCACAATGCAACTAACCATAAGGCGCAAAAGTTCGATTTTCAAAATGTGTAGGAACAAAGATGAGGATGCAAAACTTGCCTGTCTTTATAGAGCAGGTTAAGTTCAGAAGCGTCTAGCTGGAGACCTAAACCAGGAACCTTGTTGTTGATTTTCACCAGGATGGCCTCATCAGGTTCGTCACGTAGAATAAGCTCATTTGTCCCCAAATCTATGTTTATTCCAATATTTTCTCGGTATAGGTTTCCAGGAACATGCCGGAATTGCACATGAATCTCCACTCTTTCAACATAAAGGCACACCGCACACCAATCAATTGTTATGATAGTTGGATATTTCTGAGTAGGAATAACTATTCTTACCTGTGTTTAATGAGGCCAGTGCCAACTCTTACAAGGAAAGGTACACCATCCCAACGTGCATTATCAATATACAAGGCTGCTGCACAATATGTAGGGTCTACACCGTTTAAGATCACACCGTTCTTGTCTCGGGAACTGGATTTATACTGGCCAAGGATGACATCACGCGGGTTTATTTTACGAATTGATCTTAAAACCTTCACCTGCAGAAGCAGGTTTGTCACCAAGTCACTTGACAGAACAAGAGTACACAACGTAAATCTATATCATAAGACGATTTTGTTCTTTACAGTACAGGTTGACCTTTTCATTTCGGATATCTTCACCATCAAGACTTATTGGAGGTTCCATGGCAAGTAATGCGATTGTCTGAAGTATATGGCTGTGCACTATGTCCCGTATTATTCCATATCCATCAGAATACCTTAACAAAAGCAGTAGGAAATTAGAAAATAACATTACTGATGCCACTTTTTTGTCCAAGAATGCTGAAACAAAACAACAAATGGTACAAAGAACTATTGTGCCTTACTTTTCTGTATGCGCAATTGATTCTGATACAATAACCTGGAAACATCATTTATAGACAAAGTGAATAAACCAGAATGTGGAAGAGGAAAGCCCAGGCACTATACACAAATACAAACAATCAGAAGGAAACACTACCTGTATATTGCGTATGTATGTTCTGTTCCATAGTGGTTCAAAAACTAGATTTGAAAACCTTAACACTGTCAGATTTTCAATGAGGTTTCTTCCTAACATGTGATCTATCCTGCAACGAGCACAGAACTGTGAAGAAAGATGAATTTGGAGAACTGTGCATGCAGAAAGCAACTAGATTTAAAAGAAGGACCTGTAGATTTGCTTCTCTTCAAACTTAGAGAGAAGTGACTTTGTTAACTGATGAGACGAATGTGAGTTAAAACCAAAAGGTTTCTCAACTATTATACGAGTCCAGCCTCTTGGTGCCTGAGCATTATCTCCAATGGTGCATGCCACATCCACCAGAGCTTCTTGAGGTACTGAGAGGTAAAAGATCCTATTTGCTTCTGATTCACCCTGAAGACGAAAAGCTGTTAATGTCTTATTCTATCTTGCCTGTCTGTTCTAAATGTTGTAAACACAGAAAGAGGATTACTTCAGGCACAAAATGTAATAATTGAAAGATCAAAAGAAGTGCTTACGAACCTCAATCTGTTTCATTCTCTCAGCAAGTCGGGACATCCCATCTCTGTTATTATAGCCTCCATTGATATAGTATGTTCTACTAAGAAATGCATCCATCTTGTCCCCGCAATTTTCCCTGAACATTTAGCATCATTCTTTAGCTAGCACGGCATATATCAAAGTTACCAAATTTAAGGTAGTACCAAAAATTATACATACTGATGATCAACGCGGCAAGTCAGAGTTGATGCGATGATGGATCTGAGGTCTTCATCTGTCAGATTCTTTCTTGAAACCCCAAATATAGCAACATCCTGCGACAATGAAGAGTGAAGACCAATCAAGAAGACAACCGAAAAAAACTATCCAACTGCTTTGCTGAGTACTTTGTTCATGAGCACAAAAACCACACCTCAGGAAGGTAGCCACTGTAATACAACGCAAACAATGCCGGAAAAATCTTCCCTCTTGCTAGCTCACCAGTAGCTCCTACAACAGCAATGCAAAGCGAGGCCCCTCTTCGAACATCTGAAAGATCGTCCGAGAATTGTTTTGACACAGGTGGTAAGTCTCCAACTTTGTGAAAACCATCATTCAAATCAGTTCTTAGAATATGCTCTTCTGGTCGTAAATATGCAGCTCTAGTTTCTTCAGCAAAACCTGCATCACATTTGACCTCAGGAAGCGCTAAAGAAGGATCTTTAGGAGATGTAATTGACTCTTTTCTTAAACCTTGTTCATCGCTGAGGAAAGTGTGCTCTGAGCGTGTTTTAAGCTCGTTTACAGGCTGATATTTTCTGTTGTTGCCTCGTCTACGATTCAAGCTCTTAAGTATCCACAGTTTCAACCCACAGAATCTCCGGCAGAGATTCGAGCCTCCTCCGTTGAGCACAAGGCTTCCATTTCTGGAGAAACTATAGTCTCTTGAAGAAACCTACTTACACAAAATAAAGAATTCGAATTTCAACAACTAGAAATCAAGTTAATTTCGAAGATCAATAATACTAAGCTAAGATTTACAGGGCATGGAACACGATTTTGGGATCTCTGGTGTGTGATTTCAGAAAATTCAGCAATAAACCAAGGGGAAATAATTATCTTTGTTTCTCAAAATAATGATCTTTTGATAAAACGAAAGCATGCAAGAAAGGTACAACGAATACATATGCTTACCGGAAAATTCGAAAAAGAGGCGGCGAGGTGGCAAGAGCAGACGGAGGACGACGGAGCCGTCGCTGATTGAGAAAAGGGAAGCAAGCAACTGGAGAGAGACATGAGGATAGTTCCTCAGGGATTATAGCTACTTTGAAGCTGCTTTAAGTGGAAGACGAGTGCAAGTTTAAGTTTTCTGGTTTTGGGTGCAGCTGATTGACGCCTCCATTAATGGTTCCAACTTTCAGATAATCGTCGGGTTCGTTTAAACCGAACCGTACCGGTCGGTTATCGAGGAAAGGGAATTGTATTTGTGGTTTAGGCGGGGGTGGGTAGGTTGACTTTCGACAGCTCAACGTCAACGTCTCTTCTGGTCCCGAGTCGGCGTCAGCGTTGTGTTGATGAGATCATCTTCTGCTCAACTTCATCGATCTTATCGTCTCGAAAGTTGTCACCTTTTTTTCTCAGCTACTCACGGCGGAGAAACACTTTCTGTGATTTAAGTGCTGAGGACGATCACTGTTTGTAATTCGATGGCGAGGAAGAAGATCAGAGAGTATGACTCCAAGAGACTTCTCAAGGAACATTTGAAGCGTCTTGCTAACATTGACCTGCAGATTCGCTCTGCTCAGGTTACTCTCACGAATTCTAGTTTTGTTCTCATCGATCTGCTTTGTGGAAATTCGACAGCACAATTCAACTGGAACTCTTGAATGAATTGTATTTTTCTGATTGTTATCGAGACTAATCTGGGACTTAGAGCTAATGAAAGTGAGAATCTTGGGAAAGATGATTTCACCTCTCTTTTACTGATGATTTGGGACATGGCATGATTACTAGAACGTTAGAGTTAGAACTAGTTAGAACTACTTTCTTTTCTCTAATACAGATGGGTGATTCGTTTATTGTTGTGTACTAATAGGTGACAGAATCTACAGATTTCACTGAGTTGACCAACCAGGAGTCATGGCTATCGTCCACAAAGCTAGTTGTGAAGCCTGATATGCTTTTTGGAAAACGCGGTAAAAGTGGCTTGGTAGCTCTGAAGCTGGATCTTGCTGAAGTTGCAGCTTTTGTCAAAGCCCGCCTCGGTACTGAGGTGACTCATCGCATCCCGAGTTATAGGACAGCTGGTTAAATTGGTTGTGGTATTGATCTTTGTTTTTGCATGTTTTTTATGTATCGCAGGTTGAGATGGAGGGATGTAAAGCCCCTATCACTACATTCATTGTGGAGCCATTTGTGCCTCATGATCAAGAATACTACCTTTCTATAGTATCTGATAGGCTTGGCTGCACTATAAGCTTCTCTGAATGTGGTGGCATTGAGATAGAAGAGAACTGGGACAAAGTACTACCTTTTGGTTCTTTTCTTGTTTTCTGCATTCTATTTCTTGACTCAGTTCTGTTGTTTTTCTCCCTGTCGTTATATAAAAATTCACCTGGAGAACTCGGGTTTCTGGTATCAACAGGTGAAGACTATATTTCTTCCTGCGGAGAAGTCAATGACGCTAGAAGTATGTGCTCCATTGATAGCAACTCTTCCTCTTGAGGTAAGTTTCTGTTCCCTGTGATTATGGAAGCTTCCGAGTAGGCTAGTGACACCGTTTAACTGTTTGTCTTAAGCCTAGATATCTGGTTTTGATGCGCATACATTCTCTATTTCTGTATTCCTATGCGTATTCAAAGATTTGTTACCTTTAATTCTAAGGCTGCTCAGTACTGCATTCTTTTCCAAAGAGATTATCAGTTTAGGTTGTTTCAAACTATGCTAAGCCTGCTCCAACAAGTGCTTTTATCAATTTCAGGTTCGAGCTAAAATTGGAAACTTCATAATGGGTGCGTTTGCTGTATTTCAAGGTATGGATATATGAGATTAGGCCACTTCTTGACTTTCAAGTATTTGTGCATACCAAGAGCTCTGATATGAGATCTCTTGAGGACATTTTCTTATTATCTTTTTTTTTTTTTTTAAGATTTGGATTTCAGTTTTATGGAGATGAATCCTTTTACACTAGTCGATGGAGAGCCATACCCTCTGGATATGAGGGGAGAGTTAGATGACACTGCTGCCTTTAAGAATTTCAACAAGTATGTTTAACATTTCTAAGTTCCCTGGTGAGAGACCCACAATCAATTTTTCCGTGGAAACTCGTTGGATTTATAAGTTTTATTAATGCAGGTGGGGAGACATTGAATTTCCTCTGCCATTTGGAAGGGTCCTCAGTTCGACGGAGAGCTTCATCCATGGTTTAGATGAGAAGGTTTAAGCGGCCGGCTTTTCTAAAAACACCGCTTTTTGTGACTCAAAAAGGAAAGACTTGAAAGTAATGTTACTGACCATACATGCGTGTGTGTGTGTTACCTATTGCAGACAAGTGCTTCTTTGAAGTTCACCGTTTTGAATCCTAAAGGCCGCATTTGGACGATGGTAGCTGGAGGTGGTGCTAGCGTCATATATGCTGATACAGTGAGTTGCAACCCTGAACTTAAGACTGCATTGATGTTATTTAATTAGAGAGCTGGAATTACAAAACTTAGAAAGCTTGCTCCTTGAAATGTGCTAATTGTCATGAATGAATCAACCCAATTATAGATTATAGATTGTAATTTTTGTAAAATCTCATATCCTTGCCATTTCAAAAGACTGGAAAACGTTTTCCTTCAAATGAGGACTCCAAAGAATTTCTCACATTAATTTGTTTGTGTTGTCCTTATCTGCTTTTGACAAGGTTGGGGATTTAGGTTATGCATCAGAGCTCGGGAACTACGCAGAGTATAGTGGAGCACCTAATGAGGAAGAGGTGTTACAATATGCAAGAGTTGTCATTGATGTGAGTCATGGCAAAGAACTTAGCTATTGCCATTCTCTGTTTTTCTCTATAAAAATTTAGAGATTCACAGACCAAATGTTCGGGCTTTCTCAGTGTGCCACTGCTGATCCTGACGGGCGGAAACGAGCTCTTCTAATTGGAGGAGGTATTGCCAATTTCACTGATGTGGCAGCTACTTTCAACGGTATCATTCGAGCGCTAAGAGAAAAGGTGGTTTTTCTCACAACCTTTAGTGAACGAACAAACAGTTGCTACAGTATTTTCAATTTTTGGTGAAGATGAGAGGAATGCTCAAGAATTAAATCGATGCTGGTTATTCATATTGATTTTTTTTGTGTACCATGAGCAGGAAACAAGGTTGAAAGCATCAAGAATGCACATTTACGTTAGGAGAGGAGGACCAAATTACCAGACTGGTTTGGCCAGAATGCGAGCTCTGGGAGAGGAACTTGGTGTCCCTCTAGAGGTAACCAAACTACTTATGGAATATTAGAAGATATGTGACTACACACTCTTACAATCTAAACCTAGGAGAAATGGTGAAGACTCACTCTGTCGAAGAATTTCTCAGAAAAGAGAACCCGGAAATCACCTTTTTTTCACCTCTTGGTTAATGTTAAACATTTGTGTTTAGCTCGAATACTGAACTTCATAAGTATTGATGATTGCAGGTATATGGTCCAGAAGCAACGATGACGGGAATATGCAAACGAGCCATTGACTGCATCATGTTGCCTGATGCATAACCAACCCAAACCTTTGATCTCTTCTTCAGTTTGAAAGCAGAATAAAAGCTTTGTAGCTGGATGAGTGAGTGAGTGTGCGGTGATTCCTGTTCTTCATTTTTTTTTCCACGTAAGAAAATGAAAAGCTCTTTACAAACTTTTTTTCCTGTGGGTGTGAGAATTTGAAAACTGTATCATTGTGTTGTAAGTGTAATTGTAATCAAACGGTCAAAATCCTTATCTGAAATGTACAATAAGACTTCAAAAGTTAATGTCGCTATACACACCAATCTATTATACTAATGTAAGGGTTTCAATATCAATCCAATTCCCATATACAAACATGTCTATGTATATAATATATATCACATGTATATCCCTCTCTATCATCTGTTCATTCATATGCAAAAACCAGGAAAAATGAAAGAAAAATATTCCCAAAAACAAGAACAAGAAAATGCAGAAGAAGCAACAAACTTTCAAAGAACAGAGAATAAGCCGCACGCCCAGCAAAGATCTCTGTTTCTAATGGTTTATCTGATTATTACAGTCTCTTGCTCTGTGATCTTGAAACCGGTGTGCTTCTATCGGTATCCGAGTTTTCCTCTTGCGTTCTGCGCACTCTCCGCTCCTGTAAGTTGAATTCTTGCTTAAGTTTATACAAATTCTGCATACTTTTCTGTCTCATAAAAAAGGTTATAAAGCAACACTAACCTCTCTTGGTATGGGATATTCCTCAGACTCGAGCATACGCACAACTTGGCTCATTTTAGGTCTCTTTTCAGAATCAGGATCAATGCATCTAAGTGCTGTAAGAAGTACTCGTTTCAGTGCTCTAGTCGCTGGCCTAACCGCTATGTTTGGATCAATGACTTCTTCTAATCTCTTAGATCCTACCATCATCTTCAACCACTCAACTAGATTCACCTGCAAAAGAATGTTAATGAGTCTCCAAACTCATCACATTTATCAAATGCATTTATCCCTCCATGCTCTATCTACCTCATTAGCAGGACGGGCGTAATCCACAGGATCTCTTCCGGTTATTGCTTCTAAGACCAAGACACCAAAGCTGTAAACATCACTCTTTCATTCAAAAGTCCGGTATTCGCATACTCAGGAGCAACATACCTGCAATACTCAAAAGAAAAACCACGGCTCAGCAACTCATTTAGGTGTGTTTTCTTTTTCGAAAAACTAAGTTGCTTAATTACCCAAATGTTCCCATCACTCGAGTAGTCACATGACTTTTCCCATCTCCAAGTAACTTGGCAAGGCCAAAATCAGAAATCTTTGCGTTGAATCTATCATCGATCAAGATATTGCTCGACTTGATGTCTCTATGAACTACTTTAGGCTCTATTGCCTCGTGTAGATATGCGAGACTGCACATGAAAAAAATCATTACATTCAGCAGAACATATGTGAAAAAACTAAAAAAAGAAATGTAAATGTTTTGCTCAATTACGCCTTGGATGTGCCAGTGAGAACTTTCATTCGAGCTTCCCAAGTTAGATATCCGTGATGTTTCATTGCTCCGTGAAGCCATTCTTCGAGGTTCCCATTGTTCATATACTCATAAACCAATATCCTAATAGCAACAAACTCACATAAGTTGGTTTAGTTTTCTCTCTAAAAAGACAAAAGATTCAATCTTAATACCTGTTTGTGCCTTCAATGCAGTATCCTAGTAGACGTACCAAGTTCTTGTGACGCACATGACCGATAGCATCAACCTCTACTCTAAACTCTTTCTCAGCTTGTCCCCTACAAAATCAAACTTCAAGACTAATCAATGAAAGAAAACAAGTAAATAAGAGAGAGAACATTTCTCTGAGACCATAACTTACAAGTGGTTAAGGATCTTTTTCACGGCGACATGAGACCCATTGACCAACTCTCCTCGGTATACAATTCCATATCCTCCTTCACCAATCACATTTTCCTTTGAGAATCTGTTTGTTGCTATTTCAAGATCTCTCAGAGTAAACCAATGACCCCATCCAAGGTGTGACTCAGGTAAACCGGAAAGAGGTGATGGTGATGGTGTAGCCATCTCATACAATGATGAAGAAGACCGGTTTGCAACACATAGATAACCTTCTTTGCCTGAACCAGACCGGCTACTACTCAAACCATTCTCTGTCTTCTTCTCCATATCCAAATTAAGCAAGAATTTGTCAGATTCATTGTTGTTTTCGTCCTGAGGGTCGAAGTTACTACTCGTTGAGACATGCTCGATTCTGACTTCCTTGATCTCCTTTGACACCACAGGGGTTTGGATGATGGGAAGACTTAAGGTTTTGGATTTTCTTGATTTCTTTTTCCAAATGAGACAAAATGAAAGAACAGAGAGTATGACAATGATGAACAGCGCAATGGCGATAACGATGGCTTGCCAGGTCTTAAGTCCAGACATTGTTCCTTCCTAATCTGCTTGACACAAAATCATCAAACTATAAGAGATTAAAGTTGATTCAATCAGAAAAGAGAAGTAAATTATAGAAAGGAACTACATGAAAAATGCTCTGTTGGATTGATGATGAAGAGACTCCAAGTTGATTAAGTGGTCCCAGATTATACAAAAAGGACCACTAAGTAGCTAAAAACCGAAGAAAACAAAATGCAGCAATCATTAACATGTTCATTATCTATTGAGAAGATGCATAGGACAAGCAATGATGATAGAAATACAGAGAATAAAGACAGAACAAGTAGAAGACAATTTAATGATTATTACCTCTACGAATGAAGCTTGACAAGAGAAAGACTTCAAAGAAAAAAAAGACAAGAAGTTTTAGATGGAACTGAGGAAACAGAGTTATTTTGTCTTTGAAAGAATGTTGAACTTTTTTTTGTGAAGAAGAACAAGAAATCAAAACTTTTTAAAAAACAAATAAAAGAAAAGGAGAAAACTTGAAAACTTAGGCAGTGAAATCTGGTGGAAGAGAGTAAGAGAAGGAAGAAGAGATGGAGTTATCAAGTGGTAGGTGATGAAATCTTAATTTTTTTTCTTCTTCCTATTAATTGTTCTTTAATATAGGTGGTGTGACAGAGAGAGCTTGCATTGCAAATTACATTTCATAAAAACAGCCTCTACATTTCCGTGAAGAGGATGATGTTTTAACTACCCAAAGTAACTGTCCGATCTTTTATATTACACGGCTATGACGAAAACTTTAAATAAGAAACATTGCGTTATAACTTATAACATTATATCAGAAGAAAGTATTGTTGACGACATTGCGTCAAAGCATTAAAAGGACTAATAAATATCAAATTATTAATATTTATGATATATAAATGTGTAAATGAATCATGAAGTAGTGGGGGATGGCTAAACTCAAATTTTTTTTAATTATTCCATTTTAAATTAGGGAAATTACGATTAACTTAATTTAATTATTTTGTTGTTTTGGAAAATTCCAAAGTACTAGTTGTTTCGGAATGTTGACGTAACATTTTTTTGGCTTTAGCTAAGTCCCCAAAAGCACATCAACATTCAAATTTTTGTTCGGTATATATAATTAGTATTTACATGCTATGCATAATCTATACACAATATCCGAAAAAGAGAGAAGTTATATTCTTCTAGAATAGCTATAGCTTTTGACTTGTGAAGTAATTAAGAAAACAGGTTGCTTAATCTTTGTTCATCTTCTTGAAAGAGAAAGTACAACAAATTGAAAAGCCTTGCATATCGCTAGACCCCGACAAAACCAATATTAATAGTCATTTGGTTCGGTTCAAAACCCGGTTTAAGGAAAACACAAGTATTGGGCTTGAAACTAAGTAGACTCTGAGCCCAATTTAGATTTTGGATTTTAAATTTTAGACCCATTAATTTTCTCCCGCCTTCCCGGTCCACAACTTTTATTCAAATCGAGTCAATCCACATTTCTCTCTCTCTCTCTCTCTCTCTCGGTGACTGTTGCAGTACTGATTTTTGTTCCCTCTAACCTAAAATGGGACAGAGAGGTGAATCTATTGAGTTCCGAAGTTTAAATCGTTAATGGGTTTGCTTTTAAATTTCGATTTCTGTGTTTTTGACATGTAAAGGTTTGTGTTTTGTGGCAGTTGATCTATGGTCTGAGGTCATTAAATCCGAGGAAGAAGACGGAGATATACCCAAGATTGAAGCCGTTTATCAGAGAAGAAAGAAACCTGAGAAATCCTCCGAACCTGTAAATTTGTAATTTTTCTGCTTCTTCTGGCCCAAATTTGAAATGTGTGTGTGGTTATTTTGGCTCTGTATCTGATAATTTCCTTTGGCTCTGTATCTGAGAAATAGAGGATGGTTGGTCAAAGGGGCTCGTACTAGTTCGGTCAATGGACCTAAGAGAGATAGCTGGGCTCGTTCACTTTCCACCAGGTTACATTCTGAGCTTAACCCTAGTTTTGTTCTTCTTCTGATCCTGGTTTTTTGGCTTGTTGCTATAAGAGATCTTGTTTTGTTATGTTCATGTTTCGTCTATCCAATTCTCTTCTTAAGTTATGAAATTACTGCACATTACTTGTTTGTTGAAATGTCAAGGAAAGGCCACCAAATTATTTTAGTAGATTGATGCAACGCTTATAATTTGCTTCTTGACAGAGGGAGAGAGAGTATTGCAGTGCCCGCTTATGTCAACAATCAGCCTCAAAAGAAGCCAGCCAGGAGAAATAAGCCCGCTATCCCAAAGGTAGGCTTAGTTGCATCTTATCTTGTTCAGTGACTTATGTGGTTTTGATTACAAGTTCTCTGAACAAACAAACAATTTCCTGCCTTTGGATTCTCATTGTCTCCTAGGAAATTGTCAAAATGTGTGTTCTTCTTTCTTGAGACTCTAATTTTCTCTTGGGATATGATATAAAATTTGTATCTTTTCAAACTCTCAGGGAAAAGTTGTTAAAGCTCCAGACTTCCAGAAAGAGAAGGAATACTTTCGTGATATTGATGCTTTTGAGCTTCTGGAAGAGAGTCCTTCTCCCAATAAATCTAGTACATGGACCATGGGTGAACAAGTTGTTCCTGAGATGCCACATCTGTCCACAAGATTAGAAAAATGGCTAATTTCGAAGAAGTTAAATCATACCTGTGGTCCTTCGAGCACACTCTCTAAGATACTTGAAAACTCATCCACACACCAGGAGTCAATAAGTGATAATGATGCTTTTGATCCATTGACCCTAAAAACCCCAGACAAGTCTTCTGCTGGCAACACTTCAGTTTTCCGGCTCATCCCCAGCTGTGATGACAGCTTGGCTGCCGAAGATGTGCCTGTTAGAAAAATCAAGATGGAAGCAATCGACCTTGAAGATGAGCTGAAGCGATTGTCTTTGACATCTGATCTAATCCCCACTCATCAAGATTTTGATCAGCCATTTCTTGATCTATTGTCCGCCTGTGGACAGATGCAACCATCAAACTTCATGGAAGCATTCTCTAAATTCTGGTATGGACTTATAGAGATCTTTTATGTTCTAGCCTTGGGTGTTTGTCTAGTGCTTTGGGTGTTATCTGAGGAATGTTGTGCATTTTGTTGACACTTTGGTACACCCTGGTTTAGAAATGCGATGTAGTCGTCTTATCTCATTAAGTTTAACTTGATCCAATTGTAACGATGCTCAAATATTGCAGTGAACCTGAAAGCATTGTCAAGATTGGTGAAGGTACATATGGGGAGGCTTTTCGGGCTGGTTCTAGTGTCTGTAAAATAGTTCCAATTGATGGAGACTTCAGGGTTAATGGGGAAGTACAGAAGGTATTTTTCTTAACACAATTCTATTTTTTCTCCATGATGGTTTGAGACTACAACTTCGGTGAAATGATCATATTAGCGTGAAAGGAATAAATTCTATTTAGAGAAAAATATCATCTCTAGGAAAATGCATTGATGCTTAGGGGAAGGCATGCATATTCTCACACCATATGCAATCTGAATGAGTTATGGTTAATGTTATGCAAATTCTTACAGCATATCAAAGAAATATGAGAAATGACATCTTAGATATGTTCATTTGTTGCAGAGAGCTGACGAACTACACGAGGAAGTGATACTCTCATGGACTCTTAATAAACTAAGAGAATGTGAGACTGAAGCTCAAAATTCTTGCCCGACGTTCATAAAAACTCAAGAGTACGTCTTCTCAGGAATGAGAATAAGCTGGAGATGTCTGTTTGTTCTGTTATAACTCTTCTACCAAACTTATGTGAATCATTGTTCACAAAGCGTTTCTCATAATGTTGTTGCAGTATAAAAGTATGTCAAGGTCCCTATGACCCTATACTGATAAAAGCATGGGAAGAATGGGATGCAAAACATGGCTCTGAGAATGATCACCCAGATTTCCCGGAAAAACAAGTCAGATTCTTTAACTTCATTAAATTCCATAAAGGTCTGTTTATGTAGGATGCTGTATAATCTGTAGAAGCAATATTCATTTTCTTTTGTGGTTGCTTCCAGTGTTATGTCATGTTTGTTCTGGAACATGGTGGCAAAGACCTTGAGAGCTTTGTTCTTTTGAACTTTGGTGAAGCCCGGAGCTTATTGGTTCAGGCAAGTTATAGACTCTATTTGCTGTAACAGAAATTGTGTAAAAATGATATTTCTTTCCGGTTAATGGCATGTGTTCCACATCTAAGGTCACGGCTGGCCTGGCTGTTGCCGAAGCTGGTTTTGAGTTCGAGCACAGAGACCTGCACTGGTAAGCTTAGTGTATAATTTGGTATAGTTTACTACTTACTAGTGTCTCTCGCTTGAACCTCTTGTCTTTTCTTTTCCAGGGGAAACATTCTACTGAGTCGAAATAACTCGAGTACTCTGCCTTTTATTCTCGGGGGGAAACAAGTTTTCATCAAAACTTTTGGAGTGCAGATATCCATAATCGACTTTACTCTTTCAAGAATCAATACAGGTGAGTTTCTGGTTCTCAATACTGTGATATAATGTAAACCATGAGGCCCAATCTAATACTCAACTATCAATTTTCGTGGTGCTAACGTGCTCAGGTGAAAAGATACTCTTTCTGGACCTTACTTCTGATCCATACCTTTTCAAAGGACCAAAAGGAGATAAACAAGTAAGGCAGATTAACTAAGTCCCTTGTTATCTTAACTAACAGCTATGAGAATTGTACAATTAGTTAGGATTAATAATGTTATCATGCAGTCGGAAACTTACAGAAAATGAAAGCGGTTACTGAAGATTACTGGGAAGGAAGGTAAGCGTAGCTTTCCCAAGCCTTCCTTTTAGTTTTCATGCCGTTAATTTGGAAATTTCTGCAGACTAGAGTAGAATAATAAGCCACAACATTATCTTTCTTTCTAAAAAGCATGAGACTATGATATGACCATTGCACAACCAAATTGAAGTGTGCCTAAATCATTTGATAATTTTTTTAATTACCATGTTTGTTTTTTTTTCCTTTCTAACAACAGCTTTGCTCGAACAAATGTTCTCTGGCTAATTTATCTCGTGGACATCTTACTTACCAAGAAGTCATTTGTAAGTTTGCAAGACAAATAGATAATTATTAGTTGCCTTAACTAAAGAACAGCCTATTGATACTCCTTTCGTTTGTGTGTCATGTGTTAGGAACGGTCTTCAAAAGACGAAAGAGAACTACGGTCATTGAAGAAGCGGATGGAGAAGTATGAATCAGCTAAAGAGGCTGTTTTAGATCCTTTCTTCTCAGATATGTTGATGGACCAAATATCATGAAGAATATAATAAACCCCGTAAGTGACTAACTAGAAGCTCTCTCTCTTGTATATATGTTGGCCTAGCCACTAAAATCAACAGTATTAGCTCTTGCTTCATAATATTATCCAAGTCCCCGTTATCTATATATCAATCTTGATTTTCATCTCTTCAAATGAATAGAAGAACTGATATGTTAGTCTTTTCTTGTATGTGACAATAGTTTAATGGTAGCTTTTATCTATAAACATACTTTTGAAACCATGAATTCTTTTAAGAAGAAAGTATCAAGATCTACCAATTCCACATGGGTTGTCCCTACTTGCATGAATAGATCTTCTTATCTCAAGAACAAAGTTGTCACATTTTTATTCTTGTAATGAGCAAAGAACAATATTCAAACGCGTAGATGAGAGATTTGCTTTAAAATTAGGCCAATAAACTAATCCATTTAAACAGCCAACAAAGCTTTATGTTCTCTGCTTTTTCGTTTTTTCAAAATCTTTCCGCTTTGATGATTTCTTTAAATCTTTGTGGGTTTTGCTGAGCTAAGCAAAAGATCATCCATTGTATTAATTAATCTCATGATCTTAATCTGCTGCACCAGTGTCTCTTCTTCCTTTTTCTCCTTTTTGGATAAGAGAAATAAAAATACCAATTTGCAGCTTCTTTCTTGAAAACACTTTGGAGAACTTTATGCATATGCTTGTGTCTGAAACGGATCTGACAAAAATGGGTTTTTCTCTTTCTTTTTTTCTCTGGCTAACATAAGGCAAAAGCTTAAATCTTTGCACACAAAAATATAAAGAAAAGAAAACAGATGAGATTAGTCACAGGCCAAATCCAAAAGACTTCATAGCAAAGCAAACATCTTTTTTCCTACTTTCTTTTTTTCTCACTTAGTCACTTGCATGTAGAGTACAGTCAGCATCTTCTCTCTTTTTCTCCCCCAATTCTCTCTCAAGAGAATCTCTAAGCTTTTGTTCTTCTTACAAATCATGTACTTATAAACCCAAGAAGAATAAAACAAAACCAATCTCAAGCTCTGATGGCGAAACAGAGTTACTCCATCTTTACCTTCTTCTTGTTTCTTTCTCTTCTCTCATCCTGTTCTTCAACAACTACACATCATGATGTGTTAAACCCACCAACGGTCTTTCCTACAAACCCTACAACTACACCGCCGGCTACATTTCCTCCGGTTACCATAACGCCAACAAATCCAGCCACAACAGTTCCTATTGTTCCTCCTGTCACAACTATTCCTCCTCCTACACTCACACCACCGCAAGTCACAACTATTCCTCCTCCTACACTCACACCACCTGTGACAAACCCAGTTACCAACCCAGTTACCAACCCAGTAACCAACCCAGTGACTCAGTATCCTCCAACACAACCCTCAGGGGCGGTTCCAGTTCCTGTTCCTGTGGTTGCACCGCCTGTTGTCTCAAACTCTCCATCGGTTCCAGGTCAAAGCTGGTGCGTGGCAAAGCCTGGAGCCTCTCAAATCTCACTCCAACAGGCTCTTGACTATGCCTGCGGGATCGCGGATTGCTCTCAATTGCAGCAAGGCGGTAACTGTTACTCTCCTATCAGTCTTCAGAATCATGCCTCATTTGCCTTCAATAGCTATTACCAGAAGAACCCTTCTCCACAAAGCTGCGATTTTGGCGGTGTAGCCTCGGTAGTTAACACCAACCCAAGTGAGTGAGAAAATAAACAGAGGATACTCTGTTTCACTTTTTCTTTCTTGTTTTCAGTTAGGAGGCTTTGTTTGACTTTGTTGGATTGTTGTTCCATTACAGGCACTGGTTCTTGCATTTACCAGACAGGTTCATCGACATCAACACCGGTGACAGCAGGAACAACAACACCAACTCCATCAACACAAACAGTAAACCAGCCTCCTGTCACATCAACACCTATAATACCAACAGGAGGCGGAATAATTGGGTAATAAGAGCATTCTCTTCAACTCTTGTCTAGTCTTAAAGCCTCTTCAAAGTTTATTAACTGAAAACGTACCTCTCTATTATTTATATTCAAGGGTTGGAACTCCACCAGCGATCTTCAACCCCGCGAATCCTACATCAAATACACTAAACAATCCATCCACAGGAGGTTTAACGGGTTACGGTTTTGATGGTTCACCAAATGGGAACAATCCAACATCATCAGACTCTACACACTTGAAGATTCACTTTGGTCATGCTATAATGGCAACATTGATTCTTCACGCAGTGCTATTTCATTAGAAGTAGAATATGTAGGAGTCGAAATAGCTTTATGACACACAAGTTGAAGGTCTTTTAGAGCATCTTCCTAGGAAGAAGCTAGGAATGTAAGACATTATAAATTTCATTGGTTCGATGGGATTGCTAAGGCTTCGGATTTGTACAGAATACCTCGGTTGTTTTGTTTTAAATATATCTCTTTAGGACCAAAAGCGGAAACTCAGACATTGTAACAAAGAGGTGTAATATTATTCCTTCATACATTGTAGGATACGGTCTATCTACTTAATATGATCTAAAATGTTTTCATTGCTAATTCAACGCCTAGAAAAGGCAACTAATATCAGCATCGACATGGAGACAACAATCTTGAAACCTGATTTATCCCACAAGTTTTGGTTGCTAGAAAGATCAGCTTCATGCTGTTTTTTTGCAGCCAATTGCTCCTTGAGTTCTTGTATTGCCACATCATTTCGCTCTCCCATCTACGATCCCGTAGAAAAGCAGCTTGATTGGTATTGGATTGAAGAAATTATTATCCCAGGTAAAAAGCAAGTGAGTTTACCTTTTGAAGTTTTCGAGTTTGGATGCGTGTTTCGCGTAAGCAAAATTCCAGCTTCAGCACCTTCTTCTTCAGCTCCTGATCGATTCTTCTTTGATTCTCAACCTGGTCCAGAAGAATAAAGGCTTTATTACGTAAAACCAAAAAGAAATCACAGAGATAAAAGAAGCTAAAGCATGTGTTGTTACCTGATCTTCTAATTCCTTTGTCTTAAACCTCCAATGAGCCGATATAATCTTTAGTTCATCTCTGAGTCTTGCAATTTCATCATCTTTAGCCGTCAAAAGTTTGTTGATTCTTTCAAAATTCTTTGGAGGATCTTCATTTAGCATTTTCCGCACCTCAGAATTCTCCTTTGTCTTGACCACTGATACAGCCCGCATAATGTCAGCTTCAACTTTCAAAACCTCATCTCTTAGCTGCTTCTGTGAAGATTCTCTAGCTTGCAGCTCATTTCGTAGATTCTCTAGCTGCTCACCAAGTCTAGTAACTTGGTCATCATGCTCTTTCAAAGAACCGGTCCTCTCATGCAATTGTTTCGAAAGCACTCTACACTGAGACTGTGCTGATTCAGCTGACAACGCACTTGCCTCTGCAGTTGCATGTGTTGCTGCAAGCTGTGACTTGATATCACCCAATTCCTTCACAAACTGCACAATAGGAAAACAGAAAAGTTGATAAGTTACATCGGTAAAGGACATAAGACCCAAGCAGGTTCAAGATGTAATAGAAGACCAGCAAAATTTAAAGAGACAGACATAAGAAGGCTGATGAGAAACAATGTTATAACAGATCTATGTGTTCAAGCAGAATCAAGCAAAACTAGAAAACTGAACAATTAAGAAATGTGAAGAAACAATCCTAACCTTCTCAGTAGCAACATCCGATGCACGAATCTGCTCAACTTTCTTGTTTAGTTCCTTAGCAAGTTCATGCATTTCATCTTCCATTCTCTTAACTCTTGTTTCTGCCTCCTACTCATATAGAAAACAGCTCATCAAAAGTCTCAAACATCGAAACAAAAAACTAAAACACACAAAAAGTGATAGCTGAGAATATCATGACTCATGAGTGCTTGCTTACCTGCCTAGACATGGCTTCTTTTGAACACGACCGCTCCTGTTCCGCAAGACGAGTCCTCGCTTCTTTCAACTCAGTGGCCAAAGACACCACATTTCTCCTAAAACTCTGCTTCTTCTCACTTAAATCCTTCAACAGAGGATCATCCTCTCTTAGACTAACAGAAGTTGGCATTGTCTGAATTGAAATATCACCGCTCTGTTCTTCAATCTAGACAGATAAATTCTCCAGAAAACCCCAAATTCAAAAACGTAAAAGGAAGCAGCTATTCATGTTCTTCACGTGACCCTGTACATAAACGAATGAAACACATAAATGTCAAATCTCAGGATAATTAAAGAATGTGAAATCATTCAAATATGTCCACAAGAATTAAATCATCTTAATCTTGTTCGTAACAATCAATTTCTTATAAATAACAACCATTAACAACTCTATCAAGGTAGGGAATACGCAAGAGAGACAAAGAAACTTGTGTTGTCCCTTTCACATCAATAAATAAACTTCGATAAAGACGAATACTTTACAAGTATACAGCCAAAAAAACGTGACCTTTTTGAAAAATTTGAAACTCTTACAGAATTTTGATTTTTTTGAATCTTCAAACCCTAAAAATCCGAACTTTCTCGCGACCCACAAGTCTCCATCGAACGGTTGGAAAAATTAGGTTTCTGGGTTTGAGAGGAAGAAGAATCAATTTGCAGATTTGTTCGAGTTCGTGATTTTCTCCAGAGGAGGAAAGTGACAGTGAAAATGAAACTGGAGGATGGGTCCGTATCCGTGAGGTTCGGATGAGAGGTCATTTAAGGTAAGTGACTAAAATGTTTAGCTTCGGCGTTACCGAGTCTAGTGCTTCGGATTTTGTGTCATTTAAAGTAACGAATCCCTAGCTAACCTACGCATCTGGCGCAGTTAGCTAACTTGCTAGGTTTGACTGTAGCGCGGCAAAATCTATTGGTTCAAATTATAGAAAGCCACGTGTGCATAGTTTTTATCGTTGGTGGCCGCACCCGCATATTTAGTTATTCAACGTGTTACATTAATCAATTTTTGTTTTTGCCACAAATCATATCAATAGACATAGAAGTACAAATCATTTTATGTATAAACACGACCACGAAAATACAACGACTTTCAATGCTTTTAGTTTCCACAAAATTATTCAAACGTGTCCTTTTCATATATCTACCAATCTAAATTTAAATTTTATGTTCATATATTAGTCTAAGTACAAAATCAATAGTATAGTTGGTAAGAGTAATTTATAGTTAGTCTTGTTTGTAAAGAGGTGAAAGTAGAAATAAATCTTGTAAATGAGTATATTTCTCCAATTATTTATTTGACACTGCCAAAAAAGTTATAATATTGATTATTACATTTATTTACTTAAACATTACATGTGCTAGTTTACTTGTGTTAATTAGTAACAAAAAAAATCATTGTAAAGTATATAAGTTAATTACCAATGTTGCTCTATATGTTATTTTGTGAGTGTAAAAGTAAATGATCTTTAGAGATATAGTCTAAGAAAACTAGAAAAGCTTATTAAAAAGTTTACATATGTCAAAGTATGAAATCCAAATGAGATTAGTGTTTTGAGAGAACTAAAGATAGTGAATGGTTGATAACAACAACAAAAATATTGAATGGTAATAGTCCATAAAAAACAGAATTATTGAACTGTGATATATCATAGTTTAATCACCATTACTTATTGTTAGATTTGGCTACCATTATTTATTAAGGTAGATTTTGTTGTTATCATTTAAATTTTGTATAAAACTGAAGGTAGTTGTTGCTCAATTTCATAACCTAAGCCAACCGACCAATTATAAATTTCATAGAGATGAACGGCGGAGGAAAGGTGGTTTGCGTCACCGGAGCTTCCGGATACATAGCGTCTTGGATTGTGAAGCTTTTGCTCCTCCGTGGCTACACCGTCAAGGCCACTGTTCGAGACCCAAGTTTGTTTCTCCTTCTCTTTTATTTTTTCCTCTGCTTTCTTCCTTAGAAAATATCTAAATAACATTACTTTTTTGTCTTTGATTATCTCTAGAGGATACAAAGAAAACAAAGCATCTTCTTACACTTGAAGGTGCAGATGAAAGACTAAAATTGTTCAAAGCAGATCTTTTGGAAGAAGGTTCGTTCCAACAAGCTATAGAGGGATGCGATGGTGTCTTCCATATCGCCTCTCCAGTCATATTTACCGCTACAGATCCTCAGGCTCGTTAATAATTTTCCCTTTTTATTATGTCAACAATATGCATGTATCCGGATGGTGACACATCGACTGCACTAGTTATTTAATTTCAATCTAATAATATATTTCATTTTACTATATGTTAATTTTCTTTGTTTGAGGTATTTCAGGCTGAGCTGATTGATCCAGCCGTTAAAGGTACAATGAACGTTTTGAAAACATGCGCGAAAGCTTCCTCGGTAAAGAGGGTCGTTGTAACATCTTCCACAGCAGCTGTTCTTGGTTGTAAGCCACCCTTAGGGCCAAACGACGTGGTGGACGAAACGTTCTTCTCCGATCCAAATTTTTGCTTGGAAATGCAGGTCTTTGAATCATGTTCTGACAAGTAATTAATAAAATTTCATGATCAGTTTTCACATTCTTTCTTACATTTTTCTCTTTTGACTTTCTAGCAATGGTATGCATGTTCGAAGACTTTGGCTGAGGATGCAGCGTGGCGCTTTTCCAAAGAAAATGGGATCGATTTGATCGTAATGAATCCAGGAAACGTAGTCGGACCACTTTTGCAGCCAACTCTTAATTTCTCTATAGAAGTGATTGTGGATCTTTTAAACGGTAAAAATCCTCCCAATAGTTTTTACTACAGGTTTGTGGACGTGAGAGATGTTTCACTTGCTCATATCAAAGCGCTTGAGGTCCCTTCTGCTAATGGAAGATATATCATTGTTGATCCGAACACAACAATTAAAGATATTAAAAAACTTTTGCATGAATTATTTCCTGATTTGTGTCATGTTGTGAAGTGAGTTATCTTTTTTCCTTCATCTTTACCTATACTCATATTGAATCCATAAACAGAACAGCCTTTTTATATTATTGATGAACTTCTATTTTAGGACTGAAGAGAGTGAGATAATGAATGAAATGACATACAAAGTGTGTGTGGAGAAAGTGAAAAGTTTGGGAATTGAGTTCACTCCTATAGAAGAAACCCTCAGAGACACTATTGTTAGCCTTAAGGAGAAGTGTCTCTATAAACCAACAGAGGATCCTAATCATATATAAAGCATATAGCTTTTATTTTCTAATGATGTCTAGTTCTAATTATAATTCGTCTGGAGAATGTCTTAGGCTTTTACAATATAATAAAATATTTAAAATAAAATCTATAAACTAAAGATTAAAAGAAATACTGTATTGTGAACTTCATTTTTTTCAATTTAAAGTTCTAAAAAAGTTGCAGATGGCTATGTGATTTTCAATTTAAACTCTGCTTACAAAGTTTGTTTGTTATCTTCAAAAACTGAAGGGCCAATATCAAACAAGGCCCATATTCTGATGGAGCGGCCCTATTTGACCAAACCACCTACTACTAATCATTATAGTTGCGTTAGAACTTAGAAGAGTTGACTCTTCATTTTAAAACAATTATTTTCAGATACTGAGACAGAGAGGAGATATGAACGGCGGAGGAAAGGTTGTCTGCGTTACCGGAGCTTCCGGATACATAGCGTCTTGGATTGTCAAGCTTTTGCTCCTCCGTGGCTACACTGTCAATGCCACTGTTAGAGACCCAAGTTTGTTCTCAATTCTCACTTTCTTTTATCTATATATTTCATTCTTTTACAAAATATAGAAAAGTATCTTCTAGCCAATCTAGAAAACATTTCCAGAGTAAGCAAATTGAAAAGGAACATTTTTTCTAGAAATTAAAAACATTTATCAAGACTGCAATTTGTAGGGATGATTAAGAGTACCCCAACAAAATCAAATCGGAATCTAGCTGAAAAAAATCTGACGGAATCAAACCAATTATGTCTTTACTTTTTTTGGGTGCGAATAATGTCTTCACTTAAAACACCAAAATACATATCAAATTACCAAATCGAGATTTTTTTTTTTGTACAACCAAATATAAAATTCTTTGGTTAGCATATTTTAACTGTTGTGTTTTGATTTTGGAATGATGATTTTTTTGTACAACCATATGCATTTTTTGACGTATATATGTTGTTATATTTTTCTTTAGCGGACAGGAAGAAAACAGAACATCTTCTTGCACTAGAGGGTGCAAAAGAAAGACTCAAATTGTTCAAAGCAGATCTTTTGGAAGAATCCTCTTTCGAACAAGCTATCCAAGGCTGTGACGCTGTCTTCCATACCGCTTCTCCAGTTCTATTCACCGTCACAGATCCTCAGGTTTGTCAACAGTTTAAACTTTGTTGTGGGAATTGCAATGTATATGTATTCTACTAGTAATTAGCAAAGTCAGTTCTATAATGTTTATCAAAATTTGTTTTGGTTTTTTTTTCCTATCAGACTGAGCTGATTGATCCAGCCTTAAAGGGTACTATTAACGTCCTCAATACATGCAAACAAGTTTCCTCTGTCAAGAGAGTCATTCTGACATCTTCCACGGCTGCGGTTCTCTCTCGTCAGCCTCCTATTGGGCCAAACGACGTGGTGGACGAGTCTTTCTTCTCCGATCCAAGTCTATGCAGGGAGACAAAGGTCCTTATAATTTGTTGTGAACATATCAATTTTTGAGAGTTCGGATTCTTATACTTTTCTTTTTCTTCTTTCAGAATTGGTATTCACTCTCCAAGATTTTGGCAGAGAATGCAGCTTGGCAATTTGCCAAAGACAACGGAATCGACATGGTTGTGTTGAATCCAGGATTTATTTGCGGACCACTCTTGCAACCAACTCTTAATTTTTCGGTAGAGCTAATTGTGGATTTCATCAATGGTAAGAACCTTTTCAATAATAGATACTACAGGTTCGTGGACGTAAGAGATGTCGCCTTAGCTCATATCAAAGCGTTGGAGACTCCTTCAGCCAATGGCAGATACCTCATCGATGGTCCAAGTATGAGTGTAAACGACATTTTAGAGATTCTGCGGGAGCTATTTCCAGATTTATGTATTGCTGATACGTGAGTTCTCTTTCCCTAGCTCTACCCTTACTTATCATCTTATGAAGTCCATAAATCTAATGTAAGATTTTGAAAAACTTCTTTTCATTTTTTTAGGAATGGAGAAAGTGAGATGAATGAAATGATACGCAAAGTGTGTGTGGAGAAAGTGAAGAATTTGGGAGTGGAGTTCACTCCTTTGAAAACAAGCCTTAGAGACACTATTCTTAGCCTCAAGGAGAAATGTCTTTTATGATTCTTTTCGTATATTTTTATTTTGTTAGTATTACTAATTAAAGTGATTTAAGTTATGGACACTTTTGAAATCTAAACACTTTATATATAATATTGTTTAGGCTAAACTTGTCACTAATTAAGGTTTGGATACGTTATATATCGATAAGTGTAATTTATCTTAGATACATCGCCTAAACTAAGCTACCATCACTTGACGCTACGGCAAATATTTGTCATTCATGGTTTTTTGGACCAATTCTAGATGTGATTTGGGTTGATCCTAAAACTGTCCCTACAATTCGATAAATAGGACTATCTTCTGTTTGCGCCGTCCAAACGCTAGGTGATGTCGTCAAGTCAATTGGTACAAGGAATAAACGAGTGGTCATATGACTTTAAGAATTCAAACTCGTCTAATCCAATGGTTATCTCTTCCATGATCAAGGTCGAACCACGTAATCCACCCTTATCCTTAGAAGCTACCATTAAAGGGACAGACAACGTTTAATTTAGTTTCTCAAATTTTCAAAATTAGATATTGTTGCTGTCATCTATTTTAGGTGTTTTAAATCAATGTGGTTTCTTCCTCCCAACAAACACTTCAGATACATTTGAAATTGGTTTTGAGTTCTACTTTTTTTTTTTTTTTTTTGTGAAATCATAAGTTAGAATAACATATGTTATTTATTTTCATAATTAATTTGAGTACTTTTGAATTATTTATCTTTAAAAATACTGAGATACGGATCCAATAAGAGCATGGTGTATAGATATTTAATGGGATGAGATTTTTTTCCCATAATTGTATGCGTGTGTGTGATTTTGTTTTCGTAAGGAAAGAAATAAAACCATTTGACCAAAAAAACAAAAAAAGAAGGAAAGAAATAAAACCACAAATGGTGCAAGGCAGAGATAGTAGACGTTATGTTAATGTAGTAGTGTTGTCACACGTGACTTAAAAGAGATGAGTTTGCGTGTCAAACTAAAAAATGTATGCAACTATAAAAATGGGATTTTTTTTAGAATCAATTATGGATTTGGCATTTTTTGGGATGGCATTTGTGGATTTTGCCCTTTTTTGAATAGTTTATGGATTTTGCCCTTTTTCAGGCTACAGAAATATGATTTAACATGCGTTTTATTCGTTATGTTTGGGTTTAGTCGGTTGTAGTTGTTCTTAGGGTTTAGTATTTTGTATAAACTACGTATTTTTACCAAAAAAAATCCGAAATACGTACATTTTTAAGTGTTAGAAAATGGCATATCCGTAAGATTTTAGTAAAAATGGCAATTTCAAAAGATTTCTATGAAAAATGGCAAAAACAACAATAATCCCTTTTTTTTATCAATTTAATACAGAAGCCTACCAACCACACTAATTCTACTTACCAGATAAAAGTGAAGAGATGGCCGATGGAGGAAAGGTGGTCTGCGTCACCGGAGCTTCCGGATACATAGCATCTTGGATTGTTAAGCTTTTGCTCCTCCGTGGCTACACCGTCAATGCCACCGTTCGAGACCCAAGTTTGTTCCTTCTTTTTTCTTCTTCCTTATGTTTTCTCCTTAGTAATATATATATAAACAATTTCTCTTTGTCATTTGAATTATCAAATATATCTACAGTAGATGCTTTTTAGAGATACAAGTGACAATTTAGAGAAAGAAGTGAAAGACGAATAAAAACTAAAGAAGCATTTATATATCTTATTGAAGTGTAATTTGACATTTTCGCCAGACGATCGAAAGAAAACAGATCACCTTCTTGCACTGGACGGCGCAAAAGAAAGACTCAAATTATTCAAAGCAGATCTTTTAGAAGAAGGTTCTTTCCAACATGCAATTGATGGATGTGATACTGTCTTCCACACTGCTTCACCGGTTGCAATCACTGTCAAAACTGATCCTAAGGTTCGTCAATGATTTCAATTTGTTCGGAACAACACAATCATTAGTAATTTACTTGCTTGATTTACTATTAGAAATCCCACATCTAAAGTTAGAGAAGTCCTAAAATAATACTTAAAAGGACATAAGTCATTAAGTCTACTCATAGCCAATTGATTTTGAGTTAGAAGTCTATGAAACTTAATGTTACTCTGGAATTTGCAGGTTGAGCTGATTGATCCAGCCGTCAAGGGTACTATTAACGTCCTGAGAACTTGCACTAAGGTGTCTTCTGTCAAGAGAGTCATCTTAACATCGTCCATGGCAGCAGTTCTTGCTCCTGAGACCAAGTTGGGACCAAACGATGTAGTAGACGAAACCTTCTTCACTGATCCAAGTTTTGCTGAGGGGAAAAAGGTCTTTGAAATGTTTTTTTGACATATCAATGAGTTCATGACAACTCGCATTATTTCTCACCCTTTTTGTTTTTTCCTTTTCAGCAATGGTATATACTTTCCAAGACTTTGGCCGAAGATGCAGCATGGCAATTCGCCAAGGCCAATCAGATCGACTTGATCGTACTAAATCCAGGACTTGTGATTGGACCAATCTTGCATCCAACTCTTAACTTCTCAGTAGCTGTGATTGTGGAACTTATGAAAGGTAAGAATCCTTTTAATACAAGACATCATAGGTTCGTGGACGTGAGAGATGTTGCTCTAGCTCATGTCAAGGCACTCGAGACTCCTTCAGCCAATGGCAGATATATCATTGATGGTCCGGTTGTGACAATAAAAGACATTGAAAAAGTTTTGCGCGAATTCTTTCCTGATTTGTGCATTGCTGATAGGTGAGAGAGTTTTCTTTTCTTTGATCATTTATTTATAAGTCTTTATCCTGTTTTGATTCTAAAAACGTAACAAAAACGAATTATTTTGATTTATTAATAGGAATGAAGACATTCCTGAGATGAATTCAGTGACTTACAAAGTGTGTCTGGAGAAAGTGAAAAGTTTGGGAATAACTGAGCTCACTCCTACAGAAACAAGCCTTAGAGACACTGTTCTTAGTCTCAAGGAGAAATGTCTTGTGTGATCTTCTTTATTGTTTTGGGTACTTGTTATTCCATGCAATCTATGCATTTCAAAAATTATAATTAAGTCTTACTAGTTATGTTAAAACCAATATAAATCTTATATTTATATATGTCCCCTAGGCCCTAACTAAACTAACATATATCGTTCTGCATACTTAGTATACCGCTTGGTGTTCGGAAAAAACGATCCTTAACTTGGAAAATTAAGTAGAATTCTCTAACTCTTTTGTTTAGAAGAAAAAAAATCCAAAAAAAACTCATTGATATTTTATTCCATCACTTGTTGTAAAGAAGTTAATAGTGAGTCTTGTAATTTGTAAAGAAGTGAAAGTGAGAAAAAAAAATCTTGTAAATGAGTATATACTTCTTTATATATTTGTTTGTAAAGTACCAAATTTCAATCTTTTATATTAATAAGTACCAAATAGTTGTAAAATAATATTGATTCTTACATTTATTTTCTTAAACATCAAAATTTTATTTTATTACAGAAAAGAAATCATTAGATAGTAACTATAAAATCCTAATTTGGTTGTTTTTATAAATGGTTATATTTTTAGCCAAAAAAGTAAAAGAATCTCAAAATTAATTAGATTTATTTATAACCCTATAAGATTACTAAAAAGTGAGACATGTCAAAGTATGAGATGCCAAATGAAGTAAAAAATCTTATACTGTAATTAACTTAAGGTATTGAATCTGAACAGATGTTACGTGATTTTTTCTTTTAATTGTGTTAGGTGTGTGTGTGTGTAAATTGTATATTGTACAACTATATAAAGATGATAGTAGTTGTTAGCTCAAATTTATAACTGGATCTGAAACCAACATCACAAATTAGAGAGAGATGGCTGACGGAGGAAAAATGGTTTGCGTCACCGGAGCTTCTGGTTACGTAGCGTCTTGGATTGTTAAGCTTTTGCTTATCCGTGGCTACACCGTTAGGGCCACCGTTCGAGACCCAAGTTTGTTCCTTCTTTTCTCCTTCTTTTTATCCTTTTTTCTTAATTTTGATAATCAGTATTCAGTAACTAGAAAGTCGTTTTAACTATTGTATGCATTTGTATTTTTGTTGTCTAGGTGATGCAAAGAAAACAGAACATCTTCTTGCACTGGAGGGTGCAAAAGAAAGACTAAAACTGTTCAAAGCAGATCTTTTGGAAGAATCTTCTTTCGAGCAAGCAATTGAAGGATGTGACGCCGTCTTCCACACCGCTTCTCCAGTTTCATTAACTGTGACTGATCATCAGGTTTGTTTTCACGATTATATATATCACTTTGTTTGGAACAAGACAATGCATAGTGATTATTGAGTTTCCTACGTTTCAATTCAAAACCAATTCAAAACCACCCCACTTATATATTATTGTAGATCTTGTCTTACTTCAAGACTTCTAACATTAACTTACCAGCTTAAGTGTTTCCGAGGGTTTGCAGATTGAGCTGATTGATCCGGCCGTAAAGGGAACACTTAACGTCCTTAACACTTGTGCTAAAGTGTCATCTGTTAAGAGGGTCATCGTAACATCGTCCATGGCCGCAGTTCTGTTTCGTGTGCCTCCCTTGGGACCAAACGACTCAGTAGACGAGAGTTGCTTCTCTGATCCAAATTTTTGCACTGAGAATAAGGTTCTCGAATTGTGTTGTGACATAGCAGTAGTGATTGAGTTCATTTTAAAAGTCGCATTCTTGCTTAATTTTTTATATTTGACTTCTCCAGCTTTGGTATGCACTCTCAAAGACTTTGGCCGAGGATGAAGCATGGCGATTCGCAAAGGAAAAAGGGCTTGACTTGGTCGTAATAAATCCAGGACTTGTGCTCGGACCGCTCTTGAAACCAAGTCTTACTTTCTCAGTAAATGTGATTGTGGATCTTATTACAGGTAAGGACAATTTCATTAATAAGAATTTTAGACTGGTCGATGTGAGGGATGTTGCCCTCGCTCATATCAAAGCGTTCGAGACTCCTTCTGCCAACGGTAGATATATCATTGAGGGTCCGGTTGTGACGATAAATGACATTGAGAAGATTTTGCGTGAATTCTTTCCTGACTTGAATCTCGTTAACAAGTAAGTTCAATATTCTTTCATCATTGATTTACAATCAGATACACTCTGAAATACTTGATACGAAAACTTCTTTATGTTTTTATTGAAGGAATGAAGCAAGTGAGATAATTCCAGTGATTTACAAGCTATGTGTTGAGAAAGTGAAGAGTTTGGGAATTGAGTTCACTCCTACAGAAACAACCATTAGAGACACTATTCTTAGTCTCAAAGAGAAATGTCTTGTGTGATGATCATATCTTGTTATATTGCCTTCCTGTAATTTTCAATTTTACTATTGAACTATGCATTTCATGAAATAAAAAGTAAGCTTGCTCTTTATTTTTAAATAGTAGATTTTAATTGGTTAAATTGACATAGGAAATAACAATTTTCAATCTCTATAATGGGTTCATTAACAAAAATCACATCACAACAATTTGGAAAAAAAAAATTGCAAGTTCCAGCAACTAAAACCATCACCAGTCTATGTTACACAGTGTGGCTTTCGTCAGACACAGAAACATATGATTTATGAAAAAAACATTACTTCACAGTTCCAAAGATTCCTACACATAGTAAATAGTAAACGATCCAGAAAAACATGAACAAACAAAAAAAAGAGATAACTTACAATCTACATTGAGATCGAATCAGAATCAGCTTTCTTTCATCAGAAGACGAAATGCTTGAAGTTGTTGTGCCTGAAACTTTAAACATTGATTTCATCTAGAGGCATCAGCTTCTTGCTTAACTTTAGCTAATTGTGTTGCCGGATTCTGTTTCTCTGTGCCTCCATTGTTCTTGGTAGTATTAGTAGTAGTCGTAGTAGTAGTAGTCGTAGTAGTAGTTGCAGAGCTCTCTGTTTCTTTCACAGTACCACCATTTGATGCAGGACTGAGTTTTGGTTTCTGATCAACGGAAGCTTCTTTCAGCTTTGGAACAACCGATCTTGCCTTCTCCTTGGCGTCAAGCATGACAACATGCTCAAGAGCCTCGCGAGCTCTCTTCTTCGCCAAAGCAGCTTCTCTTCCTCTCCGGTCAGCATCACATTTAGCAGCCATAACAGCTTTGTTCATAGAAGAAGCAGCGATCTTAGCGGCGCATAAGAAGGCTTGGGAGAGAGATTTATCGACGGAGCGAGAGCCGTTTGCGTCGACAATAGGGCGGAAGAAGGAGAAAGAAGTAGGGTTCAGGCAAGGAGGACAGAGATAAGAAGAAGGGGGATCTGCATCGCCGGCGCAATGAATGTGAGTCAAGGAGGGGCACTTGGAATTGGAGCAAGCGACGCGGCGAAAAGTATTCGGCGGAGATGAATCGTAGAAGGCGAAGCAAGTTGGACAAAACGACGTCGGATGGTTGCGGAGGAGGCAATGTGTGCAGAAGTAGCGGAGAGATCCACGGAGTTTTACTGTGTGTATCACCCAGGCGTCTAGGCTTCCGCAATCATCACATCTCTCGGTGGAATCCGCCGCTGCATCGGAAGAAGCGGAGGTTGACGTTGCCGTCGTTGACGATGGAAGATTCATAGTGTCTGTCTCTCTGGTCTTTGCGATTTGGGGAAATTAGGGTTTACTCCTCTTTTCAATCGAGGAAGAGGGCATGACGTGGCACTCAAATATCATCTATTTCTTAAACTATGTCGTTTTGATGGCTTTACTTACTTGGGCCGAATGATTGTATCTCTTGAGCCCACTTGAATATCCGCCACCTCCGTTTCTGTTAACTGTGACTCGGATAAGACCAAAGAGACAAATGTGGCTAGATATTCTAGTGGGCTGATGAGTAAGGCCCAATTAAAAATTAAGGTTTAAGAACTGTAACACCTTTCAACCGTTCCGTAATTCTACAGGGGTTGATTCTTGTATTAAACAGTGTCGCATAAGCTTTAAAGAATACGAAACTGTATTAAATTCATCAACCAGTTTGTGATATAGATATATTAATGTCGATTTGGTTTTGTCTCTTCAAATTCACAAAAATCTGAATTGGGTTTGATTTATAGTTGAGATTGATTAGATTTTTGGGACTATCCAAGGAAGTGGGGACGTCTTTGATTAGGACTTTATGAGGATAGGGACACGGCAAAGCGTGTCAACGTGTAGATGTTCATTGTATTTTGCATAATATACGTATATACATTTTACACATACCGATTCTTGTTCAAATATTGTTTCTGGTCACCATTTTGCACCACAAACCAAAAGAAAAGGCATTTCGTGAAAAGGAAACGCATTATTCTCTTCTAAATTGTTCATAGCATATGCCAGATTGTAGCATATGTCACACGTGTGGCGTCTCTTGTGCCCTCAAAAGTTGCCACGTGTCTCCTCGACTTATCTATCACCAATCACCATCGTTGAGAATAATACTGATCATGATCTTCACCAACAAATTTGCCTTTGTGTTGACGTAAAGTGACGTTTTGACGTTTTACATTGTGGAAGGGCCAATTTTCAAAAATAAAATAAAAATGAGCTACGGTTTCTTTTTCCTAAGTTGTTCATGATTATGAGGTAAAAGATTTTGCGTATCTTTAATTCTGTTAAGACTGTAGAGCAAGAGATCAAAAACGTGTTGTTGGCCTATTCCACGGCGGATATATTGAGAATTATACGGGGACAGAGGGTCTTGTCATTTTATTTGATTCTTTGGCTTAACATATAGCAAGCACTTCCATGTTTTTTTTTCCTTTGGTGTTTACTTATTTATTTATTTTTTCGGTTTAAATTTGAAAATAAATTTGTTTATGTCTTTTCTGAATGAGAGAGATAGTGATCATGAAATCAATAATGGTCCATGCAAATCCGAATAGGTACTCAAATTATCCACTTGGAAAGTTTATATAGTATACAACGGGTTGAGTTACGCATCTTAGAATCTAATTTGCATGGCGCTTAATTGACCTTTCATGAAGAAATAGATGCTAAGTTGCTAACGTTGATAAACACAAATACGGCTGATATGTTATAGATGGTTTTATTTCTTTTCTTACATATAGAAAGGAAGAACTTAGATTCAAAGATAAAATGCTCTAAAGTAAGAGTTTGGAACCAGTATATATAACACATATATCCCATGATTAAACAAAATCTCAATTATTAAATCGCAAATTAATGATTGGTTTTCATCAGTTAATAGAACTTGCTGATGAGTGAGTCCCCAAACTTAAGGATGATTAGTAATTTAGTATAGTAAAGAGACTTAAGAAAACTAGTAATGATTAGGAAGTCAAATCTTTAATTATTAAGATAGATAAAGAGAGACAAGGTTGCTCAACAACCCCACTTGGAGTGTGATGCTTTTTTGGCAGTGTTCTTTTATGATAACACATCACACACAACTTTAGTGTATCACAGGCCCATGTCACTTTAAGATAAGATAACATATTCTAGTATGTATATGATTATTTTCATATTTGTATGTGTATTTAATTATTTTGTAGACACACCATGAATTAATTGTAATAATGCAAAGGACCTGTATCATGTAACAGAGACAGACGAAGTGTGCAGAGGTCGGTGAGAAGCAATTTGGTTCAATAATAATAACCATGCCAACTCTCTTCTCTAGGGTCCCTTTTGCTTTAATTTTCTTGTTAAATAACAATATCTTATAAACACAGTTACCTTAACAATTTAGGATTGTATAATACCGTAATTTTTATATAGTACATCTAATTAAACATTTTTTTGTCTACTAATAGCCTAAAACCACTAGTATACAACAAGTATTTGTTTACGATAAAATTTGTCTCGATATTTACAACATGCCCAAAAAAGTAATCAATATTTGTTTAATCATGAAGATCTCTGTGAGCTGGTTATATATTTGCTTATTTGTTAGCAATTATGTATGTGAATGACAATAATATTTTTGATGGTCATACGTATACTTAATATATTGACCATCTACTAAAATAAGTGAATGAACCAGTATTTGATGAACAATACATTCGAGATTATCATTTGTCTTTAATTTGCCATAAATCATCAGTTTATTTTTTCCAAAAAAAAAAACAACATGGTAGAATTGTAAATGTTAATTTGGTGCGTGTTTTAAACAAATTGCTGCACTATAATCATTGCCTTAATTAATTTTTGTTTCTATAACCATACGAATCAATTTCTCTTTAAATGTGTTTATAAATACAGGGAGAAAAGAAAAGAAATTAAAAAATAGAGGAGTAAACAGTACAGCTAATGATTCGAGCGACGTCAAAAGGTTGAATGTTCGAGAGAAGCGTCTCAGAGACTGTGAAAAAAATCAAATCCTCAGTTGCAGTGCCTTGCAACGATTTGGTCCCCTCTCTCTCTCTCCGTCTTGTGCGTCGATTTGTCTCCATCTCCCTCTCTCCGCCTACTTTCTCAAGATTACTCCAATTCGCCGTCTTCTTCTCCTCTGTTCTCGCTTCCTTCTCTGCATTTGGATTGATGTCATTTTAATACTACTTTGAGGATCTCTCTCTCTCTCTATTCGCAGACTTCGATTTCTTCAGTTCTGCTACCCTTTTCTCAGGTCAGCGACGAATGATAGATTTTGATTCAGAGAACAAGATGAAAGTTTTGATCTTTTTGTTTCTGGGTTTAGGGAACAATACGAAAGTTTTGATCTTTTAAGAGATGATTAGTTAGCTTTGAGTACACTATTTTGAATCGTTTTTCAGTGTGATTAAACAATTGGTTTGACTAATAATAATCATGTTGCTATTAAATTAAGTGAAAATCTCTCCTGCTGTTTTATATTGCATATTGATAGAGACATTGATTTCTTTTCTATTTCTTTATTTCCCCAGTTTCTAATTTAGGAACTGAAGTTTTCTAATTTAGGCATTACAAGGTGTACAATTTCTGTTTCTGGCAAGTATTTCTTGGCCTAATTGGTTTATTTTATGAATTCCCTTTTCAGGATCAAGACTCCGTAAAAGATTGTCTCTGTAAAACGCAACACCATGCCTCTGTTTGAGCTTTTCAGGCTCACCCACGCTAAGCTCGAATCTGCTCAAGACAACAACCCTTCTCCGTGAGTCCCATTCACTTGTCTCTCTTTCAGTCTTGTGTCTACGTGCCTAGTTTCATGTTTTTGGTTGTGTTAAAAAACAGACCTGTAGATGAAGTTGTGGAACTAGTGTGGGAAAATGGTCAGATTTCGACTCAGAGTCAGTCAAGTAGATCGAGGAACATTCCTCCACCACAAGCTGATCATCAAGCAAACTCTTCTAGAGCTAGAGAGATTGGAACTGGCTCAAAGGCAACGATGGTGGATGAGATCCCTATGTCAGTGCCATCACTAATGACGGGTTTGAGTCAAGATGATGACTTTGTTCCATGGTTGAATCATCATCCATCCCTCGATGGATATTGTTCTGATTTCTTGCGTGATGTGTCTCCTGTTACTGTCAACGAGCAAGAGAGCGATATGGCGGTAAATCAAACTGTTTTCCCATTGTTTCAGAGAAGAAACGATGGCAATGAATCAGCTCCTGCTGCTTCTTCATCGCAGTGTAACGGTTTCCAATCGCATTCTATGTATGGAAGTGATAGAGCTAGGGATCCTGCTAGCCTACAAGCCAAACCGGATCGATTTACTCAGACGCAGGAACCACTAATCCCTAGTAACAAGCCCAGTTTGGTCAACTTTTCGCATTTCTTACGCCCTGCAACTTTGGCTAAGACTAATAATAACCCACATGGAAGTAAAGAGAAGAGTCCTCAAAGCCCACCGAATGTGTTTCAGACCAGAGTTCTTGGAGCTAAGGACTCTGAAGATAAGGTTCTTAACGAGTCTGTTGCTTCTGCTATGCCCAAGGATAACCAAAAGGCTTGCCTAATTTCAGAGGACTCATGTAGAAAAGACCAAGAGAGTGAAAAGGCAGTTGTGTGTTCTTCTGTTGGCTCGGGTAATAGTCTCGATGGCCCATCCGAAAGTCCTTCACTTTCTTTAAAGAGAAAGCATTCAGATGTTCAAGACATTGACTGTCATAGTGAAGTGAGTTAAACTCATATCAATTGATGCACATCAAAATCTCGTTTTCTCACTGTTTTCTTCATTCTTCTTCTTTAATATTGTTGAGCAGGATGTTGAAGAAGAATCGGGAGATGGACGAAAGGAAGCAGGTCCTTCTCGAACGGGTTTGGGTTCAAAGAGAAGCCGCTCTGCAGAAGTGCATAACCTGTCTGAAAGGGTGAGTGAGTGAAGCCCCTGAAGGGGTTTTTGTCCATTCTCAAACTCAGAAAAGAGTGCTATATTTGGTAGCTTACTGTCCTCAATTTTCAGAGACGGCGTGATAGGATCAACGAGAAGATGCGTGCCCTGCAAGAACTCATTCCAAACTGCAACAAGGTCGGTTTCTTCTCCTTCACAAATACTCATCATGGTTCACTTTTGTTGAAAAGATAAGGAGCAGTGCCAAATAAACTAAAACTTGAATCACATTACTAATGGTTTTGGATTAGTTTCAGTATTTATAAAACCATGAAAACAAATGAAACCATAGTAAACAGGATTGTCCAACTCTTCAAAGCGAGATTTTTCGTATATAATCAGCTTTTCTGTCATTATATGGTTTAAAGGTGGACAAAGCTTCGATGCTAGATGAAGCCATCGAGTATCTCAAGTCACTCCAACTTCAAGTACAGGTAACACTTTCATTACTCCCTAAAACAAAAAAAAATCATGTAAAGTAATAATCTCACACAATCATTATCAGATTATGTCGATGGCGTCTGGTTACTACATGCCACCGGTTATGTTCCCACCTGGTATGGGGCACTACCCGGCTGCAGCTGCTGCAATGGCAATGGGCATGGGAATGCCTTATGCAATGGGCTTGCCTGATTTGAGCCGTGGTGGTTCATCGGTTAACCACGGACCACAGTTCCAAGTCTCGGGGATGCAACAACCAGTGGCGATGGCGATTCCACGTGTCTCTGGTGGTGGTTTCTTTGCAGGGTCTTCAACGATGGAGATGAATAAGAGCGACAATGGTTCGACTAGAGACTTATCGGGTTCTAAAGATCAAACAGCGACGAATAACAACAGTAACTTGAAACCAATAAAGAGAAAACAGGCGTCTTCTGATCAGTTTTGTGGATCGTCATGACATAAAAAGACAAACTTAAGAACTGATGTATTGTTTATCTTGTAGCATTCAAACAAATCAATTCTAAAACCCAAAACTTCAATAAAATTAATTTGTCTTCTCTATAACAACAGTGAAGAGCTTTTTGCTGATTGGTGGTTCAACAGTGCTATCTCTATAAAAAAAATTCAAGTCAAAATGTGTTTAATATGAATTTTGAAATTCGGAACCTGCTGTGGATAAATAATATATGTTGTGAATTTAGAATATCTAATTATTTTTTGTCAAATGCAGAGTAACAGAGTTGTAGCATGAAAACACCAAAATATTGTGTCATGGACCTGTTCTAAAAAAGCGTGATGGGCTTCTCAATCCATTAATGTTGAGAACTTATTGTGTCATTTTCTCTTTGTCCAAAAAAAATTTGTGTCATTTTCTTTGAATTTTTTTTTAATTCTTTTTTTCTTATTTTTTAGGGACTATTGAACTAATATTGAAGCGGATATACCAAATTTTTTGAAAATACAGAATTCTTTTCTTTTAAAATTTACTTTGAAAACATGTGTTGGAAGGTTTAGGTGTATATAAGTAAGTTATATGATACAACACTTGTGTTTGAGCGAATCGCTTAATTAGCGTCGTAAGTAATATTTTATACATAGTAGTATTAGTTAAATATGACGATACATGATTCGTTCAAACATTTTCTTGTCTTTAACAAAAAGAAAGGGAATCGCTGGTTAGGGTTTAGGTCAGGGAGGAGTAGAGCTAAAGAACCAGAGTTGGAAGAGGGGAGCTCATGATTTGTCTCTCTGGAGCTGGAAGCTATATATGTTCATGATGATTGTATCCATCAGAGAAATAACAGGTTGTATATATATGTATCGATCGGGAGTTTTGTCGATGCAGCTACGAAAGTAAAAACTTCTTCATGGATTCTTGTGGATGTTTGTTTTATGTTCACAAAATGTTGTCAGATGCTTATTGCCAGCAGACTTTTATTAATATTAGAATTAATTCAAGGAGATATTCAGTGTGGTGAATCTCGTCTATAATTCCTTCACAAGCATTTTTGAACCAGAAGAGAAATTTTGATGATGATTCTGTCCACGTTTAAATTGATGAGACTTATTAAACTTAACTAATACATACGTAATAAATAAAATATTAAAAAATTTAGTACTGAAAAAGGTTGTCTAGTGGAAAGCACAGAGAAGAACAAAAAAGGGTTTAGACTTCATTTAGATTTTATATCTTCTAATGGAGGTGGGTTTGACAGCTCTAACTAATTACGAAAGACAATGAGTTACGATTCAAGCAGTAGAAAACGGACACCTTGGTTTAGATTGAAACTTGAAAGAGAAGAATATGGTGTTAATGTGGCAAAGCAAAATAAAAGTTAAACATCATTTTGCTTTTGGCTACACTAATATATATATCAAGATTATCTATGATTATGTTTTTTCTTCTCCCCTTTCTTACCAATTAGATTGGGCCATATTAGAGAGAAATTCAACCATACAAGCCCTCTTTTCTCACTTTTAATCAAACTTGAAATATTATTTGCCTTCTTTTCTAAGTTTGATCTTTTTCTCGACCACAAATCACAAAAAAAAAAACAAAAAACAAATCAAATAATGATCAGTTTGGGAAAAGCAAATGAGGCAAGCAATTAGTAGAAATAGTATAAGCACTTGGGTTTAAACTTTTTTCCGTATAATCCAAAAGTATTTTTTTACTAGAAACTACAACAGGCATAAAATAAAGGACTTAATTTAAAAGTATCTAATCATCAAAATAAATAATATCCTACGATCAAACTTAAAAATTAACTCAAATCACAATAACGCATCTAATTAGAAAATCCAATGGATCGAGCCAAATAATCAAGAGTAACAACATCGACCTGAAACTGAATAACTCACTAAAAAATTGACCTTTTAAATAGTTTGTGATAATATAAATTCAAGTTGTAATCGTTGACAAAAAGATCCAAGTTGTTATTAGCTTATAAAGTACATTTTTTTTTAGTCTTCACCATCTTTCAGTTTGGGCATAATATATTCACCAGAAAACAATGCTTTTTTTTTATTAATGAAAGGAAGATTAAGGAGAAACTTAAAAATATAGAAAAAGATAACAGAAAATAATGAAAAGGGACCTTAGTACAAGTGCATGCATGTGCTAATGTTTCCTTGATGATGGGATTAGTGCTAAACGGGCCAATTAAGATGATATACAATTAAGGTCACTTCTCATTGGGCCCTCTCTCTCTTTCTCCGTGACCTCATCCTCTTAATCTAAATGAAATGTACTATACTTTTTTATAAGTCCCTTTCTCATTGTCTATTTAATAAAATTCTTATTAACACAAAAAAGCCGAAAAATCTTCCATCAACATCGTTGCAGAACGTGATTAAAAATTGTGCACTTGCACAAACTTTTATTGGATGCATCTTTTCGTAAGTCAATATAATTGGTGGTTATATCCTCTAATAGCTTAATCTAGATTTTAGTCTACACCTTTTAGTTATAGAAACCTAGTGAACATAGTGAGCAACAAAATACATTGATGTGTAATGTATGTGAATAAAGTTGGAGCCAAGAAAAACAATAATTATTAGGTTTTTCTCCGATCCTTCTTCATTTTTTATGATATCGCTATGGAAGGATCACTTGATTTTTTAACATATGCGGACAAATGTTTTTTAAATAATTTTATTTGGTTCATCAATGATTGGTAAATGAATCAATTTTTAAGTACCGAAACCATAAATTCTAAGCTGCTTATTGGAGTTACAAATCACTTTCATAATCATGTAACATGTAAGAATAGCTCAGAGGTATCATATGTAATTTTTTTTTTTTATCTTAGGTGACAAATCACTAAGTTTTCAAGTTCCTATAACGATCTATTTTCATATAAATTAAGCTTCATCAAGAGAAGCCAGAGAGACAAAAAAAAATAATGCAATGCGGATTACAAGTTCTAATGTGCACAACACCAAGGATTCTAACAGACCCAACTTATTGTGATATATCTTGCCTTCCGATTTTTTCAGCAGTTTCATTTTGGGTTCCAGATGTATTACAAGCTAGTGATGTACTTCGAAACCAAATTAAAGCGCCGTCAAATCATGTATATTATATTCTTGAATTTTGATAAAAATGGGAACCCTAAGAACATAATAGGGCCTAGATTTAAGGAAAGCTCTGTTAATACTATAAGAGACGTGTTAAGTGTACAGCCTCTTCCCCGTTTTGTTTTGTCGGCGAAGATGTTATAATCCTCGTGAGTTGTAACAATGGCGAACGACAACGACCATATGATGTTACCCTTTCTCACTTCTCTATTTAGACAGACTTTCAAATCACCTTAGGGAAAAACGCAATGAAATGACAGTGATGATGCTTAGCTTTAAAATAAAATTAAAAGGAATGATCATTAAGGATTTAGTTGAGAGAACAGCTCATATATATGTTCTATATGTATTTTTGGTTTTAATGGTTACTACAATAATATGTTTCATATATAGCTACAATGTAAAACTTCTATTGGACTGCATGAAGATCACTTCCATGCAAACTATTCACTCATCCCCCACCAAAACTATAGGGTTCGTATTTTTATTTTTTTACAATAAAAAAAAAAAACTAGAAATTTTGGTATATAAATTTGCGGTGATATATACATTCATATGATTTACACATAATTCTCATACAAAATAAAAAAATAAATTACATTTTACAAATGGATACTAGGCTAGCTATAACTAGTTTACCGCCACTACACTCTTTGTCTTATTTTTGATAGTATTTTGGTCTTAACTATTATTGAAAAAATAACATACATAATGCAAAAAATAAAAATTTTGTGGTTTAATTCTCAGGAACGAAAATTATAACTTGTTTAGTTTATATTACTTTTCGTAGATGGAGTTTGCTAGTTACCATAATTTATGTTTGTCAAAAATTACATCAAAACTCTTAAGTTCTAAGAATACAAAAAACAAAAAAAAAAAAAATTAAAGAGTTTAGAGAGAGTTTCAAAAAAATGCAGGAAGAGGTCAAAAAATTTTCTAGAGATATCTAATAACCCACAAAATATGATAACTTGGATTTATACATAAGATAGGTTTTGCAGTGATTATTTTTTTTTCAAAATGAAGAGATTAGTTTGAGAGCTTGGAAACAACAAATATAGATGCATGCTCCTACAAAATCAAAAACAACGCTTAAAAACTTTAAAATGTGATATGGTTTCCATATAATGGAAGGGCTGGCGGCGGATATATGCATGATTGTCTTAAAATCATGATGATGATGATGATGAATTGATGATCAAATGATGGGTCTCAATCATGCATGATCCTAATCGAATATGTTCCATTTTTTAGGGGATACTAATATTATATAGTTGTACGTAGTTAACATAAAATGTTTTCTTTTCTTTTTTTTTTCTTTTCCATGATATACTCCAGAACGTGTTATTTGGTGTTAGTTTATTGCGTATGATTTAAAAGAAACTCGCTGCAATTGTAAAGTCTTTCCATATATTATTCGCGCTTCTCGTAATTAATCATTTGGTGAATTATATAATTGGAAGTATCTTTTGACAGCTTTGGTTCGAGATATTATACAATAAAATCAACTAGCTAGTCCATTTATTTTATTGTGTTTGATAATGAGACATTTCATGTCGGTTTTGTTTATTTTTATAAGAAGAGACATTATTGATCAGCAAGTTTTCTTTTTGAGTTCCTGCATGAACAATGGCATTAAGCAAGATATTCCCTCGTTAATGGCTTCATAATATATATTTTTTGTCAGAATTAAAGGCTTCATAATATTGGGGGTGAAATCAGAAATAAGAAAGATAAAATTGATTTCCGAATTCTAATAATTGATTTTACTACACATATACATACGCGAGTGAAAAATCATGTAGTGATTAATGAAAAAAAAATAGCATATCGATCTGTGGTAAAATATGTTGTCTATTAGCGGAGTTGTAGGAACTTTAATTACATATCTCTTCTCTCAGACTCCGACCAAAACTACTCTGACTCTTTGGTTCGGCCACTTCTGGCCACCACCACCGTCCACCAGTCGCTGAACCACTTGCTAGTTCTACATCTTAATGAAGTCACAAATGAACACAGTCATCAACTTTCCATACCTACACGCATTCTCCTCAAAGCTTGCTCTCTATTTCTTTCAAAATATTGAAAAACATTTTCTTGTTGTTTTTCTATTAAAAATAGACTTCTTTTTTGAATAGTAAAATTCTTACATTATAAAAGAAAAAAGATTAGTAATTTTCATTCATATACGTGTAGTCTTTTTTCCACGATATTTTCAGGATTGGGTCCCAATAAACAAATGGATAAACGGTAAGAGTCTAACGACGAGAGGCCGTCTCTAGATAACGTAAGAAAGCTACAAAAATTCAACATGTGAATATTTGAGGAAAAGTTTGAGTGGATGGACAAAGAATATACCCTCTCTATTATGAATCATTTAAGGCAAAAAAAGGGAGAAAAATGCCAAAGAGAAGTGAGTCAATTTAATTTAAAACGTATAAAGCAAACAAAAGAGACACTTGATTATTCTCATTCATCTGCAAAAGTAACCATATTTTTTAAGCAAAATTTCTAAATTTCGTTATGTAGCCATTTAATTCCATTTAATCATTTCTGGAAACATTAACCAATGATGACAATTTCTTGCTGGTTATAAACCTTTCCCATTATTTCCTTTAATTGATGCGTTCATCTTCACAAATATTTAGTCCTCATTTAGCATTTGCTTTTAATTCATTGCAGTATTCTTTCATGACGACAACAAGCAACTCTTCTTTGTCTTCATCCTTATCTACACATCATCTAATATGTTATTTTAATTGTTCCATTCTCACTACAAAAATAAATTTTCAGCTGCTCTAGTAAATTTTGGTTTTGGTCCGGGTGTCCTATCGTTGTTCGACGGTTCGCTGATTATTTTGGGTTGAAAGAGTTTTAAAATTGATCTTGAAGTCGCTACAAGATTTATATTTTCTTGTTTTTTACTCATTTATACATATATTGAGAATCACTTTAAAAATCAATCACACATCTCAGGCATTAGTATGATGCACTTGGTGATTGATATTCAACTAGAAAATATAAATTACGTAATAGGGCAATGTGTTTCCACATAGTTATGAATATATTTTTTAAGTAGTCATTCCGTCAATAACATTATTGTAAATACTTTTCCATAAACGCATGAAGTCTTATGAAACACATTATTGACTTATTACGTAACATCTTTTTTTCCGTTTTAAAAATGTTTAGACCATATTTATTTTCTTTTTATTATTATTTTTTGTAAACCACGACTTACATGAATCTCAAAAGTAGCATTCCGATTTTTCCATATCATAAGAGAGAAACATCAAAAATTATGGAAAATTCTCTCCAAAAAAAAAAAGGTTAGAAGAGTTACTGAGGTCACGCCGGTTTTGGCTGCGTAGAGTGATTCGTAACATCTTTTAGGACAGGCTGAACATGAATGAGCATGTCTCCACTACTTAGAGTACTCACACTTACCATCATAATTCATAATTTTAACTCTAAAAAATAAATAGTTTTCGGCGATTGATTGAAACTAATAGATGTCGATCATACTTCAATCGCTGCATTTGAACGTATGATCATAATGGGTCCATTTAGAGATGACGAATGTATGATGATTGGAGTGATGTAAAAGGTCAAAAAACTACATGAACTCCATTTCTTAACCTTAACTTTCTTACCATTGGTGCGAACCAATCCGACGTGGACCAATCAAATTGTTTCTTCAAAGCTGAAAAAGAATTACACACTTTTGCATATTTTCTCTCAAAAATTTTAACTTTCAAAAAGAGACAATAGTAGCAAAAGAGAGCATAAAATTCAACAAACCCTTCTGAAGAAAGTGACTTTTCTTAGTTCTATTAATACTCTCTCTCTCTCTGCAGATGTGTTACTTCATTTTCTCTTCCTTTTTTTCATTAGATTCCATTAACCTTCAAAAGTTTTCTAATACATTCTCTCTGCTCAAAACTTTTTTCTTTCAATACTTGTAAAGAAAAAACAGAGCTTTCTTCTTCTCTTTTCATTGTTACCTTTGCACAGCATTGCAGCTGTGAATAACTAAATGGGGAGACATTCTTGCTGTTACAAACAAAAGCTGAGGAAAGGGCTTTGGTCTCCTGAAGAAGATGAGAAGCTTCTTACTCACATCACCAATCACGGCCATGGCTGCTGGAGCTCTGTCCCTAAACTCGCTGGTAACATTTCTTCATCAATTTGAAATAAAGGAAGCTACTTTTTGTAATAACAAATTATGAGTCTTCTTCTACAGGTTTGCAGAGATGTGGGAAGAGTTGTAGACTAAGATGGATCAATTACTTGAGACCTGATTTAAAGAGAGGAGCTTTTTCTCCAGAAGAGGAGAACCTCATCGTCGAGCTTCATGCCGCCCTCGGAAACAGGTAATAATTAGTTATCAACATTCAACAATAATGCTGCCTAAGAAAAAAAAATATATAGAAAACAGAGGATCATGTTTATGTTTTGATCTTCTTTTCTCTGTTTTTGCCTCTGCTCTGTTTTTAACAGAGGATCGGATTATGTGTGTCTGTCTTTAAGCATCCTCTGTTCTCTGTTTATACTCAGATGGTCACAGATTGCGTCAAGGCTTCCGGGTAGAACCGACAACGAGATCAAGAATCTGTGGAACTCAAGCATCAAAAAGAAACTGAAACAAAGAGGCATTGACCCAAACACACACAAACCCATCTCTGAACTTGAGAGCTTTAGCGACAAAGACAAACCAACAACAGGCAACAACAAAATAAGCGGTAACGACCACAAGTCTCCTAGTTCCTCTTCTGCGACTAACCAAGACTTCTTCATAGAAAGGCCATCTGAATTCTCCGACTACTTCGGATTTCAGAAGCTTAACTTCAACTCCAATCTCGGACTCTCTGTGACAACTGATACTTCACTCTGCTCAATAATTCCACCGCAGTTTAGCTCCGGAAACATGGTTGGTTCTGTCTTTCAGACACCAGTATGCGTAAAGCCCTCAATTAGTCTTCCTCCTGACAACAACAGTTCAAGTCCGGTCGGAGATCATGTGAAATTGGCTGCACCAAACTGGGAATTTCAGACAAACAACAACACCTCAAATTTCTTCGACAATGGCGGATTCTCATGGTCAATCCCAAATTCTTCTACTTCTTCTTCACAAGTCAAAGCAAATCATAACTTGGAAGAAATAAAATGGTCAGAGTATTTGAACACACCGTTCTTCATAGGGAACACTGTACAGAGTCAAAGCTCTCAACCAATCTACATTAAATCAGAGACAGATTACTTAGCCAACGTTTCAAACATGACAGATCCTTGGAGCCAAACCCAAAACGAGAACACAGCTGAAACTAGTGACGTGTTCTCCAAGGATCTTCAGAGAATGGCCGTCTCATTTGGTCAGTCCCTTTAGTTTTTTTTTCTTAATTTTAACAGATGTAGAGAACATAAAGATATACAAATACATACAAATACGTACAGTGGATTTAAGTGTTCTGTATATTTCATGGGTAAAAAAAAAGGGAGCTGTCTTTATTTTTATGTTTATTTTTGAAGTGTGTTTTATACGTCAAATATTCTTCTTTCTTTTGCAAAAACATTCAGTATCATACTACTATATACTTTTGTTTTGTTATAAAGATTTATGTATAGTATTTTTGATGATTCATCAGAGAGGTCTGTGTTTGCCATTAATCTGTTGAAGAACAATGATGAACGTAATAAATCTGTTTCTGTCTGTTTCCGTGAACGAATTGTGATCTATAGTCACATCCTTCACCATTTTTCAGACCTGTAATTAATTAAACGACAAAAGAAAACATCAAATTAAAGCAAAAAATAATAATAAACTCAAGTGGGGATTAGCTCAACTAATTAGAAAGGACACTTTCTTTTTTTTTTCAAAAGGACCCAAATTTAAATATGTTTTTAAGAAAATGATTTACGTATTCTGAAATCATTGTTTTTTTTTGGCTATTGAATACCCTAAATTTCTGGTTATTATAATTTTTTATATATACAAACTGTGTCTTTTTGTTTAGTCTTCTTGTCTGTCTGTGCTTTTTTAATAAGAGTCTTATCAGAGGATTGGAATTGTCCCCATTGACCAGAAACTTATGTTTTTTTGGCCGGCGTCGGAATATTCTTTTGCAGTAGAAAATTCCTAATAGCTCGAGGATTTGACCATAATAAAATGACGGAAGTGATGGGATGGTTTTCAATTTTATTATCCTTAAGTCAATTGATTTACTTTATAACACTAGTTTTTTTTTAATATTCCAATCCAAAACAAACACTTTTTACTTATTAGAAATAACCTAACGCAATAACTCGACCGGTAAGTAAAAAAAGTGTTGTTTGACTCTAAATTCAAAGACGATAGCAAAAAAATAGTTTAATTTTCAACATAAAATGTAATGGAGAAATATTTGGAACTTTTTGGCATAAAATCAAAAAAGAGAAATCAATTTGCTCAAATAAAATGTTAAAGGTATTATAATATGCATTTGCGTTATAATAAAGTTTAGTGGAACGCGAGAGTGCATGTGAACGAATAATTGGTGCTACAATATTAAACCAATCATTGTGTTAGCTTTGATTGGCGTATGTAATAAGGATGATTAACAGAAACACTTGTCACGGTTTGTTAGTAATTAGAAAAGAAGAAGATATATCAATACAATAAAAATAATAAGAGTCTCTCCATACCTGACACCTCAGCTTTTTCATGCATTCTGGAGCTGACACATCAGTTAAATGACTTCACCAATCAAAATATAACAAATAATACAGCTCAGCTAAAAATTGGCCAAGCTGGACACATTGTTCTCTTCTCTCCGATGATACACTCATTTTATCTTCATCTTTGTAGACACAATTCTAAATTCTTCACAAAGTAGCGAAACTGTTTCTCTCCTCCGCATCTTCTTCCATATCTGTGACGAGATACTTGTGAGAATCATCACCGTATTAATGATTTCTCTTTATCTCCGGTGAGTTTTGGTGGGTTTGGTCTGAAAAAGAGTTTCTCTTGTCTGGAGCATAAGAGATAAAAGCCTCTTAGAAGTGAATTCCATGGAAAACAGATCGTTTTCGGTTATGCTCCAGACGAGAGCTTCAAAAGGAGCTTACGATCATCAGCCATCACATCTCAGGTAAATTTGATTTCTTGTGTTTTCATTTTTGTTTGTCCCAAAATTTCATTATCCTATCGTCCTTCAAAGAGAGATTCGGATTCGACGAATACGTGAATCGATTAGATGTGATTGGAATCGACAAAGCTCAATTCTTCGGAGATCTATACGAATTTTGCCGTCAAGCTGCTGATAAAGAGGATAAAACTGTAATTGTTGCTGGATTGGATGGTGATTTTAAGCGGAGGAGGTTTGGTTCGGTGCTTGATTTGATTCCGATTGCGGATACGGTTACGAAGCTGATGTCACGGTGTGAGGTTTGTGGGAAGAGAGCATTGTTGACGATGAGGAAGACGGAGGAGAAAGAGACGGAGTTGATCGGTGGAGCTGAAGTCTATATGCCTGTGTGTCGGAGTCATTATGTTTGTGTTCAAAGCGTTTTGGAAACCGCTCGTGCCGTTTTGGATTCTTCAAGCAATAAGCATGATGTTGTAGCAAGTTTGCTTTAATGAGAGTTTGTAGGATTTGTGATAGTCGTTTAGATATATTTGGTTTCTTAGCTTTGAGATTGGAATTTTAAACATAATTATGTACTATTTAATCAATGATTTTAAGAATTGATGCGCAATTTAGCTCTCAATAGTTACATGTGAGAGCTAATTAGAAAGATCTTGATTTTTTAGTGAATTATGGCTTGATGAGAAGATTTTGGTTTAGGGTTATTGAGTTTTTTGGATCTGTGAAAATATGAGTCTTAAAATGTGTAAATTTGCAGACAACGCCGAGGATTGGAACAGCTCAGAAAGTGGTGGAAGAAAGGTCTGAATTAAAGAAAACATGAGAGAGATCTTTTCAGCTCAAGAACTCGTTGACTCTCTCACCAACGCTGGTGATAAGCTTGTTGTTGTTGATTTCTTCTCACCTGGTTGTCGCTGCAAGGCTCTCCACCCTAAGGTATCAAAAGGTTCGAAACACATTATGTTACCGACAATTTTAGCTGTGTACAAGATCAATCCATCGCCATGGAAGAAGATCTTGTCAGATAAAAACGAAGTGTCTCGGTCCTTTAACAAAACTCATCATCATAGAAGAAGATCTTGTCGGATAAAAACGAAGTGTCTCGGTCCTTTCACAAAACCCATCATCATGTTCGATCATCTGTCTCATTTTGTAATGTAATAAGCATAATTGGGAAAGATAAAGATCATGAGCAGATTTGCATCCATAAATGAAGCAGCTTGATGTTACAAGCTTCAAGATCAGCCCTCTCCCTCCTTTTGTGTCTTACACATTACATGTGTTTGAGTCTCATCAAGTGGATCCTTTGTTGGCACCTTATGATCCAACGAAGAATTACATGTCAACAAGGCCCCAATTTCATTTCAATTATAAGCAAAATCCAAAAATTTAGCGTTATTTTAATGAGTGTAGGCATCTTGATGAGGGTTTGTTTGTCCTCTTAAAACGTTTCTGCTCATTATGAATTATTCATCTTATGTTTTCGGTGGATCACTAAGTTTCAATATGCAATATGTAAGGCTACTGAGATTTGGTGTTATTCATTCTTATAATTTGAAATATGAATTTAGTATTTTTTGTTGTTTATTATATATTTTTGTGCTATGATGGTTACTGTGCACTGACTTAATTGGACCGTGGAGCGATAAAATATAAATTGAGTGAAAGGACCAATGAGAATAGCATAACTGATTTGAAATGGTTATGTGTTAAATATTACATCAAATTTAAATATACACAAACTATTGATTAAGTATTGACTTTTAAAAATTAAATTGATTTTTTTTTGTCTAAATAAGAATTAAGCACAATTTAGAAAAATACCCCGCAGCGTAGCGCGGGTTTTAAACCTAGTTGTGCCTAAAGAAATTGGGGAAAAAAATAGAGAATGTCGTGGAATATTTGCCTTTTTAAAAAAATCTCCTATGATTTGTTCACTTCATATCTATCTTATATATTTGACATCGAAAATGTACTTTTATAGTTATACAACGACATTCAGACATTCGAAAAATGTGATGTCAGTAGTCACGATGCTGATAGAATTAGACAAGTAGCATTTTTTATTTTTGGAGAGTGAAACTTCAGAGGTTTTAGTTTTAAACATCTCTTCTGCGTAACGAATTGGAGAAAATACTTTGGATGTTTTATGACAATATGATTGATTGATAAGGACAATGATACAAATACATGTATATTCCTTCTCTGCTTTGTATTGAAACCTAAATTTTAGTTGATGGGAATATAATGAAGTAAGAAAAACATTTCATAATGACGTTTCTTGTTAATATCACAAGTATACTCATAGTCTATGAGCTTTTCTTTTTTATTCTTTCGAAATACCAATCTCCAACAGCCACAGCAATCCCCTGTTTTTGTTTTACCAACAACAAAGGCACAAACATTTATTTATGTATGTAATCATATGACCACTGATGATCAGTTGTAAAATTATGAGTGCTTTTTTTCTCACCTTAACTTTACCCGCACCAGAGTTTCCAGGAAACCAAGTATCTTGTCTCTCCGCTTGACAATGAGCCCATCCAGAGGTTATTAACACTCCGTTCTTGCTAAACTTCGAAAACGTCTTCACCGCATTTAACATGCTCATCTTGAAACCTGAAACTCGGATTTCCAAAGCAAGAAAAAACAATCTTGATCATGATCAGATTTGTAATTAGATCAAAGAGTGGTAGGTTTCATGAAAACATATCATTGTTACCTTCCAAGAACTGCTTCTGAGAGGCAGTGCACCTGAAGCTGGAGCTGCAGTTACGCCAACTACCATTTGGATCAGCAGATGGTGGAGCTAAACTATTTCCAATCTGCAAAGAAACGTACAAGATAGCTCAAGACACAACTCATCAAAAACAAGAATCCGAAGATAGATATGGAATAATAAATAACCTGCCACGAATCAAATCCCGAGTTGAGAATAAACAACGGAGTCTTGACTTGGTTGATTATGTATTGAGGGAAAAAACACTGAGGGATGTTGAAACTAAGTTAAGTAAACGAGGAACTATAGCATCATTATAATTAACAGAAACACAAAGATCATATGTATACCAAAGTTGGTTTAATATGGCTTGTACAAGTGGGAGGAAGCGTATTTTGCAAACCCTAAAAAGTTATAAGAACAATCCTTGGTTAGCTTTCAACGATCTCTATATATATAACATCATCATCATCAAGACATGATCATAACATTATACCTGAGTGTTCACGACACCAGAATACATACGCCTTAAAGAATGACCTCCAGATACATCAACGCTTATTCATTTACAAAACAGACACCAACCAGTTTCAATATACTAATTAATTTCCATCATTTGTTGTTTGAAAAATAAACAAAAATTTACTCACGCGTCGAGGAAGAAGCCAGCATCGCTCATGCATTTTACTTTGGTGGTAGGAGGAAACAAATTACTGAAATCATCGCATCGTAAAATCACTGAAAGACCCCCGGCAGAACATCCGTTGAGCAAAGCCTTAACGGTAATATTATTATTGTACATTAACATTAACTTATAATTAACTTGGGAACAAAGATTCAAATGCAAAGCAATATTATATGAAATGTTTGTACCTGTTTTGCCTGACGCATTCCCTTTGCCATCAAATCTTCCATGACAGCTAAAAATATACGCTTTCCTCTAAACTGAAGTTGCGCCGCCTAATTGTAAGCAATCATATGAATTAATCTCAAGTTAATTACTATAGAAATATACAAAGATCAGTCATATATAGTAGACAATCAATCTTTATGGTTTTAATTAGCGCGCTAACCTTGTTTTCGCTATCACCACCAAAGGATGCACCATCACAATACCGGACTTTTACTTTGTTCCAATTGTAAAAGTCTGACATTGATTTGTAACAAAAGAAGAGAGAATATTTCAGCAAATTATAAAACATTTCTGTTTTTCAATAAGGGATCTTGAGAAAAACCTGGATTTTCAGCGGCTTTATTGCTTAGTAATCCTAAAAACGCCAACTCTTTCTCCATTAAGGTAGATGATCCATAACCACTCCTTTTACGGTTCTGACAATTTTGTATGCTGTCACACCATGCACCTCCCTTTCAACAAAATTAATTAGCCTTATTTCTGATTATGGCAATAAGTATCTCTGTAGTCTATATACAATAGATATGTCTTAAGTAAGAACCTGCAACTGAATGATCCAGTTGTTTGCTCCTGAACCATACCCGCGATACAAATGATATCCAGGCACTGACCCATCCAGACACACTGCCACAAAAATTTAATAATTTATCCTTGGCGTCATGAAAATGTCAATCAAGAACCTTGTAATAATGATGAAAAATAACAACGGTACAAACGAAATTTTGTAAAAATATTGAAAATTAACGTTTCAAACATTCGAAATCTAAATGAAATGAACATGCATATCAGAAATCTAAATCTCTCCTTCACACATTAATGAAAAATCTACAACTTGATTGGTATCAGAAATCTAAATCTCAATCAAAATGAATGGGAAAAAAAATGTTACCGGCTCCTTTAGCAGCAGCGGCTTGGACGAGAGTGAGTCCTACCATCAGGACATTTGCATTTGTTCCATTGAAATCGTTGAACATGTCCATTTTATCAAAACTCATTTCCCCATTTGCAAGAATGTTGAAGAGAATGAGTCCTGCGAGACTCCAACCCCACAAAAGCGTTTTCATGAATGAAATGACTATGGAGACGTACTAAAGTGGTCAGTATATACGCGGCCAAGAAAGCATCCATCTTGGTCTTTTGTAGTATAAACATGCTTTTATATAGAAACTCAATTATAATTGAAGACCAGAGAGTGAGAGGGAGAGAGTTGCATTAACTACCAGTCATAGTCGTAGGAGAGATTTATTAAAAGATTTTCTTTCCTTGATTAAAAAAAAGGATTCTACATCATGGACATGAATTCATGATCTTGCCATTTTTAAATCACAAAATCTTACTGAAGAATGGGACTGATAGACCACAATTTTGAGGCCTAAACCTCCATTGATCATTAATTCATTATATAGGTTTAAGAAATTAAAGATTCTCATGAAACTGCCACCTTGTATCTTTCGTTGTAATTTTTTCTTGCATATATTTAAGGATGATTAATTCAAAGTGTTTGATTCTCATGAAGTTGTCACCTCATTTCATCCCTAGGTTATTAATTTCAAATTCACACTATTATTCATTTAATAGTCAGAAGTATAGAGTTCATTATATAATTCCAATTTTCTTTCCACCAATATCTGTAGAACAGAAAATCTCAGGAATCTTCAAACACTTTGAAAATGAAGATAATACAAAAAAAAACAGAAATGGTCCTGAAAAGTGGAAAGAATTTTCAGATGCTTCCAAGAGTTCCAAAAGCTACAAGACAAATATTTCATGCAAAAAAATTGGGAGTCTTCAATAATTGCGATTAAGCTTTCAATTGCCGTTTAAGATATCATGTACCCAAATACTTTATTTGATTGATTAATCGAAGATGAATACAAAGGGAAACAAATCACTTTGAAAGTTATTGTTCTCTTTAAATCGTATTGGGACTGAGATAAACGAAATTTCAAATCAACCTTTTTCTCTATGTAGTCGCTAAAAACTCTTTAGAAAATTTAACCAATCTTTTTCACTAATAAATTTAACCAATTTTATTTAACTCCAACTCTACCACGATTTCTTTCTCGTATTAAAAAAAAAAAAAGAGTTATTGTCTCTACATTATGACTAGTAAATTAAGTTGTGCCCGCGAAACAAAAACGATGCCGTATAGGAAGGAAGCAATAAAGAATCCAAGCGATATGTTGTTCCCTCTTCAATGCATTACGACGCGTCATCTTAGATGAGGCTTTTAGCACTAAAAGCCCAAACTAATAAAGTTATCGGATAAATACTTAGCCCAGCCCATTAACGACAACGCGTAGCTTCACGCGCTTCACGCGCTTCACAATTCGCGTGAGCAGAATTAACCCAGAAACGCGGACGTTGCAGATAAACGGTGAGGCACGAACGAGCGTGTTAATATATATGATTCTCTCACGATGATCAAAGTAGGAGCCAACAAGTAAAAAAGCCAAACAAAATCAAAATTAAATTAGCATACACATAATAATTAATAAGACAACAGTTATTACTTGATAGTACATACTTTATTAGGTAACAATAATTGATTTTTTTTTTTTTAAAGCCATCAATAAAATATCAGTATTCGTGTAAAACCAAAACTAGAGTAAACATATTTTGTCAAATGGCGAGCCCTGATCCATCCGTTTTAGTTATTCGTTGACCTTTGACATTTCACTTAGACAGATGAGAGAGAAAGAAAAACAGCATGTTGCTTGCTTTTTTTTCCTTCAACGAGAAAAGTCATCCTCTCTTCTCCTCCTTTATAAGCCATAATTCATTAATTCTCCTCTCTCAACAACTTGTTAAAGAGTCCCACCACCACTACCACAATCCCAATGGCTTCACCAACTCAAACTCTCCTCCTCCTCCTCACCACCGTCTTCTTCTTCATCTCCTCTTCCGCAGATCCGGACATGCTTCAAGATCTCTGCGTTGCTGATCTTCCCTCTGGTAATTTCAAAAAATCTCTACTTTCATTTTACTAAAAAAGCTTCAATTTTTAATCTCTTTCTTGTTTATTTTTGGCAGGAATCAAAATCAATGGGTTCCCTTGTAAAGACGCAGCTACAGTCACATCAGCTGATTTCTTCTCACAAGGATTAGCTAATCCAGGTCTTACCAACAACACATTCGGTGCCTTAGTCACTGGAGCTAACGTTATGACAATCCCAGGACTCAACACACTCGGTGTCTCTCTCTCTCGCATCGACTACGCACCAGGAGGCTTAAACCCACCTCACACCCACCCTCGTGCCACTGAAATCGTCTTTGTCTTAGAAGGAACACTTGACGTTGGGTTCCTCACTACGGCCAATAAGCTCATCTCTCAATCTCTCAAGAAAGGAGATGTCTTTGCTTTCCCTAAAGGACTTGTCCATTTCCAGAAGAACAATGGTCATGTTCCTGCTTCTGTTATTGCAGCTTTCAATAGTCAGCTTCCTGGAACTCAATCTCTTGGTGCTACTTTGTTTGGTTCTACTCCTCCTGTTCCTGACAACATCTTGGCTCAAGCCTTTCAGACTTCTTCAGGAACTGTTAAACACATCAAATCCAAGTTCCAACCCAAGAAATGATCTCTTTATATTCATTACAGTTCTGTTTTTTTCTCCTTTGATTTGTCTTCTGTAATAAAAAGGAACAATAAGTGATGATCTTTGAGTGTGCATTTGAGCTCCATTGTCTCATGTATTTGTCTTCTGTATAATCCAAATTATTTTTTTGTTCAAAGTTGACTAGAAACAGGTAACAAGTCGAGGTTGATCTAATCTAAAAGCTTTCAAAACAGGTAAGCTAATTATCTGACTTTACATATAAAATAATCAACTTGAGAGACTCTAACGTATGGGTCTAATAAAACTGATTACTTAATTAACATGATAACTTATTTTTTACTTCACACACACCATGTGCTTCTTCTTACAGAAAACTAAGTGTACTTCATATGGCCAGCTAATAGATCTCTGTTGTTAAGTTAGAAATATGTTTGCTTCTTCATGGAGTTTAGCTTAAAGCTAATTGTTTGAAACCAAGACTTCTTGCAACATAGTCAAGAATCATACCTTACCTCTAAACTCTGGCCTGTTGCATTAACCAGAGGCGAATCAGCACAGATCCTCTCTATCATCAAGCTATGCTCAGCCAGAGAGAGAAGAAACAGTCAGTACAATCTGAATACCTTAAAAGAAGGAGATTATCATAGACTAGATAGAATATTTGTTTGTCATTGTGACAAACCATAGACCGTAAATTAGCTCATTTCTCATACATCAGTTATTTGAATGATACATCTTGAAACCAAAACACTCGAGAGGAGATTAAATATGCATCCATATTTACAGCTTCAGAAAAGAGTTTAACAGAAGATGTAAATGGATGAATATTTCATCGTTATTGAAATTTGAAAACGAAAGCAAAAGCGCCAAGCAACGTTACAAACAAAGAACAACCAGTGACTATTTTATATCAAGCCATGACCCCTTTTCTTTCGAGGACTACTTGTTTGCTGCAGCGAGTTCCGCAGTGATAATGAAACTCGATTTCCCAGCTTGTCTCAAGTACTGAACATCTCCATTCATCAGCTTCACCAGTTTCCGGCTAACCATCAAGCTCAATCCTTCTTCTGACACATCTTCCTCAGTCCCAAACATTTGGTTTAGTAAAAACTCAGGTATCCCAGCTCCTGTATGCGTTAACCTGTTTTCATAATCCCAGTATCCTCAATGCACTGTTTTTAACATCATATTGTGCATTCTGATTCAAAATATTTTACCTTATCTCTAGATTAGCAAGATGCACAGAACGCCCGAGCTGATCCTTCCTCAGGGAAGCTGTAACAGTTAGCTGACCTCCGGATGGTGTAAAGTTTACAGACATCAGCATGAAATCTGCCAAGACTTGCTGAAGCCTAATACTGTCTCCATACAAAGTGTCAGACATTACTTCTTCTCCGGTCTCATTTGTTATCCGAACACTCTTCCCGTTACTCTTCATCATTACTTGGCTTGTGGAAGCAGTCAACACTTCGTTTAAGCTAAATTCTTTCATTTCCAGATCCAAGCACCTGCACAGTCAAATTCCAACATAAGAAAACAGATAAACCATATTTTAAATGGACTTTCATTCTAGCATACCCTTCAATGATGCTTTCAAGATCCGAATCATCAAGGATCTTGCTTAGTTGCTTCTGACATAACGCACTAGTTTGCAAAATCCGTCTCTGCTCTGGTCCTAATTCAGTACCCTCTATCATTTTCCTTGTAAACATGATACCAGATAGCGGATTCCTGATCTGCCTTTTTATGTAAGCTAGAGCCTTTAGTCTCTTCACTGCGGTTAGCTCAGCTAGACGCTGAACATGGAGCGCTTGCTGCAGCTCATGGCTGGCAAGTTGCAGGAAACAGAAGACACCTGTCACTACACCTTCCCTGTCCAGTTTCTTACTCACACACAACAGACACTCCACATACTTGCCACCTCTTGTAAAGAAAGCAAACGACACTTTCTCTGGATCTTGACTGGTCACAGCATTGTTCAGCACAATCCCAAGGTTTACAAAGGCTTCTTGGTTCTTTAGACGACAACATGACTTCTGTGTCCCGAAGACTTCTCCTAAGAGCATTTTGTCTATCACTTCCTCTCGCTTCAAACCGGTTAACTTTGACATCGCTGGATTCCACTCTGTGCACCATCCAAACTCATCGGTGCCAAATATTGGCGGGATCAGCGGGTTTGGATTTTGGATGATTGCCTTGTAATCACCTTCAATCCGAGTAAACTTGTCCATCACAGTCTTCTGGCCAGTAAGATCATGGGCTACAAAACACACCCCAACCACGTTTTCATGGAGATCTCTACTTGCGCATGCATTTACAACTAAACTTATTGGCCCAGCATCAGCCCTGGACAGATGTGTCTGGATCTCAAATTGGACATTCTGCTCTTCAGTTCCTGCATAGATAAGCAAGTGAAGTTTAGCGTTTTAGAGAGAAAAATGGAAAAAAAAAAAAAAATGATCCATCAGTAAGAATCTGCATCAAGTTTCTTCGACCATGATAGTCAATTGGAACTTGAATAGTGCAATCTAGGAAGATTCTTAGCAAAACTCAGCATAACTTAGGAAGAGTGTTACCTTCTAATGCATTCTCTAGCATCCTTTTGACAATTTCTACTGAAGAATCTTCAACAAGTGTGAGGAGATGCTTCCCGATTGCTTCATCAACCGTAAGACCAGTCAGCTCAGCAATTTTCGTGTTCCAACCATTAACCAATCCATCAGAATCAACCGCCAATATTGGCACCGTAGCAGTCTCAATCAAACGAACCATCTCACTGGTCACAGCTTCTAATTCTTGTATACCATCAATTTTGAGATCATTTAGCTTTGAGTGAATGACATTTGTATTCACATCAGTAGTTTCACCATCCTTGAAAGCATTCCTCAGAATAAGTTGCAAGGAGTGAATGGCATCCATCTCATAGTCCTTCCAAGGTAAACTCCTTGTCTTGACCACTTCAAGGAAAGCCTTGAACGATGACCTCGGGTGCATTCTCCTTGCATCATCCCTATCATCTGGATCATGCTTTGCACCTCCCCATCTCACTTCACCAGCAGTATGAGAACGGAACCAGAAAATCATGTCTTTGGATGATATCCTCACAGCCGCCATTCCACATACCGAATCTACGAGAGATAGAGCCCTAGGAAACCCAGCGTCATGCAAACTATCAGTGCTCAAACCCGTTGAATCCATGTGGTATTCACACAACCATGAAGCTATCTCCTGCAGATGGAACTCACTTGGAGTTGTTCCCAGTTTCCATATCTTGTCTTTATACAAGAGAGCTGCTCCATCACATTTCACAAGGTCCATTATGTTGGGGCTTTGCGACACAATACCAAGTGGAGCATCACGCATCAGCATATCACACAAGAGTGTCTGCGTACGCAAAATGTTCTTCTCCACCATCTGGTTCTCCAGTTCCACCTCCTTATTGACGTGTATGGCAAACACTTGAGCTAGAAACTCACAGGCATACCTGAGAGGAAATGGAACAAACCTCGGAGTTGTGTTGTGACAAACCACTAAACCCCATAGTCTCTTTCTCTTTTGAGGCTGTGTAGTAGAATCAGGAGCATCCCCTTCTCCATCTTCCTCGTTAACTACAACCGCCATAACCAGAGATGCAATTGAATCCATGTTGGCCATGTACTGCAAATGGCAGCTGTGCGGTGCTCTAAGGGTGGAGCCACACAAGGTAAGGTCAAAGGAAAGCTTTTCATCTTGAAGCACCCTAGCATGTTTTGCATTGCAATCAACTATCATCCGGACCTTGTTCTTCATAAACAGAAAACGGGCTGCTTGAGGGATGTCGGTGGCTGGATAATGCAGCCCAAGATAAGGCTCCTGCCCAGGTTTTGTAACCTCGGAGACAACCTCACCGTGATCATCTTCATGAAACTTATAAGCCATCACCCTGTCATACCCCGTGAGTTCAAAAACCTCTTGAACCATTGTATCGCAAAGCCTTTCCATGCTCCCGCTGGGTAAAGATTGCAACCTAGTGATTGCTTTGGCAGCGAGCTTGTATGATTGTAAGGCACCAGCAGCTGTCATGGGGACTTCATAAGGCTTCACCGGTTCAAAGTCGACGATGATGCTCCCTGTAACCCTGTGGATAATCGCATAAAAGGGCTTGGCAGAAGTCTTGCAGTGCACAAGAATGGGATTCAAAAGAGAGACATCTCCAAATCCAAGGGCTTTCTGCAATGCAGAGGCACTAGGAGCAGTGAAAAGACTCCTTATATCTGTCCCAATGCCTAGAACAGGGTGTTCGCCAACACTAGGAACTGCATGACTGGCCATTGTTAACAGCTCAGAAGCATTCTCGCTGTATGCAATGACTTTGAAGGTCTTCTCATCCAAGGCAAGCAAACAACCGAAGGGCTGAATCAGCTTTCCTTTCTGTATGTGATGAAGATAAGTCGTGGTAACCTTGTCAGACCTCGGTGGCTGGTTCTCCACAACCGGGCCAGTGACACGCACTGAGGTGGAGTAGTCAAAGGAGCTGCCTGACTCCTCAAAATCAGCATGGAGCTTCGCATCTACAGTGGTCTGCGCAATGATCCTAGCGCTGTGCCTTGATCGCCTCGAGCCCTCAGAGGACTGAGTCGGCCTAGAGCCTGACATTTTTTCCTGACACAGAGACAAGAAAAAAAGATTTAAGAGCAAAACTCTTTAAAGAAGGAATAAAACATTCATGCCGTAATCATATGAACACGAACATTCATCACCAGTCATACAAACGAATGCATAAGCATAAACTTGAAACACTAAGAACCAATCAAAACACAAAATCGCTGCTATAGCTTAAGTTCCTTTGACAGCAAAAAGAGGCATGAACTTGACTAACTCGGTCGAGAATACATAGCTAAACCCAGAAACAGGTCGCAACAGATGCAGGAATCATCCTGTCATATTCCAAGGTTCAATGAATTATCATTTTCAAAGCAACTGAACCAATAAGATTCCATGAACACTTCCTCTCTAAGTCATCCTACAATCCAAAATCAACAAGATCTTGACAATTAACAGGGAAAATCCACTACACAAAACTAACACAACGAGGATCTGATCTGATCTGCCTCTCAAGATTCAAACACAGCTACATACATAAAGTAGACTTAATATAAACTCTTAAGAGTCTTTATAGCTAGACTTAATATAAACTCTTAAGAGTCTTTATAGCTAGCTATACCTTTCAAAAGGAGAAATAAAGTCCCCACAGCAAAAGCAATCGTAAGAGAAGAGCGATAAAAGGATGAAATTAATTGGATGCTTCTTCTCATAAATGATCACAGACTACAAAAGTTGAGTAAAAAACACACACATCAAGCCAGATCAAAGAGACCTGTCGATGACAACAACAAGAGAGAATAGCTTTAACTAATCAACTTCAAAGTACGGATAAATCTCAAAACGCAAACCCCGAAAAGAGCTCTTACTCAATAAGAAGAGTGAGACCAGTAGCTGGTAAGCTCTAAAAGCAGAAAACAATCGAAGCGAGCTTCAATATATATAGATAAAAAAAACAGAAAGGAGGAAACTTTGGGAAAAGGAAAGTAGCTACCTTTAAAGAGAAGAAGAAAGAAGAAGAAGAGAAGTTTCAAGAAGCCATGATCAGATCTCGTGTCTAGTCACACTCTTCAGAGGCTTTCTAAATCTTGACCTCGATCACCGCCTTCTCTCTTCTGCTACGCCTCTCTATTATTTATTTGTGCTCCCTAACACAGACGACGACGATGAATGGGACCACCCCGAATACGTATGCCCATGTCTCGGAGTATGGGCGATTTGTATATTTTATAATGGAATAAAGTAAAAATAAAAAAAGCTTAATTTGGATAAAAGACAAAGTTCACACACAAATCAAGAACAGGGTCGGCTTCGCCGGTAACATTTTTCCTCGTTAAAACAGAACAGTGGGCGAAGATGTATGAAATAATAAATCTTGGCACCTTTCATGGGATTCCTAAAAAAGAGTCCTTTTATTTTTGGAATTTTAATTCATGATCAAACTGATATATTTTTCACCGATGTGACTAACACTGTGTAATGAGGAAAAGAGAAGTGGAAGAACAAATTGAAGTTGATTCTTATAAATCCGATTGAAGAGAATCGTCCAAAGGATAAGAAGAAAAAGTAAAGATTATTAATTTTAATAAAAAAAAACAAGAAAGAAAGAGAGAGAGAAAGATGGTGGGAGTTGTTTAATGAAGGCAATAACCAGAAGTGGAAAGTTGGGTTTTGAGGAAGACGACAAGGATAGTCTTATGGGCTTCACGTTTTCTCGGCTTTTTCCGTTTTGTAATCTGCTTCTGGGATTAACTTCATTAGTAGGGACTTTCCATTCAAATTATTTCTTTATTTTATCATAAAAGAAATTGATTAAATTTCTAAAACTAATTTATGCTAAGAATTCAAATTATTTTTTTAAGAAACAAATATCGTTATGGTCATTTAAAAACTTGATAAGCGTACCATGTTTTCTTAGGTATTGCTTCTATCCTCTTTTAAGTTAAAATCTTTCACTAAGTTTGTAGTAGACTTAACAATTTTAGTTCAAGATCGTCTAAGATGATCATATCCGAAAAACGAATCGACAACGTCTTATCTAGACAGCGCAATTCAACATAGATATTGTGGCACAGCTATGTTGGACCAAAAATGTGCCTCCATAATGCAAATGTTGTCTTAGCAACACATCATGATCGATTAGACATGGTCATGGCCCATGTTGCGCTTATCTGAATTGGCAAAGTCTTACTAATCTCATTTCAGGAATAACTACACTTTGAGGAACAAAACAAATATGAGCTGAGGAGACTTCTTAATGGCCAAGAACGCTACAATCATTAGGGATTTTAGTGATTGGAACTTTACGAAACATTTTGTGAGCTTTTTGATTTTTCTCTCTTTTGAATTTGAACTCTAAAAACAAGTGTTCATTACCATGTGTTTTTTCTAGTCTTAATGTATATTTGTGTGAAACAATTGAAACAACTCCAATATCTATACCAAAATAAAGAAAATGGCTCTTTACACCAAAACTTCCGTATTAAAAAGAACAGTTAAAATCTGTTATCTTCATTGTAATAAACAATGTCAATGGTTACTTATGTATAACCGTATAAGAAGCAGAAGGAGATGATCGAAAACAATCTTTGTCACTTTTGTAAAGACTGATCATTTTCTTCTTAAGTTTGATGAACCACCAGAGGACAAGAAAAATAAAAGTTTTCATAATAATCAATCTCTGCGACTCTGCAAAGCATCCTCGAGATCAAGTTCTAATCCAACACGATTCCTTATAGACGCAGCTGCATGACAAGACGACGTCATTTTACAAATCCTCTCCAATTCCTTAAACCTCTCACAATCAAACTTATGACTTTTCAACAACTTCCTCTGTCTCGACAAGAACAGCCTCTTCATGAAATCCTGATATGTCGGATCTCTCGAAGTCATCAAGAAATAAGCATAACCCACAATGATCCCAGTCGCTGTAGCGAAGAAAGTGATTGGTTCCATCACATCCCATGAGAATTCCCAGAAAGTTAATCTAAAAAAGAGCCCAATTTGAACCATAGAAGTAGCTAAACCACACCAAAGAATCTTCCTCACTTGTCTATGAGCTAACACATCAATCTCTTCTTTCATGACTCTAAGTTTGTTGAATTCTTCCTTAATTTGATCTTCCTCTGGATTCTGTTCCAAAGGCATCGCTCTTCTTATCAGATCCACCACCTGGAGAAAAAAAAGTCCAGATTTTTAGAGAAATCGAGACAAAACAGGGGATCCCGACAAAACAGAGTAAAGTTTTGTTTTTATTGCAATTTTAGACCTTGTCTGGGTGAAGAAAGACTTTATCTCGAAAGATCAAGACAACGCCCGCATCGTCAAGAACACGAGCAAAGATATGAGCTTCATCAGGAGATCTAGCGATACCCATTCCTTGAGAAGCTTCTAAAAGTGTAGTGTAAGGGACGACATCTCTATCAGCTATACCAACAAGCTTCTTCTTCATGTCTTCAACATTCACAAGCCTCATTAGCTTCTTCGCTTCCGCTATAGTTATCTCTTTCTTTTTCTCTTCCTCCTCCGATGACGACGGAGTTTTGACGGTGACGCAGCTTCTTAACCCACCATTACCAAGCCATGGCCTTTGTGAAGAAGCTCTAATGGCGCTGGACATTGCCGTACGCCTTATCAAACCCATTGACCACATTACGGACCCACGAATCTGAAGATCTTAGCTCTGGATTTCGTGAAAGCGAATTTGAAAAAAAGTTAGGTTCACAGATCAAGGATTAAAAAGCTATGGGAATCTGAAAAAAAGAGATGGAATAATTTAACGCGTTTAATTATGAATCTCAGATTCTTCTGTTATTAATATCATAAGATTAGACAATTAGAAATCGAAGAAAAGAAAAAGAGGACAAGCACGAAGCCATTTGTTTTTAACTTTGGAATTTGGGAGATAACGAAAGTAAAAAGATTGGTACTAGCCAATGGCCATTGTTGACTTGGCATGAAGAATGGCTTTTACGAAAATCTCAATCAACTTTTTGTTAACTCAAATCCACAATCTAAATTTGATTATCTTGATAAAGTTCATTTATTTTATCCAACAACCATCCTGACAAAAGGAACAGTTAAAATGATCCAACAACCCTTGTTGAGATGAGACCTATCCTTGTCATCGGAGTTGAATTTGACGCGGCATATATACGGATTCAAGTTACTTTATTACCCACATGACAAACAACAACACGTAGCTGAGTTTTAAAAATGAAAAAAAAAAACACGATTAGTTTACGTAAACTATTGTTTAGTTTTTCTTGTCAAATTATTTAGGTCAGAATTCCTAATTAGAAATCCATATTCTTGCTTCCATTCACTAATATTCGTTGTGAAAAAACTCATATGAGCGTATAGACATCACGATCTTTTTGCACTACTATGAAAAAAACAAATAACAATTCACATTATTATTGCATATTAGAGACGATCTAAGACATCTACGACTATTGGCATACCTGGAAGTACTTCAACAATGAAGAAGACGAAGAAGAGAAGAAGAAAAAGAAGTTTTAGCCTCTATCGACGGCTTGAGAGTTTTTGCATACTTTTGAAATGAAAGTAAGAATAATTAATTATGTTCTCCCTTGTTTTGCCCTTTTTCTCTCCTTGAGAATAGCTTTGGTTGTTATACGACCATAAGGGCCAAATTCTTTATTTAAACCCAATTTCAGAGAAATAAAACTAGTACATTTTAGAATAATCCCGGTTATGTTAAATACGACTTGGAATTCATAAGTTTTTAATGCTTGATTTTGAACTGACTTTGCGATAGGCTTACCACTTCCGTAGAAGGATAAGTTATAGAAATTATTAAAACATAACCAACCAATGACATGAAGAGTTGTACTTGTATCTAAGCAGAGATGTAATTAAAAAAAAACAATCTTAGCTTAAACTAATAATACTTAGTTAGCCTGTCCATACAATTATTAAAGATGTTTTAATCTCGTGTAATAGTTTAAGACTTTAAGTTTGTCAATTTGTCTATTTAAAACCGAAGGAACTGCACAAATCTAAAAAAGGTCTCAAAGACTGTGCCAAATCTTGCCTTTATGACTCAAAATTGCACGTATTTTCAGATAAGTATTAAAAAAAAAACAAATGGAAACGAGATTAGAGATGGGCAACTTGTTGCAAATACAAAGTTATATAAATGTGTTGTTTAATGAAAAGTGTTTAATTATACAATTTCATTAAACAACACATTTTATATAACTTTTAAAATACATATAGATCTTTATTGGATCTAATGCAATCACCTCATCTCAATTCTCAAGCCCATGGGTTAGTCTCATCAAAGCCCAACAAAGCTTCCCCAAGAAAAAAAGAATTAAAAGATGATCAAAAAAAAAAACACTTATAGAGGAAAGATCTGGCCACTACAACACAACGATCGACGAATACAATCGGAAAAATTTGAAATCTCGTCGATGAAGATGACTGCTAAGATGCGCCGTGTATTCCCGACGGCGTTCCTTCTCTTCTTTCTGGTTCCGGTGATGATTCCGGTTGGTGAGGCGGTGTGGCTAGATGTGCCTCCCACCGGAACAAAGTGTGTATCTGAAGAAATCCAGAGCAATGTAGTCGTTTTGGCTGATTACCTCATCATCTCCGAGGATCACGGCGTCATGCCCACTATTTCCGTCAAGGTAAGTTTCTCCGATTTTCTGTTCCGATCATCTCGCTTCTCTTCCTTGCTTGTTCAGTGTTTTGAATCTGCATTTTGTTACTCGATCCATATTTTCAACTGATCCATAAGCCACATTTATGAATTAGGAAGGCATGTATTAATGCTCGATCCAAGTTTCCTTATGTGGAATTTTATGCTCATGCATGTCTTTCTTTGATTGTTATGATGATTTTCGGATTTGTAGAAATGCTCAGATGCTTGTGTATAGCTTAATCCTTATGAATACTCTTTTGCCGTAATATCAGTAATTAGCTGTGAGATTGGGACAGAAAATTGAAAATTTATGTGGTCTTTTAATGAAGTGTGTTTGGGAATAATGATAATTAATACTTCAAGTTTATTACCAACTGGCAAAAGATCAAGGGAGGAGCAAGTATCATTTGGTATTTGGTAATCATTGCTATTTGCTAGTTCCACATAGTTTGATGGATTGTTTTAGATAGTGTCCTTGGATTGAGAGCAGTCCTTGAAGTCGAACTTGAACAGATATCTTATGGAAACTCGGGAATACTCTGGTCCTGGATAGTATTCTCTGTTCCTTCTTCTTCTTGGCTCTGAGCTTTGAGAATTATAATTATGGTGCAGGTGACGTCCCCGTATGGCAACAATCTGCACAACATGGAAAATGTAACGCATGGACAATTTGCATTTACAACCCAAGAATCCGGCAACTACTTGGCGTGCTTTTGGGCAGATGCAAAGAGTCACGGAAACAAAAATGTTAGCATCAACATTGACTGGAAAACTGGAATCGCTGCTAAGGATTGGGCCTCTATTGCTAAGAAAGAGAAGATCGAGGTTAGCTTTATAGAGGTTTTACAGTTCAGAGAGTGGTTAGCCTATGTTGAATCTCTAAAGAGATTTGCTTTGGTAACGTAGGGTGTGGAGCTGGAGATCAGGAAACTAGAAGGCGCAGTGGAAGCCATCCATGAAAATCTACTCTACCTAAGAAACAGGTAAAGTCATCTTCAGCTGCATAAACTGGTCTTGCCTTCTTAGCTGACTCTCATTCTCAAAATGGTATTTGCAGAGAAGCAGACATGAGGACAATGAGTGAGAAAACGAACTCGCGGGTGGCTTGGTATAGTATAATGTCGCTAGGTGTTTGCATTGCTGTCTCTGGTTTACAGGTACTCTACTTGAAGCAGTACTTTGAGAAGAAGAAGCTTATATAGATTCTCACAGAGAAATTCAGTTCCTTTAAAGAGAGTTTCTTCTTAAAGAATAATATTCAATTCATCTCCTTCTTTCCTGTTTACACGCCTCCTTTTTACTGACGCTGTAAAATTTTGTTCAAGGATTGTTTCTGTAGCTTTTCTGATAAGAATTTCATTATTTCTGATTCAACTTGTTAATCCCCAAACGAAAGAGATTGGGTGTAATTGAAAGTTTTATGTTAGTTTGGGGCTATAACACATAAGTTACAGTAAGGGAAGGGTTAACATAACAAGAAAAACCTTTGTCGATATAAGTTATTCAAATGGGTATTTATGTACAAATAAGCCCAACATTCTGACCCAACAGGCCCGTTAATAGCAAACCCTAATTTCAATGAGATATAAAATACATTTCTGACCCAACAGGCCCGTTAATAGCAAACCCTAATCTCAAAGAGATATAAATAAACCCTAATCTACATTTCGCATCCACCAAAGCTGAGGAAAAATGCCGGCCGGTCATGGAGTTCGAGCGAGAACGAGGGATCTGTTCGCGAGGCCGTTCAGGAAGAAGGGTTACATTCCACTATCGACCTACCTGAGAACCTTCAAGGTCGGCGATTACGTCGATGTGAAGGTGAATGGTGCGATCCACAAGGGTATGCCTCACAAGTTCTACCATGGTCGTACTGGTCGTATCTGGAACGTCACCAAGCGTGCCGTCGGGGTTGAAGTCAACAAACAGGTCTGAATGATGAACTCTCACTTCCCTTAAAACTTTTTTTCCTATAGAATTAGGATTTGAGCTTCTCATTCTGCTATTTGGATTGTTGACTGATTTTATGTTGGAATGTGTGATTGAGTATTGGTTTGTCGAATGTAAATCTCATCCTATGCTAAAATTGAGCTCAGATTTTGAGTTTTATTTTCTCAAAGATCGTACCTTCTATTATGCAGTAGTGTTTGCTTGATCCAATTTCAGATTCAAAGTTTGATTGCTTAGATTTAGTATAGTCTTTAGCCTTAGCATGCATTTTGTTGCATCAATTTGACCCTTTTTTTGCATCACAGTTCTGGCTCAGTCTCTAGTTTACATCTCCATTGATGCAATACTTCGACTCCTGTTCATTGTACTGCTAGTTTGTTTGTTTTCATTACTATCGCATTGCGGTATTCTGGCTTCTAATATACCACAAACATTCGTATACTAATCTTGTATCTATAAGTCTCTCGAGATGTTATTTTGTAATGTGGATTATCCTATGACAATAACACTTGCCTTTTTACCAGTACCTATCTTCGGTATCATTTACTGACATATGACGGTGGGGTGTTTCAGATTGGCAACAGGATCATAAGGAAGAGGATTCATGTGCGTGTGGAGCATGTGCAGCAATCAAGATGTGCTGAGGAGTTCAAGCTGAGGAAGAAGAAGAACGATGAGCTCAAGGCTGCAGCCAAAGCCAGAGGTGAGACCATCAGCACCAAGAGACAGCCTAAAGGACCCAAACCAGGATTCATGGTTGAAGGAATGACCTTGGAGACTGTCACTCCTATCCCTTACGATGTTGTCAACGATCTCAAGGGAGGCTATTAGTTCTACTTGCCATTCTGCTTGTGTTTTGGAACTCTTTATGTTTTGTAGCGACTTAAAACTAAGAATTATGATTTATATAACAGGAGTTTGCAATCCAGATTTTGCAAGGATGGTTTATTAATACATTTTTGGTATTTTTGTGTCTTCAATTTTTTTTTAACTTTGGTCAACGGTGTCTTCCAAATTTTAAAAATATATGAAATTGATTTGATTATGACTTATGAGGCTAATTTAAGATATGTTTGACTTGGGGCGCACGGAGCTCCACCTCGACGCCACGTAGAGTCTTGAGCAACAGAGCCTAATTTTCAACACTGAACTCAGAGGAGAAGAGAAGAGTCAAGCCTTGAGACTCCATTAATGGGAGATCTCTGTTATGTTCAACACTTGCTCTAGAGACAGATAGAAACCAGCTTCTTGTTCTTCTTCTGCTTATTTTCGTTATTTCTGTTTGCTGTATTGAATTTCCTAAAATAGACAAAAAGACTAAGAAACCTTATTTCCCTAAATTTCTCATTTCTTGATAGGCTCTTCGCAATTTCAGGAATCTCTCATTTCTCCATTAATTTTCACCATATCTCTCTATCTCTTACTGACCAAAGTCTTCCTTTGATTCTTTGATTTCAATTCGTTTTCTTCAACAACAAAAAAAAAGAAAAAAAAATTGAGACCCAGAATACGTATCGACATTTATTACTCCACATTTCGAGATCAGTCTTGCTGACCTCAAATTTAGTTTCCAGTTTCGTTATATCTACAAAAAAAAGCTCCTCTCTTTTTGTTTTCCGTTCTTCTAGATTCTCCTTACATAAGATTTTAGGATCAGCGTTTATTCCAACAAGTTCCAGAAATTGTTTTTAGTACGGTTTTGTTAGGTAGAAGACAGAATCATAAATCTAAGTTTGACATTGGTCTAAAGATCAAAAGCTCAAATCTTTGTTCCCTGTGGTGATTGTTGGTGGTCTAAAGATCAAAAGCACATTTGTTCCAAAAGCTCAAATCTTTGTTCTCTGTTTGGTGGTGTGTGTGGGGGAGATTTCATTTTCAGTGGAGAAGAAGAAGAAGACAAGATTAGGAGGCTAATCAAAACATACAGTTTCCTGATTCCGGTCAGGAAACTGTGGAGTATTGACGGAATCACGAAACCGTGGAGAATTATGGGCTGCAATTGCACCAAAGGAACACGACTTAATAATGATAACGTCGACAACAACGATACCATTATCAACAATGTCAATGTCAAGGAGAGTAGAAGCAAGCCTAAGAAAACCCCCAAGAAGAAGAAAAAATCTAAATCTGCTTCTTCCAGCAAAGACAACAATGTAGGATCCGAAGAAACAAGCAACGACAATAAAGAAGCCTCCTTGACGTTGTTGATACCCATTGATGCCAAGAACAATGATGAGCCCGAGAAGAAGGTGACTCTCGAGAGAAAGACTTCTAGATTGGTGTTTCAGAGACGGCCATCAGGTATTGAGGTTGGTCCCAACAACATAGGGACATTGCAACAACCTAAGATGACTAGAATAAGCAGTGTTAGTAATGGAGAAAGAGGAGCTCAGGTTATGGCTGGTTGGCCTTCATGGTTGGCTTCTGTTGCTGGAGAAGCTATCAATGGATGGATTCCACGAAAGGCTGATTCTTTCGAGAAGTTGGAAAAGGTAAGGCCTTTTTGTTTCTTATAACTTTGATATGATTTGTGATTGTTTGTCTTGTCTAAGTTGGACATTGTTGTTGGATTGTTACTGTTAGATTGGACAAGGGACGTATAGCAGTGTGTACAAAGCCCGGGACCTAGAGACGAACCAATTAGTTGCACTGAAGAAAGTGCGGTTTGCTAATATGGATCCCGATAGTGTTCGGTTCATGGCTAGAGAAATAATTATCCTTCGAAGGCTTGACCATCCTAATGTTATGAAGCTTGAGGGTTTGATCACTTCAAGAGTATCAGGAAGTATGTATCTTATATTTGAATATATGGAGCATGATCTTGCTGGCCTAGCTTCAACCCCTGGGGTTAACTTTTCTGAGGCACAGGTATTACTATTTTCTCCACAATATATGCATACTATTAGTATTATGTGGTTTGATTTTCATCTAATGTAATGTGCTTCTGCAGATTAAGTGCTATATGAAACAGCTGCTTCATGGTTTAGAGCATTGTCATAGTCGAGGTGTCTTGCATCGTGACATCAAGGGCTCTAATCTACTGCTTGACCATAACAACAATCTTAAAATTGGAGATTTCGGTCTTGCCAATTTTTACCAAGGCCCCCAGAAGCAGCCTCTCACTAGCCGCGTTGTAACTTTGTGGTATCGTCCACCTGAACTATTACTTGGTTCAACAGACTATGGAGTTACAGTGGATCTGTGGAGCACAGGATGCATACTAGCTGAACTCTTTACTGGGAAGCCTATCATGCCCGGTAGAACCGAGGTAGAACAACTACACAAGATCTTCAAACTATGTGGATCACCTTCTGAAGAGTATTGGAAAATATCAAAATTGCCACATGCCACCATCTTTAAACCTCAACAACCTTACAAGCGGTGTGTAGCCGAAACATTTAAGAGTCTTCCATCTTCAGCTTTGGCCCTAGTTGAGGTTCTTTTAGCTGTAGAACCAGATGCTCGTGGAACCACAACTTCTGCCCTTCAAAGCGAGGTAAAAGCCATGACAGTTTTATGCTCCACTGCATTTCTTTATTAACATATATAAAATGATAAGTTCCAGCCACTAAATTTTGCATTTAAATGCAAAGCTGTGACATTGTAGATTAGAAATGTGTGCTTCGACTCTGCTTTATTTATCGGAATGCAAGTCTATACTCTTCTTGTCTCAAACTTTTGTTCTTTTTCTGTTTCTTTAGTTTTTTAGTACAACGCCTTTCGCAAGTGACCCATCAAGTTTACCAAAGTACCAACCGAGAAAAGAAATTGATGTGAAGGCTCGAGAGGAGGAGGCAAAACGGTAAGATCCAGATTCAACTAGTATCATAGTGTTAATTGTTAACATTAACAAAGAGCTCTTATATGCCTGAATGAACACTGACACGTCCCAATTTCCTCTCATCCACCAGAAAGAAAGACACTAGCAGTAAACAGAATGATTCAAAACAAGTATCTAGAGAATCTAAAGCTGTGCCAGCTCCAGACTCCAATGCTGAGTCTCTGACATCAATACAAGTACGTCTGGTTCTAGCATAATACACACACAGATATATATGGTTATATTCATGTGATCTTACATATCTGTCTATTTTCTTGTTTTTGTAAAGAAACGTCAAGGGCAGAATAACCAGATAAGCAATAGTGAAAAGTTCAATCCTGGTGAAGATGCAGCTGGCTTCCGGATAGAACCACTGAAGAATGGAACTGCACAAGACGGTCACACTCGTTATGGTGTGTCCTCAGTGAATAGAAATGGAGAGAATGTTATGATGGGCTCGAGTCGGTCTCCTAGAAAAGAACTGAGGACACAACGGTCTTTTGTTCAACGCGGAACAGCACAATTGTCAAGATTTTCAAACTCGGTAGCTGCTAGAGATGGATCACATTTCGCTATTGCGAATCCACGGTGGTTTGAAGATAGTTATAACAATAATAACGGAAGACAAAATGGAGGTGATTGGTCCCAACGTTTGGTGGTTAAACCCAAAGATTCTACAAAACACAAAGAATCTATAACGGTAAAAAGAACATCTGAACTGTGTGTAATAGTGCTTCTCTTTGTAGTGGAACTCTTTGTGGGCTAATCACAGTTTTTTTGTTTATCTTAAGGTTTACGGTGAAAAGAAAGAGAGAATGCACTGCTCAGGGCCTTTGGTTTCTGCAGGAGGAAACTTGGATGAAATGCTGAAAGAACATGAAAGGCAGATTCAGTTAGCGGTTCGCAAAGCTCGGGTGGACAAGAAGACGAATAGAGGCGATAACAGACAGACTCAAGCGTCTCTTGCTGCAAATGGCAGATGAGATACATCAGAAAAGGATAAGAAAGGAAGAAACTTTTGGGATATCAGGAAAAGGAGAAAGAAAGTGTTGAGGTTTTGCAATGTAGAGTCAACTGATCTCTGGTGGGGTCTTGTATGATATTGTGTAATTTGTTTCATCTTGTATGATATAAAATTATTAGTCCTAGTAGAATCAATCATTATTGTTATTTTGGTATTTCAATTGCACTAAACGGTCTAACAGAGACAAATATCGATCCAACCATTAAGAAACTTAAATAGAAGGCTTCACTCTCTTGCTTCTTGCAGAACCTGAAATTAGCTGCTCTGTCTTCTTCAAGTACCCTTATAGTTTCTTTCGCTTCATGTCTAAGCATAAACCCAACTTCCTCTCTTATCTCAGCATTTCTTTATATAATTATTTAGGAACAAGTCGCAACTTCTTGAGAATCCGAGTTATTAAATTTCGAATCAGACAATGAGGCCTAAAGCAAATCAAAGCCACAAGCTGAAACTTCTCCTTGTTTTTCTTTTTGCCGCCTTAATTCTCATCTTCATCGTGAGATCAACTCTGACATCTTCACAGGAACACCAGACTTCAGAAGAGGCAAGATCAGCGCGTTGCTCTGGTGCCTGCAATAAGCTACCACGTTCCCTCGCACAAGCCCTGATCCATTACTCGACTTCGGTTATCACACCACAACAAACGCTCAAAGAGATAGCGGTTAGCAGTAGAGTACTCGGCAAAAAGTCACCCTGCAATTTCTTGGTGTTTGGTCTAGGCCACGACAGCCTCATGTGGAGCTCTCTCAACTATGGAGGCCGGACTGTATTTCTTGAAGAAGATGAAGCATGGATTAAACAGATCAAGAGACGGTTTCCGATGCTGGAATCGTATCATGTAAAATATGACAGTAAAGTCAATCAAGCGGATAATCTCATAGAAGTTGGGAAAGGACCTGAATGCACAGCCATTGGAGATCCAAGGTACTCAATGTGTCAACTAGCACTCAAGGGTTTGCCTGCAGAAATCTATGAGACTAGTTGGGATCTAATCATGGTTGATGCACCAACTGGCTACTACGATGAGGCTCCTGGGAGAATGACAGCAATTTACACAGCGGGAATGATGGCGAGGAACAGGAAACAGGGAGGAGAGACTGATGTGTTTGTGCATGATGTGAACAGGGAAATAGAAGACAAGTTCTCTAAGGCTTTCTTGTGTGAAGGGTACATGAAGAAACAGGAAGGGAGACTAAGGCATTTTGTTATCCCTAGCTATAGAGATGGATTAGAATCAGAATCAAATAGACCCTTTTGTCCATAGTGAACACATGTAACCTAGATCTCCTCTGTTTCTCCGAATAATGGAACTCGTTATCGTCCTTGTTCTTATCCTACTTGTTCACAACCAGTATTGAAGAGCCTAGACAATAAAGTTATAGCAAGAAACTAGACTTTCTTATTACGTAAAAACCAAGTGTGTTTGTATAAAAGACCATTATCTTTGTTTCAGCCCAGTAAAGCTCAACTAGTAAAAGAAATCTAGAAAGCTGATCAGGAGAATAGAGCAGAACAAATAAGCAAACTTGAAACAAGGTTATTGTAGTATCGATAAGAAAGAACAGACGATCTCTACTACGCAATACCAGGAATAAAAGGGAAAAACTCAGCAAAGAAGTCAAAATAGATAACTATCAAGTCTAACTTGTATAAAATACCAAAAATCCTGCAAACTTCTTGACTAGTAGCTGAAACTTGTCCCACGCTTTTCATTTGAACAACACTTTTAGGCTGGAGGGCAGACACTTGTGCTGGAGCATTGAAGAATTCATTCGGTTTAGTTGACCAGAAACAAAAGAGTATCCATGCTGCTTCTATTAGGAAACAATTGTAATGAAATAACTAGCTTTTACCTGGTCACAAAGATGGCTGTAGGACTGCCTGGAGATGGAGGATTCTGCGTCAGGAGTGAGGCATGTGGACCAGCTTTTAAAACATCATCAGGGTTACTTGCAGAATATATTTCAACCTCTTCTAGACCAAGTTGCCGCCTGATCAAGTCCATGTTACTCTGAAGGACTTCGATCTCTCCAAAAGGCAACCTCAAATTTAGAGCCTGAGTGCCAATAGCTATTGCCTCGTCCTTCTTGAATTTAAGGAAAGGCATGCAAACCTTCTGAATATGTTTGAAGTTTTCTGCATATCCCTCGTTCTGCAATATCTCCTTAAGTTCTGCAAGTATCTCTACATCCGGGGCAAAACGACAAGTTTCCTGGTTAAATCTACTTTGCAGAATCCTCAGGCAGTGAGCTCTCCATCCATCAAATTGCTCATTCACATATACTAGGCCTTTTAACTTCCCCTCTGGCACAGCTGTTACTTGAGCACCTTTCTTAGCAGCCTTCTTGGAACCTAAGAGTTGTTTTTGTAGAAGCTTTCTCATTAACACAATAGAATCTTGCAAATATTTGTTTGCACTCTTGAGCACCAAATCTGGCTCATTTGATGGTGGCCAGCCTGCTGTTACTACACAACCTTCCTTCTTCAAAAGTTTCCTCCAAACATATTCTGCAAACTGGGGACAGATTGGTTCAATGAGGCGTGTTTGCACATCCATAAATGTCAGTATCAAGTCATGGTTCATGCCTCCAGTTCCACAAGAGAGTCTATACTCATCCCGAGCAGCTTGTAAGTCGTAAAACCCATTTTTAAGTGCCTCCCTAAACAAACAATCTTTGTACGCTCTTTCAGTCAATCTGATAGCAATGTTCATGTCATTTTCAAACACTTTATCAGCATATGTAGATGGAGGGCCCGTTCTTAAAGAGGACTCAGCAGCCAGCACTTCTTCCATCCATGTGAGCTCTTTTGTCAGCCGCAAAATTGCAGCATTTGCAGTTTCAAATACAAAATTAGCATCGTCAACACCATCACCAGCATCAGCCAAAGAAAACCTTGTAGCAGTGGCAGAGAATTCTTCAATAGCCTGCCGCAGGGTTCTGAAATTTCCGGTTGACTTTGACATCTTTTCAGAATTCAGCATGATGTGACCATTACATCTGATGCCACGTGGCCAGTTACGATTCGCCATTAGTGCAGTGTGGTTGTAGATGAAAAATGTCAAATGATTCTGAATAAGATCCTTTCCTGAAACTCGAAGATCTAGCGGGTACCAGTAATCAAATTCCTGCTTCATCTTGCTTAAGACAGCTGATGGAATATCAGATGATTTTGGGTGCGGGCCATCACAGAAGAGATACTCCCAAACTTCATCATTCATCTGCTGAGGGCGAATCAAAGACTTGCTACCTTTATACATGTCTCCATCGTGAAAGATATGGGCAACTGTGTAATAGGCCATATATAGAGATGAATCAGATAAGGATTCCACAAGGAACTGTTCATCCCAGGGAATACGAGTTCCTAGACCAAAAGACCGTGAGCAAGCCCACTGATTGAGCCAGCTCAAAGTGTGCTCAAAGCCATGCCTTGTTTCTTCAGAATAGAGATTCATTTTTGATAAGCATTCCTCAGCCATTTTTCTCCATTCTGATTCGCCGTACGTTATGTACCACTGATCTGTAAGAGCCACAACACATTCATCACCCGATCTTGACATCACCGGCTTCTCGGGTTCACTGTATATGATTGCCTCGTCAGTCTCTATGAGCTTTGTCTTAATAATGGGCTTGATTTCTTGAACTTTCCTACCAACAAACTCTCCAATAAGCATGGTTCCTTCGGTAAATCCTTTCAGGTAAGTCAACCTCTTAGCCTCTGCAAGCTTGTCCTTATCATTTTGACTTTTAATTTTCAGATCCAAGCAGACCTTTTCAGCAGCCTTATCCCCAAATTCCGGGATGTTGATGATCGGTACAATTTCAGTGGGCACCCATTCCGTTTTCACACCATACTTCTCTTGAAGAGCAGGCTTTTTGATCAAATCTTGTAAAGCCATGTAATCATCAGGAGCATCACTAGGCACACTGGTGACAATGCCAGTACCTTTGTTGGTCAGAATGGTCAACATGGGCAGAGCATAGATGATCTCGTTGACTGACAGAGGAGACCTCAAAGGGAGTCCAATCAGATCATACCCGGTCAACTCAACCAAGCAGGAAGGCTTCTGAGGGATCTTTGAGAAGTTCTGGTAGGCAAGGTTGAGTGCAGCTCTCTCAGTAAGGATGAAGACATCAGTTTCACTGATTTCATAAGCTCCATATTTCCCATCAGGCAGTACCCAAGCGTTTGTTTGTCCATACATGGTCTCAGGTCTCAAAGTAGCTGCAGCCAAAAAAACTCTCTTACCTTCCAAAGGACCCAGTTTCAGAGGAAATGGCTTGACTACTTCCATCTTTATGAGTGTATACTCTTGAGGCTGAACACCTTCGCCAGTAGCACGGTCGTGATCAGCACAAGGCTGGCCATCTAACGGTGAGAATATTGTGTACCTGCGGTCTTTAACAATCTTTCCCATAGATTTCAACTTCCTCATCTGCCACCTCACAAAGGCATCGAAAAAGGGATTAACATCAGTGGTCACAAACGAGCGCCTCCAATCACAACCCAATCCATATGCCCTGAGATCTTCAACAGCCAAAGGGGGAAAGTAATACAACCATTCATAAGGATCTTGGAACTTTGCAATCTCACTGTCAGTAAGACCAAAACTGCGCATAATCTCCCACTGATAAACCTGTCCACCAGCTTTGGCAGCCACCTTAGACTTCTTTCCCTTGAACTGACCCGGTAAAGCTATAGTATCACTGCTCTCCTCCTGAACTTCAGGAACTTTGGTGGTGTCTTCAGCAGTGAACACAGGAGGGTTACCAAACTGTTGAATCTCACGAGAAAGCTTATCCGCAGAAGCCTTAATCGGCATACCAGTACAATGAAAACCAAATGGAAGAAGCACATTAGCTCCTCTTAGCCTATGGTAAGCAGAAGCAAAATCAACCTTGGACAATGAAAAGGCATGGCCAATGTGTAGATAACCATTCATATAAGGGAAAGGGAAGGTTGAGAAGAACTTTTCTCCAGGTTCTGGAAGATTCTCACGAGATTCAGCCTTGAATACTTCCTCATCTTCCCACCACTTTCGAACCGCTACCTCAATCTCAAGAAGACGATCTCTCCTCGCGAAGCTTTTCGAATCAGATGCCATTAAGTGACAGTGCCTGCCCAAACGAAATCAAACCAATACGCAAACCTCAAAATTTAGATATTGGCTTCTTAAGTGCAACACACAAAAACATCAGTAAATTGAGTCTACCAGCTTGGGGAGAGAATTACCTTAGGGATGATGAACTTTGAGGAATCACGAATCGAGCCCACCGCGAAAATAATCCGAGATTTGACGGAGACAGAGCCAGTGGGAGAGATAAGGAATGATTTTTTAGGGTTTTTCTTTAAGAGTACCTTCTTCAATCTTTGGATTCGACGGCAGATTATTAACTGAACCAGTCTCGCCAAAACCGGATCCAAGTCAAACCCAATTAGGTTTTGGCCCACATCCACTAAAAGGCCCAGATATTTGTCGTCTAGACAAATATAGTTGCTACTTGCTATTCAATTCCTTTGTTTTGTCTTGGTTTTAGTCGATACTCAAGTTTTGCTACTCCCTTTTCAAGTGTTACTGATTTCTCTTTTGTCGACGATGCTTATGTCAACAGCTACGTAAGACCATTGGTTCATATATATGGTGGATTGTTCAATACTAATAATTTCAGTCCATTTGCATGAAAAAATATGTTGAAAAATTAAAGTTACGCCTCAAACTTGAAAGATTAGTAATGGAAGCAAATCTAGAGACTGATCGTTAAAGAATTCTCGACTATGTTATAGAGAACGTTATTAGATTAATTCTTTCAATCTTTCATCAACACCATAAATAAATAAATTTTGAAACTCTATAGATTCTCGAGCGTCTAACCTTTGATTAAAATAAGAAAACTATATGATAAAAACAAGGGCTGCAAATTAATATATTGAAATTTTTCTTCAGACGAGGTTATCACCGCGTGCCTTCTCGTTCGTCTTGCTCTTACCGTCTTCTTTCACAGGAACAGGATCCTTCTTCTCCACAGTCACAGAAGACGACGCTTTACCATCTTCTTCTATCTCACGAGGTTTCAAGTACCGCCTTCCGAGAAAATTGGATAAAACCGCCAAGATTATTATAGCTGCGACGATAATACACCATCCCCAGATTGGGATCTCCATCTTTTTTTTATATATATGTTTTCGATGACAAAGAAACAGAGTAAATTGTTTGTTGATGATCAAAAATTGCTTAAGAGTTGTAGCTATATATAGATGCGGGAACTACAGGAAAGACTTGGAAATTTACCATTTTGATAAAAACTTCCTATAAAATAACGTAAAAGATAAATCATTCTTCTAATTTTTTCAATCAATAACCGGTATATTTCCTTTTCTTCAAAAAACTCATAAACTAGCAAAAAGGAAATTTCATAAACTACTACTGAGGTTTTGCCTGTCTTCTTCTTTTTTTTTTTTTTGGTAAAATTTGCCTGTCTTCTTGTTAACTTCCTTTCTTTGCTTTTCCATTTCTTCTCGATTGAAAAATGTATGTATATATCGTGTGATTTTGTTTATTTCATATAAATTATCTTTGAGATCGGAGAATTTCTGCGCTATTCAAAATTCAAACTATAGTCTACGTTGGTCTCTTTGTTTTTTCTTCAATTTTATACCCTTCTTATTTTTCTTATATATAACTACCCCTCAAAACTACAAAAAATTCCCTAAAATATTTGCATTGAACGATTCCATACTCCACAATTGATATAGAAAGTTTATGTAATCTGAGTTATTATAAACAACAAAAAAGAAAACAAACAAATGCAACTTGCATATTTTTAGCTAGTGTAATACAACGCAAGCCTTGAAATAAAATCTCATAGATATTGGCTTTTTAAGTGCATCACAAACAAAGCCTTTCAAGACGATGAGCAACAAGGCTTCTTAGCGGTTGATTCAGAAGTAGCAGCAACATCAATTGTTTCGCCTTCCTTGATGCTGGCATTTGCAGTTGTCTGGTCTGAAGATATCGACTTCTTGCTGATAATCCTATAAATCTCCGAGAGAATCGTCTGAAAAGCCTTCTCTACGTTTAATGCCTCGAGAGCCGATGTCTCAATGAAAGACAAGCCTTCTTTCTCTGCATAGCTCTGAGCATCCTCTGTGGCAACTGCTCTGAGATGCTTCAGATCTGTCTTGTTTCCAATCAACATGATGACGATGTTGGAATCTGCATGGTCTCTGAGTTCTTTTAACCACCTGCTTACATTCTCAAACGTTGTTGGCTTAGTGACATCATAGACCAAAAGAGCTCCAAGTGCACCTCTGTAATAGGCGCTAGTTATGGCTCTGTATCGTTCTTGCCCAGCCGTGTCCCATATCTGAGCTTTCACAGTCCTTCCTTCCACCTTAGAACAAAGATCATGGTTATGCCAAGAGCTTATAATTCAGATATAAGGAGCAGCAAATGCATAGATTCTATCATTAGAGCCAGCAACATAACCCAATTAGGAAACTTGCAGCTAAATTCCACAAACAACCCAGAAAGAAAACTACGAGACAGTGAAACAACAACAATGGTTCATACTTAGTAACAAAATTTCCAATTTCATTGTCTAATCTAAAGAAATCATGTTCGAGATCAATTTCAGTATTTACTATGAAGAGATTCTTAGATCTGCCTTGAACAAAGGTTTTAGATCTGACATGTGAGGCAGCCTCACACTACCACGTACCAGAGTACAAGAAATTTAGGAACATTTTAAACAAGACGCTTAAATTAAGAGATTCCAAAGTGAAGAAAACATCAAAATTCAAAACCAAGCCCAAAATGTTCCTACACACAATAGCTGCTTCCGAGTATTCAACAACACCTCAAAAACACATCTACGGGAAATGAACACAAAGAGGATCGAATCAAAAAGCATTAACAGAGAAAACGGAGAAGTCTATCCTGATTACAGAAACTTAGAACTAATCATAGATCCAGCAACATTTCGATTACACTATACTATGTATAGAGAGAGGGAGATGTGTACGTACTTGGAGAGTACGAGTAGCGAATTCGACACCGATGGTGGATTTGGATTCTAAGCAGAACTCGTTGCGAGTGAATCTAGAGAGAAGATTTGACTTGCCGACACCGGAGTCTCCGATCAAAACCACTTTAAACAAGTAGTCGTATTCTTCGTCCGGTCTTCTCGCCATTGTTACACTTTCTTCGAGGAGTGCTTTTTAGATTTGGGATTTTGAATAGAAAAGGAGAAGAAGAAATAAATAAATAAATAATTTAATTTGTTTTTCCCCTGGATCCTCTCTATTCAACCTTCTCGGCTTATTGCCCAACAAGCAACGACGAAGACTTTTATTTATCAAGTTGGGCTTAAAAACTTATAAAAAAGCCTATGAATACGTAATTCGGTAATTATGATTTGAGTCAAAAGCTAATAAAAGGGAAAGTAATTAGAGCTTAACCGGATAATAATAAACAAAATCAGAAATAAAACCAAACAGAACCGAGCCAAACCAAAGGAATACACTCATACAGATTTTAAAAACCCTACTTCATCATCATCCCTTCAACACTCCTTTATAGCTTTTCTCCGCCTCATTTTTTGCTTCTTCTCTCGATTTGCTCTCACGGAAGATTTTGCAGAACGTCTGGTAAGATCCATCGATCGAACATATCTTTTTTTCTCCAATTAGCTCATATTCATCGCTATGATCGTGTCAATTGCGAGCTCACTGCTTTGATGTTTTCCTTGGAACCAGATCCGATATCTGAAGCCCAAGTTTGCTTGAATTCCGTCTGAGCAATGGCTTTGGTGAGTTCTCTATGATTGTGTACTGTTTCGTTCGCATCCAGTATCGATATAACTGTAGAAACGTTAGATTTGGAAATCTTAGGATCTAAAGTTATCGAAGGATTGTTCATAGCACCGAATCGATTGAAATTATGTTAGTTTGGATATCTAGCTGCTCTAGTGTTAAGTTTTGATGTGTAAGACGTATTATTGTGCTAATGAATTACTGATTGCAGGTCTTGCACACGTACAAGGGAAACAAAAGTGCTGATAAGGCACTCATTGCAGCAGAGTACGTTGGTGTGAAGATCGATGTCCCCTCTGACTTTGAGATGGGTGTCACTAACAAAACCCCTGAGTTCCTCAAGATGAACCCTATTGGAAAGGTTTGTCTACACTGGTGATTGCTAAATTTCCGGAATGGGGTTAAGTCTATTTTTCAGCTAACCAAGAGTTATTGATCTTGCTAGGTTCCTGTACTTGAGACTCCCGAGGGATCAGTATTTGAGAGCAACGCCATTGCCCGTTATGGTAAAGCATTCATATCTTTCTCCTTCAGTTTTCTCTCAGTGTCTAGTTTGATTGCTTTCTGTCGTTTGGGTTATAACGGATGTGTTGATATCTCAATGCAGTAAGCCGATTGAACGGTGACAACTCTTTGAATGGATCCTCCCTGATTGAATATGTAAGTATCTGTTTTTTCCCTGGGGCTAGTCTTGTCTAATCCATTTGCACCTGTTGTATTGTTTGTCAATCTATTTGTTAGTGTTCTCAATGTTTATCTGCGTTTGTTTTTCGCAGGCACAAGTTGAGCAATGGAGCGACTTTGCTTCATTGGAGATCTATGGAAACATCTTAAGGTGGTTTGGCCCAAGAATGGGCTTTATGCCATACAGTGCTCCGGTAAGCTTTTGTGACTTTCATTGGTTGTTTCATTCACTATCTGTGATGGCAAACTCTTTTCACTATATCTATAGTACTCCAGTTCTTTTTCTTATCCCTGATTGTTTACAAATGAAGGCTGAGGAAGGTACCATCTCTGCGTTGAAGAGAGCACTTGATGCTCTGAACACTCATCTCGCTTCCAACACTTACCTTGTCGGACACTCTATTACCCTTGCTGATATTATCACGGTCTGCAACTTGAACTTGGGATTTGCTACTGTCATGACCAAGAAATTTACCTCTGAATTCCCTCATGTTGAGCGGTACTTCTGGACTGTCGTTAACCAACCAAACTTCAAGAAAGTGCTGGGTGATGTCAAACAGACTGAAGCTGTCCCTCCTATTGCTTCCAAGAAAGCTGCCCAGCCTGCGAAGCCCAAAGAAGAGCCTAAGAAAAAGGAAGCCCCAGTAGCAGAGGCACCTAAGCTTGCCGAAGAGGAAGAGGCACCAAAGCCCAAAGCCAAGAACCCTCTTGACTTGCTACCACCAAGCCCTATGGTACTAGATGATTGGAAGAGGCTTTACTCAAACACCAAATCTAACTTCCGCGAGGTTGCTATTAAAGGTGTGTGGTGATATCTTCCCCTTACCTAGTTTTACAGTTTTGCTATTATGCAATGTAAGGAGTTATTTAGCTATTGAAATCAATTGCGTTTTATCATGTCTAATATTGTGGCTCAAATGCAGGATTCTGGGACATGTATGACCCAGAGGGATACTCACTTTGGTTCTGTGACTACAAGTACAACGATGAGAACATGGTGTCATTTGTCACGCTCAACAAGGTGGGTGGGTTCCTTCAGCGTATGGACTTGGCACGTAAATACTCTTTTGGAAAGATGCTGATTTGCGGGTCAGAGGGTCCGTACAAGGTGAAGGGTTTATGGCTGTTCCGTGGACCAGAGATCCCAAAGTTCATAATGGACGAGGTGTACGACATGGAACTGTACGAGTGGACTAAGGTTGATATCTCAGATGAAGCCCAGAAGGAGCGTGTTAGCCAGATGATCGAAGACGCAGAGCCATTTGAAGGTGAGGCTCTCTTGGACGCCAAGTGCTTCAAGTGAAAAGAGAGAATGGTTTGGTACTTCCATTTACCGGTTTTGCATCTTGGGCTTTACATATCTTTCTATCTCTGTCTCTCCCATAGGGATTTTGCTCTGTGACTTGTGTCGCATAGACTGTTTTTTCTAATTGAGTGTCAAGGACAAGTCTTTTTAGTTCTTTGTTAATGTTTCGCCTCTCTTTTTTTTTTTTCTTTGTTGTGCCAGAATTGTTTACCATACCAGTTTTCGAAGTTCTGACCGGCCAGTCTACCCTGGCAATAGGCAATAACATGGTCTGGTTTATTTGTTTTACAGTAATTTTGCCTTGGGTTGATTTGCTTCGACGCTTTTCGGTCAAATTATATACATTGGTCTTTGAGTTGAACATTTTAGACATACATATACAGGGAAGGTTTCAAGTTTTAAAAATTGTCGAAAAAGGTAACTCTTGAAGAATAAGTCGACTTAATTTCGAAGAAATGACAGGTTCATCTCGAAATTAACTAATGAAAAAGGTATTTATATATATGTTGTAGTAACTAGACAAAATAATGTAACATTTGTTGATAATATTTGCAAGTATTTATCGTATCAAAGAATATATTACAAATCTCATAGCAGATTAGATATATAAATTGCTTATTATAATTACTGTTTCGCTGTGGAAAATGTAAAAGATTGGTAAAAAAAAGAGAGATGATTTATCTCAGCTTCACCTCGTGGTTGTTAGTTTTCCGGCGACTTCTATCAAGCTTTTGTTCTCGGAAAAGATCTGGTGATGGGAAGAGAAAAGAATTTGAAGATTAAATTGAATCCTTTATCTTTTCTTTGTTTTAATAGTTGTTTGTTTTGATAATCCGGAGATCGATGTTTCTGGTTGTTCATTCGCCGGAATTTGTGCTGGATTGTGTCTGCATATTTCTTGCTCAAAGTTTGTGGGTACCGGTTTATTAGGTTATCCGGTTTACCCGGTTTGTAAGATCGGTTTAATAAAATAAATATCCTTTTGTGAAAAAAAAAAAAGTTATTAACTCGAAAATAAAAGAAAGGTAGTGTATCAATTAATTAATTACGTATTTATTAGAGTTGGTGGTCTCAAACGAAATGAATTGTTCTTTACTACTAGTACAAAGGCATATAATCTCTAAAGAAAATCTGGGGGTCGAATTGTTCTTTTCCCTTTTTTCTAATTTCAACATCAAAAGTTTGTTCCACCAGAAGAATTTGTTCTTTGCTGCAGCAAAAGATCGATCCGTCCTTGCTTACAAGCAGAAAAGTCTTATCGAGAGAGAGAGAGAGAGAAAGATGAGACAGAACTCAGCAAGTGGTCTTTCATGGCGGCGTTTACTGTTCTTCGCTTCGATTGGTTTGCAGTTTTTCTTAGGTTTGTCTTCTTCAGATCTATCTGATTTCATTTCACTTTTTGTAGAATCATCATCTGATTTAGTTTGGGATTTTAGGTTCTAAATTCGCTAGATTTATGTTAAATTTAGCTCAACTTGGCTCTTTCTAGATACTTAATCGTTATGCATTAGGTCTTTTGCGATCAGGATCGCAACATGCAGATAGGAAGATTGTATTTTTCTCTGTTGAGTAGATCTTGGCCACACATATACAACCAAATCTGTAACTTTGTGCTTAACATGTGTTAGTAAAGAGAAAAATAAGCAAAGAGACCGTTCAATTCATGGGTTTGGTGTGGCTATAGTTTCTTTTACTATCTTCACTGGATAATAGTTGTTTACCTTTGTCCTATATGCGAGACCATGTCCTGATTTGAAGAGGTTGTCTGCAAAATCTATTGCTTTTGTGACATGTATTTATATAATTCATCAGTTGTTTCAGACATTTGAAGTTTTTACATAAGCTATTTCTACAATTGGCCAACATGTGCTTTTAATAGAAGTAGGCTAATGTCTCTCCCGTAAATTCTTTAAATGCATGTTGCAATTGATCTTGTTCTCTGTTGTCTATGTGTGTAGTTGTTGTTGCTCCCCTTTAGTTGAAGATAAGAAACTAGGTAAACTATTTGAGGATAGACTGTGTAGCTTTAGCTGACTAGTGGGTGTCTAAACGACAAGATTTACAGTCACGAGTGATCTTGAGGACAGCATAAACTTTGATTTTTTTTTACATGCTAAGAGGACATTTAGTAACTAAGTCTTCTGATATGATATTTGCAGGTCTATCTGGTGATTCCAAGAATACAAATGCTGGAGTCAAGGCAGAATCTCATACTTCTTCCAGCAAAACAGGCACAAAAGTAATCCTCATACTGGTTGGATTTGTGGCTGTGGCGGTGTTCTCGTTCTTTCTATACAAGCTATGGCAAAAGAAGAAAAGAGACGAGCAGTATGCTAGACTCTTGAAGCTGTTTGAGGAAGATGATGAACTGGAGGTTGAATTAGGCCTTCGAGATTAAAAAACGCAAATTTGTCAACAAAGCCCTCATGTATGTTTGTGTTCGTTTGTCTGATCATGTAGGTGGAACTTATGGCCATTTCAATTTGAAGTACATATATATACGCATACTTTGATGGGTTACTGATGTAGCTGCCTTGTCACTAATCATCATCAATTCATCATTATCCTCTCTAGACGATTGTTTTCCAATGTTGTACAATTTATTTTTCTTTCTTTCACGTTTTTATTAACAAATAGTGTGAGTTTAGGTTCTAAACAAATTCGACAGATAGTGTGAGTTTAGGTTCTAACACTTTAGAAAAATTAGTTAGGAGATCTGTGTCCGTGTCTGAAGTTTCCTAGAAAATTCTTACTCAAGATTAGATTTAAGAAACAGAAAGTGTTGAGTTTTACTTTTCCTTACACATCCAACTTAAGAAGCGTATACTAAGTATATCCATTGGATTTTGGTTATTTATCGGTTTTCTTTCTAAATATCTGAACCGAACCGAACTGACAAATAACCGAACCGAATCAAAAACTGAAGAATCAAAAACCGAAAGAATCGAACCGAATAGAACTGAAGAACTGAACGCCCTTGATCTGATGAAAAGGTAGTGTTGAGTTTTAAGAAACGGCAAGTGTTGAGTTTTACTTTTCCTTACACATCCAACTTAAGAAGCGTATACTAAGTATATCCATTGGATTTTGGTTATTTATCGGTTTTCTTTCTAAATATCTGAACCGAACCGAACTGACAAATAACCGAACCGAATCAAAAACTGAAGAATCAAAAACCGAAAGAACCGAACCGAATAGAACCGAAGAACCGAACGCCCTTGATCTGATGAAAAGGTAGTGTTGAGTTTTAAGAAACGGCAAGTGTTGAGTTTTACTTTTCTGTAGAAGATTTTTGTTTTCCTGTTTATTTGTGAGATTACTTTTATCTATAAATAAACCTCTTTAATCTCTTCATCAACAATGACTTGTCTACAATCACAAGTATGTCGAAAAAGCAACGTTGCTTGATGATGGAAGAGCGGATCCTAGAGAGACTGGCTGTGGATCCTCTGCTGAGATTCAAGGCTGTATCGAAACAATAGAAATCAACTATCGAATTTCCATTGTTCCAGCAAAGACAGTTCACACAGCGTCAGCAATCAGGTAATCCAGATGTTCTCATGGTCTCCCTATGTCGTTATGATGTTTTTAATCCCGAAATAGAAGCTCTAGCTACATTGGTGTTGGGTTCATCATCATCTGTCAAGATCCCTACTCCTTGGGAGAAGGAGGAGGAGGACACAAAATACTAGTTATTCAATAATGTACCGAATCGGTACCGAACCGATATATTTCGGGTAACTGAAATACCCGAAATTCATTTATATTATCAAAATAATTAGTTATATATAGACCAAATAATCAAAAATAATTAAAAATATATATAAAAATGGTAAAAATACTCGAAAATAACCAAAATATATCCAAAAATATCCGAAAATATCCTAAGCAAAATAACCGAATGGATACTAAATTTTAAAACCGAAATAACCAGAACCAAACCGAACCGAAATCGAACCAAAATTTCAAAATATCCGAATGGATACTAAATTTTGAAACCGAAAGAACCAAAACCGAATGGACCCAACCGATAACGGACCGGTTAACCGAAAGCTCAGGCCTACCAAACAGATCTGAAGCATTCAAATTTCTTGACTCTTGCAAAGCATACAACAGAGAATATAGCTGCCTTGTCACTAATCAATCATCAATTCATCATTATCCTCTCTAGGCGATTGTTTTCCAATGTTGTACAATTTAATTTTCTTTCTTTCACTATTTTTTTTTTTACAAATAGTGTGAGTTTAGGTTCTAAACAAATTCGACAGATAGTGTGAGTTTAGGTTCTAACACTTTAGAAAAATTAGTTAGGAGATCTGTGTCCGTGTCTTAAGTTTCCTAGAAAATTCTTACTCAGGATTAGATTTAAGAAACAGAAAGTGTTGAGTTTCACTTTTCCATACTCTTTGTCTTTGTTAAAACTGAGATACAAAACGGAGAGAAACTGAGAGTTAAAGGTGGTGAAGAGAACACCACATCAAAAGTTCAACGTATAACCGTTGTGTAGCTCTAGTGTAGCTCTAGTGGCTCAAAAACTATTGGCTCTCTGATTCACGCCATGTGTTGTTAGCTTCTACGAAATCATCAAGTGACTTGTTCTCATGTCCCATTGACACACAAAGAAACTTCCCCTCCTCCTTTATCATTTTGTCAGCCTGCCAAAAATCATGGGCAACAACCTTCATTAGAAACTCCCTAGTGTATACCAAATTACAGATGTTGATTATTAAGGAGGGATAAACATTCATGCCAAAAATATCAATCAAACGATCTTAGCCTAAACCAAGAGAGAACTAAGGGGCCAACGAATAAATCAACCAAAAGTAAATTGAAATTGGGGAGATATATTCATCTACATACCTCTTGGAGTTCATTTTCATCAAAATCGTCAATTGCAAGAACTTGAGAAGCAGAACGGTTGGCACGGTTCTTGGCTCCTTTCTTCTTCTCAGCTTTCTCATCAAGCGGATACTTTGCATTATCATGCTCCAGCAACTGTAGAAGCTCCTCTCTTACCATCTTATCATCAACCTCAATCGGAGTAGGAGGAACAACAGAAATTTTGTCTCCATCAGCTGAAAGCAACGAGTTCCTAATTACTTCCAATGAAGCAGTTGAGGTTCTAGGAAGATCTCTCTGCAAGACCTTGGATCTCTTCTTAAGCAATGCCTGTTGTCTTGCTTCTTCCTCAGCCTTTTCCCTCGCTATCTTGTCTGACATGTCTTCCTCAATTTTCTCTGCTGGCTCTTCACTTTCCTCTCGAGGAGGTTGTGCAACTATTTGCCCAGTCAAACCAGAGCGTAAACTCCTTCTAGCTTCCTCTCGTCTCTGCCTCTCAAGTTTTGCACTTTCGTGCATGTCCATGTCTTCATTAATGTGAAGTTGAACCCTGAAGGGAGTCCCTTTGGGTGTCATAGGAAAAGAAGAACCATCCCTTGATGGCGTCAAGCCAATTCTTGGAGTAAGACCAGAAACACCAGGAGACATTGAAGGGGTCGACATTGGATTAGGCGTTTGAATCTCCTTCTTTCTCGGAGTGACCCCAGTGAAGTCAGAAGGGTGCAACTCAGGATTTTCTCCTCCTAGCAAAGGTTTCTGAGAGTCTCTTAATCTGGCGAGGCTTTCTGCTTCCATCATAATAGCATCACCTTTACCAGCAGGAGTTCTTTTATGCGTCCTCATGGGTGTCATTTTACCAGCAGGAGTTCTTCGAGGCGTCCTCCTCATGGGTGTCATTCCTTGCCTTGGTGTTTGTGAGTAACTTGTCAAAAGTGCACGAGTAGCAGCACTGCCTTCTGTTAGCTCCTCATTCTTGGCAAGAAGGTCACTGGCGCAACACATCTTTGACCTCTTCCTAACAGCGTCCGGATCATTCAGCTTCTTCGCTTGCAATATAGCAGCTGGAGCATCCTGTCTCTGAGCAATTTTATTCCTTGCAACATCTTGTTTGCGTAAATGTGCTTGGACATGCTTCTCAAGCCCTTTGTGCTCTCTCTCAAACCCCTTTCTTGAACACTGAAAAGAAAGAAAGAACATGAGAATATACTCTTGTAACTTTTCTTGCATACGAAATGTTGAAATGAGTGATTCATTTGAGTAAAAACCAAAACAGAACACACTTAACTTCATTCATCAAAACAACAACAACTACATCTCATCTCACATTTCAGTTCACTTTTAAACTCTCAAACGACGCATACACTAAAGTACCTAAACAGCTTTTTCTTTTCTCTTACCACAACATTGGAACTCAAAAAAGACAACAACATCACAAAGGGCTTTCACACAAATTCAGGCCCAAACACACTTGGCCAAGCTAACGACAATCACTTCTTCTTCAAGGCATTGCACATAACAGGGAAACACAACCAGCATCACTCAACACTAAATAGTTACATACCTCTGTACTATTGTAAGCTGGAGCATCCTGTCTCTGAGCAATTTTATTCCTTGCAACATCTTGTTTGCGTAAATGTGCTTGGACATGCTTCTCAAGCCCTTTGTGCTCTCTCTCAAACCCCTTTCTTGAACACTGAAAAGAAAGAAAGAACATGAGAATATACTCTTGTAACTTTTCTTGCATACGAAATGTTGAAATGAGTGATTCATTTGAGTAAAAACCAAAACAGAACACACTTAACTTCATTCATCAAAACAACAACAACTACATCTCATCTCACATTTCAGTTCACTTTTAAACTCTCAAACGACACATACACTAAAGTACCTAAACAGCTTTTTCTTTTTCTCTTACCACAACATTGGAACTCAAAAAAGACAACAACATCACAAAGGGCTTTCACACAAATTCAGGCCCAAACACACTTGGCCAAGCTAACGACAATCACTTCTTCAAGGCATTGCACATAACAGGGAAACACAACCAGCATCACTCAACACATACCTCTGTATTGTAAGATTGACTCTTTTTCTCCACATGTGGATTCCCGAGCCGTAACCTCTGTCGCCATTTGTCCTCTTGGGATTCTTGCATCATCCTGGCAATCTTCTTCTCTGCAAGAGTTCTCAGAGGATCAACCTCTAGTACCCTCTCTTCGCCAACCCTTTCATAGACCTTCAGAAGAAGAGAAACAAAGAAATATTACAAGACACAAACAATTAGAAACAAGACAAGACACACGGCAAGAAGAGGAAAGAATACTTTTTTGTGTTGAAAGTTACAAAGATGCTTTTTCTTGCAAACACCTGGTTCGTCATAGGCACACCAGTTGTTCTTCTTCTTCCGATCAAGGTCATCAATTCTTTCTAAACACTGCTCAATGGAAAACCTGCCTCCTAAGACCCTAATTAGTTCTGAACACTTACTAGGATAAAGGGAACCGAAGTTTTTTAGTAGCAAACGATCGGCTTCGTCGTTCCACATAGCTACGGTTTTAGATTTTGACGAAAAAAAGTATCGAGACAGAAAATGGAAACGTTGATCGAAGTGAAAGAAAAGAGCCTTTAGAGGAGGAATTCGAGAAAGATGATCGATTTGGGAGATTTGGAGTTAGGTTATGAGGGAAGCGCCGTTGATCGAAGTGAAAGAAAAGAGCCGTTAGAGGAATACGAGAAAGATGATCGATTTGGGAAATTTGAAGTTAGGTTATGAGGGAAGCGTAATCCAATTTTCCTCTCTTATAAACATGTCTTAAGTTAACCGGGCCTCACATGTCGGTTTGGGCTTAGAAGCTTCCGACGGTTTGGTTTGGGCCTCAATGGCCCGGTTAACCTTTTTTTTTTTTTTTTTTGCCTTTGCGACCCAAACCAAACCAAACCGTGAGGGTTCGGTCGTCGTCTACGCAACTTGCCACTGCTGCTGTTCCAAAGTCCACACATACTTAACCACAGACACAACCTCTTCAAGCAATTTCCCCTGTTTGGTTTAACGGCTGCTCATAACCCGTTTCCACAGGTTTGCTTCTTATTAGTCCTCTGGATTTCTGGGTTTCTTTTTGCAACTAATCATTGATTTATTTGTGTCTTTGGACTATTCTGAATCCCATATGTTCCAAATTGTTTTTTTTTTCTTCTTCAGGTTTCTCTGTTTTTTTCGTTAAGATTGGAACTTTTGCTTTCCATTGTAAATTTTGTTATGTTTTGGAAACTTATGTTGAAGTAAATGAGCATGTTTTGACAGTATTTGTTCATGTTGAGTTCTGCTGTCTAAGTAGAGATATCAGAACTCAAAAAGTTTTTGTCTTTATTCGAATTGCCACTCATGTTTTCTCTTGTAACTCATGGGAATGAATTTTCGGTTTTGTTTTAGAAATCCTAAAAGTTTTTTCTGTTAGGGGTCCTTTGTTCTCTCATCTTCATCGTGGGGAACATTCTGAACTTTGTCCATTTGACTATAGTAACTAACAATTGTGGCTATCACGCGATCTCTCGTTGTTCTTGCTGACAAAAGTATCCCATTATTTTGATGTCCCTTTGGTTTTGTGTTATTGCATCCCTCTCTAACCCAAAGCTTATAACACAATAGCAAATTTGTCTTTTTACATCCCAATGAACTTTCTTAGTCCGGATTGTTGTGTGCAAAATCAATACCATTATGAGGTCTTTAGTAACTATATCTTTGTTTTATGCTCTTTTTAAGAGAAAGTGGTGCATCTAAATGGTTGTTTTTTGTTGACTACCATTAACAGATTACTTGATTCTCCATGCTAACCTTTTTTTCTTTTATTTTTTTTTATTTTGTCCCCTTCCAATGGCTGCAGTGTATCTTGAAATTTGGTAATGGCCACTGAACAGAACACTCTGGATTGCATCCTTTCATGCTACCGCATTATTTGTTCTGTTCTTCTTTACTTGATTGAGTTTCTATTAAGACAATGCTTTAGTGGTGTTGATTTCTGATTCCTTTTGCATTAGTAGATTTTTTGGATATTTCTCATGCATTAGGGTTTGTTTGATGAGAAACGACACGGCTGTTCTTGTAATTTCTTTCGTTTCTTGAACTTTGATATCATTTTAAAACGTACGATTATGATATCCTTTTATAGCTTTAATCCCGCCATAGGTTGTAGAATATAACTTTCAGGACAATAGGCTGTCCAAGAATAGTAAACTGACAAAGAAGTGGATTTTCTTTGTTACATCAATTAGCGTTTGCCCCTTAACATTAACTCTAGCTGAGACTACTTTTGCGCAAACAGTACCAGCTCCAGATCCAACAACAAAGAAACAGGATGGGGTTTTTACAATCTTATTAGCCACATACTTTTAATCTCCTGCTAGCAAAGAATGCTTACATAAAGTTTGGTAATCTTTTCAGTCTCCTCCAACAAATCGGTACCGTTATAGTGTCACTGTCACTGCCACTGCATGTGCTAATAATGGTACGACAAATTCTAAAGGCTTTGGTTCTTATCAACCACCTAATAAGTCTGCTAGTTTCTTATTACTCTGAATAGGTTCTCACACATCACTTTCCTCTAATTTTTCTATTTGCATAATCACTTACTATTATGGCTCAGTAGTTAATGATCTATGGCTAATTTTTTTAAGTCATTGTTGCTTGTGATGCGTTTTGCAGGATCTGATGTAGTCTCTTCTCAGCCAGATGACAATAGCCAAACACACGCTACAGATTTTCTAAAGGTTTGATTTTGCCATTGCCTTTTATAGATTTGATGTAATTTCTTTGTCTTGACATGCTATCATGCTTGGCGCTGGGTCATTTTCATAGGGAAGTCACCGTGACAAAAACAGCTCATATGTCTATTCTGATTCGACTTCGCGTGGAGATCAAGCAAAAACAAGCAATTGTTGGTCTCAAACTTCTTTTTCGGCTCCTAACCCTCCTGGAAATTTCAATGGTGCTGTTACATTTTGCAGTACATTGCAGGAGGCTTTTCATAAATTTATTGGCCAGTCAGTGAAGATCTTCTGCTCAAGTCGAACGGTAAGAGGTTTTTACATAAGTTTATTGGCCAGCGAGTTAAGAATTTTAGGTCTTGTTCGAGCAGTTATAGCCTAAACTTCTGTTACCAGAAACTAAAACTTGCATATGTACAAATGATCCAACACTTATTTGTGTCTGAAGAAACGTTTCACTTAGTTTTGGGTTGCCTTTGTCTACTATAGATTCATAAGGACCATGCTTTGCAGTAAATTGATATCTATAAAAGCTAGTATTGATGAATTACATATATTTAAATGAAATGCTCATTTTTTCTTTTTCTTTTTTATATATATTAGCTGACGTTGATATAGCTAACCACGGTTGTTGCATGCGAGGCTGCTGATCTTGCTGTGAAGGTATTTTTTTATAAGTTTGTTGACAAGTCTTAATGATATGAGTGGGTGTGTGACTTAGCCCACAAATGGTTTGGTTGTTGCAGATGATTTTGGATGCAATCGAACAAGTGAAAGGAATTTATGCTGTGACTGCTGATCATGGAAACGCATTGGACATGGTGAAGAGGGATAAGTCTGAGAAGCCTGCTTTGGATAAGGAAGGGAAGCTTCAGATTCTAACATCTCACACACTCGAGCCAGTAAGTCAATATCTGTCATCTGTGTTGTAAAACATCTGATGTGCAATTGTAATTATTGCTTGTAGGTGCCAATTGCTATTGGAGGTCCTGGCTTGACTCAAGGAGTGAGATTCCGTAAAGATCTGGAAATACAGGGGCTTGCGAATGTAGCTGCAACAGTGATGAACCTCCATGGATTTGTGGCTCCCTCTGACTATGAGCCCACTCTAATTGAAGTAGTGGAGTAGAAGAATTGAGAGCCTAATCAGTTTTGAATAGAGGGCTCAAACTCTCTAGTTATCTTTTGTTATTGCTTTCTAATAATAAGAGTTTACACACAGACTTGTTGTATTTTTTGATTTTGGCTTCAGGCCACAAACATTGAAATTTGATTCAAATGATATGCAAGCTTTTTTATCTCTCTCCCATACATCTCTTCTAGCCAAGGATAAAATTGAATGAGAGAGGAGGATTGAACAACTTGAGATTGTACATTTGAAACCAAACAGATCTGAAGCATTCAACTTTCTTGACTCTTGCAAAGCATACAACAGAGAATATAGCTGCCTTGTCACTAATCAATCATCAATTCATCATTATCCTCTCTAGACGATTGTTTTCCAATGTTGTACAATTTATTTTTCTTTCTTTCACTATTTTTTTTTTTTACAAATAGTGTGAGTTTAGGTTCTAAACAAATTCGACAGATAGTGTGAGTTTAGGTTCTAACACTTTAGAAAAATTAGTTAGGAGATCTGTGTCCGTGTCTTAAGTTTCCTAGAAAATTCTTACTCAGGATTAGATTTAAGAAACAGAAAGTGTTGAGTTTCACTTTTCCATACTCTTTGTCTTTGTTAAAACTGAGATACAAAACGGAGAGAAACTGAGAGTTAAAGGTGGTGAAGAGAACACCACATCAAAAGTTCAACGTATAACCGTTGTGTAGCTCTAGTGTAGCTCTAGTGGCTCAAAAACTATTGGCTCTCTGATTCACGCCATGTGTTGTTAGCTTCTACGAAATCATCAAGTGACTTGTTCTCATGTCCCATTGACACACAAAGAAACTTCCCCTCCTCCTTTATCATTTTGTCAGCCTGCCAAAAATCATGGGCAACAACCTTCATTAGAAACTCCCTAGTGTATACCAAATTACAGATGTTGATTATTAAGGAGGGATAAACATTCATGCCAAAAATATCAATCAAACGATCTTAGCCTAAACCAAGAGAGAACTAAGGGGCCAACGAATAAATCAACCAAAAGTAAATTGAAATTGGGGAGATATATTCATCTACATACCTCTTGGAGTTCATTTTCATCAAAATCGTCAATTGCAAGAACTTGAGAAGCAGAACGGTTGGCACGGTTCTTGGCTCCTTTCTTCTTCTCAGCTTTCTCATCAAGCGGATACTTTGCATTATCATGCTCCAGCAACTGTAGAAGCTCCTCTCTTACCATCTTATCATCAACCTCAATCGGAGTAGGAGGAACAACAGAAATTTTGTCTCCATCAGCTGAAAGCAACGAGTTCCTAATTACTTCCAATGAAGCAGTTGAGGTTCTAGGAAGATCTCTCTGCAAGACCTTGGATCTCTTCTTAAGCAATGCCTGTTGTCTTGCTTCTTCCTCAGCCTTTTCCCTCGCTATCTTGTCTGACATGTCTTCCTCAATTTTCTCTGCTGGCTCTTCACTTTCCTCTCGAGGAGGTTGTGCAACTATTTGCCCAGTCAAACCAGAGCGTAAACTCCTTCTAGCTTCCTCTCGTCTCTGCCTCTCAAGTTTTGCACTTTCGTGCATGTCCATGTCTTCATTAATGTGAAGTTGAACCCTGAAGGGAGTCCCTTTGGGTGTCATAGGAAAAGAAGAACCATCCCTTGATGGCGTCAAGCCAATTCTTGGAGTAAGACCAGAAACACCAGGAGACATTGAAGGGGTCGACATTGGATTAGGCGTTTGAATCTCCTTCTTTCTCGGAGTGACCCCAGTGAAGTCAGAAGGGTGCAACTCAGGATTTTCTCCTCCTAGCAAAGGTTTCTGAGAGTCTCTTAATCTGGCGAGGCTTTCTGCTTCCATCATAATAGCATCACCTTTACCAGCAGGAGTTCTTTTATGCGTCCTCATGGGTGTCATTTTACCAGCAGGAGTTCTTCGAGGCGTCCTCCTCATGGGTGTCATTCCTTGCCTTGGTGTTTGTGAGTAACTTGTCAAAAGTGCACGAGTAGCAGCACTGCCTTCTGTTAGCTCCTCATTCTTGGCAAGAAGGTCACTGGCGCAACACATCTTTGACCTCTTCCTAACAGCGTCCGGATCATTCAGCTTCTTCGCTTGCAATATAGCAGCTGGAGCATCCTGTCTCTGAGCAATTTTATTCCTTGCAACATCTTGTTTGCGTAAATGTGCTTGGACATGCTTCTCAAGCCCTTTGTGCTCTCTCTCAAACCCTTTCTTGAACACTGAAAAGAAAGAAAGAACATGAGAATATACTCTTGTAACTTTTCTTGCATACGAAATGTTGAAATGAGTGATTCATTTGAGTAAAAACCAAAACAGAACACACTTAACTTCATTCATCAAAACAACAACAACTACATCTCATCTCACATTTCAGTTCACTTTTAAACTCTCAAACGACACATACACTAAAGTACCTAAACAGCTTTTTCTTTTTCTCTTACCACAACATTGGAACTCAAAAAAGACAACAACATCACAAAGGGCTTTCACACAAATTCAGGCCCAAACACACTTGGCCAAGCTAACGACAATCACTTCTTCAAGGCATTGCACATAACAGGGAAACACAACCAGCATCACTCAACACATACCTCTGTATTGTAAGATTGACTCTTTTTCTCCACATGTGGATTCCCGAGCCGTAACCTCTGTCGCCATTTGTCCTCTTGGGATTCTTGCATCATCCTGGCAATCTTCTTCTCTGCAAGAGTTCTCAGAGGATCAACCTCTAGTACCCTCTCTTCGCCAACCCTTTCATAGACCTTCAGAAGAAGAGAAACAAAGAAATATTACAAGACACAAACAATTAGAAACAAGACAAGACACACGGCAAGAAGAGGAAAGAATACTTTTTTGTGTTGAAAGTTACAAAGATGCTTTTTCTTGCAAACACCTGGTTCGTCATAGGCACACCAGTTGTTCTTCTTCTTCCGATCAAGGTCATCAATTCTTTCTAAACACTGCTCAATGGAAAACCTGCCTCCTAAGACCCTAATTAGTTCTGAACACTTACTAGGATAAAGGGAACCGAAGTTTTTTAGTAGCAAACGATCGGCTTCGTCGTTCCACATAGCTACGGTTTTAGATTTTGACGAAAAAAAGTATCGAGACAGAAAATGGAAACGTTGATCGAAGTGAAAGAAAAGAGCCTTTAGAGGAGGAATTCGAGAAAGATGATCGATTTGGGAGATTTGGAGTTAGGTTATGAGGGAAGCGCCGTTGATCGAAGTGAAAGAAAAGAGCCGTTAGAGGAATACGAGAAAGATGATCGATTTGGGAAATTTGAAGTTAGGTTATGAGGGAAGCGTAATCCAATTTTCCTCTCTTATAAACATGTCTTAAGTTAACCGGGCCTCACATGTCGGTTTGGGCTTAGAAGCTTCCGACGGTTGGTTTGGGCCTCAATGGCCCGGTTAACCTTTTTTTTTTTTTTTTTTGCCTTTGCGACCCAAACCAAACCAAACCGTGAGGGTTCGGTCGTCGTCTACGCAACTTGCCACTGCTGCTGTTCCAAAGTCCACACATACTTAACCACAGACACAACCTCTTCAAGCAATTTCCCCTGTTTGGTTTAACGGCTGCTCATAACCCGTTTCCACAGGTTTGCTTCTTATTAGTCCTCTGGATTTCTGGGTTTCTTTTTGCAACTAATCATTGATTTATTTGTGTCTTTGGACTATTCTGAATCCCATATGTTCCAAATTGTTTTTTTTTTCTTCTTCAGGTTTCTCTGTTTTTTTCGTTAAGATTGGAACTTTTGCTTTCCATTGTAAATTTTGTTATGTTTTGGAAACTTATGTTGAAGTAAATGAGCATGTTTTGACAGTATTTGTTCATGTTGAGTTCTGCTGTCTAAGTAGAGATATCAGAACTCAAAAAGTTTTTGTCTTTATTCGAATTGCCACTCATGTTTTCTCTTGTAACTCATGGGAATGAATTTTCGGTTTTGTTTTAGAAATCCTAAAAGTTTTTTCTGTTAGGGGTCCTTTGTTCTCTCATCTTCATCGTGGGGAACATTCTGAACTTTGTCCATTTGACTATAGTAAACTAACAATTGTGGCTATCACGCGATCTCTCGTTGTTCTTGCTGACAAAAGTATCCCATTATTTTGATGTCCCTTTGGTTTTGTGTTATTGCATCCCTCTCTAACCCAAAGCTTATAACACAATAGCAAATTTGTCTTTTTACATCCCAATGAACTTTCTTAGTCCGGATTGTTGTGTGCAAAATCAATACCATTATGAGGTCTTTAGTAACTATATCTTTGTTTTATGCTCTTTTTAAGAGAAAGTGGTGCATCTAAATGGTTGTTTTTTGTTGACTACCATTAACAGATTACTTGATTCTCCATGCTAACCTTTTTTTCTTTTATTTTTTTTATTTTGTCCCCTTCCAATGGCTGCAGTGTATCTTGAAATTTGGTAATGGCCACTGAACAGAACACTCTGGATTGCATCCTTTCATGCTACCGCATTATTTGTTCTGTTCTTCTTTACTTGATTGAGTTTCTATTAAGACAATGCTTTAGTGGTGTTGATTTCTGATTCCTTTTGCATTAGTAGATTTTTTGGATATTTCTCATGCATTAGGGTTTGTTTGATGAGAAACGACACGGCTGTTCTTGTAATTTCTTTCGTTTCTTGAACTTTGATATCATTTTAAAACGTACGATTATGATATCCTTTTATAGCTTTAATCCCGCCATAGGTTGTAGAATATAACTTTCAGGACAATAGGCTGTCCAAGAATAGTAAACTGACAAAGAAGTGGATTTTCTTTGTTACATCAATTAGCGTTTGCCCCTTAACATTAACTCTAGCTGAGACTACTTTTGCGCAAACAGTACCAGCTCCAGATCCAACAACAAAGAAACAGGATGGGGTTTTTACAATCTTATTAGCCACATACTTTTAATCTCCTGCTAGCAAAGAATGCTTACATAAAGTTTGGTAATCTTTTCAGTCTCCTCCAACAAATCGGTACCGTTATAGTGTCACTGTCACTGCCACTGCATGTGCTAATAATGGTACGACAAATTCTAAAGGCTTTGGTTCTTATCAACCACCTAATAAGTCTGCTAGTTTCTTATTACTCTGAATAGGTTCTCACACATCACTTTCCTCTAATTTTTCTATTTGCATAATCACTTACTATTATGGCTCAGTAGTTAATGATCTATGGCTAATTTTTTTAAGTCATTGTTGCTTGTGATGCGTTTTGCAGGATCTGATGTAGTCTCTTCTCAGCCAGATGACAATAGCCAAACACACGCTACAGATTTTCTAAAGGTTTGATTTTGCCATTGCCTTTTATAGATTTGATGTAATTTCTTTGTCTTGACATGCTATCATGCTTGGCGCTGGGTCATTTTCATAGGGAAGTCACCGTGACAAAAACAGCTCATATGTCTATTCTGATTCGACTTCGCGTGGAGATCAAGCAAAAACAAGCAATTGTTGGTCTCAAACTTCTTTTTCGGCTCCTAACCCTCCTGGAAATTTCAATGGTGCTGTTACATTTTGCAGTACATTGCAGGAGGCTTTTCATAAATTTATTGGCCAGTCAGTGAAGATCTTCTGCTCAAGTCGAACGGTAAGAGGTTTTTACATAAGTTTATTGGCCAGCGAGTTAAGAATTTTAGGTCTTGTTCGAGCAGTTATAGCCTAAACTTCTGTTACCAGAAACTAAAACTTGCATATGTACAAATGATCCAACACTTATTTGTGTCTGAAGAAACGTTTCACTTAGTTTTGGGTTGCCTTTGTCTACTATAGATTCATAAGGACCATGCTTTGCAGTAAATTGATATCTATAAAAGCTAGTATTGATGAATTACATATATTTAAATGAAATGCTCATTTTTTCTTTTTCTTTTTTATATATATTAGCTGACGTTGATATAGCTAACCACGGTTGTTGCATGCGAGGCTGCTGATCTTGCTGTGAAGGTATTTTTTTATAAGTTTGTTGACAAGTCTTAATGATATGAGTGGGTGTGTGACTTAGCCCACAAATGGTTTGGTTGTTGCAGATGATTTTGGATGCAATCGAACAAGTGAAAGGAATTTATGCTGTGACTGCTGATCATGGAAACGCATTGGACATGGTGAAGAGGGATAAGTCTGAGAAGCCTGCTTTGGATAAGGAAGGGAAGCTTCAGATTCTAACATCTCACACACTCGAGCCAGTAAGTCAATATCTGTCATCTGTGTTGTAAAACATCTGATGTGCAATTGTAATTATTGCTTGTAGGTGCCAATTGCTATTGGAGGTCCTGGCTTGACTCAAGGAGTGAGATTCCGTAAAGATCTGGAAATACAGGGGCTTGCGAATGTAGCTGCAACAGTGATGAACCTCCATGGATTTGTGGCTCCCTCTGACTATGAGCCCACTCTAATTGAAGTAGTGGAGTAGAAGAATTGAGAGCCTAATCAGTTTTGAATAGAGGGCTCAAACTCTCTAGTTATCTTTTGTTATTGCTTTCTAATAATAAGAGTTTACACACAGACTTGTTGTATTTTTTGATTTTGGCTTCAGGCCACAACATTGAAATTTGATTCAAATGATATGCAAGCTTTTTATCTCTCTCCCATACATCTCTTCTAGCCAAGGATAAAATTGAATGAGAGAGGAGGATTGAACAACTTGAGATTGTACATTTGAAACCAAACAGATCTGAAGCATTCAACTTTCTTGACTCTTGCAAAGCATACAACAGAGAATATAGCTGCCTTGTCACTAATCAATCATCAATTCATCATTATCCTCTCTAGACGATTGTTTTCCAATGTTGTACAATTTATTTTTCTTTCTTTCACTATTTTTTTTTTTTACAAATAGTGTGAGTTTAGGTTCTAAACAAATTCGACAGATAGTGTGAGTTTAGGTTCTAACACTTTAGAAAAATTAGTTAGGAGATCTGTGTCCGTGTCTTAAGTTTCCTAGAAAATTCTTACTCAGGATTAGATTTAAGAAACAGAAAGTGTTGAGTTTCACTTTTCCATACTCTTTGTCTTTGTTAAAACTGAGATACAAAACGGAGAGAAACTGAGAGTTAAAGGTGGTGAAGAGAACACCACATCAAAAGTTCAACGTATAACCGTTGTGTAGCTCTAGTGTAGCTCTAGTGGCTCAAAAACTATTGGCTCTCTGATTCACGCCATGTGTTGTTAGCTTCTACGAAATCATCAAGTGACTTGTTCTCATGTCCCATTGACACACAAAGAAACTTCCCCTCCTCCTTTATCATTTTGTCAGCCTGCCAAAAATCATGGGCAACAACCTTCATTAGAAACTCCCTAGTGTATACCAAATTACAGATGTTGATTATTAAGGAGGGATAAACATTCATGCCAAAAATATCAATCAAACGATCTTAGCCTAAACCAAGAGAGAACTAAGGGGCCAACGAATAAATCAACCAAAAGTAAATTGAAATTGGGGAGATATATTCATCTACATACCTCTTGGAGTTCATTTTCATCAAAATCGTCAATTGCAAGAACTTGAGAAGCAGAACGGTTGGCACGGTTCTTGGCTCCTTTCTTCTTCTCAGCTTTCTCATCAAGCGGATACTTTGCATTATCATGCTCCAGCAACTGTAGAAGCTCCTCTCTTACCATCTTATCATCAACCTCAATCGGAGTAGGAGGAACAACAGAAATTTTGTCTCCATCAGCTGAAAGCAACGAGTTCCTAATTACTTCCAATGAAGCAGTTGAGGTTCTAGGAAGATCTCTCTGCAAGACCTTGGATCTCTTCTTAAGCAATGCCTGTTGTCTTGCTTCTTCCTCAGCCTTTTCCCTCGCTATCTTGTCTGACATGTCTTCCTCAATTTTCTCTGCTGGCTCTTCACTTTCCTCTCGAGGAGGTTGTGCAACTATTTGCCCAGTCAAACCAGAGCGTAAACTCCTTCTAGCTTCCTCTCGTCTCTGCCTCTCAAGTTTTGCACTTTCGTGCATGTCCATGTCTTCATTAATGTGAAGTTGAACCCTGAAGGGAGTCCCTTTGGGTGTCATAGGAAAAGAAGAACCATCCCTTGATGGCGTCAAGCCAATTCTGGAGTAAGACCAGAAACACCAGGAGACATTGAAGGGGTCGACATTGGATTAGGCGTTTGAATCTCCTTCTTTCTCGGAGTGACCCCAGTGAAGTCAGAAGGGTGCAACTCAGGATTTTCTCCTCCTAGCAAAGGTTTCTGAGAGTCTCTTAATCTGGCGAGGCTTTCTGCTTCCATCATAATAGCATCACCTTTACCAGCAGGAGTTCTTTTATGCGTCCTCATGGGTGTCATTTTACCAGCAGGAGTTCTTCGAGGCGTCCTCCTCATGGGTGTCATTCCTTGCCTTGGTGTTTGTGAGTAACTTGTCAAAAGTGCACGAGTAGCAGCACTGCCTTCTGTTAGCTCCTCATTCTTGGCAAGAAGGTCACTGGCGCAACACATCTTTGACCTCTTCCTAACAGCGTCCGGATCATTCAGCTTCTTCGCTTGCAATATAGCAGCTGGAGCATCCTGTCTCTGAGCAATTTTATTCCTTGCAACATCTTGTTTGCGTAAATGTGCTTGGACATGCTTCTCAAGCCCTTTGTGCTCTCTCTCAAACCCCTTTCTTGAACACTGAAAAGAAAGAAAGAACATGAGAATATACTCTTGTAACTTTTCTTGCATACGAAATGTTGAAATGAGTGATTCATTTGAGTAAAAACCAAAACAGAACACACTTAACTTCATTCATCAAAACAACAACAACTACATCTCATCTCACATTTCAGTTCACTTTTAAACTCTCAAACGACGCATACACTAAAGTACCTAAACAGCTTTTTCTTTTTCTCTTACCACAACATTGGAACTCAAAAAAGACAACAACATCACAAAGGGCTTTCACACAAATTCAGGCCCAAACACACTTGGCCAAGCTAACGACAATCACTTCTTCTTCAAGGCATTGCACATAACAGGGAAACACAACCAGCATCACTCAACACTAAATAGTTACATACCTCTGTACTATTGTAAGCTGGAGCATCCTGTCTCTGAGCAATTTTATTCCTTGCAACATCTTGTTTGCGTAAATGTGCTTGGACATGCTTCTCAAGCCCTTTGTGCTCTCTCTCAAACCCCTTTCTTGAACACTGAAAAGAAAGAAAGAACATGAGAATATACTCTTGTAACTTTTCTTGCATACGAAATGTTGAAATGAGTGATTCATTTGAGTAAAAACCAAAACAGAACACACTTAACTTCATTCATCAAAACAACAACAACTACATCTCATCTCACATTTCAGTTCACTTTTAAACTCTCAAACGACACATACACTAAAGTACCTAAACAGCTTTTTCTTTTTCTCTTACCACAACATTGGAACTCAAAAAAGACAACAACATCACAAAGGGCTTTCACACAAATTCAGGCCCAAACACACTTGGCCAAGCTAACGACAATCACTTCTTCAAGGCATTGCACATAACAGGGAAACACAACCAGCATCACTCAACACATACCTCTGTATTGTAAGATTGACTCTTTTTCTCCACATGTGGATTCCCGAGCCGTAACCTCTGTCGCCATTTGTCCTCTTGGGATTCTTGCATCATCCTGGCAATCTTCTTCTCTGCAAGAGTTCTCAGAGGATCAACCTCTAGTACCCTCTCTTCGCCAACCCTTTCATAGACCTTCAGAAGAAGAGAAACAAAGAAATATTACAAGACACAAACAATTAGAAACAAGACAAGACACACGGCAAGAAGAGGAAAGAATACTTTTTTGTGTTGAAAGTTACAAAGATGCTTTTTCTTGCAAACACCTGGTTCGTCATAGGCACACCAGTTGTTCTTCTTCTTCCGATCAAGGTCATCAATTCTTTCTAAACACTGCTCAATGGAAAACCTGCCTCCTAAGACCCTAATTAGTTCTGAACACTTACTAGGATAAAGGGAACCGAAGTTTTTTAGTAGCAAACGATCGGCTTCGTCGTTCCACATAGCTACGGTTTTAGATTTTGACGAAAAAAGTATCGAGACAGAAAATGGAAACGTTGATCGAAGTGAAAGAAAAGAGCCTTTAGAGGAGGAATTCGAGAAAGATGATCGATTTGGGAGATTTGGAGTTAGGTTATGAGGGAAGCGCCGTTGATCGAAGTGAAAGAAAAGAGCCGTTAGAGGAATACGAGAAAGATGATCGATTTGGGAAATTTGAAGTTAGGTTATGAGGGAAGCGTAATCCAATTTTCCTCTCTTATAACATGTCTTAAGTTAACCGGGCCTCACATGTCGGTTTGGGCTTAGAAGCTTCCGACGGTTTGGTTTGGGCCTCAATGGCCCGGTTAACCTTTTTTTTTTTTTTTTTTTGCCTTTGCGACCCAAACCAAACCAAACCGTGAGGGTTCGGTCGTCGTCTACGCAACTTGCCACTGCTGCTGTTCCAAAGTCCACACATACTTAACCACAGACACAACCTCTTCAAGCAATTTCCCCTGTTGGTTTAACGGCTGCTCATAACCCGTTTCACAGGTTTGCTTCTTATTAGTCCTCTGGATTTCTGGGTTCTTTTTGCAACTAATCATTGATTTATTTGTGTCTTTGGACTATTCTGAATCCCATATGTTCCAAATTGTTTTTTTTTTCTTCTTCAGGTTTCTCTGTTTTTTTCGTTAAGATGGAACTTTTGCTTTCCATTGTAAATTTTGTTATGTTTTGGAAACTTATGTTGAAGTAAATGAGCATGTTTTGACAGTATTTGTTCATGTTGAGTTCTGCTGTCTAAGTAGAGATATCAGAACTCAAAAAGTTTTTGTCTTTATTCGAATTGCCACTCATGTTTTCTCTTGTAACTCATGGGAATGAATTTTCGGTTTTGTTTTAGAAATCCTAAAAGTTTTTTCTGTTAGGGGTCCTTTGTTCTCTCATCTTCATCGTGGGGAACATTCTGAACTTTGTCCATTTGACTATAGTAACTAACAATTGTGGCTATCACGCGATCTCTCGTTGTTCTTGCTGACAAAAGTATCCCATTATTTTGATGTCCCTTTGGTTTTGTGTTATTGCATCCCTCTCTAACCCAAAGCTTATAACACAATAGCAAATTTGTCTTTTTACATCCCAATGAACTTTCTTAGTCCGGATTGTTGTGTGCAAAATCAATACCATTATGAGGTCTTTAGTAACTATATCTTTGTTTATGCTCTTTTTAAGAGAAAGTGGTGCATCTAAATGGTTGTTTTTTGTTGACTACCATTAACAGATTACTTGATTCTCCATGCTAACCTTTTTTTCTTTTATTTTTTTTTATTTTGTCCCCTTCCAATGGCTGCAGTGTATCTTGAAATTTGGTAATGGCCACTGAACAGAACACTCTGGATTGCATCCTTTCATGCTACCGCATTATTTGTTCTGTTCTTCTTTACTTGATTGAGTTTCTATTAAGACAATGCTTTAGTGGTGTTGATTTCTGATTCCTTTTGCATTAGTAGATTTTTTGGATATTTCTCATGCATTAGGGTTTGTTTGATGAGAAACGACACGGCTGTTCTTGTAATTTCTTTCGTTTCTTGAACTTTGATATCATTTTAAAACGTACGATTATGATATCCTTTTATAGCTTTAATCCCGCCATAGGTTGTAGAATATAACTTTCAGGACAATAGGCTGTCCAAGAATAGTAAACTGACAAAGAAGTGGATTTTCTTTGTTACATCAATTAGCGTTTGCCCCTTAACATTAACTCTAGCTGAGACTACTTTTGCGCAAACAGTACCAGCTCCAGATCCAACAACAAAGAAACAGGATGGGGTTTTTACAATCTTATTAGCCACATACTTTTAATCTCCTGCTAGCAAAGAATGCTTACATAAAGTTTGGTAATCTTTTCAGTCTCCTCAACAAATCGGTACCGTTATAGTGTCACTGTCACTGCCACTGCATGTGCTAATAATGGTACGACAAATTCTAAAGGCTTTGGTTCTTATCAACCACCTAATAAGTCTGCTAGTTTCTTATTACTCTGAATAGGTTCTCACACATCACTTTCCTCTAATTTTTCTATTTGCATAATCACTTACTATTATGGCTCAGTAGTTAATGATCTATGGCTAATTTTTTAAGTCATTGTTGCTTGTGATGCGTTTTGCAGGATCTGATGTAGTCTCTTCTCAGCCAGATGACAATAGCCAAACACACGCTACAGATTTTCTAAAGGTTTGATTTTGCCATTGCCTTTTATAGATTTGATGTAATTTCTTTGTCTTGACATGCTATCATGCTTGGCGCTGGGTCATTTTCATAGGGAAGTCACCGTGACAAAAACAGCTCATATGTCTATTCTGATTCGACTTCGCGTGGAGATCAAGCAAAAACAAGCAATTGTTGGTCTCAAACTTCTTTTTCGGCTCCTAACCCTCCTGGAAATTTCAATGGTGCTGTTACATTTTGCAGTACATTGCAGGAGGCTTTCATAAATTTATTGGCCAGTCAGTGAAGATCTTCTGCTCAAGTCGAACGGTAAGAGGTTTTTACATAAGTTTATTGGCCAGCGAGTTAAGAATTTTAGGTCTTGTTCGAGCAGTTATAGCCTAAACTTCTGTTACCAGAAACTAAAACTTGCATATGTACAAATGATCCAACACTTATTTGTGTCTGAAGAAACGTTTTCACTTAGTTTGGGTTGCCTTTGTCTACTATAGATTCATAAGGACCATGCTTTGCAGTAAATTGATATCTATAAAAGCTAGTATTGATGAATTACATATATTTAAATGAAATGCTCATTTTTTCTTTTTCTTTTTTATATATATTAGCTGACGTTGATATAGCTAACCACGGTTGTTGCATGCGAGGCTGCTGATCTTGCTGTGAAGGTATTTTTTTATAAGTTTGTTGACAAGTCTTAATGATATGAGTGGGTGTGTGACTTAGCCCACAAATGGTTTGGTTGTTGCAGATGATTTGGATGCAATCGAACAAGTGAAAGGAATTTATGCTGTGACTGCTGATCATGGAAACGCATTGGACATGGTGAAGAGGGATAAGTCTGAGAAGCCTGCTTTGGATAAGGAAGGGAAGCTTCAGATTCTAACATCTCACACACTCGAGCCAGTAAGTCAATATCTGTCATCTGTGTTGTAAAACATCTGATGTGCAATTGTAATTATTGCTTGTAGGTGCCAATTGCTATTGGAGGTCCTGGCTTGACTCAAGGAGTGAGATTCCGTAAAGATCTGGAAATACAGGGGCTTGCGAATGTAGCTGCAACAGTGATGAACCTCCATGGATTTGTGGCTCCCTCTGACTATGAGCCCACTCTAATTGAAGTAGTGGAGTAGAAGAATTGAGAGCCTAATCAGTTTTGAATAGAGGGCTCAAACTCTCTAGTTATCTTTTGTTATTGCTTTCTAATAATAAGAGTTTACACACAGACTTGTTGTATTTTTTGATTTTGGCTTCAGGCCACAAACATTGAAATTTGATTCAAATGATATGCAAGCTTTTTTATCTCTCTCCCATACATCTCTTCTAGCCAAGGATAAAATTGAATGAGAGAGGAGGATTGAACAACTTGAGATTGTACATTTGAAACCAAACAGATCTGAAGCATTCAACTTTCTTGACTCTTGCAAAGCATACAACAGAGAATATAGCTGCCTTGTCACTAATCAATCATCAATTCATCATTATCCTCTCTAGACGATTGTTTTCCAATGTTGTACAATTTATTTTTCTTTCTTTCACTATTTTTTTTTTTTTACAAATAGTGTGAGTTTAGGTTCTAAACAAATTCGACAGATAGTGTGAGTTTAGGTTCTAACACTTTAGAAAAATTAGTTAGGAGATCTGTGTCCGTGTCTTAAGTTTCCTAGAAAATTCTTACTCAGGATTAGATTTAAGAAACAGAAAGTGTTGAGTTTCACTTTTCCATACTCTTTGTCTTTGTTAAAACTGAGATACAAAACGGAGAGAAACTGAGAGTTAAGGTGGTGAAGAGAACACCACATCAAAAGTTCAACGTATAACCGTTGTGTAGCTCTAGTGTAGCTCTAGTGGCTCAAAAACTATTGGCTCTCTGATTCACGCCATGTGTTGTTAGCTTCTACGAAATCATCAAGTGACTTGTTCTCATGTCCCATTGACACACAAAGAAACTTCCCCTCCTCCTTTATCATTTTGTCAGCCTGCCAAAAATCATGGGCAACAACCTTCATTAGAAACTCCCTAGTGTATACCAAATTACAGATGTTGATTATTAAGGAGGGATAAACATTCATGCCAAAAATATCAATCAAACGATCTTAGCCTAAACCAAGAGAGAACTAAGGGGCCAACGAATAAATCAACCAAAAGTAAATTGAAATTGGGGAGATATATTCATCTACATACCTCTTGGAGTTCATTTTCATCAAAATCGTCAATTGCAAGAACTTGAGAAGCAGAACGGTTGGCACGGTTCTTGGCTCCTTTCTTCTTCTCAGCTTTCTCATCAAGCGGATACTTTGCATTATCATGCTCCAGCAACTGTAGAAGCTCCTCTCTTACCATCTTATCATCAACCTCAATCGGAGTAGGAGGAACAACAGAAATTTTGTCTCCATCAGCTGAAAGCAACGAGTTCCTAATTACTTCCAATGAGCAGTTGAGGTTCTAGGAAGATCTCTCTGCAAGACCTTGGATCTCTTCTTAAGCAATGCCTGTTGTCTTGCTTCTTCCTCAGCCTTTTCCCTCGCTATCTTGTCTGACATGTCTTCCTCAATTTTCTCTGCTGGCTCTTCACTTTCCTCTCGAGGAGGTTGTGCAACTATTTGCCCAGTCAAACCAGAGCGTAAACTCCTTCTAGCTTCCTCTCGTCTCTGCCTCTCAAGTTTTGCACTTTCGTGCATGTCCATGTCTTCATTAATGTGAAGTTGAACCCTGAAGGGAGTCCCTTTGGGTGTCATAGGAAAAGAAGAACCATCCCTTGATGGCGTCAAGCCAATTCTTGGAGTAAGACCAGAAACACCAGGAGACATTGAAGGGGTCGACATTGGATTAGGCGTTTGAATCTCCTTCTTTCTCGGAGTGACCCCAGTGAAGTCAGAAGGGTGCAACTCAGGATTTTCTCCTCCTAGCAAAGGTTTCTGAGAGTCTCTTAATCTGGCGAGGCTTTCTGCTTCCATCATAATAGCATCACCTTTACCAGCAGGAGTTCTTTTATGCGTCCTCATGGGTGTCATTTTACCAGCAGGAGTTCTTCGAGGCGTCCTCCTCATGGGTGTCATTCCTTGCCTTGGTGTTTGTGAGTAACTTGTCAAAAGTGCACGAGTAGCAGCACTGCCTTCTGTTAGCTCCTCATTCTTGGCAAGAAGGTCACTGGCGCAACACATCTTTGACCTCTTCCTAACAGCGTCCGGATCATTCAGCTTCTTCGCTTGCAATATAGCAGCTGGAGCATCCTGTCTCTGAGCAATTTTATTCCTTGCAACATCTTGTTTGCGTAAATGTGCTTGGACATGCTTCTCAAGCCCTTTGTGCTCTCTCTCAAACCCCTTTCTTGAACACTGAAAAGAAAGAAAGAACATGAGAATATACTCTTGTAACTTTTCTTGCATACGAAATGTTGAAATGAGTGATTCATTTGAGTAAAAACCAAAACAGAACACACTTAACTTCATTCATCAAAACAACAACAACTACATCTCATCTCACATTTCAGTTCACTTTTAAACTCTCAAACGACACATACACTAAAGTACCTAAACAGCTTTTTCTTTTTCTCTTACCACAACATTGGAACTCAAAAAAGACAACAACATCACAAAGGGCTTTCACACAAATTCAGGCCCAAACACACTTGGCCAAGCTAACGACAATCACTTCTTCAAGGCATTGCACATAACAGGGAAACACAACCAGCATCACTCAACACATACCTCTGTATTGTAAGATTGACTCTTTTTCTCCACATGTGGATTCCGAGCCGTAACCTCTGTCGCCATTTGTCCTCTTGGGATTCTTGCATCATCCTGGCAATCTTCTTCTCTGCAAGAGTTCTCAGAGGATCAACCTCTAGTACCCTCTCTTCGCCAACCCTTTCATAGACCTTCAGAAGAAGAGAAACAAAGAAATATTACAAGACACAAACAATTAGAAACAAGACAAGACACACGGCAAGAAGAGGAAAGAATACTTTTTTGTGTTGAAAGTTACAAAGATGCTTTTTCTTGCAAACACCTGGTTCGTCATAGGCACACCAGTTGTTCTTCTTCTTCCGATCAAGGTCATCAATTCTTTCTAAACACTGCTCAATGGAAAACCTGCCTCCTAAGACCCTAATTAGTTCTGAACACTTACTAGGATAAAGGGAACCGAAGTTTTTTAGTAGCAAACGATCGGCTTCGTCGTTCCACATAGCTACGGTTTTAGATTTTGACGAAAAAAAGTATCGAGACAGAAAATGGAAACGTTGATCGAAGTGAAAGAAAAGAGCCTTTAGAGGAGGAATTCGAGAAAGATGATCGATTTGGGAGATTTGGAGTTAGGTTATGAGGGAAGCGCCGTTGATCGAAGTGAAAGAAAAGAGCCGTTAGAGGAATACGAGAAAGATGATCGATTTGGGAAATTTGAAGTTAGGTTATGAGGGAAGCGTAATCCAATTTTCCTCTCTTATAAACATGTCTTAAGTTAACCGGGCCTCACATGTCGGTTTGGGCTTAGAAGCTTCCGACGGTTTGGTTTGGGCCTCAATGGCCCGGTTAACCTTTTTTTTTTTTTTTTTTGCCTTTGCGACCCAAACCAAACCAAACCGTGAGGGTTCGGTCGTCGTCTACGCAACTTGCCACTGCTGCTGTTCCAAAGTCCACACATACTTAACCACAGACACAACCTCTTCAAGCAATTTCCCCTGTTTGGTTTAACGGCTGCTCATAACCCGTTTCCACAGGTTGCTTCTTATTAGTCCTCTGGATTTCTGGGTTTCTTTTTGCAACTAATCATTGATTTATTTGTGTCTTTGGACTATTCTGAATCCCATATGTTCCAAATTGTTTTTTTTTCTTCTTCAGGTTTCTCTGTTTTTTTCGTTAAGATTGGAACTTTTGCTTTCCATTGTAAATTTTGTTATGTTTTGGAAACTTATGTTGAAGTAAATGAGCATGTTTTGACAGTATTTGTTCATGTTGAGTTCTGCTGTCTAAGTAGAGATATCAGAACTCAAAAAGTTTTTGTCTTTATTCGAATTGCCACTCATGTTTTCTCTTGTAACTCATGGGAATGAATTTTCGGTTTTGTTTTAGAAATCCTAAAAGTTTTTTCTGTTAGGGGTCCTTTGTTCTCTCATCTTCATCGTGGGGAACATTCTGAACTTTGTCCATTTGACTATAGTAACTAACAATTGTGGCTATCACGCGATCTCTCGTTGTTCTTGCTGACAAAAGTATCCCATTATTTTGATGTCCCTTTGGTTTTGTGTTATTGCATCCCTCTCTAACCCAAAGCTTATAACACAATAGCAAATTTGTCTTTTTACATCCCAATGAACTTTCTTAGTCCGGATTGTTGTGTGCAAAATCAATACCATTATGAGGTCTTTAGTAACTATATCTTTGTTTTATGCTCTTTTTAAGAGAAAGTGGTGCATCTAAATGGTTGTTTTTTGTTGACTACCATTAACAGATTACTTGATTCTCCATGCTAACCTTTTTTCTTTTATTTTTTTTTATTTTGTCCCCTTCCAATGGCTGCAGTGTATCTTGAAATTTGGTAATGGCCACTGAACAGAACACTCTGGATTGCATCCTTTCATGCTACCGCATTATTTGTTCTGTTCTTCTTTACTTGATTGAGTTTCTATTAAGACAATGCTTTAGTGGTGTTGATTTCTGATTCCTTTTGCATTAGTAGATTTTTTGGATATTTCTCATGCATTAGGGTTTGTTTGATGAGAAACGACACGGCTGTTCTTGTAATTTCTTTCGTTTCTTGAACTTTGATATCATTTTAAAACGTACGATTATGATATCCTTTTATAGCTTTAATCCCGCCATAGGTTGTAGAATATAACTTTCAGGACAATAGGCTGTCCAAGAATAGTAAACTGACAAAGAAGTGGATTTTCTTTGTTACATCAATTAGCGTTTGCCCCTTAACATTAACTCTAGCTGAGACTACTTTTGCGCAAACAGTACCAGCTCCAGATCCAACAACAAAGAAACAGGATGGGGTTTTTACAATCTTATTAGCCACATACTTTTAATCTCCTGCTAGCAAAGAATGCTTACATAAAGTTTGGTAATCTTTTCAGTCTCCTCCAACAAATCGGTACCGTTATAGTGTCACTGTCACTGCCACTGCATGTGCTAATAATGGTACGACAAATTCTAAAGGCTTTGGTTCTTATCAACCACCTAATAAGTCTGCTAGTTTCTTATTACTCTGAATAGGTTTCTCACACATCACTTTCCTCTAATTTTTCTATTTGCATAATCACTTACTATTATGGCTCAGTAGTTAATGATCTATGGCTAATTTTTTTAAGTCATTGTTGCTTGTGATGCGTTTTGCAGGATCTGATGTAGTCTCTTCTCAGCCAGATGACAATAGCCAAACACACGCTACAGATTTTCTAAAGGTTTGATTTTGCCATTGCCTTTTATAGATTTGATGTAATTTCTTTGTCTTGACATGCTATCATGCTTGGCGCTGGGTCATTTTCATAGGGAAGTCACCGTGACAAAAACAGCTCATATGTCTATTCTGATTCGACTTCGCGTGGAGATCAAGCAAAAACAAGCAATTGTTGGTCTCAAACTTCTTTTTCGGCTCCTAACCCTCCTGGAAATTTCAATGGTGCTGTTACATTTTGCAGTACATTGCAGGAGGCTTTTCATAAATTTATTGGCCAGTCAGTGAAGATCTTCTGCTCAAGTCGAACGGTAAGAGGTTTTTACATAAGTTTATTGGCCAGCGAGTTAAGAATTTTAGGTCTTGTTCGAGCAGTTATAGCCTAAACTTCTGTTACCAGAAACTAAAACTTGCATATGTACAAATGATCCAACACTTATTTGTGTCTGAAGAAAACGTTTCACTTAGTTTTGGGTTGCCTTTGTCTACTATAGATTCATAAGGACCATGCTTTGCAGTAAATTGATATCTATAAAAGCTAGTATTGATGAATTACATATATTTAAATGAAATGCTCATTTTTTCTTTTTCTTTTTTATATATATTAGCTGACGTTGATATAGCTAACCACGGTTGTTGCATGCGAGGCTGCTGATCTTGCTGTGAAGGTATTTTTTTATAAGTTTGTTGACAAGTCTTAATGATATGAGTGGGTGTGTGACTTAGCCCACAAATGGTTTGGTTGTTGCAGATGATTTTGGATGCAATCGAACAAGTGAAAGGAATTTATGCTGTGACTGCTGATCATGGAAACGCATTGGACATGGTGAAGAGGGATAAGTCTGAGAAGCCTGCTTTGGATAAGGAAGGGAAGCTTCAGATTCTAACATCTCACACACTCGAGCCAGTAAGTCAATATCTGTCATCTGTGTTGTAAAACATCTGATGTGCAATTGTAATTATTGCTTGTAGGTGCCAATTGCTATTGGAGGTCCTGGCTTGACTCAAGGAGTGAGATTCCGTAAAGATCTGGAAATACAGGGGCTTGCGAATGTAGCTGCAACAGTGATGAACCTCCATGGATTTGTGGCTCCCTCTGACTATGAGCCCACTCTAATTGAAGTAGTGGAGTAGAAGAATTGAGAGCCTAATCAGTTTTGAATAGAGGGCTCAAACTCTCTAGTTATCTTTTGTTATTGCTTTCTAATAATAAGAGTTTACACACAGACTTGTTGTATTTTTTGATTTTGGCTTCAGGCCACAAACATTGAAATTTGATTCAAATGATATGCAAGCTTTTTTATCTCTCTCCCATACATCTCTTCTAGCCAAGGATAAAATTGAATGAGAGAGGAGGATTGAACAACTTGAGATTGTACATTTGAAACCAAACAGATCTGAAGCATTCAACTTTCTTGACTCTTGCAAAGCATACAACAGAGAATATAGCTGCCTTGTCACTAATCAATCATCAATTCATCATTATCCTCTCTAGACGATTGTTTTCCAATGTTGTACAATTTATTTTTCTTTCTTTCACTATTTTTTTTTTTTACAAATAGTGTGAGTTTAGGTTCTAAACAAATTCGACAGATAGTGTGAGTTTAGGTTCTAACACTTTAGAAAAATTAGTTAGGAGATCTGTGTCCGTGTCTTAAGTTTCCTAGAAAATTCTTACTCAGGATTAGATTTAAGAAACAGAAAGTGTTGAGTTTCACTTTTCCATACTCTTTGTCTTTGTTAAAACTGAGATACAAAACGGAGAGAAACTGAGAGTTAAAGGTGGTGAAGAGAACACCACATCAAAAGTTCAACGTATAACCGTTGTGTAGCTCTAGTGTAGCTCTAGTGGCTCAAAAACTATTGGCTCTCTGATTCACGCCATGTGTTGTTAGCTTCTACGAAATCATCAAGTGACTTGTTCTCATGTCCCATTGACACACAAAGAAACTTCCCCTCCTCCTTTATCATTTTGTCAGCCTGCCAAAAATCATGGGCAACAACCTTCATTAGAAACTCCCTAGTGTATACCAAATTACAGATGTTGATTATTAAGGAGGGATAAACATTCATGCCAAAAATATCAATCAAACGATCTTAGCCTAAACCAAGAGAGAACTAAGGGGCCAACGAATAAATCAACCAAAAGTAAATTGAAATTGGGGAGATATATTCATCTACATACCTCTTGGAGTTCATTTTCATCAAAATCGTCAATTGCAAGAACTTGAGAAGCAGAACGGTTGGCACGGTTCTTGGCTCCTTTCTTCTTCTCAGCTTTCTCATCAAGCGGATACTTTGCATTATCATGCTCCAGCAACTGTAGAAGCTCCTCTCTTACCATCTTATCATCAACCTCAATCGGAGTAGGAGGAACAACAGAAATTTTGTCTCCATCAGCTGAAAGCAACGAGTTCCTAATTACTTCCAATGAAGCAGTTGAGGTTCTAGGAAGATCTCTCTGCAAGACCTTGGATCTCTTCTTAAGCAATGCCTGTTGTCTTGCTTCTTCCTCAGCCTTTTCCCTCGCTATCTTGTCTGACATGTCTTCCTCAATTTTCTCTGCTGGCTCTTCACTTTCCTCTCGAGGAGGTTGTGCAACTATTTGCCCAGTCAAACCAGAGCGTAAACTCCTTCTAGCTTCCTCTCGTCTCTGCCTCTCAAGTTTTGCACTTTCGTGCATGTCCATGTCTTCATTAATGTGAAGTTGAACCCTGAAGGGAGTCCCTTTGGGTGTCATAGGAAAAGAAGAACCATCCCTTGATGGCGTCAAGCCAATTCTTGGAGTAAGACCAGAAACACCAGGAGACATTGAAGGGGTCGACATTGGATTAGGCGTTTGAATCTCCTTCTTTCTCGGAGTGACCCCAGTGAAGTCAGAAGGGTGCAACTCAGGATTTTCTCCTCCTAGCAAAGGTTTCTGAGAGTCTCTTAATCTGGCGAGGCTTTCTGCTTCCATCATAATAGCATCACCTTTACCAGCAGGAGTTCTTTTATGCGTCCTCATGGGTGTCATTTTACCAGCAGGAGTTCTTCGAGGCGTCCTCCTCATGGGTGTCATTCCTTGCCTTGGTGTTTGTGAGTAACTTGTCAAAAGTGCACGAGTAGCAGCACTGCCTTCTGTTAGCTCCTCATTCTTGGCAAGAAGGTCACTGGCGCAACACATCTTTGACCTCTTCCTAACAGCGTCCGGATCATTCAGCTTCTTCGCTTGCAATATAGCAGCTGGAGCATCCTGTCTCTGAGCAATTTTATTCCTTGCAACATCTTGTTTGCGTAAATGTGCTTGGACATGCTTCTCAAGCCCTTTGTGCTCTCTCTCAAACCCCTTTCTTGAACACTGAAAAGAAAGAAAGAACATGAGAATATACTCTTGTAACTTTTCTTGCATACGAAATGTTGAAATGAGTGATTCATTTGAGTAAAAACCAAAACAGAACACACTTAACTTCATTCATCAAAACAACAACAACTACATCTCATCTCACATTTCAGTTCACTTTTAAACTCTCAAACGACGCATACACTAAAGTACCTAAACAGCTTTTTCTTTTTCTCTTACCACAACATTGGAACTCAAAAAAGACAACAACATCACAAAGGGCTTTCACACAAATTCAGGCCCAAACACACTTGGCCAAGCTAACGACAATCACTTCTTCTTCAAGGCATTGCACATAACAGGGAAACACAACCAGCATCACTCAACACTAAATAGTTACATACCTCTGTACTATTGTAAGCTGGAGCATCCTGTCTCTGAGCAATTTTATTCCTTGCAACATCTTGTTTGCGTAAATGTGCTTGGACATGCTTCTCAAGCCCTTTGTGCTCTCTCTCAAACCCCTTTCTTGAACACTGAAAAGAAAGAAAGAACATGAGAATATACTCTTGTAACTTTTCTTGCATACGAAATGTTGAAATGAGTGATTCATTTGAGTAAAAACCAAAACAGAACACACTTAACTTCATTCATCAAAACAACAACAACTACATCTCATCTCACATTTCAGTTCACTTTTAAACTCTCAAACGACACATACACTAAAGTACCTAAACAGCTTTTTCTTTTTCTCTTACCACAACATTGGAACTCAAAAAAGACAACAACATCACAAAGGGCTTTCACACAAATTCAGGCCCAAACACACTTGGCCAAGCTAACGACAATCACTTCTTCAAGGCATTGCACATAACAGGGAAACACAACCAGCATCACTCAACACATACCTCTGTATTGTAAGATTGACTCTTTTTCTCCACATGTGGATTCCCGAGCCGTAACCTCTGTCGCCATTTGTCCTCTTGGGATTCTTGCATCATCCTGGCAATCTTCTTCTCTGCAAGAGTTCTCAGAGGATCAACCTCTAGTACCCTCTCTTCGCCAACCCTTTCATAGACCTTCAGAAGAAGAGAAACAAAGAAATATTACAAGACACAAACAATTAGAAACAAGACAAGACACACGGCAAGAAGAGGAAAGAATACTTTTTTGTGTTGAAAGTTACAAAGATGCTTTTTCTTGCAAACACCTGGTTCGTCATAGGCACACCAGTTGTTCTTCTTCTTCCGATCAAGGTCATCAATTCTTTCTAAACACTGCTCAATGGAAAACCTGCCTCCTAAGACCCTAATTAGTTCTGAACACTTACTAGGATAAAGGGAACCGAAGTTTTTTAGTAGCAAACGATCGGCTTCGTCGTTCCACATAGCTACGGTTTTAGATTTTGACGAAAAAAAGTATCGAGACAGAAAATGGAAACGTTGATCGAAGTGAAAGAAAAGAGCCTTTAGAGGAGGAATTCGAGAAAGATGATCGATTTGGGAGATTTGGAGTTAGGTTATGAGGGAAGCGCCGTTGATCGAAGTGAAAGAAAAGAGCCGTTAGAGGAATACGAGAAAGATGATCGATTTGGGAAATTTGAAGTTAGGTTATGAGGGAAGCGTAATCCAATTTTCCTCTCTTATAAACATGTCTTAAGTTAACCGGGCCTCACATGTCGGTTTGGGCTTAGAAGCTTCCGACGGTTTGGTTTGGGCCTCAATGGCCCGGTTAACCTTTTTTTTTTTTTTTTTTGCCTTTGCGACCCAAACCAAACCAAACCGTGAGGGTTCGGTCGTCGTCTACGCAACTTGCCACTGCTGCTGTTCCAAAGTCCACACATACTTAACCACAGACACAACCTCTTCAAGCAATTTCCCCTGTTTGGTTTAACGGCTGCTCATAACCCGTTTCCACAGGTTTGCTTCTTATTAGTCCTCTGGATTTCTGGGTTTCTTTTTGCAACTAATCATTGATTTATTTGTGTCTTTGGACTATTCTGAATCCCATATGTTCCAAATTGTTTTTTTTTTCTTCTTCAGGTTTCTCTGTTTTTTTCGTTAAGATTGGAACTTTTGCTTTCCATTGTAAATTTTGTTATGTTTTGGAAACTTATGTTGAAGTAAATGAGCATGTTTTGACAGTATTTGTTCATGTTGAGTTCTGCTGTCTAAGTAGAGATATCAGAACTCAAAAAGTTTTTGTCTTTATTCGAATTGCCACTCATGTTTTCTCTTGTAACTCATGGGAATGAATTTTCGGTTTTGTTTTAGAAATCCTAAAAGTTTTTTCTGTTAGGGGTCCTTTGTTCTCTCATCTTCATCGTGGGGAACATTCTGAACTTTGTCCATTTGACTATAGTAACTAACAATTGTGGCTATCACGCGATCTCTCGTTGTTCTTGCTGACAAAAGTATCCCATTATTTTGATGTCCCTTTGGTTTTGTGTTATTGCATCCCTCTCTAACCCAAAGCTTATAACACAATAGCAAATTTGTCTTTTTACATCCCAATGAACTTTCTTAGTCCGGATTGTTGTGTGCAAAATCAATACCATTATGAGGTCTTTAGTAACTATATCTTTGTTTTATGCTCTTTTTAAGAGAAAGTGGTGCATCTAAATGGTTGTTTTTTGTTGACTACCATTAACAGATTACTTGATTCTCCATGCTAACCTTTTTTTCTTTTATTTTTTTTTATTTTGTCCCCTTCCAATGGCTGCAGTGTATCTTGAAATTTGGTAATGGCCACTGAACAGAACACTCTGGATTGCATCCTTTCATGCTACCGCATTATTTGTTCTGTTCTTCTTTACTTGATTGAGTTTCTATTAAGACAATGCTTTAGTGGTGTTGATTTCTGATTCCTTTTGCATTAGTAGATTTTTTGGATATTTCTCATGCATTAGGGTTTGTTTGATGAGAAACGACACGGCTGTTCTTGTAATTTCTTTCGTTTCTTGAACTTTGATATCATTTTAAAACGTACGATTATGATATCCTTTTATAGCTTTAATCCCGCCATAGGTTGTAGAATATAACTTTCAGGACAATAGGCTGTCCAAGAATAGTAAACTGACAAAGAAGTGGATTTTCTTTGTTACATCAATTAGCGTTTGCCCCTTAACATTAACTCTAGCTGAGACTACTTTTGCGCAAACAGTACCAGCTCCAGATCCAACAACAAAGAAACAGGATGGGGTTTTTACAATCTTATTAGCCACATACTTTTAATCTCCTGCTAGCAAAGAATGCTTACATAAAGTTTGGTAATCTTTTCAGTCTCCTCCAACAAATCGGTACCGTTATAGTGTCACTGTCACTGCCACTGCATGTGCTAATAATGGTACGACAAATTCTAAAGGCTTTGGTTCTTATCAACCACCTAATAAGTCTGCTAGTTTCTTATTACTCTGAATAGGTTCTCACACATCACTTTCCTCTAATTTTTCTATTTGCATAATCACTTACTATTATGGCTCAGTAGTTAATGATCTATGGCTAATTTTTTTAAGTCATTGTTGCTTGTGATGCGTTTTGCAGGATCTGATGTAGTCTCTTCTCAGCCAGATGACAATAGCCAAACACACGCTACAGATTTTCTAAAGGTTTGATTTTGCCATTGCCTTTTATAGATTTGATGTAATTTCTTTGTCTTGACATGCTATCATGCTTGGCGCTGGGTCATTTTCATAGGGAAGTCACCGTGACAAAAACAGCTCATATGTCTATTCTGATTCGACTTCGCGTGGAGATCAAGCAAAAACAAGCAATTGTTGGTCTCAAACTTCTTTTTCGGCTCCTAACCCTCCTGGAAATTTCAATGGTGCTGTTACATTTTGCAGTACATTGCAGGAGGCTTTTCATAAATTTATTGGCCAGTCAGTGAAGATCTTCTGCTCAAGTCGAACGGTAAGAGGTTTTTACATAAGTTTATTGGCCAGCGAGTTAAGAATTTTAGGTCTTGTTCGAGCAGTTATAGCCTAAACTTCTGTTACCAGAAACTAAAACTTGCATATGTACAAATGATCCAACACTTATTTGTGTCTGAAGAAACGTTTCACTTAGTTTTGGGTTGCCTTTGTCTACTATAGATTCATAAGGACCATGCTTTGCAGTAAATTGATATCTATAAAAGCTAGTATTGATGAATTACATATATTTAAATGAAATGCTCATTTTTTCTTTTTCTTTTTTATATATATTAGCTGACGTTGATATAGCTAACCACGGTTGTTGCATGCGAGGCTGCTGATCTTGCTGTGAAGGTATTTTTTTATAAGTTTGTTGACAAGTCTTAATGATATGAGTGGGTGTGTGACTTAGCCCACAAATGGTTTGGTTGTTGCAGATGATTTTGGATGCAATCGAACAAGTGAAAGGAATTTATGCTGTGACTGCTGATCATGGAAACGCATTGGACATGGTGAAGAGGGATAAGTCTGAGAAGCCTGCTTTGGATAAGGAAGGGAAGCTTCAGATTCTAACATCTCACACACTCGAGCCAGTAAGTCAATATCTGTCATCTGTGTTGTAAAACATCTGATGTGCAATTGTAATTATTGCTTGTAGGTGCCAATTGCTATTGGAGGTCCTGGCTTGACTCAAGGAGTGAGATTCCGTAAAGATCTGGAAATACAGGGGCTTGCGAATGTAGCTGCAACAGTGATGAACCTCCATGGATTTGTGGCTCCCTCTGACTATGAGCCCACTCTAATTGAAGTAGTGGAGTAGAAGAATTGAGAGCCTAATCAGTTTTGAATAGAGGGCTCAAACTCTCTAGTTATCTTTTGTTATTGCTTTCTAATAATAAGAGTTTACACACAGACTTGTTGTATTTTTTGATTTTGGCTTCAGGCCACAAACATTGAAATTTGATTCAAATGATATGCAAGCTTTTTTATCTCTCTCCCATACATCTCTTCTAGCCAAGGATAAAATTGAATGAGAGAGGAGGATTGAACAACTTGAGATTGTACATTTGAAACCAAACAGATCTGAAGCATTCAACTTTCTTGACTCTTGCAAAGCATACAACAGAGAATATAGCTGCCTTGTCACTAATCAATCATCAATTCATCATTATCCTCTCTAGACGATTGTTTTCCAATGTTGTACAATTTATTTTTCTTTCTTTCACTATTTTTTTTTTTTACAAATAGTGTGAGTTTAGGTTCTAAACAAATTCGACAGATAGTGTGAGTTTAGGTTCTAACACTTTAGAAAAATTAGTTAGGAGATCTGTGTCTGTGTCCGTGTCTTCAGAAAGGGTTGAGTTTCACTTTTCCTTACTCATCCAACTTAAGAAGCGTATACTAATCGCTTCTTCTTTTTAATGGATCAAGGAACTGGAAGTTCAATGGTTAGGGTTTGAAGTTTTTAGTGATTTTTTTCTAGTTTTTTAGAGCTATTAAAATCCAATGTTTAGATTTTTAAATTCTTTTCAAAAAAGATTTTCAGTTAACGTATTTTTTATTAAAAAAAAAAACAAATACGTTACATATCTTAGAATTACTTTTCCGACAATTATCGCAAGAAGTTTTCAATTCATACGAGACTAACTATATCATAACTCATGCAAATATACGTTAATTCTTACATGAATTCTTCAAATAACAAATATTTGATTTATAAAAATTTTACTTCTTTAAATATATAGTTTTACCTGAATTCTTCAAATAAACTAATATTTGATTATCAAAATATTTAATTCTTCAAATTTATATTTTTCACCTGAATTATTAAAATAAACAAATATTTGATACAAGAGTTGGATAAATCCTACATTAATTACTCTTTTTTTCCTTTAGATTTTCCTAATCATACTCTTAGAGATAGTATTAAATCTTATATATATACACACACATATGTTTATAGAAGACATTAGTTACGATCTTTAACATTATCAAGCTCTCTCATATTTTTCTTCCACTCGAAAAATATATTGTGCATACAATGGAACACGACGAGGAACCGCACACTAAACAAGCTAAACAACCACATTCAATCGCTTCTTCTTTTTAATACATACGGCCCAACGATTTTTTGGAACATTGTTGGGTTCTGAGGCTTTGAAAAGTCAAAAGCCCAGAAGAAAAAAGGAAAAACCTAAAAAGTGAGATAGGGTTCGTAGAGGTTTCTGAGTTTAGGTTAGGAGATCTGTGCCGCGTGAGAGGAAGATCCTTTTTCCTTGATCTGATGAAAAAGTAGTATTGAGTTTTAAGAAACGGAAAGTGTTGAGTACTTTTCTATAGAAGATTTTTGTTTTTTCCTGTTTAATTGTGAGATTACTTTTATCTATAAATAAACCTCTTTAATCTCTTCATCAACAATGACTTGTCTGCAATCACAAGAATGTCGAAAAAACAACGTTGCTTGATGATGGAATCCCTGCCCCACGATGTCGTAGAGCGCATCCTAGAGAGACTGGCTGTGGATCCTCTGCTGAGATTCAAGGCTGTATCGAAACAATGGAAATCAACTATCGAATCTCCAGTCTTCCAGCGAAGACAGTTCACACATAGTCAGCAATCAGGTAATCCAGATGTTCTCATGGTCTCCCTATGTCGTTATGATGTTATTAATCCCGATATAGAAGCTCTTGCTACATTGGTGTTGGGTTCATCATCATCTGTCAAGATCCCTACTCCTTGGGAGAAGGAGGAGGAGAACACTGAATACTTAGTTTCCCGTGATAGCTGTGACGGTCTCGTTTGTCTCTTCGATATCAGGAAATCCGGTTTTGTGGTCAATCCCACCACTAGATGGTATCACCCTCTTCCTCCCTGCCAATTACAACAACTCATTACTGGCTTAGGGGACAGTTTCTACGATCTTGGATACAGACTCTCTATGCTTGGATTCGGTAAAGACAAACTCACAGGCACATACAAGGCCGTTTGGTTATACAACTCTTTAGAAATTGGCCTAGAAAACGCTACTACATGCGAGGTTTTCGACTTTAGCACCAACGCTTGGAGGTATGTTTCTCCCGCTGCTCCTTATCGGATTGTTGGTTGCCCCTCACCTGTCTGCGTAGATGGGTCGATTCATTGGTTCACCGAGTGCGAGGAAACCAAAATTCTATCGTTTGATCTTCACACCGAAACTTTTCAAGTCGTTTCTAAAGCTCCATTTGCCAATGTTGATGGATTCCATATCGTCATGTGCAACCTCGACAACCGCTTGTGCGTTTCCGAGATGAAGCGGCCCAACCAAGTGATATGGTCATTCAATTCAGGTAACAAGACATGGCACAAAATGTGTTCCATTGATCTGGATATAACTTCTCATTGGTTTGGTCGTCACATATGCGCGGTCTTGCCACTAGCACTTTTGGATGGGAAGAAGAAGAAGAAGAAGAAGAAGAAGTTGTTATTTTATTGTCGTGAGCGAAGTCGAACATTGATGGTACATGATCACGAAACCAAATCATATGATGTTGCTTTCGAGGCTTACTCCGTCGGTTACCCTGTTTGTTATTTCCCTAGTTTGATATCTATTTCATAAAAGCTTCTTTCATCAACTGTTTGTTTGTCCAAGTTTGCAACTCTTAAAGCTATGATTATGTTCCAGACTCTTGTTTTATGTAAGAAGTACACTTTTTGTTGTGCTTTTTTATGGGCCAGTGTTGCTTCTTATGCTTCTAGTTTATCTCACACAGTTGGATGATGTCGTTTTTCCTTGCATCCTTTTCAGAGACCACAATTTGCTCTCGAATCTTTAAGTTTAAACTTCGGCATGCGTAGGCACAATTATATAATCTCCCCAAAACAAAGTTTTTAATCTCTATATCTCCGAACTGAAACTTGGCAAATTTCAGAACACAGATACTGAACCACCTAAAATCAACACTAAACGGAATTAAAAACCCGACCCGTGATCTAAATCCATCAAATGCTTGGTTGCTTGACAAATGATGTAAACAACTTGGCGATGCATCAACCATATCATGGAGACGATGCTGTTCTCATTGGTGACGGATCTGGTTTTTAAATCATGCACTCTGGTTCACTACCCTTGCCTATATGTTGTGAAGAATACAAATTTAGGGTTTAATTCATAGAGATTCGTTGATATATAATAAATATAAAAATGATAAAAGATGGAATGTAATCAAGAATATAAAAATTGGGAACATAAAAGCCTTATTGACCGCGAAACAATCTGAAGCTGAACCTCAAGTCTCAAAACCAGAGGCTAATGAAGAGTAACAGACAAGTAGAGAAATGTTAAAACGAAATTGATGTTGGGTTTCAGACTTAAATAAAGGTTACAAGGGCACAGTGATTGAGAACGAGATTACATTTTCATAAACACCATTATTAGTTTATTACCCACTGGTCAATGGTCATCTCAGTTAACCGACAAAATTTTCAAAAATAAAGAATAAACTTAATGACAAAATAAATTAATTGAGGAGTCCAAACGTTAGAACTTAGAACATTATCACCTTGCGGATAGATAGACAACGCATAGAGAGCCTTGGCCCTTCCCACACGACCATGCCATGGTTTCTGTCTCAACAACATTGATCATCTCTCAGGTAAAATCTTTATTGTCCAGTCTTAGCACGCTTGCTGTTGAAAGGGGACATGCTCGGACTCAAACAAGGGCTCAAGCTCGGACTTGGACTCTCCTCCCTTAGAGTACCATTCAGAGCTGCTAACTCTTTCAGCTGTTCCCTCTTGTAGTGATCCATTGATTCGTCCTGTAGAGACAAGAACCAAAACCATGTGAACAAAAGGTTTGGAGTACAAAAACATATAGAGACGTTTGGAACTTTGTGATAAGAATGTACCATCGGCTTTAGGAGTGATTCCAGGAAATGTACTGCATGTTCCAATCGAGAATTTATTATGTCTTCTGGAAGCTCAGCCTCGATCAGTACATGTAGTGGCTCACAGAGATGCTCGTACCCTGGCTTACCTTTAAGTTTTTCCTCCTGCAGGGAAGTAAAGAACTAAATGGATAAGCCTTCACACCGCATGGTAGATAATTAATGTCCGAGAATATACAAGACTCAGAAAAAATGAATTTCAGAACTTTCCCTATTCACTTCTAATGATGTTATTTGATGAGAGTTGTAAGAACCTAAAGCTCAAACACTTCATTTCTTAAACAGGCTGCCAAATTTAAAATATATTCAAATTGTAAACGAGGGTAGTAGCTGATGATGCAGTAAAAAATGTATCATTACTTCAACAATAAGTTGCTAAGCTAAAAGACGTGGCACGTAAGCTTATACTTGTACAGCGATAAAATGGAATCCTTCAGAGAATTAATAAACAAGGAGCCATACCTTGACAGTATCCTTCACAGATCCTCGCCCTCTAATAAACACCCTGCAGTGGGTTGCTAGCTCAACTCTTTTTAGGGAGTTTCCACGTGGCCCGAGAATCCGCCCAACAAAATTATACTGCAACGCTCAATGGATTTAAACTCTAGAACAACCCCAATTCTAATAACAAATTTTGCTAAACTTTTACAACTTACGCTTGGATATTTATCCACTGGCACATCAAGTCTAATCACTTTTTTCACAATGGGTGGGTTAGGGAGTCCCGGCATCCCAATCCAGCCCACTGGGGCAGGAGCACGAAATGGAGAAGCTCTCTGGAGGTGACAGTTTTCCTGAAGAAAGCAAAAGCAATCAATATCGATGAATCCCACTCTTGATTATAAAAATTGTTAGTAACACCATCATAATTCAGCATGAGTCTGTTATTTGACTACAACTATTAGTAGTGGCTTACCTCCGCTTGCATCATCGACCATCCCTCTAAATCAAGCTTTCCATTTGTCGGCTGGCCAAGCGATCTAAATGGACTTCCATGCTCATATCTATCAGGATCAGGAAAACTAGAGACCCTCCTGATTTCTGCACAGACATCAGTAATGTAGGCAATTAAGCAAACCTATAATAGAAACTGTGACAGTTATACATCAGGGGCATCTTCAGTCTATTAACTTTAAGGCTCGTGTTCTAATAGGTTAACATGATGAAAATTTCAAACACATCTTTGTCTTTTAAGGTTCACACATCTCTTAAGGGCATGATTTACAACTAAAAGCTAGGTAAACAAGTCTGGAGACAAGCTTCTAATGATCATATGCATATTCATAGACAGAGAGGCCTCCTAGTGGAAAATAGTTGATGATCATTTGCTCAACGATCATTATCATTTGCAAACACAGAGACATAATTCATTGTCACATAATATCATTCATCAAGAATGCTAATTTAGCAATAAGTAGCCGTTAACAACTCTTTCTGAATGCTACAAGTAACATAAAATTTGATTGGCTATATATATATATATATATTAAGAATGGTATAACAAAGAGAATACAAAGTTGCATACAACATTTTTTTCTCATACCCAGTATCTGTAAACTTTTAACTAAAGAAAGCCAGGGTGACGCACACCAAGGCTTTGTTCACCCGATAAATTTCTTAAGTTTGTGTGCAAACACTCAAGGAAATACTTAATTCAAAAGCATATAGCTTAATAAGATAGCTCACCTTGATTCAGCAGTCTGCAGCAATTTGGCATAACCTGCAAAAAGGGACCCAACTTTTGTCTCTCTTGCAATAATTCAGTCAAGTACCTGCATAAGGTTAAAAAAAAAGAAAAACATAAGTTTCCGTGGATGCAGCATTGGTGTGTATTGAGTATCGAGTGGTTCACATTGGAGTCAGCACTCACTCACATGTACACTAAACTTCCAAAAATACATCAGTACGTTAATTTCTAAAAGATTGATAAAAATATATAGCTTTCTTGTTTAAAATCCTTGAGTACATTGTACATAATCCAATAATAAGTGAGCTAGTGAAATCAATTGTGAAAAAGGCGACATTTTGAAGTGAGAGTATGATTGAGAAGTTGGATCTGTGTGAGCAGTCCATGAAAATACAAACTTGACAGAATCATTTTCAACACTCATCCAATCAAAGGGAACAATACCAACCAATCATAAACAAACACACACACACACACACTTGAATTTTCTACTAAAGCAACAAGTCCACAAGAAGAAACGGAACCACAACAGCCAAGCTAACACAGATTCACAATAATAGCAAAAAAGTTGAGAAAGAAGAGAGAAAATAGAAACCTTTCACGATCAGTGGGAGGACAAGGGGATCGATTGGGAGAAGCACGGAATCCAGAAAGAGGAAACTGGAAGAAACTTCCAGGAGAGATCCTCTCTTCCATGGCCGCGAAACCAGCTCCGGATTCCATCATCTTTAACTCTGTAAATCCACTCAGATTGTTAAGAAGAAGCGCATAAAGTAGAGAGATACATAGAACAGAGAGAAAAAGAGTGTGACCGGAGATAGTGAAGAGAAGATGCGGCGGAAGATCTGACGCCGATCTCAAGGTTGAGAAAGGTGTCTAAGTAGGTGTGGACTGTGTAGAGTGGCCAAAGGAAGAAGAAGAAGAAGGAAGAAGTAGGCAAAGTAGGGGAGGGAGTCAAAAGCCCTACGCACGATGAGAGAGTCCTCTCTCTCTCATCTCATTTTCGATATTTTCTATTTTTGTGCTTATTCTTTACAGATTGTGTGATCTCTCAAAAGGAAGGTTCTTTGCGTTTTTATCTTAATTGGGCCTTAGGCCACTATTAATGGGCCTTTCCATTAGGGCCAATTGTGGGATGGGCGATTAATGGGCGATTACATTTTTTCCCGACACTATTTATTTCGCTGTCAGCCTGTCACCCATCCTTACCGTAAATGAAATTTTTTTTTTTATGAAAGAATTTTCCATGGAAAAAGTTAGGGAATAACAACAAACATTTAAATTTAATAGAGGTCAGCGGAATAACATTCTCTTTTTCTTTTCTTCTTATAATAAAAATCAGTGTTGCGGTGTCTTATGGACGGACTTTCGTGGTACGTTAAAAATTACCCTCGGCGACATTCAAAAGCCATAATTTCTAACGCTTCAAATCTGTTGGGGAGTGTGTTAGGATTCAGAGGCTCAAAGACATTGACTTTCTTGAGCTTAAACCTTAGCAAACCAAGACTGAAGTAGTTTGATGCAAAACAGAGTCCAACACATGGAAATGAAACAGAAAATATGCAGAGAAAAGAACAGAGACTTTGAGAGAAGAGAGAAAGGTGAGAAGGGAAGAGAGAACACACATAACATTTGTTCACCCAGTTCACATCAATAGATGCTACGTCTGGGCCGAGTCACAGCTCGGAATCCACTAGAATAAGCAAGTTACAAGAGGGAATCCCTCAGAGAAAGAGTCTCACACTTGAGATCTCTTCTCTGTATCTCCTCTGTTACACACTCAAGAGAAACACCAAAGCTTACACCTTTAATGGCTATATCTCTCTCTTGCTTTCTTTCTACATTGTATCTCTCTCTCTTATTCACTCCCCTTCAACTACGCTCACAACATAGCAACACCTTATATATGTGAGACCACCTTAGATCTAGGGCTTCTCCAAAACCCTCTAATTTGAATTCACGTAAGGCCAAACTGTCCTTTCTTGGCCACCAATGCAAAGCTCCTTGTGGTCCCAAAAAAAGCATGACTCAACCATAGTTTAGATCACACTTAACTATAGTTTCATATTATTTGACCCTTCTTTGACTTGAATATAAAATCAGAGTTCTCATCTTCACAAATCTCCACCTGAGAACATGATTATCAAGCCAAACAATCTGCAAATCCTTGAGAGAGAGAGAGAGTACCTTCTAAGCAGTTTAAACACCATAAACCTGCTTGCTTCTTCCTGCATTAAACTTACATTCAATACACTTTCGCTGTGACGGTTCTCACCGCTGAACGAACCTGAGCCATCAACATATCTTTAGCTCATGAGTTGTGAAAACCAGCTCCAATGCAGTTTTGCATTAAGCTCAACTCTTCCATGATCACCTCCTATGCATTCAACACTTGAATCTTGATGTCACCACTCAGAAAACTCCATTAACAAGTTACGAAACGCCTCCAGCTTGTTAATATCAACAGAAAACTCCATAAGCTTCACCGCTTATAATACATCCAATCACACATTCTCCATTATGGCCCCTGTTAAAACCATAAGCATGTTGCAGTGACTGAAATACCAATTAACCTTCTGCAAAACTTGATTCCCTTGCTATAGCTTCTAGGATTTACTCATGCGCATTGAGATCAAAACCCTTTGAATTCACTTGAATTAAATGCAGAAAAACAGAATCATCTTGGCCTCTAACCTGAAGCTCTTTGATTCAACTTGTAGTCAATCTCACCAACAGCTTATACCATTGTAGATTCACCTAAATACCCTGTTTAACAAACCAAAATTTCAGACCAGAACCCCTGCTCAACCATTTTGTTAAAACAGAACACACCAGCAGCTTGAAAAACCCACTACCAGCAACCTTTATCATGTCTCTTATCAGCAAACCTTGTGATATCCCTAAGACACGTCCTTGCAACAGATTACACATCAACTCTAGAACCCTTGATGTCTCTTTCAAGCTGTAAAGAACAACCTGCAGTACCTCTTCTTGTATGCAGCCTCCACCAAAACGAATTTGGTCATTACATCATTCAATTTGCAGTCAGGGCCCTTCCTTTTTTTTTTTCTTAAAGATCATTCACTTGACTGACCTGCAGATAACTTCCCATGAGTAGATACTTACGTAGTCTCCTCATCAACCAAGACAACTTTACGCTCATGAGTTGTTGTCTTCCAAATGCAATTTGAGTCCTCTGCATTTGCATCCTTACTAGGATTTATTTTTTTCAGCTTCTAACACCAGCTTTGAGATGTTGTTACCAAGCTAGATACACAACTGTTTTTCCTTTAGTGAAGTGACTTATATTGAGACAGTCCTTGCAGCACTTTGCATTTGTCTCCTCCAGTTTATTCCTTACAGAAACTTACTGAAACACTTCAAGAACCTCATCCTAGCTTAATCAGCTCAAAAAAATCAGAAACCTGCAACTCTGTTAAGAAAACCTGCAATTCTCTTCTAGAAATCTGCAGTTCGTTTCTGAATATCCTTACCAACACCCAGCTTCAAACCAAATCTGTAAGAGTCCTTTTACCCTCATATTTATAACCTCTGAACTTGTTGATAAACAGCTATTCTTGGCTTTCCTTTCTTTTTGGTAAACAGATACATGAATCTTAATCAACATATTTATGCAGCCCTTTGACTCATCCATTTAGCTACATACCAAAGACAACCTCCATGAACATAGCTCCACCAGAAACTACAAAAAAATGGATGTTACTCTGTCTTTGTAAGCTCAGCTTCACTTCTCTGAGTTATGCTGCATACTCTTCACTGTTTCTTTGATTCACTCACACATTCTAATGTATTAGAATGAATTTCCGTGACTTCACTCTTGAGAAAGTGTGCCAAAACGTGTGACACATCTCCTTTCTTCATGTAACCACTCAATCTAATTCATTTCTTCCCAAAAGAACCACCAATAAACTTTTCTTTAGTATCTGCAGCCTTGTCCTCTCTTTACATGGAGAATACTTCATGTTTTGATGATGTTCTAGCTTAGGCTGATACATCACAAAACAATGCCTTAATCCCAGACAATATCTTGTACTCTTGCAGCTAAAAATGCAACACCTACTTATCTTGTACCGCTGTTAAGATAAACAGGACACGCCGCCTAACTCTCCTAGCTAGGAAGACTTTCGACACAATCATAGTATTTACTGTTGCATACTAACATTGACAGACATTCATCAAGAATTCTTCAATACCTCTAGCTTTTAGACCATCAGAATCTTCTTTGTCTTAAAGATCTGATTCAAAAAACAAGATAATTTCTGAGAAATCATTTGCTCCACCCGAGATAAGAACTCCTTGTTCCTTAACAAAATCACCATGTGTTATGCCAAACACAAATTTGCACAGAACATGAATCTTTTATGCTGCCACTACCTTGTCAAGAGAATTCGTTCTCATGACCAACAACCACAAACTGTCCAGCTTACACCAAACAACATGCTTACAAACCACACTGCATTCCCTCTGAAAATAGCAGCCTTGTAGCTTCACGTTCTCTGATGATCCACAACCTGTAGACTCTTTCATTCACAAGAACTGAGAACTACACACAGAGATAAACCTGCAACCGAAACCCCTTTCAAAACTCAGCCAAACCATTGAAGTGTACACCTCGAGACTTCCTGTTTTTATCAGCTTATACTGATAATAACACTGATATACCAACAACTTTCCAGTGCTCCAGAACATCTTCTCGATACATAACAATAACAGCTTTTGTTATTCCAACAAACTTGTTCCTGTTCTAGCAAACTTCATTCTCTGATTCATCCAATTCTGATCTGCAAAACCCTTTTTAGAGAATCCAGAAAACCTTACTGATACTCCACAGCCTAATACACATAAAATTCAAGCTTCTAAGGCGTCCCTCAGTCCCATGAATTTTATGAGTTTCCGAGGCTGCGATTACAACAGTAACTAAACACCACCTGCAACTGATCTTACCACACAAATGTTGACCAGAAAAATAACCTGAAACCATTACTGAATCTTGGCCAATCTCTTGCAAAATCAATACACTGCCTTTGCGTTAACCAGCTTTCAACTCCAACAAATATGCAGATCTTAAACAAATCAGAAACTTCAATACAGAGCATCACAAATACCTTGTGACTGCAGCGGAATCAGACTTAAAGTGTCCCAAAATTTGAGTCTTGAAGTTGATACTTTTAGTCTTACACCAACAGTTAGCCGGTTCTTCAGCATTGATCAAGAACACCATCTTTTATCACATGCCTCTTGCATTCATCTCTGAAAATCTTTGTGCTAGCAACATGTTGACTTGTGAGTGATTTTAAATCATTCTCACTATGTTGCAGCTTCTTGTACCCTTTAAGAACTTAGAGGAAACCTGATTTCATGACCTTGAAATCACCTCACTTGATTCAAAACTTCTGCTATGAATCTCTCCTTACGGTACAGCTTGTTAACATCTCATTTTCACACTCAGCTACAACCCATAACCTGAGCTTTTGCAGCAACCTCTGTGACAGTCTCTGTGACAGTCTTTGTAGCGGTCTCTGTAACTGTCGTTGGCTCTGCAACTGTCTCTACAACGTCTCCGAGTCTCTGGAGTTACCCTTGTTACTTCTTCTCCTGTTTCAACAGGAACTGCTTCTAAGACAGCAATAGAAAACCTGCAACTTTTGCTTCTTTTAGATGATGTGAATGAGATGCTTTATTGACACCAAACTGAGTCTTATAACTCCTCCTTTGGTTCGTGCTCTTCACTAAGAGACTCAGCTTGCTTTTCCAACCAGAGACAGTCATGTCTCCACAATATTTCTCAACACCTGAGAAAACCCAACAGTGCTCCACCAAGAAAGAGTTTTATGACTTCTTTCTCTCTTCTACACTATTTACCAAGAGCTTCTGTTTGATTCTTGCACCTAAGACGCTTCTTGTCTCTGCACAAACAAGCTCTACAAAGAAAAGAACTTGGATGCTTAAGGGAAAGGAGTTTTACTGCTCTAACTTTCCAAAGATCCAACCTTTTCACTTCTTTTCTTTCTTTAGACCTCTTCTCTCTTAGATCTGCATCTTCTTTCTCTTTTTCTGCTTCTGTTTCTTCTGGATCTGAGACTTTATTTCTTGAAATCTCAGTCACCCTCAACGCTTCACTCATGCTTAGACACCAGCCATGAGTTTCTCCTTCCACAGACCTAAGTATCCACGAGCACCAAAGTCTACAACTTCTATTCTTGATAAAACATGATTCTTTGGCTTGGAGAACCACAAAACACAGAACCTAGGGCTCTGATACCACTTTGTTAGGATTCAGAGGCTCAAAGACATTGACTTTCTTGAGCTTAAACCTTAGCAAACCAAGACTGAAGTAGTTTGATGCAAAACAGAGTCCAACACATGGAAATGAAACAGAAAATATGCAGAGAAAAGAACAGAGACTTTGAGAGAAGAGAGAAAGGTGAGAAGGGAAGAGAGAACACACATAACATTTGTTCACCCAGTTCACATCAATAGATGCTACGTCTGGGCCGAGTCACAGCTCGGAATCCACTAGAATAAGCAAGTTACAAGAGGGAATCCCTCAGAGAAAGAGTCTCACACTTGAGATCTCTTCTCTGTATCTCCTCTGTTACACACTCAAGAGAAACACCAAAGCTTACACCTTTAATGGCTATATCTCTCTCTTGCTTTCTTTCTACATTGTATCTCTCTCTCTTATTCACTCCCCTTCAACTACGCTCACAACATAGCAACACCTTATATATGTGAGACCACCTTAGATCTAGGGCTTCTCCAAAACCCTCTAATTTGAATTCACGTAAGGCCAAACTGTCCTTTCTTGGCCACCAATGCAAAGCTCCTTGTGGTCCCAAAAAAAGCATGACTCAACCATAGTTTAGATCACACTTAACTATAGTTTCATATTATTTGACCCTTCTTTGACTTGAATATAAAATCAGAGTTCTCATCTTCACAGAGTGTTTTTCGTCATTCGTGCGTAGGATTTGACAGTTGGTCGGATAAAACTTCAAAGCCATCTTTTAGAAAAATGATATTTCTATATTATAAGAACAGGTGAGTACCATAAAATACTTTCAAATACAGCTATTACCGTTATTTCTATATTATAATGTCACATCGATTTCGGTTGCTCTTCTATTATCAGTCAATAAATATTCCTGGTTTGACGGAAACTATGAAAACGCTTCGTTTCTCAAATCATAGAGCTATGAAAATGGGATAGACAGAGTCCATTTATCTTTTTGTGAATGGGACAGTCCATTTCGGACCGCATGCTTATATACGTCAGTCCATGACCATGCCCACACCATGACACCATCTATCTATAGTTGTTACTGGTAGGCTAATGCGCTGGTATATTGGTTATGGCAAAAGTTTTTGAAAATGCTTTATATAACTTAATTATCATTTATCAATTTCTTTAATTAGTAAATACATATAACTTTATATATATACACATAACAATAAAAAGTATAAATGTATAAGTTAAAATCTTTTTTTCTTTTGCCTTCTGTTTCTAACTCTTAAGACAGGTCAATATTCTCAAATAAACCTGTTATCCGACACTGTCATGGTTTATGTTTTTTTTTTGGTTTGAATGGTCTTATTGCTGCGGCAATGCTTTGTGTCACCGACTCACCTTACTGCTCTTACTTTTTCTTACCCCTGACGTGAGATGTTTTCTGTTAAAATACCGAAATGAGGATATACGTTGAGTTCTATTATCTTTGTTTTGTTTTCCAACTTTTAATAGTTAATTATAAACGCGCCACGTCAAGAAGCATGCGCTTGTGCCTTGTCCCTTGAGGCACGAGACATTCACAATTCAACGTTCATTTCTTGGGATCAAAGGTATATACTCATATATAAATGTATATATAAAATATATAATTTTAAAGAAAACATCAATTGATATCTTTCTGTACTCAAAACCTTAATTACGAGTTACGACTGTTGCTTATAAATATACAACATGCAATTGAATGGAACAAAGCAACCTATTCTTCATTGCTCACACTAAAATTTCAGTGTGACCAACATGAAAAAGAGCAAGATCCCAACATGGGATACCTCATCTCGCCTCCTCCACAACCACAACCACAAGCATTCCCATAACCAAGTGTTCATAAATTTCCGCGGAAAGGAGCTACGCTGCAGCTTCGTGAGCCACCTTGTCGAAGCCTTTAAAAGACATGGAATCATCTTCTTTATAGATAAAGACGAACAAAAAGGGAAAGACCGCAGGCATCTCTTTGCGAGGATCAAGCAGTCGAGGATGGCTCTGACTATATTCTCAAAAAGGTACACAGAGTCCCGCTGGTGCCTGGACGAGCTAGCAAGGATAAAGAAAAGAGCTGATAAACGCAAACTACAAGTGGTTCCCATTTTCTTCAAGGTGAAGGCGGAGTCTGTGAGATACCAAAAGGCTGAATTCGGTCGTAACTTCTGGAGGTTAGCTAAGACTTCAAGTGGTGAACAGATAAAGAAATGGAAGGAAGCTTTAGAGTCTGTTTCTGACAAGATGGGCTTGTCATTAGGCGACAACAGGTAACTTACTGATTATCCTTAAAAAAAAAAAGAATCTTATGCGACATTTTTCAGGTTCCTTTGTCGTTTCCCATTCTGTTAAAAGTCAAGGCCCACTAAATTAAACCAGAGACCTGCCATGAAAGAAAACCGAAACTGGTTGTTATAACAGAACAGACAATGAAACAGGTCCATAGTGTGAATGAAACAGTCCAATGTCTAAGAGCAACATTATTGGGGAGGCCTTAGTTTTGGTTCTTAAGCCAATTTTTTGCTCTTAACTAAGAACCATTCCTTAGCAAAATCAACATTTCAACCTTTAATTTTAATCACTCGAGAGCAACATTATTGGGGAGGCCTTAGTTTTGGTTCTTAAGCCAATTTTTTGCTCTTAAGCCAATTTTTTGCTCTTAACTAAGAACCATTCCTTAGCAAAATCAACATTTCAACCTTTAATTTTAATCACTCATGAGCTAAGAACTAAGCTAAGGACCTCCCAATAAGGATGGTCTTAGAGTCTTCATAGTTCATATTAATGTAACAGTTGATATTTGTGACTCATCTTTATTTATAATCTAAAAGATAGCATATTAAAATACTATCTTCACTGATTCAATAACTTTCACTTTGTAATATCGTTTCCTTACGTGAAACTATGCAGACTAAACTATGTTAAGTACTTTGCAGCTCCGAGGCGGATTTTATAGAGGAAATTGTTAAAGAGGTTAAAAGAGTTTTAGCCGTCGAGAAAATGGAAGACCATTCCTTCAGTCTTCCCCACAGAAACAGAAAAGATTTACCCAAGAGGATCAAATTCAGTTAAACGATTGTATAATTAGTAGTTTTGCTTTTGTCCATTTCATTTATGGTGTGTCAAGTACCTAGGAGACTAGGACTAGGAGTTTTGTGTTAATATTGGTTTACCACATTTCATTTCTGTAAATTATTGTATATATTGTTATTCTAATAAAACAATTTGTATCCAGGGATAATATTCTAAACCAAATTTAATCGGTGTGAATGTTTTCAAATCCCACCCCAAATGTTTCAACGGCTGCTGATGAGATAGCAACAGATATATATTGACTGACCTGCTCAGAGAGCGAACCATTAGCTTACATGATGACTTTGGTTGTTTCAAGCCCACCATCCTGAGACATAATTAAAAAAGACAAAAAGAAAGAAGATGATCGTCTAAATGAAAGAGAAGGTCAGCTCACAGGCCATGTAGTTGTTCACCCAATTACTAAACAACAAGTTAAACAATTCTCGTCTTTTCTTATGACTTGCATCTGAATCTTGAAGGGCTCAAAGCCTCAAACTATAGATAACTAAATTTATAGTGAGTAGATATATGTGAAATAGAACTCTGAGAGCAAGATCAAACCCTTAATCATCCCTGATAAGCTTCTGTTCTGTAGAACTAAGTACTTTATTGTTTATCCAAGTGTGTATGTACAACAAGAATACCAATGAAAAACCACAAACATCAGAGATAGTTCTCCAGAGCTTCTGTCCCTGGAAACTATCCTCCCTCACAGTCTCATAGACTGATCTACACCCAAGAATCAACATATAACAACTTTAAAAAATGCTGAAACTTAGCCGTCTCACAATTCTTCACACGTGCCTTCCACATTCTTCTCTGTTTGATCCGTGTGCCTTCTTCTTCGAAAGTACACTCTATGCAACTTATCAATCTCATCTCATCAAGGCACACAAAGATGAGAGGGCTTTCATATATACAAGTATAATACATCACACTATTAGTACATTATTATTCACATGTATAAGTATGGTATTGGATTAGAGACACAGAAATTGGATCCAAGAATGATAGTGGCAGAACCTTTTATATACTCAAAAGTTTAACAACAAATGGACAAAAAACCAGGTATTGCTTCTGTTCCCTTCGAAATTTCATGCAGCAATCTAATCTAGCCTCATCGAGTCAGGTATATGAAGGACCACAAAACTAAATGCTTAATGATTTAAAATCTACTACATGCCACATGAATCACTACAAAATACATCCATATCTCTAGAAATACAAACGATTTTCAATCAACTCGACAAATTGAAACATACAATTCGAAACACTATAGACTCAATCATTGGGACAATACCCGGTTCAGAAGAATAAAATCGATAAATCATCTACACCCATAAATTCTAATCAAAGCGTATGAGAACATTGAAAAAGTGAAATCAAGCAGAGAAATATAGAAAGATATCTCCGGATAGTACTTATGATGAAAAAAACGGACCTTTGGTGATTAATAGGAAAGTTTCGGTCGTATCCAGGAACATATAGTCTGATTTTAGCTGTTCCGGTGATCTTTCGAAGCTCTATAAAGCTCATTGACTAGTGATCTGTAAGCGGCCAAGTCAGCTACAATCCCTATCTCAGGTTTCTGTTTATAATGCTTTGATGCATTTGCATGTCTATGGTGACCTTCCAATAGGATGTTGTATGTGATGTCATCCGGAACAACCCCTATATTAAGCATGGCATCTAGCAACATGTCAGCATTCTTCATCTGTCCCAATTTGCATAGTCCGTTCAGCAGAACATTATACGTCACAACACTAGGAATATGCCCATCACTCTGCATTTCCTTAAGCAATTTGAAACCGCTTTGAGCATCACCTTTCTTACAGAATGCATCCATCATCATTGTATAGGTTACATCATCCGGCTTCATACCAGCTCGCAGCATCTCTCTCAAAGCTCTTTCAGCATCAATGACTCTTCCTTCTTTGCACATTCCACAAATAAGAGCTGAGAAACCCACCCTATCAAGTTCTATCCCATTCTGATCCATTTCCTTCCTTATCTCCAAAGCTGTGTCTACATCTCCTCCTCTACAAAATCCATCTATAAGAGTTGTATATGTAATTTTGTCGGGCCTCAGACCTCTACGGATCATCCCATCAACTATATTCCTTGCAGCCACCAAATCACCGTTCTTGCAAAAGCCATTTACTAAAGTATTATATAAAACAATATCAGGCTGAAGACCCTTACTTAACATCTTCTGATAACTTTCTTTCATTAAGTCAATCTGTCCATTCCTACTATGACCATGAATCAAAGTAGTGAAAATAACATCATTTGGGATCAACCCTCTCTCACACATCTCATCAAACAGGCGATGTGCACCATCCATTTTGTTCTGCTTACACAATGCATTAATCAAGGCACTATAGGTGAAAACATCTGGACGTGTTCTGCTTTTCTCCATATGATGTTTAAGCCTGAACCCTTCATCCAAGTTTCCCACTTTACAATACCCATTTATCAAAGTGTTGAAACTAACCACTGTAGGCCGCAAATTCCTTTTAGTAATTTCGTCGAACACCTTCTGGGCATCACATATATTGCCTTCTTTACAAAATTTGTTCATCAAAATATTGAAAACGTACACATTCAAGGGAAACCCAGCATCCAAAATCTCCATATAGAATCCCCAAACCGTCCCAGTTGGATTCAGCTTCATCATCCGATCAAGCAAATTGCCACAGCCACGAATCGGAACAACGAAATTATGCTTCCGAGATAGCCTAAAACATTGAATAGCATCGGGTATGAATCCTAGATCCATGTACGTAATCATCAAAGCATCAACAAGGAAACCACACATAGGTCTTCCTCTCATTTCTACCAAAGATATGAAAACTGAAGAAGCCGAGTTTTTGCCTTTACGAGAGACGACGAGCTCGATAAGTGATTGTGCTTCCGTGAACATTTCGTGAACCGCAAGAAAACGAGCCATGACGAAGTAAGTCTCAACGGTAAAACGAAATCCAGGTTGAGATGAGATAAATTTGAAGAAAGCGAAAATTGAACGGTGTGGGAGGGAGAGAGGGTTATGGTTGATGAGATCAACAACATGACGAACGCTGAGCGAAGGCAGGACCTTTCTGATAGAGGGGCAGGTAGCGAACGAAGATAACTCCGATGGCGGATCCTTGTAAGAATCTCTGATGGCAACTGAGAGATTGACAAGAACTGGGTCATTGTTGTCGTCTGCTGAGATAGATTCTGGAGAGTACCATGTCGATAAGAGGGACGATGCACGAGAAAATCTCTGTAGCTGAGATCGAGATAGTGTGCTTCTTAGAATTTCGATTCTGAACATATCTGACTCTTGACTCTCACAATTTCTCCGGCGCCGGCTATTTCGAGTGACTTTTGAATGAAAAAGTCGGGTTATTTAGTAACCGGACTTCTGCGAGGCCGGTTCGTTACGGTTAGCGTTTAGTTTTCCGGTTAAATGTATTTATCATGTGAAGCTAATCGAGGAAGACTGTTGTGATAAGATGCTCTAATTGGAAAGGAAAATGTCAACTTTTCAGATCGTGAAAACTTTTTATAAGAGAAGCCAATTTGATTATCACTAAATTAAAGATGCTAATTGTTAGTAAAACAAGGAGATAAAAAAGTTTTGATAGTTATAAACGATAAAAAAGTTTTGCTTCATAGAATATCCGGAGATTCTACAGAAATTGTAGCTAAGACACATGAAGATAAACTCAAATACGGAAGAAACAACTGCAAAACACTGGGAAGATAGAACTAATAGCCTCCCTTGAGATCGTTGACAACATCGTAAGGGATAGGAGTGACAGTCTCCAAGGTCATTCCTTCAACCATGAATCCTGGTTTGGGTCCTTTAGGCTGTCTCTTGGTGCTGATGGTCTCACCTTTGGCTTTGGCTGCAGCCTTGAGCTCATCGTTCTTCTTCTTCCTCAGCTTGAACTCCTCAGCACATCTTGATTGCTGCACATGCTCCACACGCACATGAATCCTCTTCCTTATGATCCTGTTGCCAATCTGAAACACCCCACCGTCATATGTCAGTAAATGATACCGAATATAGGTACTGGTAAAAAGGTTCTGTTATAGAAACAATACTAGTATACAAATGTTGGTGGTCATTTGAAGTCAAACTAGAGCAATGCGATAGTCATTAAACCAAACATATTAGCAGTTCAATGAACAGGAGTCAAAGTATTGAATCAATGGAAACCATATGAATGTAAACTAGAGGCTAAGCCAAAACTGTGATGCAAAAAGGGCCAAATTAATGAAACACAATGTATGCTCAAGCTAAAGTCTAAACGAAACCTAGGAATCCACACTTCGAATCACGAACCAGGATCAATTGTAGCTTAGGATGAGATTCACATTCTATAAACCGATACTCAATCACACATTTCTACATCAAATCAATAGATCAACAATCCAAAATAGCACAATAAGAAGCTCAAATCCTAATTAAATGAAACAAAAGTTAAAGGGATGTGATAGATCATCATCAGACCTGTTTGTTGACTTCAACACCGACGGCACGCTTGGTGACGTTCCAGACACGACCAGTACGACCGTGGTAGAACTTGTGAGGCATACCCTTGTGGATCGCACCATTCACCTTCACATCGACGTAATCGCCAACCTTGAAGGTTCTCAGGTACGTCGATAGTGGAATATAACCCTTCTTCCTGAACGGCCTCGCGAACAGATCCCTCGTTCTCGCCCGAACTCCATGACCCGCCGGCATTTTTTCTCCTCGTGCGACAACTAAAACCCTAGATCGCCGAAGAAATGGAATGAAGAAGGAAGAGTGTATTTATATCTCTGTTTAAGAGATTAGGGTTTCGTAAACGGAGCTGTTGGGTCAGAAACTTGGGCTTCTATTTTTTAGAACCGGCCCACCAATAATGAAGAGTGAGTGGAGTGTAATTGTGTGTTTTTTTACGGCGAGTGAGAGAGTAATTTATGTAGAGATGAACTTCTGTTCTATAACAAAGCAACCTCACATTACTTTATTCGAATGACTCAATCGACCAAATAGTATTATATCAATCATATTAGTTTTGATGATCCGCTCAAATATTACTTCTCTTCAATCTGTGAACACTAGACTAGATAGGAATCACAAAATGGCTACATAACCAAATAGTTACTATGACAAACTCACAAGACTCCATCTTGACACTGTTATGCGTGGCTTGCTTCTGTCTCCACACTCCCAAATACTGCCTCCTTTAAACCGTTCATGCATGAAGAAGGTTCCAGATTTGGCGTTGTCTCAATTTTCTCTGTCTCCACACTCCCAAATGCTGCCTCCTTTAACCCGTTCATGCATGAAGAAGGTTCCAGATTAACCGTCGTCTTAATTTTCTCTGACTGATCGTTTTGACAATGATCAGTAGGTTGAGGAGGGATGATAACATCTGCAGGAGTCTTAGCTACTTTGCGTTTTCCTTTCCGAGCTTTCTTCTTGAACTGAGCCTTCCTGGCTTTTAGAGTCTGGACGGTTTCTTTAAGTGGGATCGGTGCCAGTAATGTCTTCTTCTCACAAGGAAGTACAGTAAGCTGAGTGTTGTAGTTGGCAAGGTTGTTTTTAGAGTCTGACTGGATTGCTAAAAGAGCAGTTCTCCCAGCGCTTATCTCAGCATCTTTTTTAGTTTTTGTTGCAGCTCCTGTGTACTTTATGCCTCCAATCTCTACAGTACATGTGAATTGTGTAGCTCTCCCAAGAGTTTCTATCCTTTGGCACTGATACAATGGAATCGCGTAATTCATCTTTTGAGCATACTCTTGAAGAAGGTTCTTGCATAACCCCGTTTCATGCTGCATTAATAAGCCATTCAAAGTTAGGCAAAAGCACATATGATACAGAAATAGCCCAAGAATCTTCCCTCTAGAAGTTGACTATGCACATAAATCTGATAAGATAAAACTCCTCCTAGGTTCAATTCACCCCAGAACTACACCACAGAAGATACTTGATTAATGTATACCCAAACCAAGACCCTTATTATATCCAGAATGCCCGCTAACACATTCTCACATCTCCCCTTCAAACCTTCAACTCTCAAACTAAGCAAAAGGTCTGCTGCTGAGATGGCAAAGCTACAATTTGCTGCTAAACCCCTAGGCAGGCTAGTTGCAATAGTTTTGCAGTGAACTTAACAATAATCACGAAAGAAGAAAGATGAGATGCTTACAACAGGTTGTGAAACACATTGGCTTAGCTCACTGGATTTTGCTAATTCCTGGAGAGCAACCTCGGCAGCTGATTGCTCTGCAGCCTTACGATTGAAGAATCCAGGCAAAGAATTATATCTGACACCATTCAGTATCACTGTCGATTGAAAGAAAGATTTGTGTGAAGGGCCTTCTTTGACAGTCTCATAAACAGGCGTTTGGAGCTTGTATTTCTGAGCATACTCCTGCAACCGACTTTTGAAAACATAGCAATTGGAAACACCTGAAGAGGAAAAACACTTCAAAATGAGACAAAAGATAAAACAGAAACAGTGATGATGCTATCCATTACAGCACAAATTACAAATAAAACTCAAAACGACAAGAGGGAACAGCAGTGAAAGAGTCCTGAATAGCAAATGTAAAGGCAAGCATAAAGCTGACGACTTTCTCAAAGAAACTATACTTATCCAAAAGGGGAGAGACAAATTATTCTATATTTCTACAATTTGAGTCAATAAATAAATCATCATCTCAAAAGGGTAAGCATCCCAATTGATGCTCATATATGACTTATCATCACATAGGCTTCAGAAGAACCAAGTGAGAGGTGAAAAGGAAACCAAACATTCCGACCTCTATGGGAAATATTGAAATTGGCGAAATACGAAAGCTTTTGCCAGAGAGATCTACGCTTAAACCCACAAGTGACAGATACACTTGTAAGTTAAAACTAATCCAAACACTGCAATCCAATTCCCCAGGAAGAAGGAAGTGAGCAAGAAAAAAAGCATGATCTGGATTCAAAATTGAAACCCGGAAAGAAAAACCCATCAATGTTGAATTAAAGATAATGCTGAAGAAGAAGAAGGGGTAATTCACCAGTGGAAACATCATTGGCAGTCATTTTCACGAGCAGAATGTAGCTGAAGAGACGAAGAATGGTTAGTAGGGCACGGCGATGAGAAGAGCCAGAAAGAAAGAAACTTGTTCTCGACACTGCTGCGAAGAAGCCGAGAGAGATGATTTAAGCTAAGCGCTTCACCAAAAACCCTCTCTCTCCCCTCGCGTTCCTCCTCCTCTTTACTGATTTTTTTTTCCTTTCTTTTTGTTTTTTTTTATCTCACAAGGACAAATAAAGGTGGTTCTTAATTGATTTGTTACATGTACTAATCATGTTTTTTTTTTTTCACACCTATCTAAATTATATTCCATAAACCTATCAAACATGTTTTTGCTAATCAAATATTTTGAAATATTTAATTTGATTTTAGAAAACTAATTACATCGCATAATTTCGTGTTTAATCTAGTATAGATATCCACAATTGATGAACCTTTTCATAGCTAATTTTATTCACTAATAGACAGACACTTTTGTTATACACACAGTCACAGTTGTTGTATTCAAATAATTTAATGAGCCCATGTAAAAAAATATTTGAGCCCATATTTATCGCTCCTGATAAGTGATAACTGTAGAATAAATAAGAGTCGAAATTAACTCTTTCCTTTTCGTTCCCTTTTTTTTGTTCTCTCTTCCGAAACACCTTTGCCACGCGCGTACTCTCCACGCGTTTCAACAGTCGTGAGTCATCCTCTTCTCCGATCGTCTGTTTTTATCGGCGGCTTTCTTTCTTGGGCATCCTCATGCGCAAGTCTCTGTCGTTTCATCTATAACTCCCTGTTTTTTGGTGAAATTTGATTCCTTTGTCCTGTTCTAAGCCGAAACTTGTCTGCAGAATTGTTTCATAAATACGACGAAGATGGTTGATGATAATAGTTGCAATAGTAGGAAGAGAATCATTACTGAAGGCGACATCGCCACTCTTTTGCAGAGGTAAAAAAATATCTCCTTTTTTTATTATTCGTAAATTTGACTTATTTTTCTCTTTCCGAAAACGTAAGTCAGTGTGGGGATTTTGATTTTTTTTGGTGCAGATATGATATGAAGACGATACTGAGACTGCTACAGGAGATGGCTTATTATTCCGAAATCAAGATGGACTGGAATGAGTTGGTGAAGAAGAGCACTACCGGAATCACTAATGCTAGAGAGTACCAGTTGCTATGGCGCCATCTTTCTTATCGGCATCCTCTCCTCCATGTGGAAGATGATGCTCAACCTCTGGTACTTTTTTGGTCTCTCTTGTTTACAGTATTGATGGATTGCAAAAAAAACTTAAACTTCTTGGTAGCATTAGGGATCGATGAGTAGTATCTCGTTGATCTAGTTTACAGATTTTTTAAACGAATGCTGCCTGTGCAGGATGATGATAGTGACATGGAGTGTGAATTGGAAGCTTCCCCTGCAGTCAGCCATGAAGCATCAGTGGAGGCTATTGCGCATGTCAAAGTAAGAAGGGAAATAAATTTTTCATTCCTTAGATAGTTTCCTTGGTTTTATGTATTTTTCTGGGATTTCTGTGTTCTCAATCTGAAGTCTCTGGACTCTGTTCAGGATGTGAGTTTGCAGTTGGGATACCACCTTGCTCTTTTCTTTATGATTAGGGTGTTGGTTACTTGTTCTGCATATAAATTCATTCTAAGTTTTCGTTTCTCTTTTAATCCCAGGTGATGGCTGCTTCATATGTTCCAAATGAGTCCGATATACTCGACGATTCAACAGTTGAGGCTCCCTTGACTATAAACATACCTTATGTTCTGCCTGAGGGTTCTCAGGAACCATCAGAGTCTCCTTGGTCGTCAAGAGGGATGAATATCACCTTTCCGGTCTGTCTTCAGAAAGTTACATCTACCGAGGGGGTGAATGGAAATGGTTCAGCTGGTAATAGCATGGTTTTTCGGAAGAAAAGAAAAAAATGGTCTGCTGAGGAGGATGAGGAGCTGTTCGCCGCTGTTAAGCGATGTGGTGAAGGGAACTGGGCTCATATCGTTAAGGGAGACTATAGAGGAGAGAGAACCGCCTCCCAACTCTCGCAGGTTGTGATTTCTCTTAGTCAATATTGACTGCTCCTTTTTCATTAGTTTCCTTGAAGAAATCATTTTGTAGTGTATTACATCCTGTTTATGCATCATTATCTATATTCTGTTGATGATGAATGGTGGATATTGCCTCCCCTGTTTTAGTTGTTTGTGGTGGCTCTTTACAGACGAAATACCACTGTGGTAATTTCTCTAGAAATATATCTGTTGTCATCTAGTCTGGTATGGACGTGGGGTTCCCCCCATTTTTCCGGGTTCGAATCCCGGCAACAGATTCTTTGGATGATATGATTAATAGTCTCTTGGCAATCATAGAAGGTAGCTAATAAGACAATGTTTTATGATATATTTATCCATCTTTACATTTTTACGCATATATTTTCCATCAGATAATTTCTGATGCTTGTATAAAAGATAACAATTCTTTCGCTACTTGGATGAGCATGTGACGTTTAGCAATTGTCTATTCTTTTTTCCCTTATTGGTGGTAACAACTGACTATTTTGTTTGTAGAGGTGGGCGCTTATAAGAAAAAGGTGTGATACTTCGACCTCTGTTAGCCAATCTGGCCTACAACCAACTGAAGCGCAGATAGCAGTTAACCATGCAATATCTTTAGCTCTGGGAAATCGGCCCCCTTCAAAAAAGCTTGCAATAGGTACCAAGTAGCAGAAGATCCTTTCCTGCTAATTCTAGTATATATTTTATAACAGAGGATGCTTTGGTTTGGTTACCACTGGCTATGTTATTGTCTAAACCAGAAATTAGCTTACCTGTTTAACTGGGGTGGGGTTTGTGGTTATAATATTTGGGTCATCCTTTTTATTTATTTGGTACATCAATTAGACTGCATTTTATGCAGGTGTTATGCCAACGACTTCATCTTGTAGCATCACAGAACCGGAAGCTAATGGGGGCAGTTCTTCTCAAGGTCAACAACAGTTCAAACCAATTGTTCAAGCATTGCCTCGGGCAGGAACATCACTTCTGGTTTCAAAATCTCGAGTTGTTAAGAAATCAACAGCAAGCTCCACTTCCAGATCGAATCTTATGGTAACAGCTAATTCAGTAGCTGCAGCTGCATGCATGGGTGATGTATTGACTGCTGCATCAAGACCAAAGGTCGAACCTGGAAAAACTGATGCTCCACTAGTGCCAAAGACTAAACCTGTAAAAAATGCTTCTACAGCCTGCATGCCTCGGCCCTCAGGTAGCCTCTCCATGCCAAAGGTTGAACCAGGAACGAGTGTTGCGGCCTCTAGTATCATTAAAGCGGTTGGACCTGCGAATATGCGGCCTCTAGCTTATGGAGAATTGAAACCTGTGACGGCTTCATCATCCTCGAACAAACTTCCTCTCATGGCTCCTCGTTCAGAAGGATCTACAATGCTTTCTGCTTCTGCCCCCTTGGCTTCTCCATCGAGGATTGTCTCCAATCAGAGAGTTTTTGCAGCCTCTGTCCCAGCTACTGTATTACAACCAAAGCCAACTGCAGAGACTGTCACTTGCAAACCAGATGGTGGACAGAAAGGGCAAGCTCGGGGCAATGAAGCAAGCTCATCTGCTGCAATCCAGCCACATCAAATGACCTCAATAAACTCGGAGATTAGCCAGGGAAAGCAGGCTACACAGGCTCAGTCCCCTAATCTCTTACCTAGGAAAGTTCCAGTAGTTCGGGCTGCAGTTCACTGTGCTACTAACCATAAGTTGGTGGATAAACCATCTGATAAAACTGTAGTACCTATCAGAGGAGCTGGTTCGCAATCTAAAGCCAAAGATGAAGTAAACAGTAAGGTTGGTCCGGCAATTAAAGTGAGTAGTGTATGCGGAAAACCTCTTGAGGTTGCAACTGTGGCCGGGACCGGACAGGGTGTTTAGTTCTTTGACATAATCGTCGGATACTTTATTTTGGAGCTTTCATTTGTAATTTTTATTAGAGAACTGAAAGAAAGATATGATGTAAAGGAGGCCCTTGAGTACACGGTACTAATTAATATGAATCTCATATACTTACAATCTTCAAACTCTACAACATATAGTTAGATTTGAATCTCAGGACTTTTAAAGGAGATCACTTTCTCAGCTTCTTTTGACATATTCAGGGACCTTTACAGGTGGGACAATGTAGCTACACTGTTTTTGCAGAGCTGGAGATGGACTGACACAAGAGAAGATTGTTGAGGCTTGCTTCGGTTGTTGTTTATACTTCTTTAACTTGACACCAAACAAGAATGACCTTAGTGGAATCCTAGGCTTTCCACCTGATGACGTGTTCTTGCTCAGAGATCTTGTAGCCGTCACATTCAAGATCCCAAGACTCTCTTCTAGTTTGCATACAACTCTTTCTACTTCATTTCTCAGTGTTTTTGCACGATCAAGGCCTGCTTGAAGTTCGTTAAACACCTTTTTGTTCTCCTGTTTCATGTTAAGTATCTCACCATGGAACTTTGCAGCCTGGTAACCGCTTATCTCTGTACTGCTTACTTTAGTTCCACCCGATTGAGACGTGACCCTTGAAACTTCATCTTTGATATTGCAAAGTGTTGCATACCTACCCTCAAGTTCGTCTCTCAGAACTGCACTGTTCTCTAGCCATAACTGCAGCTCTGTCCGAATCTCTCTAAGGTGTCTATATATAGGCTTTGCTTCTGATGCAAGTGCAGTGTTACTACTGCTTCCAGCATTACCTTGTTGCTTGCTTTCAATTTTCGATAGCTCTGATTTCAGGTCCTGAACTGATGTATGGTACTTCTGTATCTGATGAACAGATGTACTAAATCTTAACCAGAACTCGATATTCTCCTCCAGCACCGCGTCAATATCTCCACGCACTCTTTCTTCCACAGTTGGAATTTTCTTTCTTAGGCTGTCATTAATGTCTGCAAATTTCACCTTAACCCCGTCTTCCTTTGCTTGTTCAGATTCTCTCTTCAAGTCTTCTCTTTGCTGATGTGGTTCCATGGAGAATGAAGAGTTAGAGCTAGGATAAATGCTCAAACTTTCAGACCGATTTCTTTCTACTGGATGCGGAGAATCCTTGCCGGGCATTTCTGGTTTCTGGCGTAACAAATGAAATTCCACGTCTTCGCAAGAAACAGCATTCTTGAGCTCTCTCAACTGCAATGCCAGCTCAAAGAAGCCATCACGGTTCTTCTTCTCAACTTCACTCAACTTTCTCTTCACTTCTCTATAGTCCCTTAGTACTGATGTGTATTCATCCAATAGAACCTTCTCTCTATCCTCCATGCCATCTGCGGGTAACAACTGCCTCCAGTTTCTCCTCTCCTCATCTTCCGCCTCTGTGCCAAAGCAAGTGCTTTCTGTTTCTGATAAACCACCACTAGAGTCTCTTGTCTCTGATTTCTCTTCCTGCACCGACTCTTGTTCTCTACTATGTTTGACTACAATGGCCTCTTTAGTTTCCTCTGCACTCTTTATCTCTCCCCCGTTTGAGATTGAATCCAAATCCTCAATAGGATCCTCCTCCTGGACATCTTCCGGGTTCATCCCATCACCTTCGACATCTTCATCCATTTTCACTTCCTGTAACTTTCCTGATAAGTCCTTAGCTGTGCTATTAGCTTCAGTCAAATGCTTCTGAAGATTCTTGTTCTGGTCTTCCACTCTCTGGAACAGGTTTCTAACTTTGCTTAGCTCATCTTCAAGCGCCGTTATCCTTTTCTTCATGTCTATGGAGTCTGATACAAGACATGCCTTGTCTTCTTCTACACCACGGATATGTTCATGTAACTCATCTGTATCTGTTCTTAATGTCTTTACCAATGCCGTATGAGACAACGCTGTTGTTTCCAGAGAAACCACTCTCTCTACAAGTTCATCTATCTTCTGTGCAAAGTCCATATTACTCAAGTTCTCATTCAAATTAACCTCTCTCGATTCTTTCACAGATTCATAACTCGATTCTTGACCATCAAAAGCTTTCTCAAACTTGTTCTTCAGTGCTTCAAACCTCTCTGTTGCAATATCAATCCTTCCCTTCTCAATTTCTGCATCTTCTGAAAATCGCCTCTGCGTCTCCTCAAGCTTAGCAATTGTTTCTTTACAGGAGCTTAAAGCAGTGCTTGCCACCAGCGTCCTAGCTTCAGCATCTTCGATCTCTGCACCAACCCCAAACTCATCTTGTAAACTGCAAACTCTCTTCTGCATTTCTTCAACTTCATTCTCTAAATTCCAATACCTTTCATAAGATTGCTCATAAGAACTCCTCACAAACTCCTTCTCAGTCTGCAGCACCAAGATACCCTTATGAATCTTATCGATCTCCTCCAATGCCTCTTCTTTACTCAATCCGGAACTCACCAATGCAGAAGAAGATACCGAACTTTTTAAAACATCAGGTCCCTTTTTCGACAACACCATCAGAGATTGGCTCTTGAACTCTTTCTTGGGAACCTCAGGGACTTGTGGTATGTTGGTTCCACTGGGAATGAGATGAAGATGCTTAGGTGGTTTCTTGGGATCATCACCATCGTCTTCATCATCATCAACAAGAGGAAATGGAACATGTTCAGGGAAAGCGGTAGCGATCATATGATTGGCACTTTGAAGTTCTGTGGACAAATGATCATAACGTTCTGCTACAGCACGGTATGATCGAAACGCTTCTTCCACGAAATTTACAATCTCAGGCCTTTTACGGTAATACATCTCCGCTCTTTTAGCAAAAGTGTCCCCATCTTCATCTATGATCTTAAGTGTGTACTTTACCTTCTCCTCCATATCTAGGAAAGTTGAAAAATTTCAGAAACAACTCAATAAGGCTTTATACTCTCGTTTGCGTGAAAACATGAAGGAACATACGTACCTTGGAGATTGTGTTCGAGCCATTTGGATTGTTTTGTGCGTATGTGGCTGGCCCACCACCACGAATACGCATTGCTCGCTGCTCTCTGCAACATCAGAGTTTCTTTATAATCTGCATCCTCCTTTTTCTTTTGTTTTTTCCTTCTCTGTTCTCATGTTAAATCTTTTTTTTTATAAGATTCTTATAACTTTTAAGTTTCTCCCTTGTGGGTTTTAACTATAGAACACCTAAATTTAGAAGATGGCATATTGTTTTCTTTTGTTATTTAAAATTGTAAAATGTTTCACTGTAAATGACTATATAAGACTTGGCAGTTTAACTGGTTTGTAACAGACAAAATAATGGCCGATTGTTACATTGCATTGTTGTTATAGAATACGTCACATGGATGAAACTAATTTGGATTTCAAATGTTCAACAAAAAAACAGTATATTCACATTCGAGTTGTGATAGTTTTCAAGATATACGTAAAAATTACTCGGAAGAACCTCAAATAAAAACCACAAAATGGCTAAATATATTCATCAACCCTAAGTTAACGTATCGAAATTTTACAAAAAAAACGATGAAAGACGCTTTTCTTTCCTTTTTCTTCTTAGAAAACTCCTACAACGATATAAACACGTCCTAAAGGTGTTGATTTGATATAAATCCTCTAAGTCTAACCATCCAAGACCCCAACACAAAACCCGTGGTGTGTTGATAGCCACCCAATCTCTATTTCTCCATCTCCTCAGCTTCGCCAGTGGAAGATGACAGCCTTGGCCGTTTTGCAGCTCGCTTCTCCTCTTCTTCCTCCATTGGCTCCTTTCTGATCATACTCATCTCCATCATCTTCACTCGCCTTGTCCCCAATTTCATCATGCTCCACTGGCTTCTCCTCATCTCCGTCATCTTGACTCGATGGAACAACAAGCTCAACATGAGTAGAAACGAGCTCTTCATTCTCAGTGTTATGGTCAGTGTTAGAACCCACGGTAGCAGATAATAAAGAGACGGTCTCTCTTGGAGGACTCTCGCCGATTTCTCCTTCATGAGTATTTTCTATTTGGTTGTCTTCTATGATACCGATATCTTCTGAATCATTAGAAGTGCTTTTCGAAGTTTCAGATAACAAATCAGTCTCATCTTCCTTCTGCACCAGGGGAATACCAAGGTTCCATGAAGAGAATGAATTAGATGCTCTCGGAGAGGCAGTTTCAGTGATGCATTGAAAGTTGCCCTCTCCAGCGTTCAAACACATAAACTGTTCACCAGTTTCCATGTCCACTTGCTGCCCAAAACAGAGCATATATAAGAAAATTCACATTTGGCGTGTCGAAAATAAGGAGATTTTATCACTAGCTTGCGGAACTTTTAGTACCTCTCTTGCCAGCGAGTCGTTACTAAGATGATAAAACGAAGATGGTTCCTCGAATGGTTCTTGTAGTTGTACAAGTAATGATCCTGTGTTGTTGGCTCCTGAATCGAATAAATCTCTTAGTACCATACCTGAATCATTAGCAGCTTGTACGTTCCTCATGGAAGATCTTTCAAGCAAAGTCATTTCGATTCCTTGATCGTCTTGCGTCTGTGTCATATTCCCGTTACAGTCTATCAGGGGGCTGCATCTCTCAGAGAGAACCTCAATGCCCGTATTGTCATTGACGGCAACTGGACTTTCGCAGGACTGGTTCTGTTCATTACTAACTTCCCGTGACCGGTTTTCAAGGAGTTCAAAAATTAACTTCTGAATTAGAGTACGCTTCAATGATGCCTCGGCAGGAGGAAACCAGTTCAGATAAAGCTGAGGAAACCAGAGAAAAAGCATGATCAGCAAATAAAGAGACTGAAAAGAATACAGACCCAGCCGCTAGTAAAGCACTTAAACTTCTTTCAAACTAACTCATGAAATCACGAAGCAAGCAAAAGATTCTATTGTGATTGGTCTGCAAAGCGACCAATTCTATACTAAGCAAAAAAAGCAGAAAACACAACTGGAGTAATCAACCGACAGCAAGAAATCTAAATATTCTAGCAAGCATCTGCGAAATGATTGCGCGTGAAAAAGATTCAGTTTGGCAAAGCTTATTAAAAGTAGCAATTAGAATAGAGACTTACAAAGTTGGAAGCATTATATATCTTGAAAGGACTAAAATTAAGGGGAGCTTCAGCAAGAAATAGCTCTAGATAGTGCAGCAGAAAGAGGCCACAGTCAAATGAGTTTTCCTGCTGTGGCAACTGAAATAGAAAGAGCAAACTTCCCATCACATAACAATTATTAACAGCTGCAAAAAGTATTTATCATTTAGCACGAAATTGTTAAAAGGTTAAAATAAAGTATTGGTACAAGGCTACAAATGATAAAAGGCAATGGAAGCTTGCATATGGCAGATGAAAGGTCAAACATCAATTGCTAGCTACAAGATTCATAGGCAATCCATCAATATCAGAGGTTACTCAGTCGTTTGAAGTGAGTTCAGATCACTTTTTTAAAATGTAAAACACATGCAAATGTAGATTGCTTTTAATAGAAAATATTGCTACAAATGCTTCTGTCAAGGTGGTAGTAAATTCATGGAGGGCAGCTACTTTAGTTTCGTAGTGGTAGTAAATTGCCTAAAGATCAACAAGAAATAACCACGAGTCTATCTTTCCATTAAAAGGGAACTAAATGAGTAACAGAGCTTGGTTAGATAAGAATATAATTTGCTAACTTTCTACCACTGAAAATTTAACAAACAAAATCATATAAACCAAGAAATCCTTCAACAACAAAAAAGGGGATTTCACAACAGCGAAAAAGTGCACCTCAAGTGAGACAAACCGCAAATTCATGAATCTGGAAGATATATCATCCGATGTCTCTTTATGCCTCTCCTTCCACTCCTCGCACAAGTAACTAAATCAGAATAATGTTGTTATCAGAAAATTGCACTACCCAGCTTAAAACTTGAACATATTAGCTCCACACTTAATTTGAAAGGATCAGAATATGGAGCTAGAACATTTTCTTCAGCAAATAAGATAAAGAGAGCATGAATAGATGACGGATATGCAATGCTACCAAAATGAGAAGAGACAGAGATTAGAAGACGAAACCAAACTGGGTTGTCCGGGAGCTAACATACCTTTGGACTAGATTTTTAAGCCCCGCATGGCTCCCTTTTATAGAATCCATATGTAATATGCACGGTACTTTTTTCGAGTCATCCAAGTCTAGATCTGTAGAATGATACAACATAAATAATAAGAAACTGGATGATCATGACTTAGTAAGAAAATGAAGTGAAATGTGACATTACCTGTACCATTAGCCACTTCACCAGGGTGACATATGACTATTAAACTCCAGTGAAGGCTGTCATCAGAATATAGCAATGTCAGATTTTGAACTCATATAAATATAACATATAGAGAAGTGCCATATAGTTTTTCGTACTTGAAGTTCACCGGCACAAAAATGTAGTCCTTTCCAAACATGTCCACCTTCCTTGTCCACTTACGGACACGTAGGAAAGCAGCCTTTCCATCAGCTATACTTGATGGATCTTTGTCGAGATCAGCAAGTTTCCGGAAGAAAAAGCTGTTAAAGAAATGGAATCTATGTTTTTCCTCCGTTTGAATCTGATTCTTTAAATAACTGTAAATAATAGAAAAATACACCAAAAGGTTAAATACGGTTCGCATCACATTAAGTTTACAGTATGACTGCAAGCACTGCATTAGTAAAATTGTGAGAAATAGTTCACAGCAAAACAGCAAACCCAAATATAGTTCACAGCAGCCCATGCCAGATTATATGCATTGCATCAGAAAAATTAAATTTAAGAACTCACTTAATATAGAAGTCAATGATTGTGTCATTTACAAATGTCTCTGGCTGCAAGAGCTCAACATCTCTTTTGCAAATGGAAACAGCATCTGGGTCTCCCTTTGGATAGACAACATCCTCAAAAGGTTCATCAAAGCTGAAAAGACAACATAAAACTAGCAACTCAATATGAAATGCCACCTCTTAAAGAGCCATAAAGTACAAGTAATGATGTACTTTGGTAGATGTACTCCTGAAGTAAAACAGAAGACAAGATCTTCATACACAAAAATACAGCTCCTATAGAGCAGTTTTACCTTGGAAAATAACGCTTCTGTTGATTCAAGTTATACTCTGATACTTCCACGTCATCCCTACAATAAAGAAACAGGACGAAGTGGAACAAAAAGTTACAAAAGTGCCTAAAATGTAACCAAAACTAAATATGAACAGTGTCAGTTTTCTTAAGATTTGGTCCAGTTTTCCCTCAAGAAGTCAAAAGTATTTCCTTTTATATGCAGATTGCTTTTCACTTAATGCTTTGTCTATTTTAAGCTTTAAAGGCTTAAAGTCGAATTTCCTTATTAAGTTTAAATTCTCATAGGGTTCTAACCAAATGAATCATACTCATAGTGTAGTTCACAATTTCCCAGATATCAGATATCTAGCAAATAATATTCATTATAAGAGCATGCAAATACATTTTCTAAATGAAAATGGGGAAAAAGAAGTAAGTTTTAATTAGCACTTCATAATAATATAAGCTTACTCGAGGTCAGCATTCCACACAGCCGGGTATTTCACATGCAGGGAGTTTATCTTTTGTTGCTTCTCAGGCCAATTATGTTCTTTTACCGCAATCTTTAACTCCTCAATGTCTGTAAACCACATGAAGCAATATAAAAAGTTAGAAGAGGGAACCCTTGTGTTGAAAAGAGTAGATGCTTAAAAAGAGAGGCTCTTCGTTTTTGCAGAAATGAAATTAAATAAACATCTCTCTCTTATAACTCTTAGCCATCATTAAACATGAACATACATGAAGCGGCTCCTACCATGACAATTAGAAAGTCACTATCTGTTCGGCAAACAAGCGAAATCGATAGTATAGATCGATTTAAGTATTGCATGTAAAGAAGAATTAAATATTTCCCAGTGGGATATCAGTTCACTTTATATTATCCTTTCTATTTACCATTTTTCTACTAAATTAAACCAAAATCGAATGAAAGCATGTACTAGTAGTATCATATGTGTATTATTTTTTCCTATAGTAAGATTAGTTAACCTGTAAACTTAGCAGACAAACCTTATTTGATATTAAAGTCTACATACTTATTAAGAATAAGCAGGAATAAAAAAAGTAACTCAACCCAAACTATATGCAATGAGAAATAAGACGATTTGGAGAAAAAGGTTCAGTGACATGAAAAAGCATTTTCCAACAGTTTGATATAGTAAATAAACCTTCAATGACCCCTACTCATATTTTTGTGCTATCAAGCTTTTAGGCAGTAGGATCCCCAATATATAGCACCCGACAATGAAAAAGCCATAGTATCATGTGTCTAAGATGACTAACCACAAATCGTAATGGTAGGATTCTAACAGGTCCGCTTGTCACAGGAAGCATTCTATGATAACCTAAATGGCAGATATACAGAAGCCAAGGATACCTGTGATGTGTTGCATACCTTCATGGCATTTTTCATCCTTCAGTAGAACTCGAATTCTGAGTATGATCAATCCAACCTACGAAATTGACCAGCAAAAATTGTAAAAGTGATAGACCATATGCCCGTAAAGTATCCTTCAATATAAAAAAGTTCGACATAATGAATAACTCACATTTTGGTACCAATTGTATTGAATACTAACAATGTCTTCAACTCCAAATTCACAAGAAAATGGCCCTTCTTCATTATTTGCGAGGAAACTCTTTATTTTGATGCCATTGCATGAAAATATTACTAGAGATGCAGCACAATGCATATCCTTTAGTATAGCATACTCCGAAGTCATTACAACAGCGGTGCTTAGGTCAATCTGTGAAGTGGAAATCATTATCTTTTTGCAAAAAAGAATCCTATTATCTTTTGGCAACCACACGAGATGGCCTTAAAGGCCAAACAAATTCTGGCAGCATTTTTTAAGCCATTGGTTAAGAAACTAGAAAACTCATTACCTTTTCTACATCGTTGAAGCAGAGTTCAGCCATCCAATCTTTCAGCGCATATAACATTGAAATCAATACATGGTCAGACATAGGAGGGCATCCAATCATATTTATAAGGAAATATAGAAAAAAGGTGTAGCATGTACCTTCATCATCTTCTGAATCAGAATCTTGACTCAACGCAGATCGATCACTCAAGCTTTCATCAATAGCTGACATCATATCAATTTGCTCCTCCTGCAAATGTGGAGAGGTTAAAAATGCAAGGTAAGACAGTCTTTAGCATACATAAAATAAGTAATACAAGATAGATTAACATACACTGGATGAAGAATCTGAAAAGGGTGAGTTTAGCTGGCGTTGACTATATGACGAAGTTTCAGCGTAAAAACTACTTCTGCCTGGCTGGCAAGAGAAACTTTCTAATCCATGATCTACATCAGTTTCTTCTATGTGGTCTCCGGTATTCAAACCAAACATCAATCCATGGTTATCTTGATCTTCATCTGTTTCCTTTGCCAGGTCTTCAGAATTCAAACCAAACATCAATCCATGATTAACGTGATCAGCATCTGTTTCTTTTAAATGGTCACTGGTTTCCAAACGAAATGTGAGACTCGTTCTGGACTCCTCAGCTTCTGTTACTAAAGTCGGAGCATCTTCACATTGATGATCGTCTGACTCTACAGCAGTAGCAGGCTCTGTACAACTTGGACCTTCCATTTCTTCCTTCTGATCACTTTTTTCATTGCAGACTGGCAACAATTAACCATGTCTATAAGCATTCATATATGATACAAACTATTTGCTTCTGGACAATATAGTACAGATCATTATAGTGCCTCCCAGAAATTGTAGTATCCCAACAGCATTAGTATCATTATTTCTTACATACTCCAGAAACAAAGCAATGTTCATTCAACAATATACTAGAGTCCGGAAAACTAAAATAGATAGAAGAATTTACAGGTTAGCTTAGCTTCTCTCCGTTTACAAAATCTCAACCCCAAAATTATTTTTCCAGAACTGAAACTGAAGCGAGAAATTTATATCACCATTTCATGTTTAAAGACGAAGAAGAGCAATAACTTACAGCTGTGGATGCGTTGGCGTTGCAAAACCGGAGAATTGCAAGGACTAGGGTTTGTGAATTTTTCCAATAACTTTCCAGCTGCAGGCTCAGGGAGCTCGTCCTCTTCTTTGAAATCGAAGACTTCCATGTTTTTCTTCATCGCTAGGGAAATCTGAGGATAAGCCTCACCGCTAAACGGAGAATCCAAGCCGGAGATCGGCGATCAGAAATCGAGGGGTCGAGTGAGAGAGAAGAGAGAAAGAGAGAGAACGTCCAAACGAAATAAGTCAACAACGAATGCCAGCGCGTCTGAACGACACGCGCGGACGTAACTTTACTCTATTTATATCAGTACTTAAATAATTTAATATTTTCATTACAGCTAAATGAAATGACACATATACCCTTTTGTTAGCCGCGAATTTAAAAATGGGAGACGTGAAAGCCATCGTCCTCTTGAACGTTCCAAGAGTTGAAGAAAATCACAAAAAACTTAGCACAGAGAAAAGAGATTGAAGAAGTCATGGATGTTTCAGGAAGCTTGAATTGCGTTGTTGTGGCTGTAGATGGAAGCGAGGTGAGTATGGAAGCTCTGAGGTGGGCTCTAGACAACCTCAAGCTCTCATCGTCTTCTTCCGATTCATCATTCGTCGTGCTCCACGTCCAGCCGTCGCCTTCTGTCGCCGCCGGCGTGAGTCCAGGCACCATACCTTTCGGTGGTCCCAGTTGAGTCTCGCTACTACTAATTTAGTAATTTTGTGATTGTTTAATGTGGTGTTTGTTGAATTGACTCTGAGAATTTTGCGATTAAGGTGGTCTTGAGGTTCCTGCTTTCACTGCTGCAATCGAGCAACACCAGAAGAGGATCACCGATACCATCCTCGAACACGCTAATCAGATTTGTGCTGAAAAATCTGTGAGTGGTGTGTTATTTCCCCTTTGAGATGGGATATTTTACCTCATAGTTCAGATCCAGTAGTGATTTCTATAAGTTTGATGGATTATAATTCTGGAGAAATTACTTATGTGTTATCTATAGAAAGTGTATTGATTTGGGGATGGTGATTCATGAGCAAGTTGTGATTATTTACTATCAGGTGAATGTGAAAACACAAGTGGTTATTGGGGATCCCAAGTATAAAATCTGCGAAGCTGTAGAGAATTTGCATGCTGATCTGCTTGTCATGGGTTCCCGGGCTTATGGCCGTATTAAGAGGTATCAATCTCTTCTTCCACTCTAGTATCTTGCTATGTTGATACACTGATGAAAACTATAAATCAAATTCCAAGCGTTTGGTCTTGGTTGCTATGCTGGACTAGTTGTTCCATACTGACTTCTGAGTATCTGACTATTGGTTTTCATGCTCATTAGCATCTTTGCCTGTCCATGAATGAACTAGAATCTGTGTACGTTTCCTATGAGCCGTAGGTTAAAAATGGATGAGCTTTTTGGCCTTCTAGTTAGAACCATATTGGTATCACCCTTCTTCTACTCAAGTATCTTGCTAATTGCTATGTTGATAAACCGAGGAAAGCTATAAATCAAATTCATAATCTTGATTGGTATTAGTTGTTCCATACTGACTTTTGACTATTGGTTTTCATGCTCATTAGCATCCATGAATGAACTAGAACGAGGCTTGAACAAATCCTGCTAAATTATACGTAATTAAGTTGCTGCATATTACCCCACTGGTTATGGTTGGAGGGATTAAATCATCTCTTGCAACAAGTAAACATCAAATTTGAGATAAATGGAACAGTGCTTCCTTTTTACTCTAGTTTAAGATTGTTTCGCTTGATAACCCTTGGCATATAGATATCTACCTTATTGTTGTTTTCAATTCATCCCGTCAATTAGCTGAAGAAATAAATAAATGTTAATCCCTGAACTTGTCTGAAGACAAATCCGGCAGTTAGCTTGAATTTCAAGGGGACATTTCTCTGCTCAACTACCAAATACTGCTTCGAGGAATCTTTATCCCTTTGAAAATGTTTATAACATATTACTGTTTGTTCTTTAGTGAGCAAATGCCAGTGTTGAATCCATTTTTTTATCTTTCAACAGAATGTTTCTGGGAAGTGTAAGCAACTACTGCACCAACCACGCCCATTGTCCTGTTGTGATAATCAAACCAAAAGAGGATTCTTCGGCATAAACAGGTAAACAAGTTTAGCTTTTTGCAAGAAATTTCATTGGATTTTCACCCTGAAAAAGTTTGTTAAGTCATCAATCAGAACCCACATGATCTTCTGTTCATGTCCAAACCAACTCAATAATCTTTAGGGGCATGTCAATAGTTTTGTCATTATAGCTATATCTAGATTTTGTCAATGTCAAAGTTCGTTAATAGCCTCTACTACTCTCTTTTGGTACAATTAGCCTCTGTAACCGAGTATCAAATCATCTTCATTCTCAGGAGATATGTAAATATGCAAACGAATATCAAAGCCATTTGTAATCTTTTGAAGTTTTGTGAAGCTATAGAAGCAAAGCAAGAATCCACCAGATTACTTCCCAAATAATTGGTGTGAATGTAAATTAATAAGAGCTACAGAAACATTGATTTGCTCAGTATATGTGTTGTATTCATATGCATCCTTTTATTTTATATGGTTGAGAATTGAATAATGTTGTTGCATCAAATCACTATGAAGGACATTTTACAGAGCCAACTGGTTATCAGTGCAAGCTAGCTCGTAAGATTTTACTAGAACTTTGGCTGATCAGCTTTGTGCAATGTTCGAAATTGTTGGGCGTTAGATAAGTTTTGTTTCAACTTTCAACGATTAGATATAGTCATATAGAAGATGTTTGTATATTACAAATTTTTTTTTTGGTCATAATATCGGAAAATGATCACTCAATTAGTAAAGGTCATTTAACAAACTGCTAGGAGATGTAATTGGATGTAGATGTAAATGCTAGTAGTAGTATTATATTGGAGGGACAAAAGGTAAAAGAAAGATTATGACAATTTTCAGGATATAAATATTTAAGAGGTCTCGTGAACGAACAACAAGAGTAAATGACGAAAGAGGAATCGTCGGTTTGTTACTGTCAACACGATAAGGAAGGCTCACGAGTCACGGACTTAAAAAATCCAAGACTGTTCTCTTTCATTAGAGCACCAAGATTTTTACTTTAGCTTTGTGCTAAGATAAGTGTTAAAAGTTAACATAAAGACCCTACAAAATTTTTACCAAAAAAAAAAAAAAAGAAAAAAAAAAAGACCCTACAAAATAAGAATTGAGAATCATTAGGTGTGAACTGTTTAGTTCAGTTGTCCCAACTGAAAAAAAAAAAAGCAGAAACCAAATAACAGTCTGTAGCACAATTATTGGTTCGTTTGGTTTAGTTTTTCTCACTATCCAAATCACAACACTTCACTTCACATGCCAAATACATTTGGTCCATTGACTGATTTTTTTTGGCTACTTCCCAACACACTCCATGTCTCCTCGTGACTTCTCTCTTCTTCCAACCCTCAAAACTTCCCTCAGCGGTAGCCGGTAGGGATATAACCAAATCTGACGATTTTGAGCAAAAACATTATTACTATTTTCCCTCACACATGTGATGGACAAGTAGTAAGTACTACTACTGCCAGATAGAACGGACCGGATCCCTCCAATTATAAATCGAATTTGAGGGACATTTTCGTACTTTCTTTGATCTATTGGCCATATAAAAAGACTACATCACATCCAACGAACATTATCTAAATATCACACAGTCACATTATCACAAACCATGGCCTCCTCAAGTCTCCAGTTCTTCTTCTTCTTGACACTTCTCTTGCCGTTCACTCTCACCACCGCCACACGTGACACATGTGCGACCGCCGCTCCAGACGGCTCCGACGACCTCTCAATCATCCCCATTAACGCCAAATGCTCACCTTTCGCACGCACTCACGTCTCTGCCTCCGTGATAGACACTGTCCTCCACATGGCCTCCTCCGACTCCCACCGCCTCACCTACCTCTCAAGCCTCGTCGCCGGAAAACCAAAACCAACATCCGTCCCCGTCGCCTCCGGTAACCAGCTCCACATAGGAAACTACGTGGTCCGAGCCAGACTCGGCACTCCTCCACAGCTCATGTTCATGGTCCTCGACACAAGCAACGACGCCGTTGGCTCCCTTGCTCCGGCTGCTCCGGCTGTTCCAACGCCTCAACCTCCTTCAATACGAACTCCTCCTCCACTTACTCAACCGTCTCTTGCTCCACCACACAATGCACCCAAGCACGTGGCCTCACGTGCCCATCCTCCACCCCACAACCGTCCATCTGCTCTTTCAACCAATCCTACGGAGGAGATTCATCCTTCTCCGCCAATCTCGTCCAAGACACGCTGACGCTATCCCCTGACGTCATCCCAAATTTCTCCTTCGGCTGCATCAACTCTGCCTCAGGCAATTCTCTACCTCCACAAGGACTAATGGGCCTGGGACGCGGGCCCATGTCATTGGTCTCCCAAACGACGTCCCTTTACTCAGGAGTGTTCTCCTACTGCCTCCCTAGCTTCAGGTCCTTCTACTTCTCCGGGTCGTTGAAACTGGGTCTCTTGGGTCAACCCAAATCCATCAGATACACTCCACTCCTCCGTAATCCTCGCCGTCCATCACTTTACTATGTCAATCTCACCGGAGTGAGTGTCGGTTCCGTCCAGGTGCCCGTTGACCCAGTGTATTTGACGTTTGACTCGAATTCCGGCGCCGGAACGATCATCGATTCCGGTACTGTTATCACCCGCTTTGCTCAACCTGTTTACGAGGCCATTAGAGACGAGTTTAGGAAGCAGGTAATTTCATTACTATCACAATTAGCTACCTACTCATTAAATGGGAAATTAATTTTAATCTTGTTAATGAAGGTGAATGGGTCATTCTCGACATTGGGAGCGTTTGACACGTGTTTCTCGGCGGATAACGAAAATGTGGCGCCAAAGATAACGCTGCACATGACGTCACTCGACTTGAAGCTGCCGATGGAGAATACGCTTATCCACAGCAGCGCGGGAACGCTGACGTGTCTATCCATGGCGGGGATACGGCAGAACGCAAACGCTGTTCTAAACGTGATCGCGAATCTCCAACAGCAGAACTTAAGGATCTTGTTTGACGTTCCTAATTCTCGCTTAGGAATTGCTCCTGAGCCCTGCAACTAAGAGAGAACATAAAATGATCTCCCTCTCTTTATTTTACGTTCTTTGTACGTTTGATTTGAACAAATCCCTTCGCAATTTAGGTGCTTAAAGGTGCTTGACCTTCTACATATACTTTGTATGTACGGCTATCTTCACTACGCATAACAGGGCCTGCAGTTTCATCTCTTGCTCAGCGATTTCTTTTCTAAATTAGTTTCTCGGTAGTTGATGATATTGAGTGACGAGATACAAAATAATATGTAGTGCGAAAAGACCATAAGCAAATACTGTGTGCACCCTCTCTCTCTCTGTGCCAATGCAGAGACTTAAGACTACAATCCTCTTTGCCATTCTTTTTAAGGGTTCAAAAACAGATGCCTCGAGCAGTAAATAGTTTACAGGTTCCAACTGTTGCTCATGAGTTCCTAAGGAAGTGACAGAAACCTTACAGGACAGCAAGCTCGCCAGAAACAATTGCTGTGAGCATTCTCGAGCAGCAGCTACAACGATTGGAGGCAGCAACAGTCACACTTTCTATTCCTAAAAGACAATATGCAAGAAATTAGTCAGTCACAATAGTGCAGAAAACTGACCACAACGTGCAACAATGAATTTGGTTGCTTAGATTTCTTGAACAAGGAGCAAAAATTAAAAGATAAGCAAATACCTCCATGGGAGCAGAGTCATTTGTGGCCGGATCAGGAATTATCAGGCCAGCAGGAACCTGGCCAAACTTCAAAGCCTATATATCCACAGGTCAAAAAAAGAAGACTGTCAAAATCAATCAAAAGCAACATCATCAGGCACAAATTTGATATAAAAAAAAAAAAGCAAGGGACCTGTTCGAGTCTGGCAATTTCTTCTATCGTCTGAGAATTGATAATTGCAGCCTGGAACATCATGGAAATGAAATACATAAGTTAATATCAAACAAACAACCTTGACCTACTTATTATAAAGACAACAAATCAGCAAATATGCTTAATCCTATACAATTTCCAGTTTCGCACCTTGATCGCTAATATTTGCTCCTGTGTTGGCGCCACCACTTTCGGAGTCTCTGGATTTTCTGCAGTTTCTGGCACTTTTTTGACCTCCTCCCGAGAAACCTTCTTAACTTCCTCTTCTGCTTCTTTGGATGAAAACAAAGCTGCAGCTTCAGCTCTCTCCTGTTGGGAACCAATATTAGCCCAATTGTTGTTAAAACTAATGAAATTTCTTATTTCAGCATACAGATATAACTGTGCACAAGAATCTAGAACAACGGAATATGTTATCTCACTCGAATCTAAGACAAACGGCACACAAATTTCTTGCTCTTAGATATTCTATTTTTCAGATGATATTAAGGGTAGCTCCCGGTGACTTGTAGCAAAAACAATAACTTTAACTGGGCATCTAGAGTAAGCAAAAATGGACAGTTGATAAAGCATATGATAAGGTCCTTACCTTGGCTTTGATTTTTATGAAATCCAGTACTCGAAGTGATTTTAGCTTGTGAATCACATAAAGGCGATAATTTGGCTTTTTGGTGATATTATTATCCAACAAACTAAGGTACTGCAGCTTGGGAATGGAGGCAAGGGGGTCAATTTCAACCAGATTCACGAGCCTGTTATTTGTAAGAACCAAAGAGTGAAGCTTCGGCAGGAATTCTGCAGACGTACAACCATACGATATATACAACACAGTTAATCAACAAAGCAAACAATGTGTATGAATTTACATTTTATTACAACACATAGATAGATGTTACCTCCAAGGTTAGGATTTATCCGGGTGATACGATTGTTGTTGATGAGCAAAGTTCCTAAGCGGTTGAGGTATGGAAAGTTTTCTAGCTTAACTATCTCGTTATCAGACAGATCAATCGTATCGAATTGGTCCTGTAAGCAAAGCAACACAAGTTAATTAATATACTTATCAAAACCAATTCAACAGAAGTAATAAAATACGATGGAGATTCTGTAGCATATTAGAGAGCCTTAAACATCAAAATTACCATGGCCTAACACAAAATCTATAGGAGGACTTTCATAGAGAAGACTGGCTCTCAAAAGTAAAGAATCCACAATAAGAACAAAAGTACTGTTACACGAAGCCACATATACTCCTAAAGAGCTAGCTACAATTCAGCAATGTTTCTTTCAATGATATTTCAAAATACTTGAATGCAGAAACCCAACAGGCAGACTTAAGAGCATACAATACAACCGCATCTACAAATTCATTAGTTAACATACAAAGAGGAAACGAAACTCGATAGAAGAAGAAAGTACCTCAGTAGCACCCAAGTTTTCGATTACAGGAATCTTGTTACCTGCACCCGGAAAAAACAAACGATTAACCAGAGCAGATGCGATTAGGTTTACAAAACCCTAGAAAATGTAATGGGAAAAAGGAGAAGTTAACCTCGTAGATCTAATTCTCGCTCCTTGATAGCATTGAAGAAGTGAGGACTTTTCCAGATCAAATCAGCCGTGAGCTTCACCATGATTCTACTAGGGTTTTACTGCTTCGAGCTCTCTGCTGCTTCGCATTCAGAGGAAAAAGACAACACAGGCTAAAGATGACATAAAAACGCAGCAAAAGGACCTTTGTTATTAGTTTATCACTTAAATAAACGGCCCATTAGTCGGTTAGGCCCATAAGTATATCCCGATATTTATGATTTTGGAAATTAAAAAAAAAAAAAAGAACAATTAAAAAGAAAAGGACTAGTGAACGATTGAATCTTTTCTTCTTCGTTGGTTCCAACCCTAATCTAGGGTTACTCTCTCCCTCTCGCTTCCTTCTGTTCTTCGTTCTCGCCGATTTCCACGAGCATTAGCTTCAGAGACCTTGAATTAGAGTGCGTTTGGATCAAAAACAGCTGAGCGAAGATGAGGATTATGATTAAGGGAGGTGTTTGGAAGAACACCGAAGATGAGATTCTCAAGGCCGCCGTGATGAAGTATGGTAAGAACCAATGGGCTCGGATCTCGTCTCTTCTCGTTCGTAAGTCTGCCAAACAGTGTAAAGCTCGCTGGTACGAGTGGCTCGATCCTTCTATCAAAAAGGTTAGTCGTGTTCGTGTTTCCCTTCTCTTAAATGTTAAAGTTCGATGAATTTTTATGGATCTGGTTTTTGTGGAATTTTGGCCTTTTAGGTGGGTTGTTAGCTTGTTGCTAGGAGGTTTAGCTGTATAACTGTATTGATTTGTTTCTGGAAATTCGTACAAAGTGTAGGCAAAATGCTAGGAGTTTTGGAGTATTCGAAGGATTTCTTATGTTGTTGAAATAGAAACTGAGTTTTTTTTATGATTTTAATGTAGACTGAATGGACCAGAGAAGAAGATGAGAAGCTTCTACATCTTGCTAAACTTCTGCCTACTCAGTGGAGAACTATTGCTCCTATTGTGGGTCGTACACCATCTCAATGCCTTGAGAGGTATGAGAAGCTCCTTGATGCAGCATGTACTAAGGACGAGAATTATGATGCAGCGGATGATCCACGAAAATTACGACCTGGTGAGATTGATCCGAACCCAGAAGCAAAGCCTGCTCGTCCTGATCCGGTAGACATGGATGAAGACGAGAAAGAAATGCTTTCTGAAGCAAGAGCTAGATTGGCTAACACTAGGGGAAAGAAGGCTAAAAGAAAAGCTAGAGAAAAACAACTTGAGGAAGCTAGAAGGCTTGCTTCTCTGCAAAAAAGAAGAGAACTAAAAGCAGCTGGGATTGATGGAAGGCATAGGAAAAGAAAGAGAAAGGGAATCGACTATAATGCAGAAATTCCTTTTGAAAAGAGGGCACCTGCTGGATTTTATGATACTGCGGATGAAGATCGTCCTGCTGACCAAGTAAAATTTCCAACTACCATTGAAGAACTTGAAGGAAAAAGAAGAGCTGATGTAGAAGCACATTTACGCAAACAAGATGTTGCAAGGAATAAAATTGCTCAGAGACAGGATGCTCCAGCAGCTATATTGCAAGCAAACAAGCTGAATGATCCGGAAGCTGTTAGGAAGAGGTCAAAGCTGATGTTACCACCACCGCAGATTTCAGACCATGAGCTAGAAGAAATTGCTAAGATGGGCTACGCCAGTGATCTTCTTGCCGAGAATGAGGAGCTAACAGAAGGCAGTGCTGCTACTCGTGCACTTTTGGCAAATTACTCACAAACACCAAGGCAAGGAATGACACCCATGAGGACACCTCAAAGAACTCCTGCTGGTAAAGGTGATGCTATTATGATGGAAGCAGAAAACCTGGCCAGATTAAGAGACTCTCAGACACCTTTGCTAGGAGGAGAAAATCCTGAGTTGCACCCTTCTGACTTCACTGGGGTCACTCCGAGAAAGAAGGAGATTCAAACGCCTAACCCAATGTTGACCCCTTCGATGACTCCTGGTGGTGCTGGTCTTACTCCAAGAATTGGCTTGACGCCATCGAGGGATGGGTCTTCTTTTTCTATGACACCCAAAGGGACTCCCTTCAGGGATGAACTTCACATTAATGAAGACATGGACATGCACGAAAGTGCAAAACTTGAGAGGCAGAGACGTGAGGAAGCTAGAAGGAGTTTACGCTCTGGTTTGACTGGGCTTCCTCAGCCAAAGAACGAGTACCAAATAGTTGCACAACCTCCTCCAGAGGAAAGTGAAGAGCCAGAAGAGAAAATTGAGGAAGACATGTCAGACCGGATAGCGAGGGAAAAGGCTGAGGAAGAAGCAAGACAACAGGCATTGCTTAAGAAGAGATCCAAGGTCTTGCAGAGAGATCTTCCTAGACCCCCAGCTGCTTCATTGGAAGTAATTAGGAACTCGTTGCTTTCAGCTGATGGAGACAAAAGTTCTGTTGTTCCTCCTACTCCGATTGAGGTTGCAGATAAAATGGTAAGAGAGGAGCTTCTACAGTTGCTGGAGCATGATAATGCAAAGTATCCGCTTGATGAGAAAGCTGAGAAGAAGAAAGGAGCCAAGAACCGTACCAACAGTTCTGCTTCTCAAGTTCTTGCAATTGACGATTTTGATGAAAATGAACTCCAAGAGGTATGTAGATGAATGAATATATCTTCCCAATTTCAATTTACTTTTGCTTTTTTTTTGTGTTGATTTATTCGTTGGATGGCCTCTGGAATCCTTAGTTCTCTCTTGGTTTAGGCTAGATTGTTTAATTGATATTTTTGGCATGAATGTTAATCCCTCCTTAATTATCGACATCTGTATTTTGGTATACACTAGGGAGTTTCTAATGAAGGTTGTTGCCCATGATTTTTGGTAGGCTGACAAAATGATAAAGGAGGAGGGGAAGTTTCTTTGTGTGTCAATGGGACATGAGGACAAGTCACTTGATGATTTCGTAGAAGCTCACAACACATGTGTGAATGATCTCATGTACTTCCCCACTCGAAGTGCTTACGAGCTCTCAAGTGTTGCTGGGAACGCGGACAAAGTTGCAGCATTGCAGGTGGAGATGGAAAATACAAGAAAAAAGATGGAGGAGGATGAGAAGAAGGCAGAACACATGAAGGCCAAGTATAAAACTTATACAAAGGGTCATGAGGTAATATATAGTCCACATTGCTATAATGTTAATTCTGAAACTATATTTTGGTTGGTGTCATGTTTAACGGATTTGTTCATTTGACAGAGGAGGGCAGAGACCGTGTGGACCCAAATAGAGGCGACTTTGAAGCAGATTGAGATTGGTGGAACAGAAGTAGAGTGCTTCAATGCATTGAAGAGGCAAGAAGAGATGGCTGCATCTTTCAGGAAAAGGAATTTGCAAGAGGAAGTGATAAAGCAAAAGGAAACAGAGAGTAAACTGCAAACGCGCTATGGGAATGTGTTGGCAATGGTTGAAAAAGCAGAGGAGATAATGGTCGGGTTCCGAGCACAGGCATTGAAAAAACAAGAGGATGTGGAAGATTCTCACAAACTAAAAGAAGCTAAGGTTGCCACTGGAGAGGAAGAGGACGTAGCCATAGTCATGGAAGCTTCTGCATAAAAACTTGAGTTTTGTATTGTTTACAAGTTTTAAGGAGACGTAGCTTGACTTTGTATTGGTAAGTTTTTAATGAGTCATGACTTTGTAAAAAGGTTATGATATATTCTCTGTTTGTATGCTTTGCAAGAGTCAAGAAATTTGAATGCTTCAGATCTGTTTGGTTCGGAATGTACAATCGTAAGTTGTTTAATCCTCCTCTCTCATTCAATGCACAACTTTTATCCTTGTCAAGAGATCCTAATATCCTATGGAAGAGAAGGAAAAAGCTTGCATATCATTTAAATTCAATTTTCAATGTTTTTGGCCTAAAGCCAAAATCAAAAATACAAGTCTGTGTGTAAACTCTTATTATTAGAAAGCAACAAAAGATAACTAGAGAGTTTCAGCCCTCTCTTAAAAACTGATTAGGCTCTCAATTCTTCTACTCCACTACTTCAATTAGGGTGGGCTCATAGTCAGAGGGAGCCACAAATCCATGGAGGTTCATCACTGTTGCAGCTACATTTGCAAGCCCCGGTGTTTCCAGATCTTTACGGAATCTCACTCCTTTAGACAAGCCAGGACCTCCAATAGCAATAGGCACCTACAAGCAATAATTACAATTTCACATCAGATCTAGTCCAATGTTTTATGTTATGGTAAATAACACAGTTTACAGATATGGACTTACTGGCTTGAGTGTGTGAGAGGTTAGAATCTGAAGCTTCCCTTCCTTATCCAAAGCAGGCTTCCCAGATTTATCCCTCTTCACCATGTCCTCTGCGTTTCCGTGATCAGCAGTCACAACATAAATTCCTTTCACTTGTTCAATTGCATCAAAAATCATCTGCAACAACCAAACGATTTGTGGGATAAGTCACACTCACTCATATCATTAAGACTTGTCAATAAACTTATGAAACAATACCTTCACAGCAAGATCAGCAGCCTCGCATGCAACAACCGTGGCTTCAATATCACCTGTATGACCCACCATATCTCCATTTGGAATGTTAACTCGCACCTGAAAATCAATATCGAAACATAAGATGATGGCTGCTTATTTCATGGGATGTTTGATTATAAGATCATAAGACCATTCATCCACCTCACCTGATCAAACTTGCCACTAAGGATAGCATCCCTAGCCTTCTCACCAATTTCCAGAGCTTTCATCTTTGGCTGGACATTGAATGATATTCCACTGTCACTTGGGATTTCAACATACTCCTCCAATTTCTCGTTGAAATATCCAGATCGGTTTCCATTCCAGAAGAAGGTGACATGCCCAAATTTGACGGTCTCACTGTTTCAGACACATACATTAATATATATGATTAGTTCAAGAGTGGTACACTATTGGAAAAAATGCAAAGCATATCATAGACAAATAATGAGCAAGCAAAGCATAGCATATAACCAATATGCAAATGAAACAGTGAGAAAAAGACAGAAGTTGAAATACCTGCAAGCAAAAGTACTGACGCCATTGTGAGCCAAATATTCACCAGAAGTTCTATCAATCTCCGGGGGAGAAACGAGGTAACGGCTAGGTAGCTTAAGCTCTCCATCATACTGAAGCATACCAGCATAACGAATCTTGGGGAACCTCACACGATCAAATTTGTCAAAATCTTCATACTCAAGTGCCTTAGCATGCATAACCATACGATCAGCCCTGAAGTTGAAGGTAACAACAGCATCACCGTCCACAATCGGACCAACTGCTTTCCCGGAATCATCAACAATCACAAACGGAGGCAAATACTGGTCATTAGCACCAGGCTCTTTCCTCAATGTCTTCACAGCTTCAACAGCGTTTTTGAATTTGTGAGGAGCTTCTCCAAGAACTTGAGCATCCCAACCTCTTTTAACAACTTCCCAATCATTCTCATATCGGTCCAAAGTCACATACATACGACCTCCACCAGATGCAATCTGAGCATCCACACCATTCTCACGTAATGTAACGAGATCGGCTTCAAGAGTTTCAACAAATCCAACACTAGAACCATCCAAAACATCACGACCATCAGTAAGAATATGGACTCTGATTCTCTTAGCACCACGTTCAGCAGATCCTTTAATCAACAACTGCACAAAACAACAAGTTTTAAGAAATCAACAACAAACACTCAACATGAAATTTAAGGATAAAGAACAGATCAAATAAAAACCTGTAGCTGATCGAGACGAGAGTGGACTCCACCGTCACTGAGAAGTCCAACAAGATGCAAAGTATTTGTCTCGAATGATTCAGAAACGTATTTGAAACCTTCACCTTGAAAGATTTTGCCAGAAGCAAGAGCTTGGTCACAAAGCTTAGCACCTTGAGCGAAGATACGACCAGCACCAAGAGCATTATGACCAACCTCACTGTTTCCCATATCATCTTCACTTGGAAGTCCAACAGCAGTACCGTGAGCTTTGATCAACGTCCAAGTATCAGGAGCTCCCTACAGAGAAACAAAAGTAAGTTCGATGAAGAAGAAAACGCATCAAATCAAAGATTAAGGAAGCAACATACATGTTTAAGAGAATCCATGGCTGGAGTTGGAGCGTTGTGGATACAGTTGTACTGATCAGGAGCAGATTCACCCCAACCATCTAAGACGATTAAGGCGATGGTTTTGCCCTTAGGGAGCTTGGGATGGTCATCGAGCTTCCAGGCGGAGGAGGTAGCCATAGCTGAGATTTTTGAGATGCAATCGGAGAATAAACTGAAAGCAGATCTGAGAAAAGTGGAGGTTGGTGTGAAGGAAGAGGCGGGTTTTAAAAAGAGGCGTTTTTGCAATATGGGCCCATCAATTGGGCCACTTGTCTTTCACGTAAATATAAAATTCTTATTGGTTCCGAATATTCGTTTTCCTTCTTTTTCTTTGTGATTTTACATTATGATGATACATGCCATTTTGTTGTTTATATGTTTTAGGGAAAAAAAAAAAAAAAAAGAACACTGCGACATGTATAATTTATTTTTACTTCCATTTTCTTAGAATTTTATCATACAGATAGCATTGCCTTGTTCTATTTCTACCTTCATTACTTCCACTTTTTAATAATTAAAATATAGAAATATTGCTTTGCTTCCATTTTATTAGAGCTCATAAGAAATGTACAATCGCCTTATTAATTTACTTGGTTTACAAGGAATTCGGAAGAGTATGATGAACCGGCATTGTTTATTGGTTCATAAATACACCAAAAATATCTTACCTTATTCTTTGTTCCAAAAATAAGCTTTTCATCTACCTGTTTGGAGTTGTTACATCTACCTAAGCTTTCCAAACAAAAACCACGAACCCATTATTTTTTTTTGGGATCCCACGAATCTCTCGTGGAAACAATCAACACAGTCCTAAATGAATGAATAATTTCTTATCAAGTTTGGGAACATATTAGCTTTGCGAATATATTATTTTATCTAAGAAGGACTTTATTTTTTTTAATAGTTTTGTGTGTGTGTCTCATGAATCATGATAAAATACAGGTAAGAAACATCTAATGAATTAGAAATAGATTGTGGAAGAAAATAATTTGTACTAGAAAACACTGAAGGAGGAGTTCGTATTTGTATACTAATTGGCCCGACAACTACCAACACCGACATATGTGCTTTCGGCAAGTTTTGATTTGGTGATATACTGATATATCATTCCAAAATTTCAATTATTTTAGTGTCTTCTTAATTCACTGATTAAACATTTTATATATAAAACCATTTAGTTCGTGGAGTGTTTTAGGTATTAAATTCCTTATGCAAATTTGTATATTTAAATAAAATTTCTATTTATGCACACGTTTGGTACATGTTCAATTGAAACATTTTTTCTAACTAGACACGCCAATAAATAATAAGTTGGTTTTAAAATTTTACAAAACAAAAAGGTTCAGATTTTTTAATATTTTGCAACAAAAAGATTTTCCAAGTCTCCGCTCTCTATGTCGGAGTAGCAACTGTTGCAACGATTCTGTACTATGCTGGATATAATTCCTTCAACCACTGGACTGCTCGAATTGCATTGGGGTTCATCGTTGTCGTGGGAAGCCTGAAGGTAGTTTGTGATTGCATCATATTTCCGAACGCTAGCTGCCTCTCTTCTACTCACACATAGCTTTGTTTTTAAATATTTAAAGACAGTTTCTTTTCTTAATTATGCTAAAAAGACTTTTTTGTTGTTATCATGTTTATGATGCGAGTTGGTGTCTTAATTATGCTAAAAAGGACTTGTTTTGTTGTTATCATGTTTATGATGCGAGTTGGTGAACTCTTGATGAATCATGTTTATGCAATTTCTTAAATTTTGTTGCCATGTTCTATTGATTTCTATTATTTCTTACAACAACATTTATGGGACGTGGTGCTTGATGAATCAAGTTTGCGTAGATCATGATGGAATTTGTCTACCGAGAATCATGAATCAACATTTCCTTGTCCTTCTTACATTTCTTTGATATACTGATATATCATTCCAAAATTTCAATTATTTTAGTGTCTTCTTGATTCACTGATTAAACATTATATATATAAAACCATTTAGTTCGTGGAGTGTTTTAGGTATTAAATCCGCCCTTGAAAATTGTGGAACCAAGCACTAATTGTGAATCATGTTTATGAAGTGACAACAAGTGAAACAGAGAATCGTCCTCCTCGTCTATGCCTAATGTGAAGATGTCCACGCAATAAGCTTAGACTATCCCATAAAAACACACACACACATAGTTAATTAGTTAAGTCCTTTCAGACTGAGAAGCAAGAGAGAAAGAATCTCTTGATAAGAAAACCAATGAACCCCAACGAAGACACTCCAGCAGCAGCAGCATATTTGATCTTGTCCTTGTCCAGTTTAACTTGGAGACCGGACAAAGTCAATTCCACATTCTTGACCCGTTCCTCGAGGACATGACAACCATCGGAAACTGCTTTATTCCTCTCCAAGGAAACCTCCTCGAGCTTAGACTTCAACCAGTCTAGCTTGAAGCCTACTTTCGTTAGCTCGGACAGTTGGTTTTGAGCGTTGGTTAGTTCAGCCGCAGACAAGCTCTGTGGAGACTTGCTCAGTGTCTCGATGAGGCAGAAGAAGAGAGTCAAGTACACTGACCTCAGCTCCTCGTACTTTGGCACGAAATCTACTTCAAAGTCTGGGTGCCGACTTAAAATATGGGTCCATGAAAGAGCCTGCCAAAAGATTTCATTAGGTTCAACCAGATTCACAAGACGAAGATGGTTGTTATAAATGGGAAACCGAACTTACTTGAGAAGCAAGGATCTGGACACCATTGTATGGTAGTATATAATTCTCGGTTGATTGTCCTTGATGAACAACTTCGACAACTTCAAGGTAGACTTGAATGGTTAGTTTGTTGTTGTCGTCGTCTTCTAGAAGCTTGGCAAGAGGCAACATCTTCATTAAACCCCATTGTGGGGCCTCAGCGCAGAACAATGTGCATCTGCCGTCGTCTGTATATAATAGTGTATATATATATCGTCAACTCATGACTTTGATCTTCTTAATATCAATCAAATCAAATCAATGAGATCATCGGATACATATAAAAAGAGTAAAAAGAAGTTGATTACTAGTGGTTCTGCAGAGCTCTTTGCCGGATTGATTCAAAATAACGAAGAAACAGCGAACTCTCCTATGCCATCCAAGTCTCAATGATCTAAGATTCAAGACGCTCAGAAACAGAGACAAGTGATGATCATAACCAGGGTGGCCCTTGGGGTGAACAATAAGATACCTAAAGACAAAACCGTAAGTTCTTTTAGACAAAAGCCTAATGATAGGATGAGTCTTGTCGATTTTTACCATTCGCAGCCGCCGCTTGAGAAGGGCTCCGAACTTATCATATCATGGTTCCTGTCCGATAAGTTGTCTATCTCCCAACTGAAGCTCTTCTTCAATTCCGTACCCATCATGCCTCGGTTGTCGGAGGCGAAAGACAAAAAAAAAACTTTACAGCTCCTAACAAATAGGGTTAAGTAAACATCCAAAAAAAACTTCAAATTACGCAATTAACATTTTTTTCTAATTCTTTTTTTTAAAAGGGATGTTGCAAAAATGCGGAATGTTTTTGCTGCTTTAGGTAATGGATATTAAATGATTTTAATGTTTTCGTTTATTATATATTTTTTTTAACACTAAGTTTTCATTCATTTTACACTATATTAAATATCAAATTTTATCTCTTTTAACTCTTTTCTCATAAGAGTTTGTTTTTGCAATCATCTAGTGTATTAGTATTAACCACATTTGATGCAAAAATTCAGCACTCTTTTATTAGAGGCTTTGTTTCTTGAAAAAGTCAAAGAAGCATGGAACAGTGCAAGTTCAAACGAAAGAAAACAATTTCATCAAACAAGTAGAAGAAGATGATGAAGGAGAAAACAAAAAACGAATGTAACAGAGCTGATAACAGCAGAGGAAGACGAAGAGGAATGAGCAGAAGCAGATTTTGGCAGCCTCGGGAAGTCATCTGGAGAAGGCATTACACATTCATCACCATTGAACAAGATTCTCCTTGGGAAAGCCCAACCTTCTCTAAAAGTGAAATTTCCCATATCTTTCTTTAGCAACAACTCTGTTTGCACATTCCCAATCTTTCCTTCTTGAAGCAAAACATCATTGTAAAACTGGACTCCCCAAAACATCCCTGTGTCGTCTGAAACCGTAAACCACCAAGAACAAGTCCATATTTTAGACCAATAAAGTAATTATCTTAAGGAAACTATGGTCTGGTTTTTAAGAATTTACTTACTGATGCCGTTTTGATATGGTGTCAAAGATTTGTAGTTAAAGCTAAAGACTTGTTGGACGCTTTTCAAGTTTGGATGAAGCACCACTAAGTTCCAATTAGTGTAATTCTTCATTGTGTTGAAATTCGTTGCTGTGATCTTAACCCTCCAATACTCTCTATAGTTCACTTTCACATGCCAATGGATGCGGATGGGACACATATGATCCGAACACTTCACCACAGGAGATACTTCCTCCTCTGGATCATGTTTCTGTTCAAGATATGGCGGCAACTCTCCATCCCTGAACAATCAAATGTTACATCTATATATATCCAAAAAAACAGTGAAAGTGTTTAGAAGAGTGAATTACTTGACACAAGGAGAACTAGAGCAGCCGCAGCTACAGGTAGGACAAGGAACGATGTTTTGGTAGTAGAAGGCAGAGAGTGAAACACAGCATTTTGGTGATTGTGATGACCGAAACTGCGAGTATACACACACTGCCTCCCATGTTGCTGCACATAACACCAAATATCTTATGTTAAGTAACTCAAGAAAACTATCTTTAACCAGTTTCTGAAGCTAATATCATTTTGGTTACCTAGAGCTTGTGTTTTGCGACGGCCCTTGTCTGTGCTGAACTTAGTCGGGGCCACGGATGTAGCATTGTCGCAGCTATAACCCGGGACCCCTATATCGAAATTATAAGGGATATAGAACTCTTCAGGGCCATCAGGAGAGCTTCCAACTGTCATTTGAAAAGCAGAGACGTGATTGGCGTGGTCCTGAGACATGGAAGTCAAGACGCCTCCACGGCAACAATTGGCAACCTGTAAGTTGAGAGAAGCTCCGGGAAGAAGGTCGACGATGGTTGGTCGCTGGAGACAGCAGTGAGGGAGGTTTCCACTGGAGGCAAAGGCAGAGCAATTACCTTGCTCCGTCGTCTCAGCTCCTTTCATTTCCCATATCACTTCGTTGTTGAGCCAATGCCAACTAAGCTTCCACCCTGGCTTTTCCACGTGTCGGTACTCTTGCATGTTCTCTAATGTTACTAGTACCTGCAACATTACATTTTGAATTAATGTTAGGAGTAGCTTTCATTTGTAGTTAAAATCACTAAGATTAACTTAACAATATTATAAATTTGAATCATCATTGAACAAGTGCCACATGTGTCAAAAGAACAAACAAAAAAAATTAAAAAAAAATTCAGGTTTTACAAGTTATAACAGAAAATGATTTTGACAAAATCAACTTTGCAGGAAACAAAACAAACTTTTGAGTAAACTTGTTCGTCTCAAGCTTAAGATTCGGATACTTTTTAGTTATTTTTATTTTGTTATATCTTTTAAGTTTTTTTTTTAATCATAAACCCAGATTCTTCCAAGAACAAAAAAAAAACCCCAGATTATCTGAGGTTCATGCGGGTCCCATAATCAGACACAGAAACAAAAATTTTAAAAACTTATGCAGAGGAAAAAAAAAAAGCTAAGAGAACAAAAGAAGAAGAGTTACGTGGTGTTGGCCAGGTGATGATAAAAGAAGATCCCATTTGATGATGATTTTTCCGAACGGATCCAAAGGATCGTATCCATCTGCAACCATTTTACCACTAATATTCATAAACCCTACTAACGATGATCAAATTTACGTTTTATGATAAGAATAAAAAAGGAGTTTAAAATACTTACGTGTGTGTGATGAGATTATGAATAGAATGACAGTAACGACGAACGACAGGTTTAGCATTGCACCCATTTTCTCTTACAGACGATGAACAAACAAAAAGAAGAGAAACTAGTCACGTCGGATTTTCAGATTCCGATGAAAATAAATCAAAACATGTTTTCTAAAACGTGAATTTTGATTTGGCTTTGGGAATAAGAAAGAGAAAGAGAGAGATAAAAATCTCAAGAGTTTTAAAGTGTGACGCCTCGGGTTTCCCTGTGTTAAGAGAGAGAGACAATTTAAAGCAAAGAAGTCACACAGTGACTGTTAGTGTTTGCAACGAAGAGTTTTGCATTTGTGAACACAACAACAACACTCTTCACTCTTTTCCTTTCTATTTTTGGTTTTTTTACTTACTTTTATTCTTTATTATCAAGACTAATAGCTGTAAAATAATATCGTTTTTACCTTATTTAAATTTGCTCACTGATCTAATTCTGGTAGTTTAGTGGGTGGCAGCAATTATTGAATGATTCACGTACGTTATCTTCTTTGTGAGATGTTTATTGCTTTATGCTAAGTTTTTAAATTTTTTATGTTCTGTATTTTTATGGAATTCAATCCATAAGAGCATTAACAAACAAAAAAGCCAACTCATTTGATTTCACTAGGTTTTCAGATTAATTTTTGAGGTTAACAAAGATTTGGACATCGATATCACTACATCAGTGAATAATAAATAGCAATTAATTGATTATGCAACCAGAAAATCGTATCGGTTTATTCTAGAGCGAGCAGCTTGCTCTAGCCTCCATCTCTTATGGCCTTGGCTAAACTTTTTAACTACAAAAAGTAAGGCAATATGTAAATTACAAATTAGAGGTCACAAATTATTAATATGCAATTAACAACATGTTGACCAAGGGGAAATTAATTAAGAGAAATAATTAAAGATGAGAATTTAATTAGAGAAGAATGTGTCAGAAAGAGATGCGTTTTTCATGAGCGTCAACACCAAAAAGCTCTTTTCACGCCTTCATTAGGAATTCTGTTTATTAACATAGAGACGAAATATAATTAACACTAATATGCCGTTATAAAGAATTAACAGTCTTTTTTGACAATGAAAAAGCACAACCATTATCTTTCGATTCTATTTTACTTGTTCAGTTTTTATCTTACCTCTTTCTTTAAAAATGGGAAAAATTCAACATCTATCAATTAATTATTATCACATTAGTAGTATGGTATTTAAATAGTAAACGAAAGAGTTGATTACAAATCATTACATTTATAAGACTACTCTATACAGATAAACGATTTATTAGTGTAGCCATTATTTTCTATGCATTTCACATTATCACATTAGGTTTATACTTTATCTATACTAAATCAAAGCACATCATAACTAAAACAAAAGTAGCGATTAGTGAATATATTTCGTACCTTTGAAATTTCATCCTTCATTTGAAAGGGTGATGAAGTGTGGCAGGAAACAAAACCAGAAGTAACTCGAATCCGGTTTGGTTCGCTTTAAAAAATCTAGATGGTTTAAGTTTGGTTCAGTAAGTTTGAACCGTTTGGTTATGGTTTTATTTCCCAAACTTCCGATGAATAGTCAAAGTTATGTGCAAGTCGGTGATCGGAAAACTATTTTCGACGCCTGAAATCAACAGGCAAGGTTAAGAAAGTCCGTGAGGGAGACAGAGAAGAAGCGAGAGCGAGCGAGAGAGAAATGGCGCAACCAAGCAAAGAACCCTGCAAGAAAGAGGCTTGCGACATCCAAGCCTGTCTTTCCAAAAACAATTTTCTTCCTCAAAGGTGATTGATTCCTTTTTTTCTTCTTTTTTTCCTTTCCTTATATTTTGGCAGTTTAATTATTCATCGCGATTGTCCGCAATTGATTTTGATGGTCAAATGATTTTTGCTTTTAACCCGTTACAGATTCATTGAGGTTGCTTATGATGCTAGTGAATTAGATGTCCATTTAATCGAAGAATTGGGTTGTGATCTTAGTTTTGGGGGTTAGGGTTCATGTCTCGATCATTAGGTTTTCAGCTAAGTTATTTCTCTTGCTAGGATAAGATTTGATGAATCCTTGAAGGCTTTAAGAATGGTTTGGAGATTATTGACCAATTTTCCAAGGTTAGGTGATTTTTCGGTATTGGATCATAATCGCTCTGTTTTACGTATCAGTGTTCCTAAGTAATCGAGACCCTGATGGTGTGAATTAACAAGAGACCCTGTGTTATAACCTGTATGTAATGTCTGCCTTTGGATGTAGATGATTTGAGCATGAATCAGTGGTTCCCAATCACACTTTAGAGCTTTAGATCATTTTAAACTCGGGGTCCTAGTTTGAGAAAGAGAGATAGATGAGTAGAACCTGAATCATGTGGTGGTTTCTTATTGTCTGATGAGCTAAAGCATGCTGGCTGTAGATTTCCTCACTATCTATTTTATCTCTGTCTTTGGATTGTATTAATAGTTGGCTTCTCTTGAATGCATCATCACTTTGTTTGCACGATTACATTGGTTTCATGTATGAGCTATAAGAAAACTGGATCTCCAGGTTTTATCATGTTTTGTGCATAGAATTATCTTATAGTTGTAATCATTTATGTCTCTAGGCCTTAATTTAGACAGTTCCATGAAAGTTTGAGAAATAAGATCATGATTAACGCAGTTAACTGATGTTGTACAACAAGACATGATAGTTTTTATCCTGAGCATAAGACTAATTTGATTTGACTGCATAGAAATAGATGTTCCGCGATGTTATCAACCAAATAATGTATTGCAGAATAGTTTCAATGGAGATGCTAATAAGATTGTTGTGTGGATTTGTTGGGGGTGCAGGTGCCAGAGAGTGATAGAGATGTTACAGGCTTGTTGTGAGAGATGCAATAACGAGTCAACACATTGTGGATCTGTAGCTGCTCTCTTGAAGCAAATCAAGAAGTAACAATAAACTAAGGACTTGACCCTCTAAATCTACTAGAGGCATCAGAAGAGTACAAAGCAAATGGCTCATTATGTCTGTATAAAATACCAAATAAAAAACATCTCGAGTGTATTTTCCGGATATTATTTTAATTAAATTTGAAATTTGTGAGTTTCCACGTGGACAAGCAGATATTTATAACGGCAGAGCTTTCTGCAATAATATCCGCCGACCATCTCTCTCTCCTCCGCCCGCCACCGAGAGAGAGAGCAACCATGTCAATCTCAATTCCCCTCAACACCACTCTACAATACTCGTCTTCTTCTTCTCTCCTACCTTCTTTCTTTCTCTCCTCTCCTATCACTTCAAGCGCTGTTCCCGTTACCGGAATCCGGCAGCGATGCCTCAGGATGGTCACTTCTTGCGTATCCAACGCTCAGAAATCCGTCCTGAATGGTACCACCGACGCCGTCTCTGTCGTCGGGCGGGAGCAGATTCGTCTTGGTCTTCCTAGCAAGGGACGCATGGCCGCCGATTCCCTGGATCTTCTCAAGGTGAGTGTTTTGGGGAGTCCTTGTGTTTCCCTTAGGAAAATTGAGAATTGTACTGGGAAATTTCCATGGAGATTTCGAGTTCTCCAACATTGTTTCTGAGTTGAGAAAACTTCAATTTGTTCTGCGAATTGCTTCTCACAATGCTCACCATTTTTGTGCTGGAGTCTCCTTTAGTTCTCATTTTATTCAGTGTTCTGTACTTTGAGAAGAAATCGTAGGGAGCTATAGTTTCAAGCTCAAGGTCTAGTCTTTCTACTATTTGAGCTAATGACTCTGCTGTGAAGCCTAAATATTAATTGCTGAACTTGCATTTCGCTCCCTAGGCCAAGTTAGCCATACGAGTGTGTTCTACTGTAATGGTTTTCTGCCTGTTTGATGGTCTCTTGCTTAAAATCAATTACTTCGTGTTTGCTTTCGTGGTTTATTGCAAGGTCTCATTTTTTGATCCTTTGATTTCTTAAATGATTTTTCACTCTCACTATCTCTTAGCAATACACTGATTTGCAATCTCATAGCTCCTTACGACTCTTTTACTTTCTCCTTTCTTATTAAGGATTGCCAATTGTTTGTCAAACAAGTTAATCCACGGCAATATGTTGCTCAAATTCCTCAGGTATGCATTTAGAGAAAGACAAAAGCGTATTGAGTTATTTATTTTTAATTTATTATTGTTTTTGTTTGGTGCTTCTCAATTTGTAATGGTAATCTCAAATTTCTTGTCCTCCAGTTACCAAATACTGAAGTTTGGTTTCAACGGCCAAAAGACATTGTAAGGAAGTTGCTCTCAGGAGATCTGGATTTAGGCATCGTTGGTCTTGACATAGTTGGTGAATTTGGTCAGGTAAATGACTTCATAATTCTGTATCTTGATTAGCAGGCACATGTTGAGATTCTAGGGTATCTTAGGTGCTGGTGGTAGTTATACTGATATTCATGGTAGAGAGAAACAAGTCTAATCTTGTTATTCGTTCTTCTGTGATTTTCCTTGACATTGCTAAGCCATACTGTTTGCGATTATATGACTTAGACTTGCCTTCGGAAGGCCATTTTTGCATCAAAACTTAGAGATTTTGAGTTTTATTTTTAGGGAAATGAAGATCTTATCATTGTCCATGAAGCTCTCAACTTTGGAGATTGTCATCTTTCCCTTGCGGTACGTTCAAATCTATTGTAGTTGTGGCTTATCATCAATACAGATGACTTCTTGATTGCTCTTTTCATATTATTTCAGATACCCAACTATGGAATATTTGAGAATATAAAATCTCTGAAGGAGCTAGCACAAATGCCTCAATGGACCGAGGAAAGACCTTTACGAGTTGCTACAGGATTCACTTATGTATGATGAGTTACAAGTGTTCCTTTGGTGCATTATTGTCCTTTAACCTTTTTTTGAGAAGGCAATTTAATTTTTTTGGAATTTATCCAACTTGTGTTTGCAGCTAGGCCCCAAATTTATGAAAGACAACGGTATAAAGCATGTGACTTTTTCAACTGCAGATGGAGCCCTAGAGGCAGCTCCTGCGGTGAGATTTACAATATTTCCAAATCAGCCTTAGATTTCAAACTATGTGCCCTTCTTAGAATACTAAGCTTCTATTAGTATTAAAAAAAGCTTGGGATTTGTATGAAAATGCTGAGTACATCAGATCTTTCTACAAGAGAGTTATCGTATTCTTCTTCTTATCTTTTCAGAGTTTATTCTTGCTGATATGAGATTAGTGTTCCATATTGTTGTGTGCAGTGGTTGTTGACACATTTTCTCTTGTTAATTAGATGGGGATAGCTGATGCCATTTTAGACCTTGTGAGCAGTGGGACAACCCTTAAAGAGAATAACTTAAAAGAGATTGAAGGAGGGGTTGTACTGAAGAGTCAGGTATGACATGAAGATCTTTGGAGTTGATTATTGTTTCGCACTTGGCAAGTGGTGTACCAGAAGATTTTTCTTTTTTCTTACTATCAGGCTGCACTAGTGGCGAGCAGAAGGGCATTGACTGAGAGAAAAGGAGCACTAGAAACAGTGCATGAGGTTCTCGAGAGATTAGAGGCTCATTTGAAGGCAGATGGTCAATTCACCGTATGTGCGCAGTAATTGTAATGTTTCCCTTTATCTTTACTTTTGCTCTCTATCATACTATGTTTTCACTCCAGGTGGTTGCAAACATGAGAGGAACGGATGCTGAGGAAGTGGCTGAACGTGTGAAAACCCAACCATCATTAACAGGATTGCAGGTAAAGTTTGAGAACATTTGGGGATCTCAATCCCCTATCAATCCCCTAGTTACCCAAGAATGTCTTTCAATGTATTTCCACTTGAGTTTGTAGGTGATAGTTCAGACTTCAGACGATTGTGTTTGTTTTATGATGTGCAGGGACCAACTATAAGTCCAGTTTACTGTAAACGAGATGGAAAAGTATCAATTGAGTACTATGCCATTGTGATATGTGTACCCAAAAAAGCTCTGTATGAGTCTGTGCAGCAACTGAGAGCGGTTAGTAATGATATCCGTCTTTGCTTCCACCTCTCCCTTTAACTCTAAGATTGTCATTATTTAAGGGATTTACAAATACATGACATGTGATTGTAGGTGGGAGGAAGTGGGGTACTGGTTTCACCTCTAACATACATTTTTGATGAGGAGACTCCCAGATGGAGTCAGCTTCTGAGTAAACTAGGCCTGTGATGCTGCTTCTCAGACATAGTTTGGTTTAGTCAGATGCATTCGTAGGAGGAACTCTTTGGGTCAAACACTACAATGTTTTTTTCTCTTTCAGTGTGGATCTTTTAGAAGAAAAACAGAGGTCGCCTCTTTTAAGCCTTTTAAGTCCATCTTTGCCTAATGGACTAAAACCCTTTCAGGTAGTCAACTTAAAAGTTAAATGTTTAAGAACCCAATTCTATCAAATTTAAATTGATTCCGATTTTATATCTCATTTGCTCCGTAAACGGAACGAACAAATAGTACGAGATCAAAACTTTCATAATGAACTACTCAAACTTGATCAGTCGGTACATCAGGATTTATGGTGGAACACACAAGAACTCGTATCTCTATCTCTATTAAGCTTCTGAACAATAACCAATTTTGGTGATGACTCAGTCCTCATCCACTGTTGCGGAAATGAAGTGGACTTAAATCTTCATGGAAACTCATATTTGACACGGGCAAGATACAGACCCGATGCAGGAGCCATGGGTTTGGCTGCACTCACTGTCTTCGCCTCAAGGATTCGTTCAACTGAAGCAAATCCATAGATAAACCCCAGATTGTTCAATTCTAATCAAACCCACAACTGTAAAAACTCTGTAATGAAAGAGACAGTGACATACCGTCTGAGACCGTCAATTCTCCAGTGCCTACGCATTTCAGTGCTCCTACAATCAGTCGAACCTGCACAGCATAAAGAGACTAGGAATCAACACACCACAAAGAGCATCAATATTCGTCTCTTTCATTTTCAAATCAAATTTATATGTTTCTCATTCGAAGTTTCGCACACAACAAAAACAGGCCATGTGGATAACTATTACTATATGTATCAATCAAGAGACTACAGTTGATACACATGATTCACCAAGAGAGACAAATGAATAGAAATCAAACTTGGTGGTACAGAAAACCCCGGGAACGCGCTGTAACTACATAGCAGCGGTGCCGTCTCCTTCTACCAAAAGAATCACCCTCTGTAGACCCCTCCACTTCTCCAACATTAGTAGTAACACCAGCAGTCTCAGACTTGGGTTGACTGGAACATGCGAGAGGATCTCCATTGTTTAGGTTACTCCACGCCCTTTCGCTGATAGATGGAAAATATGGAGTTGATGGTACTTCAGTGATATTGAGTTCATCTAAAGATCTCATAGGTGACTTTGCCTGCATAACAACAATTCACCAAAAGGTTTATCAGGTTTCCGGAAGAACATCAGTCTACACAAAAATAATTTCTTTATAGATACATACGACAAGATATCTTCCTTTTTCTGCAAATCACTGAGATGAAAGGGTATACATCTAAAAGAACCAAGACTAACTTGCACATCTACTGACTACAGAAAAAAACGAGAATTCACAAGAGTAATTTGATATGCTGTGATGGCTGAGAATACTAGAAAGGAACAAGCTATTGCCAAAAAAGGGTCATTCTACAGGAGAGATCAACCCGCTAGAGCTAACATCCAATCATACTTGGTCACAAACGCAAACAAATATTTAAGGTCTACCAAGCCACAAATAAGGTGCATTGATCAGGGATTCTATGAATGGGAATGGGGGAATACTCCAACCATTCAGAAAATTTCATATTGATCGTGTATCAATCTGTATGATATAAAGAGATGTTTAAACAAAAACATACAAAGAAATTTGACCTGGCAACCAGCTGCCCTGAAGGAGCTAAAATCATGAGATCCAACAAGAACTCTGCATGCTTCCTGTGCACCAATCATTGACGATGTCGTTAGAGATGTCTTATTCTCACTGTGGTAGGGACTCATCGTTTTAAGGGAATTTTTTTTTTTTGGATAAGTGCAGATATTAAAGCTGACAATACAGTAGTTAGTAGGTGAACCTGCATAGAGCGTAGATTTAGCTCCTCAGGAACATGCCAGCAACGGTCTTTTTCAAGGATTGATAATGGATCTGACCCCGATAGCAAGCGGTAGAAGTATCTACAGTGAGTGAAAAAATTCTCAATTTCGATTGCCGCAAATATACTTTTCGAAGCATAACCTAGTACTCTACATTACTATCAGCACACATACGGAGCACTAAAATCTCTAGAACAACTGAATCTTGGCTTCTCTCATGAGTGATGGATAGAGAATACCTACGTGCGCTCCTGGGCCTTATATCTGGCATGATAATTACTTGGGACACACCGAACATCAATCACCATAACATCGCCATCTTTTCTCTGCTTAATAACAACATAAGGATTTGAATGAGATATTGAATCGTAGATAGGTTAAAGTAGGTGAAAGTAAGAACTTAGGCAAATACAGATTAGAGGAACTTAAACGAAATTGTCAACAGATCTTAAGTAACTTTTGTTTAAGATCACTAGTTACATGAGTAGCCCTGGAATGAGAAGAAAAACTATTGTATCTAATAGTTATAATTTGAAACATTCAGATACTAACCTGTAAAAAATGGTTCACAGCTCTCTGGACCACACCAGGCTCATGAGGTGGTAACTGCATTTAAAAAATAGTGTTCAGTGAGAATGCATATACATATATCTGTCCTTAATAGTTTCCAAGAGCATTAAGCATATAAGATAACATGTGTTTGTGAATGTACACGTTGAAGAATCTAACCATATATCCATGTATAAACCAGACTACAAATGGAACATATGATATTCAAAACAATGTGGCTTGTGTACTCCTCTCTCTTAATATTTTTGTTAACATGAACGTGACACCAATAATTCCAATCGTAAGCCACAAGATAAAAAAAGCAGAGAGTGCAAAAGAAATACCACTTCACCAGGCTTCCTTTTACTGATGCGTTCCACATCAACATGGCAAACATTTGACAGTGCATGCACTCCAGCATCCTAAAAGACACTATATCAATGTCAGCTAATATAAACCAAAAAAAAAAAGAGCATTTCATTGAAATATATATAATTCATCAATACTAACTTTCTATAGATATCAATTTACTGCAAAGCATGGTCCTTATGAATCTATAGTGACAAAAGCAATCCAAACCTAAGTGAAACGATTCTTATGACACAAATAAGAGTCGGATCGTTTATATACATGTAGGTTTTAGATTATAAATGCTCGAAATAAACCTAAAATTCTGAACTCGCTGGCCAATAAACTTATGTAAGAAGCTCTTACCGTTCGACTTGAGCAGAAGATCTTCACTGGTTGGCCAATAAACTTATGAAAAGCCTCCTGCAATGTATTGCAAACATGTATCAATTCAAACTTGAATCCTCCTTAGAAAAACTTGTCAGCCAATATAAACTGAGGCCTAAGCTCTACACTCTATGGGACATCATTAGCTGTGAAATCAATCAATGCCAGGCAAATCGTAAAGGACAGAGAAGTAGTCTAAGAAATTACAAACAGACAACAACCTGCAATACACCGACGACGGTGCGGTCCTTAGCTTGCTGTTGTGAACCGGAGAAACGAGTTCCGATGTACTCAATGGCAATCAAGTAACGCTGCACTCTAGGGTTTACTGGGTTCATGGACTCCGAGTCGCCCAATCCTTGTTGTTCCTCTGTTTCTTCTTCTTCGTCACTAAATCCCTCGATTCTCGCAACCTTTGAGAGTCTCTCGAGTGGTTCCTCACTAGCTGTAGAATCGAGAGGATGCTTCAGATTATCGGACATTATCACTTACTCACAGATTTATGATTTCTCACCGTCTCAAGCTCAGTGCCAATGTCTAGAGGGTTCAAGAAATATGGAGGCGTTTGGATCCTCGTTTTAATCTTGTCCTCATTTCGGTTTAGCTAATTGGTTGGTACTCATGGAAACAAATGTTTTAAAAATATTATTCACTAATGGATAAAGAAAGATTTTACTATTTGTTGATGGGATGAGCCAGGCCCGTGCAGTAGTGCAACGCATGAGCGACTCGTGAAAACCCAGATAGCAAGCTACCTTAGTGGGCTTTCTCCCTTAAAAAATAGAGTTAATATCGTGTGGACCGATGGTCCACATATCAGATATTAAACTGATAAGAACAGATACTACACTTGATCTTAGCCAAAAGGCCGAGAAAGGTATGATTTGTATGAGAGACCCAGCTTCCTTTTTATATCATCACACTTCGGAGACGTTCTCTTCTACTTGTCGATGTGGGACAAAAACCAAAACATACAAAAGAGTAAATAACAATTTGCTTCAATTTCCTCGCGGAAACTCTGAATACAAAATGTGTTCATTTCTTTCTAACCCAGTTTCATGATTTGTTTACTTTATTCTAATTTCCTCATTGTATCTGAAAACTGATTATTGTATTATACTATTATTGAGATCGTGAAACTGAACCCGTAGGCTTAAAGACATCTGAATATGAAATACAAACCAAACCAAACGCCCTAACAAAGAAAGAGAAAAAAGAACCTAATGATTCCTGAACTAACTAAAACAATTCAAGAATGAATAAAATATAGAAGACGACGAACTAAAGATTGAAGCATGTCATCTTATGTTGAATTGCCAGTGTTCCTCTTGGAAGCAGAGTAGCCTCTTATCGAGAGATTCTTGGTTCGATTGACAAGAGATTCTTGTGTTTTGCTACTGCTACTTCTGTTCCAATTATATCCTCTTTCTTGATGATTCATTCTCCTGTTTCCTTCCATCTCATACTGATCCAATAAACACAAAAGTCGGGATTTAGATAGAAATACAAAGTTGTATGTATATAGAGAAGAGTGGCCGGTTTTTACATCATAGTCTTTCTCTTTAAAGAGATCCATGCGAAGAGTGGCTGGTTTATGCTCCTTCTTCATTCGAAGAGACTTCTCTCGCTCTTCGTAGAAGTCCATGTCGTCTAACAAATATGTTACCGCAGAGTACTTCTTGAATATGGAAAGCATTTGGAGACCTTCTTTGAGTTTGATCTCGTGAGTATCCCTCGTATGAGTAACTGGCTTGTCCTCATTGTTGTCGAGGATGATATGGCGTAGTTCCCAGTTAGGGATATCTTTAACCACATGCCATTCAACCGGGAAAAAGCCACTCCACTTATCAACCTGCCAGAAATCTAAATCCTTGTTGAAGTCCACATATCCAACCATCTCAGCTAATCCCACAAATTGTCTACTCGCATTCACCTGTATAATGGACGGGTAAGACATCAAACATGAGACTTCCTAGACACCCTAAATTACAAAGAAGAAATTAAGAGAGATCTCAAGCTCACTCACCGAAAAGAAGAGAAATATTGGACGTTTCTTGCCATCCTCGAGTGTTTTTGTTTCAGCATCACGGAAAGCTGCATCGAGTTTCTTGTTTCCGTTGATAGTGCTTGACCATACCGAATATTTTATACTCTTGTGAACATCATCTTCGCTGTAGGACTTTATTACGAAAAATTTGGCATCCTCATAGTCAGTCTGAAAGTCTGGGAGGTTATACATCTCTCTACGAAGAGCCAAGGCAAACGAATTGTTTTGCTTGAGTGATGATGACTCAGAAGTAGGACGAGTCTTTGCATTGGCTCTCGGACCACATTTCAATTCAACCAAGTAGTCAGATTCACCATTTCTCTCAGGTTTCTTATTATGCTCTCTTTGATCCCAGAAACCATTATTTGGGTTTCCATTAATGTAACCAGAATATGGGGGACAGCTTGTCTTTTGATTGGAGAATTGTAAGTAGTGTCCTGCGGCTTCCTTTCCCTTCATAAAGGCATATAGAATCAATTTACATCAAACCTTTTCCATTAAGAGGAAACACTTAAGTAAGATATTGGCATGCAAAATCTTGATTTCAACTATTTATATAGATGTGTAATGTACCTTAAATGGTGGTCTGAATGCATGTGCTTGTGTATTGGGAGGAAGTCTACCAGCACCATTGAAATTTCCAGAAGGCTTAGGAGCCGAAAAAGAAGTTTGAGACCAACAATTGTTTCTTTTTGCTCGATCTCCACGCAAAGTCGAATCAGAATAGACATATGAGCTGTTTTTGTCACGGTAACTTCCCTATGAAAATGACCCAGCAAACATGATAGCATGTCATGACAGAGAAATTACATCAGATCTATAAAAGCCAATGGACAAAATCAAACCTTTAGAAAATCTGCAGCATGTGCCTGGCCATTGTTATCTGGCTGAGAAGAGACTACATCAGATCCTGCAAAACGCATCACAAGCCACAATCACTTAAGAAAACAGCTATAGATCATTAACTACTGATTATGCATAGAGGAAAGTGATGTTTCTTGTTTTGCACCGTGTAAGAATCTATCCAGAATAATAAGAAACTAGAAGACTTATTAGGTGGTTTATAAGGACCAAAGCCTTTAGAATTTGTCTTACCATTAGCACATGCAGTGGGAGTGACAGTAACCGACGAGGTACTGGACACTGTAATGGTACGATTTGTGTCATCTGTTGGAGGAGACTGAAAAGATTACCAAACTTTATGTAAGCAGTCTTTTCTAGTAGGAGATGAATTATGTGGCTAATAAGATTGTAAATACCTCATCCTGTTTCTTTGTTGTAGAATCTGGAGCTGGTACTGTTTGTGCAAAAGTAGCCTCAGCTAGAGTTAATGTTAAAGGGCAAACACTAATTGATATAACAAAAGGAATCTGAAATCAATCACAAAAGCATTGTCTTAATAAAAACTCAATCAAGTAAAGAAGCACAGAACAAAAGATGCGCTAGCATTAAAGGATACAATCCAGAGTGTTCTTTTCAGTGGCCATTATCAATTTTCAAGATACACTGCAACCATTGAAAGGGAACAAAAAAAAAGGTTAGTAAGAAGAATCAGGTAATCTGATTATGGTAGTCAACAATAAACAACCATTTAGATGCATCACTTCCTCAGCAAAAGACCACAAAAGAGATAGTTACCAAAGTTCCCATAATAGTATTGATTTTGCACACATCACTCAGGAATAAGAAATTTCATTGGGACATATAAAAAAAAACAGATTGCTATTGTGTTCTACGCTTTGGGTCAGAAAGTGATGCAGTAGTACAAAACCAAAGAGCAGTCAGAATTATGGTCTTTCCCCAGCAAGAACAACGCTAAATCGCAGGATAGCCACAATGTTATTAACTTTAGTCAAATGGACAAGATATAGAATGTTCCCCACGATAAAGATTACAGGACTTAAGGACCCTAACAGAACAACTTTCAGCACACTACTCATAGGATTTCCTAAGCAAAACCGATAATTTATTCCCATGAGTTGACGTTACAAGAGCAAACATGACGCCGGTAAATACTCAGTGGACAATTTCAATAAAGACAAAAACATTGAGTTCTAATATCTCTACTTAGACAGAACTCAACATGAACAAATACTGTCAAAACATGCCCTTTTACTTCACCATAAGTTTTCAAAACATAACACAATTTACAATGGAAACTAAAAGCTCCAATCTTAAGGGAAAAAACAGAGAATTCAGGAAAAAAAAACAATTTGGAGCATATGGGATTCAGAATTGTCCAAGAGCCAAACAAATCAATGATTAGTTGGAAACAGAAATCCAGAGGAGTAATAAGAAGCAAACCTGAGAAAAGGTTTAGGGCCGCCGTAAAACCAAACAGGGGAAACCACTTGAAGAGGTTGTTAAGTTTATGTGTACTTTGGAACAGAAGTGGGAAGTTGCGTAGACGACGACCGAACCGAACCCTCACAGAAAAAGAGAAACTTCCGACGGCTAAGATTATCTTATAACTTTTCCACTCAGGAGGAAATCCTGACCGTTGGATTCCAATGTTCACGGTTTGGGCCTCAAAGGCCCGGTTAACTTAAAGATCATAAATTATCCATTATGCATCCAAGCAAACACCAACCACAAATGAAGTCATTTGATGCGAATGCCATTTGATATAAACCAGTTAACCACGCGCATGCATGTATAGTATAGACGCCACGGACCAGATATAATTTCATGACCTCGCAAAGTAAGTAATGCCGATTAAAACTTCGTATAGATATATAGTAAAAACTGAATAACAGCAGTCATGATCAATAACAGTAGCCAGTAGGTCTATTAATTCTTTTTATTTTCCATTAGCTTTAGATTTTTATTGTATTTTAAAGCAGAGTTTAGGGATTCGCAACGCTAGAAAAGTTATAGTCAAAAAGGAAGACAACAAAATTAAGAACTTTGACTAACAAAAGAACCAGTACTCTCACAAATTTATCTTTACGAAATCTAGTCTTAAGTGCTATTTAAATCCCGATGCATGTGGTTTCTGACTATTTAAAATCCGAACCATTACTCTCACAAATTTATCTTTACGAAATCTAGTCTAAGTGCTATTTATCAAATATTTGACGATTAAAATCTGAACATATATATCTTAACTGATCATATATATACTATAAATATGGTTCGACGCATACGATAGTCTATTATATGACAGCATTGGAAAGGACCTTTGGACCTGCATTAGTTTCGTGGAAGACGATCGAGATACATGTTTTCTTGTATTTTTACCATTAACATATGTATCTCCGGTTATATTTTAGTTGAGTTTTGCTTTCTTAAAGAAACAAAAAAATTATTATACAGTTATGTCCATGTCCGCACCTTCATAAATATAGCCAAATTTGTTGTATCCATCACAGAATCGATCAGGTTGGAGAAACTTCTTTAGGACGACTTAACAAAAAGAGAAAGAAATTAAAGAAGAAATGGTTCAAATAAAGACAGCACAGGCAAAAAGAAAAGGCTACAAGAGTGAATAGAAGAGAGCGGTCACATGACATGATGGCCTTTTTTTTTTTGGTCATGAATGATCTGTGACAATGAGTCACAAAAGGCAAAAGCCCCAATTCTCTTCTATTTTCTACATTAAAATCATTCCTACTTTTGAATTTTGCTTTGCTGTAAGTTCACCTAAGCCTCCACTATTCTCTAAATGCCAAATTTTCTTTTAAATAATTAGGTCCCTAATTATTAAAACGAATTTTATTCACCAACTCCAGTTATAATATCATATAATTAATATAGTACCAATATATCACAATCATATTTGAAGGAAACATTTGTGTGGGTAATCAAACGTTTCTTGTACCAAGAGTGTTTTCTATTGTTTTAACCTTAATAGCAAAAAAAACAAAACGCTATGTGAGTTTGTACATTCGTCTCATGTGCATGGTAATAGTCTTATCGATAGGTCTGAGGTCTCCCCGCTTTTGCCGCAGCTAGTTAAGCTATTTTCCTTCCTTTGAATAATTGTTTTGCGTATAATTATTTTGTTTTGAGAAATTCACTCGATTGCGATAGATTTGGACCATCATTGCCAACTAGATGCATGTGTTGAACTTTTTTGCATAATTTCGAATAGCTGAAAAGCATTTGTTAGAGATTTAGATTTTCACCTAACTTATAAGGTTCCACTATTTTTTACTAGAATTCAATTTAGTTTTATTATAGTATGTATACACGATGATATATCAAAATGGTTAGTGTTCGAGAGCTAGTCTCAATTAATTATCCATAATGGTAGATGGGATTCATATTGTTAAACTCTCGGAAACTCTTAACTTTTTTTCTTTGATGAAATCTAAGTTCGTAATAAGAACAGGTGAACTGATTAAAATTAAAATTATGATCACAAAAGTATCATGTTCGATATAAAAATTGTTATTGATGTAAAAAAAAAAAAAAAAATGTTATTGATGATGTTGTTATATCACGGCAGAGCTATTGTTCATAACGGAATATAAAGAAATCTAGCAATCAAAGACAATTGTGTCCACAAAACTCAACACCTTTATTTTTCGAAAGTAGAATCTCTTTAACTTGTGAGTTACTTTCCTGGTTAATTAAATTTTAAGAAAGTAGGCCATTTTCACTTTAAATTAAATAAAAACTATTTTTATTTGATTAATCTTCTCAAATTGCTGAACGTGCAAATAAAGAGAATAATAGTTCTTGTACTTGGCCTTTTAATTTAGAAATTTAGATTGCAGACGTCAAACAAAATAAGAACTCTACGTTTGCATTATTATTGATCTTAATCAACTTATAGATTATTAAACTCGAAGTTTTCTCGTAACGTAGATGAATTAGGTATAGGTTCATGTAATGTACACATCAAATTTACATATACAAAAGTGTATAGAGATATAGTGATTAATTAGGGTTTGACAGATTTCCAACATCTGTTAAAAATGAAATGTATAATTACCGTATATACAACTAAGTGGGTTTAGCTGCAAATTATTATGCATCATTGTTTCCTTAATTAGGATAACTAATTGAAATCTTACTGTGATAATTAATTCACAAAACTAAGGGTAATTATACGTTTTATTAAAGCAGCCAATAGGTTCTCTTTGTTGTTCTTTTCTGATAACACGTAGACCCCATCTTCAATTATTATTGTGAAATAACAACAAAAAGATGTCACACTATAGCTAGTAAACACCACAAAACTTGCATAGCAATTTCTTAAAGTAGACACACTAGACAACGAATACAGTCCGTATAGGATATACTGTGTTTATTACATACAAAAAGATATATTTATTAAAAAGGAAAGAAAATTAAACAGTTGATATAGCTTTTTCTTTACATTTGCCAATTATACCAACTAAAATTCGTATACAAACTCAACTTCAAAAGGGTTAACGAATCAACTAGATTATTATGTAGAAATTAGTATTAATTAGGGTCGTCTATTAAGTTCAAAATCCTGAAGTTGTCAGCAAAAGACAGTGAAGGTCGTGAAGGGGATGAGATCATAGGAATAAAGGACCAAGATTTATATGTCTGTTCCTACTACTTAGGGACCATTACCACACTAACTCTCTGTTAATTCTCCTTTTTATATATACTTTATCTACACATACTATAAAAAACATTTATTGATATAAATAATCACACCTCTTTGTAACTATATATATACAACTCATTATCAACATAGAACAGAGTGTGTTTTTGTTTCTTCTTCTTTGCTCTGCTTTTCTCTTCATTCACATAAAAACAAAGGAATAATAAACGAAAACAATGTCGTTGATTGCGTGAATATATCTCAATTCCTTTCTTTATTTTCGTAGATCATCGAATTTTCCGAGAATCATTTTTTACTTGATTCTTGATCAAGAGTCAGAGTTTTTCTGATAAAAGACTCTTCTGTTCTTCTCTACGTTCTTGAAAGCAAAACAGAGGAAGAAGAACAATCTGAAGAAGCTCAGGCTCCTGTTTCCTCTTTCTCTACTTAGATCTTTGATCTGAATTCTCCACAGAGATAAGACTCATCGACTTTAAATCAAGAAAAGGCGCAAGATTCGCATGCCACAAGGAGAAAATGAACAAGTCAAGCTCGTGGAGCATATACAGTTCTAGAGATGGAGAAAGTGAAGGGCCATGGAGATCATCAACGTCGATGAATGCGATCTCATTTGGGTTTGTAGCGACGGCGATACTCATCTCCATGTTCTTGATCATGGCCATATTCGAGCATCTCTTTAGGCCTGAGAATTCTTCATTTGATTCACCACATCAGATCAGACAAAGACAGAGAGATGGGTCCAGTCAGTTCCAGAAACTTGCTGATCAGGCATCAATGGTAAGCACAAAAACAATTAAAAGTTATTAAAGCATTTCTCAAAAGAATTTTTGTCCTTTTTATAAAGCCGAGCCGCATTAACTTGCCACTGTTGAGTTAGTTTTTTCCTTTGTTTTCTGCAAAACAAAAATTGCTTTTCTTTTCGGTGCAAAAACCTTTGAAAAGTGGAAAACATTCGTCAAAATTAATAGAAAAATAACCCAACTTTGGAAAGTGAAAAGCAAGACCCAACTTGTAATATGTTCTTTGTTTTCTTATAGAATTATTCTTTGTCTTATAGAATAAGTCGCATTTAACCACATGTGTATCATGGCACATTCAACGTTTTCGGATGTTTAACACAAATGTTTTTTGAAAAAAATTCAATATATTTTCTCCCCAAAAAGTAGGAAAGTAAACTTGAGACCCGAAGTCATAACTTGTTTTGAAGTTAATTATAAGGAGTGTAACGATGGCAGGTTCCGGTGAATACGGTGGTGGATGTGTCGGTAGTGATGCCAGGGGAGAAGTTGCCGTCGCACATAGCTTTGCCGGCTCCGTTACCTTGTCGGAGAGAAGGCATTCATTGGCCTCTCCACCTCTAAATATTACTAGCTAGTAATCTTCTTCTTCTGTAATTTTTTATCCCTTTATTTATTTCTGACTCATTCAGTAGACGAATATTCGTAATATATTTCAATATGCATTCCCGCTACATGACTGATCGGCCAAAAATATTCCCTTAGTTTTTTTTTTGTCGAAACAGATACATGTGTTATCTTATATATATATAAGTCATTGTACATTTAAGATTACTAAACTTTTGTACATATGCTAGCTTTTTAATTAGTATGACTAATCAATTTGGGATAAATCACTTTTAGAGCAGAGTTTTTTAATAGCTTAAAAAGTTACTGTTTATACAATCAAGCTCCATTACATAAGAAAGAGATTTCAATCCCACTATACTCGGTTCAAGTGTAGTGTTCATGAGTACGTGTAGTGTTGAGTACGACAAAGAATAATGATTTACGCCTTGTGATCCTTCACATGAATTATCAACAGTTAATTCCAAATGTAATAAACTTATGGGACCAAAGTTCAATTTTTTTTATTATTATATGGTCTCTACACAAGTGACATCAGATAAGGATGAAAAAACTCCCAATTAGATTTACATAGAGGACTCTTGAATCTTGATCTTGTTTTATATATGGTGCAATATCATCCTAGATTCAGATGTGATTTACAATTTTTTGTTTGTGTTTTGGACAATGTTTTAGATTATAAAAGATAGTATGATTTCAATCAAAAATATTCTTCTCGAACTTTCGAAGAGTATTAAAAATAAAATGGGCCGAGAATGAAGCCCATTATTATCAGTGGGCGGATTTATAATGCCGAGACAAAAAGCACCTTTTCTACCAATCGTCGCGAAGAAGCTAAAGGAAAGCTGATTCAAAGATTCAAAATTTGAACTGCACAGAGAGGCTATGGCGTCGACGGCGAAGAATTTGAAGGGTTTCTACAAGCAGACTAAAAGCAATATCAACGGAGGTATCTCCAAGTCCAAGCCTTCTTCCCGGAAAGTCGCTCCCAAACACGCGGCGGCTCAAGGTTCTGATGTTACCCAGCCCGCCGCATTGATTTCACACGGCTCCCTCGATCTCAACGGTACGGCTTTTCCTTCTTTGTATCTTATTAGGGTTTCCTTTCTATCGATGATCTGATTCCTTATTCATGGTCGAAAATTAGGGTTTAATTCCAATCCCCAAATGAGAGTTAGGGTCCAATCGAAACTTAGCATTATAATCATAGCATTTTTATTAAGTTGAGTTGGTGTGGTTTTCTTCTGACTGATAACATTTTGTGCTATTTGTTGTGTTTTATTAACAGAGGATTATGACAAGGAGGAGGAGATGCTTAGACAATTTGACATGAACATCGCTTATGGTCCTTGCTTGGGTATGACAAGACTTGATCGATGGGAGCGTGCTCTGCGTCTTGGAATGAATCCTCCCAATGAAATCGAGAAGCTTTTGAAAACTGGGAAAGTTCAGCAAGATTGTCTGTGGCAAGGTCGTGTCTAGACGATGTTCTTTAATCCTTTATCTTGCCCTTGTATGATCCAGTATATGAGTTGCATAACCTTGTCTTTTGTTTATTGTGGTTGGGATGTTTGGTTCAGCCTCTGGCTGGATCCACCCACACGTAGTGTCCTCGATGTTTCTAGTCTCGGACGATAATGTTAAAACTTTGGTAATGGAATACATCTTTTTCTGTTGATCGAAACTTCAGTTATTTGTATAATCTCATTATCACAAACTTCTACAAATTTCAAAATGTTAAGTAAATTACAAGAACAGTAAAGTTACAAAATCTGAACTATCTCAGTTTCCAAATGAAGCTGAAGCACTATATAACCTAGGAACCTGTAGGCATAGCAGAGAACGACATAATCCAGCATAAAGCCATACAATCTGGGAAGCTTGACTCACCCTGATCTCTGAGAGAACAAGATTCTGCAGGGTCTGGTTCCACCTCCTGTCACTCTCTCTTCTTTGGCATTGGCTCAAGTACTTAAAATGAGAATAATTTTCTGTGAGAGAAAGAGCTTGATTATGGTGAGCTCAGGAAGCAGCGTAGAGCAAAGCAGGGAATTGTTGCTTCTCATGATGGTCACTGAAAGATTAAGATTTGGTAGAGACGTTAAATAGATGCCCTTCAATGTCTGGGACGAAACCTTTATCTACCATTTCTTCTTTAACTATCTCATAGGTTATTCGGTTCGGGACTAGACCTTTCTCCAACATCTCATTCAATAGCATGTTTGCATCCTCCAACTTTCCCTTTTGAGAATATCCTTGTAGAAGCACATTATATGATGCTACATTCATCCGCAACCGTCTTTCTTTCTCCATCTGTGTCCTCATGTTTGTTGCTGCCTTCAGATTTCCTTCCTTACAGTAGCCTTTCATCAAAATGTTATATGTCAGATGTCTCGGTTTCAGACCCATCTTTGACATTTCTTTCAAAAGCATTGCCGCTTTTCTCGATTCACCTTTGCTGCAATAACCCTCCATTAGTATGTGAAATGTCACAAGGTCAGGAAGTCCTTTAATAGTCAATTGATCAAAAAGCTTCTTAGCTGCTTCTATGTTACATTTTCGACATAGACCAGCAATCAAGCAATTATAAGTTCCAACATCTGGTACAATCCCTTCTCGTTCCATCTCTTCTTTCAGTGCAAAGCCATCATCGATTTTCCCTAACTTACAATACGCATTGATAAGCATGTTATACATTCTAGTAGTGGGAACAGTTCCTTGGCCTTTTACTGAGTCAAACATATCAAGAGCTTCCTTCAGCATATCGTTTTTGCAAAACCCATTTATAAGAGCGTTGTAAGTAATTAAGTTAGGCTGCACACCAGCGCTTACCATCTTATCGCGCATACCAATAGCCTCGCTGATCTTCCCCCCATTGCACAAACCATTTATCAGTGAATTATAAGTGATCACATTCGGCATCACTTCTTGATCCAGCATCTCTTTAAACACCTTCATACTCCCCGGAAGGTTGTCATCTTTCCAGAAACCATCAATCAGTATATTGAATGTAGTCAAGTTCGGTGACACTTCATTCTCCACCATTTCCTTCAAAACCGCGTCTGCTTTATACATTTTCCCATTTCCACCAAGCTTGCAGTACCCATCTATCAGAGTGTTGTAACTAACTACATTTGGAGAACATCCATACACTTTCATGTCCTCCATAACATCCCTAGCTTTATTCATTTTCCCAGTTTTGCACAACGCGTTGATCACAACATTGAAAGTGAACACATTTGGTTGAATCTTCCTCCTAATCATCTCCTTATACACATATTCAACATCCGCAGACCGATTCTCCTTCAACAACGCAATCATCAAAGGCTTACAAGACAAAGCCGACAACTTATACCCATAATAACCTGAACGCTTAAACGCCTCAAATCCTAACTCGAATCTCGAATTATTCGCATAAGCCAACACCAACATATCAGCTATAATCGAATTGACACAAACATTGTCACACATTGAAATTGCAAGGAAAATCGAGTGAACTTGATGATCAGATCCATTCTTCACAAACCCATCAAGGAAAGATCGTATCTTCGAGTACCTTTTCGCATTGGCAAGAGAATGCAAGAGCTTAAATGTGAGCTCTAGCGAAACAGAGATGTCACTGTTCTTCACAAACCACGTATAGTACCTGAGACACAAATCTGGGTTAAGCTCAGAACTTATCAACTGTCGAAACAGCTCGTTAGGATTTATGTCTTTCACATGAAATCCTAGCTTCGACCAGTGCTGCTTCTCTATGAGATCAGCGATAATACCTACGTCATATCTAGGTGGGCAAGGGCTCCCGGCGATGGTAGCTGAAGAAAAACAGAGTCTTCTTAAACCCGAGACTTGTTTTATGAAATTCGAGATTTTTCTACTTACGGCTAAGGATTTGGGGAACATTGATTCGAGATGGAGAGGAAAGACTTGGGATTTTGAAATTTAGGGTTTGGGAATTTTGCACCCATTCGTCTCTCTCTTTCGTTTTTACCTCAAAGGCTCAAACTTTACAAATTTTCTGATTTTTCTTTGTAGAATTTTACGAAACTACCACTGAAATATCTGTATAAATGGACCCAAAATTAAGTTTAAAAAGAAGTTTGAATAATCTCTTAAATGATCAGAGTGTGCTGTTTCCTCAAAGTCCAACACTTCTGCTTGGAAGTGGATTTGAGGGGTTTAACCCTACATTGCTTATCTAGACACAAATTATGTAAACAACTGTTATTTTGAATCATCACTTAACAGATTGGAGTGAGTTTTAAGGTTCGGTTTCTTGGTTTACAAGCCGTTACAACAAAATTGCTTCTCATCACTCTTCTTTCGTCGCCACTTGTTTCTGGCGAAGCGCTCTCCAACCAATATCATGCCTAAAGAAACCTCCAGGCCAGTTTATCTGTTGAACAGCCGAATACGCTCTTTCACGGGCCTCTTCCAAGTCATTACCTTTCGCCGTCACCCCAAGAACACGTCCCCCAGTCGCTATAACATTCCCCTCTGAATCAAGATCCGTTCCTGCATGGAAAACCTTCACTCCAGGAGCTACCGTTTCAGCTTCTTCAAGGTTTCTGATGATTGATCCTTTCTCATAAGCACCGGGATAACCATTGCTTGCCATTACAACCACCATTGCTGAATCTTTTGACCAATCAAGTGACACGCCGCTTAGCTCGCCTTTACAAGCCGCTAGCAAGACTTTTGCTAGGTCAGACTCTAGACGCATCATCAGTACCTGTGTTAAAACAAGAAGCTGCATTGTTTAGAACTATAATCAAACCGAGATTAAACCGGGTTTTTTGAGAAAAAGGTGTGTTCCTCACCTGACATTCCGGATCTCCAAACCGTACATTGAACTCAATCAGCTTAGGCAAACCGGATTTCTTCTCGATCATGAGACCCGCAAACAGAACGCCGACAAACTTGCATCCTTCTTCTGCCATTCCTTTAACAGTGGGATGAATTATAGACTCCATCACAAAATCCTGAAGCTCCCTGGTCAAGACCGGTGCAGGAGAATACGCTCCCATTCCGCCTGTGTTAGGACCAGTATCTCCATTTCCAACCCGCTTGTGGTCCTGAGCAGATTCTAGAGGAATGGCGTTTTCTCCATCCACAAGTGCGAAAAAGGAGGCTTCTTCTCCCTCGAGAAACTCCTCCACGACTACCTGACATCCTGCAGAACCAAACACGCCTTTGACCAGCATCGAATCAACAGCTTCAAAAGCCTCCTCTAGTTCCATGGCAACAGTGACTCCTTTTCCAGCTGCTAATCCATCCGCTTTAATCACAATCGGTGCCCCTTGTTCTTGAATGTATTCTTTCGCGGCAGATGCATCAGAAAATGTTTTATACTGCATTTGAATTCCATTCAATAATCCCGTATTAGCCACATCAAATTGTAATCCTTAAGATAATATCAAAGCTACGAATCAACTACTTTTATTCCACCAAGAGCCCTCAACCACATGGTCAACCAAACCATAGTACACCCCAAACAATCTGTTGAGACATTCTTATAAACCTAGCCCTCACTAACCACTCTCTAACCAACTCACAACAGCTCTAACCTGCTACATTAAGTACTAAGCTAGAATACAGCAGACCTTATGGATCCTAATAACACATCCAGGGAAGAAATTGGTAATCATCAAAGAGCTATAGACGCAAACCTTAGCAGTAGGGATATTGTACTTGTGGCAAAGATTCTTCATAAAGTTCTTGGAACCTTCCAAAGCAGCAGCTTGAGAAGAAGGGCCAAAGGTGAGGATACCGGCCTTAACAAGGTCATTAGCGAGACCCGCAACAAGGGGCACTTCAGGGCCAACAACAACTAAACCGACATTCCATTTTTGACAGAAGGAAATGACAGCTAAACTGTCCGATATGTCAAGGTCAGGTACACAAGTGGCATCTCCGGAACTTGATATACCGGCGTTTCCAGGTGCGCATAACACAGAATCACAAGAAGGAGACCGCTTCAAGGCGTGACAAAGGGCGTGTTCTCTCCCTCCTCCACCAATTACAAGAACATTCACTCTCTCTTCTGCAGAAATCGAAAACGAAATTACTACACAATAACTGGCGTTCAAATTCGATATCGTTACAATAACATTCAACAACTAAATACAGTATCAAACAAATTTGTTAATTCATCAATGTGAATGGGCATCAAGAGAGCAATTACCAGAGCCGCCGTTACCGACAGAAAGAGACGGCTCAGATTCTTCTGAAACGCATCGGAGCAAAAAATGGCGTCTTTGGAATCGGTTCGAAGAGAAACGAGAGCTAAGGACGTGACTGGTGGTAGAGAATTTGAGAGGAGCAACAAAGGGAAGAGAATTGGAGGTGGCGAATCTGAGGGAGAGAAGAAAGGGTTTAGTTGGGTTGTTGGAGAAGAGATTGATAGAAGAAGAAGATGAAGGATAGAAATTAGATGCACACAACGACGACGACATGTCGCAAGTTTGCGAAAGAGAGGCAAGAGAGACTGTCAAAGTAGCGGAGTTGAGAGTTTGGACTCGGACCAGCGTCGTCGACAAGGGTTTAAAGTTAAAACTGTTTTTTGGTTTACTTTTTCTTTTAGTTAAAGACCAAATCAAATCCTAATGGCTTTGTCAGTCTATGCTTATATTGGGGACGACAAAACTGAGGAAGAGAGGGGGCTCTGTGGCATGGCCAATATCGAAATCGTACACGAAACGGATGAAAAGCATGCGAAACTCAATAAGATGCTATTGGACCTGTTTGAGTGGGCATTCAAAAATCATCAGCACGATCGAGCAAATTTTCTCCTAGTTGCTAAAGACATCCCAGAGGAAGAAACGGCGTTTGCCAGAGCTCTTCAAGTTTTGCGAGAAAGAGCTTACAAAGTTTTCTTAGCAGTGCCTGATGACATCCCACTAGATCAAGTGCAATCTCGTCGTACTGCAAGCATAGTATGGCGTTGGACAATGCTGTTTGATAGCAACTTCCCTATCAAAGAACTTGATTCCGATTACAAAAGTGATTCGTATTCTGACGAGGGAAGCTCACAAGGTGAGGATAAACGTCAGAAGATAACTGATGATGCTGCTTCTCACAAGTAGCTAGCTTCTCTGCCTTTAAAATGATACTAGTTTGGTTCATTTTCTTTGCAAATCAGTTCATGCTCAGCTCACCAAATCTTTAGGTTATGTCTTTGATTTATGAAATGGTTTTATCTGATGTTAAAAAAAAGTTAGGTATGAACTTTTCCTTTCCATTTCTTCATTAAAACCACTTTAAAATCTTTAGACATCAGTCAGCAGAGCCTCTCCATTCCTCTCAAGTCTCAATCATATCTACATGCTTTAAAACAAAACCATTTTGCGATAGAAAGGGTTATATGGTGGCCGTGAAACAAACAAGTGGTTTATACCCAGCAAACCTCAAGTACTGTTTGTATTCATGCATCCTCATCTCCATATAACCAACCAAACAAAAATTAAAGAAAAAGAACTCACCAAAAACAAAAGCCAAGAGTACAGATGCAAAAACAGATAAGCATCTTATGAATGCAAAGCCATGAAGAGGTTCTGCTTACGGGCATGCTCTGGTACAAGCCTGTTCACGATTTCAGGAGGGATGCCAGATAGCTCTGCAACACAAAACCTCAGTTCATGATTTTGAAAATTACTGAAAGTTAAGGATGACAGATATATTTCTATGGAGAACACAGCGTTTATTGTTGCTTAGCATTCAAATATTTCAGAGGCCACAATGGCGTCCATACTTGTGACTTCAATTTATTAAGCATTCCTCATTATTCATAGAGCATCTACTAACATTGAACGAGGTTTTGAGGTTTATACTTATTAGCAATCATGAGCAAAACACAACATGTCAACAACTTATACCTTGCGGTTTAAAGTTGAAAAGTGGAGGAAGTGGTCGGCCATTGGGAAGACGAGTGTTTGGGTCTCTTAGCTCATCAAATAACGGATGAATACAGGCTTCCAACTACAATAACACCAGAAGTGTTTTTAATGGGTTTAGATCCTTAGATGCTGATATGGAACAATAGAAAAGTAAATTACACAACGAAGGGAATAGTATGAATTAACTTACAGCTGTACATCTCAAATTAGGGGAATACTGGAAGAACCTACAGAGAAGATCAACTGCTTCTGGTGGCAAACGTTTTTGGAACACCTGAGCATGCAGTAATAAGGATTCAGAGAGAAGCGAAGCTCAATGAGGTAATAATCACTGAAGCCAATTAAACGTTTTTTTTCTATGGGTATATAAAAAATCCTATATAGTTTAATGCAAAGTGCAAACCACCAAGTTGTAGAATGTCAGAGATGAAAACCATTTTCCACCAGAGAGAAATACTCAAACTAGAACTAAAGCCACAATCATTTAGCCAATCGATTTCAAATCTACCATAGATGGTTTCATAAGCCATAGGAAATGACAACATAAATTTAATTTTTGATACATACTTCAAACCATCACAAATACCAGAACACTTCTTTAAAAAAATGCATTCACCAACAAAACCACTGGTTAAAGAATTTTCTTGTAGGTGATAATCAATAACATTAGAAGGTATACCTTGTGCCATGGATGAGGTTTTATCTGGGGAAACTTAAATTCTGTATAGTTTGGATTCATGCACTTGATTTCTTCCCTTGTTGGTGTACCTAAAACCTGCATGACATATAAAAGCACATGAAATAAGAAAAACAAGGTTTCCTTGAAATCAGACTGAGAAGTGCAAAGGTCATTGACATATAAAGTTGGCAATCTGCACCAGTCTGCTACGTAAAGATAGATGATTACCCCATAACAAAAGCTCAAGAAGCACTTATCAGGGCTTGAATTGCTTCATAATTTTCGATAAACTTAAAGAATTAATAAAAGGCTACCTTAATGATTTCAACAAGCTGATCAACTCCGCTCTCACCAGGAAATAGAGGCTATATGGCAATAGAAAGGCACAGAAAAGTAAGACAAGGAATAAACTGAATGAATAGCACAAAACATATAGGCATGTAACTAATGCAAAAGTCATGCTTAAACCTGTCCAAGAAGTAGTTCGGCCATCACACAACCAGTGGACCATATATCGATTGCAGTTGTGTATTCACTGGCACCAAAAATAAGTTCTGGAGCACGATAGTATCTTGAACAGATGTAAGAAACATTGGGTTCTCCTTTTACCTACAGAGAACGAGAACATGTCATACTCCAAGAATGATTTCGTAAAAAACTGTGCCAGTAAAACTTACCAACACTTTTGCACTCCCGAAATCACATATTTTTAGCTGATGCGTGTGTGGGTTCACCTGCACAACACCATCTGTAAAGTCAGATATATATGCATTTAAATTAAAACTGAATAACCTAACTAGGTACAAATAAGTTGAGCGCAGACATGTTACTCTAAAAACCCAGCTCAAAACTACATCTATTTTCTCAAAGTTAGTTCAGAATCCTATTTTAACAACTAGCTTTCTCATTAATATAAACTCGAAAAGAGAAGCCTAGTTCCACTGTGAAGATCGTAAATGAAATTAACTGTATTAAGAGCCGCATAGCTACATCTCCAGGCATGTTATAAACATACATCATTTCAGACTCTAAACCTAATATGACACCATTAATGTAAATAATATGCGTGTCTTTATATCTCCTACTCATAGAGGCAAAGGACTATAAACTAAAATATAATTCAAACAAAAATAGGTTTTAGCAAAAATAACAAAGGTCATCTGTTACATATTCCTTTCAAATCAGGGAGACACAAATGAACTTACCAGCAAGTTTTGAGGCTTAATATCACGGTGACAAAGACCAAAGGAATTATGGATGTAAGCAAGCGCCCTGCAAATCTGTAACCATTAACAAAAACTTATAAAAAATGTTTGAAGAATACCCAGCGAATTATCAGTCTGGCATGCAGATACAAATTTCATGAAACAAAACCTACGAAAAAGAATAAAAAGTTCAAATTTAGGAAATTGTTACCTGATAGGTGTAGAGTTTAACGTATATCAGTGGCATCAGCTGATTCGTCCTACTGTAACTTCTTGCAACACGATTGACGGTCTCAGGCACAAACTCAAGGACAAGATTCAAATAAACCTCTTCATTGTCTGTTCTTGAGAAGAAGCTATGCTTTAAAGCAACGACATTGGGGTGGTCTAGCATCTGCATTATTTGTAGCTCTCTGTTCTTGTACCGCTTGTCTTGTAGAACCTTCTTGATAGCAACAACCTCCCCAGTCTCCCTACATTTAGCCTACCAGAAGGAAACATAAATGCGCGGGAAATGGAGACAAATCAATAGAAAGAACATCATGGATGTTACATTAACTTACCTGGAAAACCATGCCAAAGGAACCAGTACCAACAACATGTTCTGATATGTAACTGACTGTCTGCCAATCCAAAAAAATACTATATGAGAAACAGTTAGATAACTACGTTACCAACTAACACATACAATTATCCATAACCACCCAACCTGTCTTGATTGACCATTTCGACCACGGAGTGTGGTTCTAATAACATGACCAGGTTCAGCACCAGCCCCATCAATAATATCTGGTTCACTATCCTGCAACTTAACAAAAACATCAGACACTGTAAACTCGTGATAAAAAGAAGTCAAGCTAAAAAACCGTTGAATAAACATTTAAAAAAGAAGCAATGCAAGACTTACTCTCTCATCATCGGTCTCTACTTTGTCCCTTATCCTCGTCTCAGCCAAATCTCTAGTCAACCAATCGACTGAACTAGAAGAGGTCTTTAAACCTTTGGCAGATCTCGAAGTGCCTACTCCATTTCCCAGTCCAGAAGATGCCATGATATATATTCTGAAGATAACACGTACTAGTATTTGATAGCATCATAACCCATGGTGAATTGGTGTCCCATCCCATCAAAGAGCCGATCTTCCTAGTAGAATTTATAGGCCAGTTGCATTAAATAAAAGATCGTGATCATTATAAAAATCATGAAATGATACAAAAAAAAAGTAGTCAATTCAAACTTGTGTAAGCACTGATGAACTTTTAACTTAGTAGTGAATTGATAACACTGTAAAACTCAGCCCAATTGAGACCGATCAGATCTACTGCCGACTAAAATTGATTTGAAATCGAATAAGGTTTGGTTTGAAAACTCAAATTCTATAACCAAAAGCAGCTAAGAAAATCAGCAAAACAGTTACTACTACCCAGAAGAACCCTAGTTCAACAACTCAAAAAAAAAAGCACATTGAGAGGATAAAGAGCGAAACTTTGCAAAAGATTCGAAGCGATATGATTAGGTAGAAGAGTAAAAAAAATGATCATCACCTTGAGCTGTCGTGAAGAAGAACTGAAACCAAAGTCAAGCATTTGACGATTGTCTTCTTCTTCTTCTTTTTCAATTGAAGAGCTTCACATGAAAAAAGTATATAGTATTTTTTTCTCGGTGATTGATCGGATTGAAAAAGGCTAAACCTTTAGATTCTTCAAGCGTTAATTCTTTCTTCTTCTTCTTCAGCCTTCTTTGTCGATTTCTACCGTTTTGAATCAAACGAGAATATGAGACGACAGCTCATCATTATAAGCATGATAATATTGATCTTCTTTTTTTTTTTCTAAAAGATTTTTATGTTTGATTAATCTTCTTTTTTTTCGAAAAGATTTAAATGCTTAATTAAATATTCACTGTTTTGCTGATTAATAAGTTCAAAAATTAAACCTTGTTCAAATTTCATACTTAAAAGTTCTTTTTATCGGATGTCCCCAAATATCATAACATTGGAACTCAAATTTCAAACCTCAGCCTACCTAATTGTTTGTAACCCGATATTCAAACTTTTGGTGTACAACTTATTTCAACTATAGTGGAAATTTTACAAAAGAAAACAACATTTTATGCTTGCTATATAAATCGCTTCAATATTCAACATACATTTATGTTTTTGTCAACACATTCTAGCGTCCACTCCAAATGCATCTACTGATCTACATACAAGGGATTATATTCTAATATATGTGCCTTTTGATTTTTGAGATACGATAAAACAACAATATGTTCTTGGAATTTTCTAGCGAATTTAAAATTCTCTTGTAGGGGAAAAAAAATAAAATTCAAAAAAATAAAGCCACTTTCGTATTTTTTTTTTTTTTTTTTTTTTTTTTTTTTTTTTTTTTTTGCCACTTTCGTATTTGCTGGTTAATATATAGTAAAAGTGGCCTTTACTTGTCGACAGTTAGGTAAGGCTGAACACACCACACCTTTTTTTTTTTTTTTTGTGTGTGTGTATGTGGCCGATGGTGGTTTTGAATCGGGTTTGATTAGTGATAAAATGTTTGTGAGGAGATTTATGTAATATGAATTCTTGGAATACGAAAAGATTGATCAAATATATTCCCGTTTTAGATTGGTTAGTTTATTTATGTGTTTTCACAAAAGTGTAAGTTAATTATTTTTGCTTTGGTTAGCTCTCTCGAAAATACACGTTAGGCATGCACATCTCTTTGGTTACTACCACTACTACTCTCTGGTCTCCGCGTGATCTAATTTACTAATTAGAATAAGCGAAAAAGAGCTAAATGCAATAAAGTCGTAAGTAGGTCCAAAGTGTACTGCTCATCAGCCTACACGAGTAGGGAGTGGTGGTCTTATAACCTAAAAAGGCTAAAGTTGCTTTCTTTTGCAGAGTTTTGCTTAATAAAGTATCATAGATTTATTACCATTTAACTATGATTTTAGTGTTGACCAAAAAACAATGATTTTACGATTGTGTGTACTACTGTGTATGTAGTTTGGATTGGAAGCTAATGTGTTTGGACTTTGATTGCCATGGGCCTGTCTGGCCCGATCCTGAGGCCGTGAATGATGATTATTGATTACAATACTAACAAGTCCGCATTAATTAAAAAAAAAAACATTACCATTACCATTGAATTTATATTATGTTTGCTCTGCATATTTCGCACTAATTTGCTATTGTGAAATAAAACCATCTTTGGTTTATTATCACATTCAAGGTTTTTTTTATAAATATCTTAGCAATTTAAAATTTCTTGATAATTCTGGTGGCGAAGTTGTGGATAATTCTAGCTACATCCTATTTACACACGTGGTTCACTTCTTCTGCCTCAATCATTTGGTAATTTTCAACGCCAAACGCTTTTTGTCAAAACGCCAACGCAAAACCAGCGTTTTGTAATCTTATTGGCTAAATCCCAAAAGAAATGGGAAAAAACAAATCTCCAGGGCCTTTCTCCCTTATTTCTAGGCCAAAACTATCTCCACGATTCTACCAAAAAATAATACAGAAATGTCAATGTCATCGTCCTTCTTTGTCTCTCTCACTTTCTTCTTCCTTCTTCTCGTTTCTTCATCTTCATCTTCCGATGACATCTCCGAGCTGTTCGACGACTGGTGCCAGAGACATGGCAAAACTTACGGTTCAGAAGAAGAGAGGCAACAGAGGATTCAAATCTTCAAAGATAATCACGACTTCGTTACCCAACACAATCGCATCACTAACGTTACTTATTCCCTCTCTCTCAATGCCTTCGCGGATCTGACCCACCACGAGTTCAAGGCTTCTCGTCTTGGACTCTCTGTTTCCGCTCCGTCGTTGATAATGGCTAGTAAGGGACAGAGTCTGGGTGGTAGCGTAAAGGTTCCAGATTCTATAGATTGGAGGAAGAAAGGAGCTGTTACTAATGTCAAAGATCAAGGAAGCTGCGGTACTTGATTTAGCTTTCTTTTTCATCAAATTTCAGATTTGATTAGAGTTTTTATAGCTCAGCGACTTAGGATGTGATTCAAGATCAAGACTTTAGAATCAGAACCTTAAGATTGAATTTAGATCGGAGAAATTCTCAAACTTTAGAATCTTTGAGGATGCAGATTCATCTTCATGAAGACCAATCATGACGTAGTTTGTCAAAGTAATCTAATTTTGCATCTCTTTCACGCTTTTTGTACCTTTTAGGAGTATAATAAGTTTGCATTTCTTTTTCCATGTCTAATTATGGCTGAGAGTAATATAGTGATTGAACTTTTTAGGAAAGTCTAGAAGCAATTATCATTGTTTCTTCTATGCGAGTCATTGTTTGATAGAATGGGCAAATGTAGGAATTTGGTCAGAAATAGTAAATTTGTTCTCAGATGAATCCATGTTGATTATTTGAGTGGATGATGATGTTTTAGTACGCTTATAGGGGCGTGTTGGTCTTTCTCGGCTACTGGAGCTATGGAGGGAATCAACCAGATTGTAACAGGAGACCTCATCAGCCTCTCTGAGCAGGAACTGATTGATTGTGACAAGTCCTATAATGCTGGCTGCAATGGTGGTCTCATGGACTATGCTTTCGAATTTGTCATAAAAAACCATGGAATAGACACAGAGAAAGACTATCCTTATCAAGAACGTGATGGCACCTGTAAGAAGGATAAGGTATCCGTTTGGTTTCTCCTTGTTTAATTTTTCTCCCCTGCTTGTTTCTTTGATCTCTGACAACACTAACGTACATAAGTCTCTTTTGTTCTGCAGTTGAAACAAAAGGTTGTGACAATTGATAGCTATGCTGGTGTAAAATCCAATGATGAGAAAGCGTTAAGGGAGGCTGTAGCAGCTCAGCCAGTTAGTGTTGGCATTTGTGGAAGCGAGAGAGCGTTTCAGTTATATTCGAGGGTAAGTTGTAAGATTAGAGATACACTTACTCTATTTTCTGAATGTTCAACTTGAAAGTTTTACCTTTTGATGCAGGGAATATTCTCTGGCCCATGTTCGACATCATTGGATCATGCTGTGCTCATAGTAGGATATGGTTCACAGAATGGTGTTGATTATTGGATTGTGAAAAACTCATGGGGAAAAAGTTGGGGAATGGATGGGTTTATGCACATGCAGCGTAACACCGGAAATTCAGAAGGGGTATGCGGAATCAATATGCTTGCTTCATATCCCATCAAGACACATCCAAACCCGCCTCCACCGTCCCCTCCCGGCCCCACAAAATGCAACCTTTTCACCTATTGTTCAGCTGGAGAGACTTGTTGCTGTGCAAGAAACTTGTTTGGTTTATGTTTTTCATGGAAATGCTGCGAGATAGAATCCGCTGTGTGTTGCAGCGATGGTCGTCATTGTTGTCCACATGATTACCCGGTTTGTGATACAACCAGAAGTCTATGCCTTAAGGTATATTAGCTGTGGATATGTGCATACTGATCACAATGCTCTACTTCTATGTTTTGTTGACTGATGAAGCTTTTCTTTGCTTACAGAAAACCGGTAATTTCACGGCGATCAAGCCCTTCTGGAAGAAGGATTCTTCAAATAAACTTGGCAGATTTGAGGAATAGGTTATGTGAGAGAAGTTTTACGCATATGTTACAGAAATTTCAAACTCATCCACACAAAAACCTCGTAAATTCGATTATATGTATCTGTGAGGGGATTATTTGTAGCTGTTGTTGAGATATAATTATATAAATATATGATATCATCACGGATGTATTTTTAGTCTCTCATTTGGATGTATACAACTTCTGAGTCAATAAAGGACACTTGCAGGACAAACACAGTATTTGTATCTGCAAAACACATAAAGTAATAAGAATATCATCTACGCATATTGTAGAGAGACTAAGCTTCACTGTTGTTGTTCTCTCTCTTGTTCAGTTCTGCGATCTCCTTCTTCTTTGTTTTGTGCAGGGAGTAGAAGTAAGAAGCTAGAGCCAAGACTGCCCCTAGCAAAGCACCTCTTCTCTGCCAACCAAAGTCGTCGTCCATGAAATCAAAAGCCAACACAACAAGCAGAGCCACAACAGGTGAAGCACACATATGAACAACATCAGCGAATAAACCGGACACCAATAGCACCAGACCTAACAGCCCGACCGCCCAAACCTGCCAAGAGAGAGCCAACCCGACCAAACTCAGAATGTAGTAAGTTTTCCCTTTCTTAAACCTCTCGCTGTCACCTTTTAACTCCTTAAACTCACCACTCGCAAACAGACCCACAGTGCAAACGAGTGTGGCGATGAAGGAAACACAGATTTGCATCTCCAAGACCATCCGAAACACCTTCTTGTTACCATACCTCTTTGTCTTCACCAACACTTTTTCGAACCCGAGCTGCATTAGGCACAGAGACAAGGAGAAAGCAAGAGTAGGGAATATGAGTATCAACCATGCCTTGATGTCGTAAGCATCAGTTTCATCTTCATCAGGGGTTCCAGCAAACGCAGGGCTGCCAAAAAAGTCGGCCGCAAGAGTGAAGATTATCGATATGATGATCCATCTGTTAAACTTGAGACGGTTTATGAAAGCTGAGAAGAGGGAGGTGAGTATCAATTGAGTTGATACCAAAATCCCCCATCCTACGTATAATTTCGCCAGCGCGTATAACTTGCTATAAACAGAGACAAGAACACCGAGAGAAACGTAGAGCGAGAGAACTCGAAACCAGCCGTTGTTGGTTTGATTGGAGACTGTTTCCGGGTTCGGTGAAGAAAATTTGAAAAAGAATGGAATCAAGATTGGAAAGGCAGCGTTTTGGATCAGAGCTTGTGTCCATGTTCCTTTGTATTGTCGGTCTTGATTACTCTCTGATCGATTATCTTGGACGTAGAAGAAGTTCAACAGAAGCATGACAAGAGAATCTCCGGCAAAGATCAAGAAACCGCAGAAGAAAACAGAGATCCACCATTTGCGTTGATTAAGCTCCAGGGATCGAGGATTCTCGCTCATCATTTGGCCGCGTGGTTCTGGACCTTGAAACTCTTCCATGAGTCTCTGCTTCTTCTTCTTCTTGGATTTCCCAAATACGGATATAAAGTAATCTTATAAACCCTAGAGGCTGGAGCTCATTCTCATGATTGTTTAACGTGCAAACACACATTTTAATCTGGAAAGATAAAGAAGAGACGAAGTCTTGGTCACGAAATGGTCATGCTTTTGACTCAACGTTGCTTGAATAGGTCTCATCACATTTTTCTAATGAATAAATTATCTGTAAGATTGGTTATTATATGATATCAAAGAGCATATTTGGCGGCAAAGGAGGCTACAAAGACAGCTAACGGGTTAAAGTCGGTCCAACCGTATAACCGACTTAAACCGGAACTGAACCAAAAAATTACCGACATCTTGGAGATCAAAAGACTTAAAACCAAAAGACGTGTGAAGGGTCAACACGTGGAGTGAAAGGAGCAAAGCAAACTCGTGTGAATCGAACGAAGCAGTGGAACAGTAGCTTGATAAAGAGGACAGAAACCTGAAAGCTTCCTCCTGAAGGAAATTAGAAAGCTTGAGAGATGGCGACGAAGACAGTTTGGATCATACTGTTGTGTCTATTTGTGGTTTCACAGGCGGATCAGGGTTTCGATGTTCGTCATCACCTCTCCACCGTCACCAGGTTCTTTCTCAATCCTTCATATTGCGTGGTTCCCGAGGAAATTGAATCGGGAACAACACTTTATCATCTGGGTCCAAATTTTGTTAACCTAATTGGTCGGATTAGTCTCGTTTGCTTGACATCTTTGACACCATTTTGTCAGAAAAAGAAATTTGTGTAGTTTTCTTGAGTGAGTTATAATTTTGCTTTTGGGGGAATTTGAATTTGGTGTGCAGATACTCTGTTTCGAAAGATGTTACCCAAAATTTGATTGAAGGGTCGAGTGTTCCCAGTGAGTGTACACCTATCCACCTTAACCTTGTGGTAAGCAGAATTTATTTGGGTTAAATGTGGTGGCAATGAGGGAGAATGAAGACTGAAATAGTGCTTTTTGACATGTTAGGCTAGGCATGGAACTCGTTCTCCGACCAAGAAACGGTTGCGGGAATTGGAGAATTTGGCTGGTAGGTTAAAAGAATTGGTAAGAGATGCAGAAGCTAGGAAATTGCCTTCAGACAAAATTCCTGGATGGTTAGGACAATGGAAATCTCCCTGGGAAGGAAAAGTGAAAGGCGGGGAGCTGATCAGGCAAGGGGAGGAAGAGTTGTACCAACTGGGAATACGGGTTCGGGAAAGGTTTCCTAGTTTGTTTGAAGAGGATTACCACCCTGATGTCTATACAATAAGAGCTACGCAGGTTGGTGGCTTTTGAACTTTTTTATGTTTCTGTTTCTGCTCAGCAAAATATGATAATGTGAACACTGGAGTTTGGTTGCAAGTATTGGTGGAGGACATTCCTGAATTGTTTAAATCTTTTGATAGATTCCTCGGGCATCTGCAAGTGCTGTAGCATTTGGAATGGGGTTATTCAGTGAGAAAGGAAATCTGGGACCAGGCCGTAATAGAGCATTCGCTGTCACAAGCGAAAACCGTGCAAGTGATACAAAGTTGAGATTTTTTGAATGTTGTCAAAACTACAAGGTATAGTTGTGATTGAATGAATCTAAATATTTTTTTTATTGTAGGCTCGTCGTCCTCCATATACTAGTCACTCAGTTTATTCGATTCTGAGTTTTTCATGGTCTATGATTGCAGAGCTATAGAAAAGCTAAAGAGCCTGCTGTGGATAAGCTCAAGGAACCTGTTCTGAATAAGATTACAGCTTCAGTTGCAAAGAGATATGATTTAAAATTCACGAAACAGGACATTTCTTCTCTCTGGTTTCTGTGCAAGCAGGTGCTTCTTTCTTGCATCTCGTTTTATATTTCTTTTAAGTTTAAACGCACCTTTCTGGGATGCTATAACATCTACTTCTCACCATGAGTCAATTGTAATACTAGAGTTGTTTTGACATTTACAGGAAGCATCATTGCTTAATGTAACTAATCAAAGTTGTGAACTTTTCACGCCATCAGAGGTACAAGTTGCTGTTTATATATTTCTGTGCACGTTTTAAATATCCTTAAGCTTGTGGATTCTATGCTATAATACTAGTTATGTGTAACACAATCATCTGTAGGTTGCTTTGCTAGAATGGACAGATGACTTGGAAGTGTTTCTCCTCAAAGGTTATGGCAATTCCTTGAACTACAAAATGGGAGTTCCACTACTAGAAGATGTTTTGCATTCAATGGAAGAAGCTATCAAGGCCCGGGAAGGTAATCTCAAACTTCAAACCAGGAAATATGAACGATTTGCTTGTCATTGTAGTCAGCTGATCTAATTATTTGTACTATTCAATTATCATGCAGAAAAGCTCCCACCTGGAAGTTACGAAAAAGCAAGGCTTAGGTTTGCACATGCCGAAACAATAGTTCCCTTTTCTTGTCTTCTTGGGCTTTTCCTTGATGGATCTGGTTAGTCTATCAATATTCACCTCTCTCATATTTCCCCACTTGCGTTTGTTGTGAAACATATAATTTCCTCTCAGTGCTTGTTCTTAAAAGAGGTTTTAAATGTCCTGCAGAGTTTGAGAAAATACAGAAGGAGAAACCTTTGGAACTCCCTCCACAGCCTCCCAAAACCAGGGATTTTAGAGGCAGCACCATGGCTCCTTTTGGTGGGAACAACATTCTTGTCCTATACAGTTGTCCCGCAGAATCCTCTCCCAAATACTTCGTTCAGGTTCTGCACAATGAGCATCCTATTGCAGTTCCAGTAAGTTCCATCTAACTACTAAACGCAAACTTAATCTCAGCTCTATCATAGTGGCCAAATTGAACTTGAGACATAACTTCTAGAATTTTGAGAAATTAATTGACTCACTTTTCTGTTTTTCCCTTCTTCCGTTTCCTAATATCTCCATACAAATTTCAGGGTTGTGATGGAAAAGATTTCTGTTCTCTTGAAGATTTCAAGGTATTTTGCATCTTTCCCTCAGAATTTTCCTACCAGTGTACATATTTTCATCCTATACCTACCCTTGCATGAACCTCTTTTGTCTTTTTTTTTTTTACAGGCCAAAGTGGTAACCCCTCATCTAAAGCATGCTTTTGACAACCTCTGCAATGCTGATCTAAATGACCTGAAAGAGAAGCCTGCATCAAGTAAGTTATCTATACTGTCAAGTTGGCTGTTTGGGTCAAGCCAGGATACCGAGCTCTAGTTACTACACAGCTCTTCTTACATACTGGCTGAGTACTGTTTGAACCTGAAATCACACAGAGCATTGTTGTCTGTTTTTTTTGTCCCCTTGCCACAGTTTTTTAGTTAGTTTCAATCCGCTAATCTGAAATATTTCGATTTTGATCTCTGAATCTATTTCCATACTTGTTTGGTAGAAACCAAAAGCCTCAAATTAGAGATCTGTTACATCGATCAGTTTAAGGACTTGTAGTCTTCACTCTATGTTTGGTTCCAAGTCCTCTTGGACTAAAATTTGCGGTAAACTTTTGATATAAAGTACCTATCGAGAAAAAAATCTGTATATCTCTATCTGTATATTAATCACCAACTTTATAAGGAAAACTGAATACAACTCTATGATCTAGTAATATAATTGATGGAATCAGGATATTCAAGACGAATATAATCATACATGAGTCCTTGAAAAGGACTTGTGGCGAGCGGTTGAGTTAGATATATGGTGTTATTTCCCAGGTGAAGAGAAGCAGCAGGCACATTCACATTGTATAACCAATATAGTCCATGAATACCATGCCTTGCGATTGTATTATCCCTTCCTATTTGCTCTGTCGTAAACAATGGAGGATCTGCAGAAAGATCGTTCACCCGAACCTGCAAAAAGATTACCAAAGGATCAAATGAAAGTTATCACTTTCATAGAGAACAAAAAGCGTCCATGCAACTTGAGATTCGCACCTGCAATTCTGCTACATTTGATGTTGCTAGAGCGATTCGCAGTTTGAAGTTTCCGGTTAAGTTTTTCATTTTATCGTCGAATTGAAATCTGATCTGCCATGTTGTACCGTTATACCCACCATTTGCGTGCTTCCTACAAATTCAATGTTTCATACTTGAACAAAGTTTCATAGTGGTAGTGTTTTGAATTTAAAATAGTAAGAAACTAACCTTGTAACTTGCATGAAGAACCATTTCTTAGAGTAATCATCAACATCAACATTGTAGACCATATCTTCATCGGGGTACAATTCTGAATACCGTTCCCACAATCCATATTGTCGGAATTTATCAGAATGGTTTAAGTATAGTTTGTTTACAAAGCTTGGATTCGGGTCAGGAATGTAGAACTCTGCAGCGCTTCGGTCTGGTACACCGATTTCCCATAGAGTTGAACCGTCTCTAGGAGGTTCATACACCAAGTCTCCTAGGCTAATCTTTGAGCCTGTTTCCAATATTTCACTGTTTCTTAGTATTTTATCTATTATGAAATAGTGTCGTTGTGGTATCACAAGTGTTCGAACCTGGAGAAATGTCGAAAACAGTGTCGTTGTGGTAATCACCGATGAATCCCGGAGCAAATGCATAGAGATTATAACGACCACTTCTCACATTATTGATAGAAAAAGATCCATTTTCGTCTGCTTTAGACCAGAACTGATAACCCTGTCAATGTAATTAAGACCAAAACTTGTGATTAATCTAATTGTTAATTAACAAAAGGGAGAAAAAATATATGATACATTAAGGAAATTACTTTGCATTCTCTTTGCCATGAGCCAACATCTCCTGGTACAGCCAAGCCCACATAAGAGCCATTTGCAGGTATATCCTCACTACTTATGAATCTGTCTCAAAAACAAACTACCACTTAGGAATCTGTTATGTCAAAGACGACGTAGATTCAAGAGCTAATGAAGCAAGTAGTGTACCTGTCTCTTACGAGTAATCTACCGCTAACAGATCCTCTTTGGTCAGATGCAGGAAAATCATCTGAAGCGGTGAAGTTATAAGGCCACTTTTCTTCTTCAATCGTCGTCTGAAACAACAACCAAATCTATTGCTCAGCTCTTTTGTTCTTACATATGCACATGAACATGTGTGTAGATGTGTGACTGACCTGGTTCTTGGCTTCATGCCAGAGCAAGAGTGGATCAACTCCTTTAGGAAAAGAGTTGAGATAAATAAAGACAGGTCCAAATACTTTCTTCCATGCTTCACCGTTTTTAAAACTCATGATTAGTTCTGCTCCAACATAGTGAGTGCTGTGAAATATCTGTTTTCATTTCACACACATCAATGATCATTCATCTTCTATCCAAATTAAGAAATGATATATGTCGAAACCTATCGCTCACCGCAAGGTTGGTTGGACCGACATGGGAGCCTAGGAATTGCTTGAGAGGGCCAGCAGATCGGAACTCGTTGCTTGGAGTAATTTGCCAGAACCCAACTGAATCATTTGTACTTATCCATCCATGAACTTTTATGTCTTTACTCTCCATTGAGTATTCATACTTGTCATCCACCTATAAAATGAATCCACTTTAATACTATGTTTCCTCTGTTTTTATTCCTCTGTTTTTCAAGCTGAAAGGGATGGCTTAGATGTTTTCTATAAAGAATTCAAATTTTACCTCTCCTTTAAAATCGGGCTCAATAGGGTCGAGAAGTTGAACCGCCTCGGGATAAGCAAGAGGCTGACCACGAGGCGGAATCCGATCATCTGGCAGAGGCATGTACCTTTGCCTGTCATCTGAAATCGCCATGTAATGAAACTTGTCCTTGTTTAGCTTAAATACTAATCGCATATTATCGAGTTCAACAGCGGGCCATCCTTGTAACCGCTCGAAGATGGCGTAACTGTAGAACCCCGAGGAGTTTCGCAGCATTACAAACCTGAAATCAACTCAAATCTCATCAATATAGATTCCCTAAAAACTAAAGCTTTTCTCTAGATACTAACTTGACTACCTCTTGTCTATATTCACTGGAACAGCCGTTGTTGAAGACGTATTCCATGTTCTTGAAAACGATAGCTCTATCTGTTCATCGTTCTGCGTAATCACTTCCATCTTTGTTGCTTCAATCCTGTAAAGTAATCCAAGTAAGTCTCACATCACATTGGAGCATGTATAATTAAACATAGAGACAATCATTTACCGGTCTAGTGTGCCTTTGGTCTTTTTAGCTTTTTTGCCAGGAAAGTTCCACACTAAGTCCCAGTAACTGCAGAAATCAGATCAGTTAGTGTTTAAACACTCGCAAGAGCAGTTAGTACATAAACATATACAGACTTACCCTCTATCATATTCTTTGCCCGTGTACGCGAGCACATTTTCGATACCATTGTACCGGATTCCGGTGACAAATCCCTCAGGATTCGATAAAGTTAATTGAAAAATTCCATTCTCTATTACCACCTGCATTCATTGTCATCACTTAGGGTTTCTTAAACGATTCACGTGACTTGCACACCAAGAAAGCCACAAATTAAGAGCGTAACGGTTTTGTTATTTATGAAAGAGGTGTCTCTAATTGTTATTGAAAAGCTACTTAAGAATCTTATTTAGTAAAAGAACAACGTATAGAGACGACGTACATATCGATCTTGGTAATGTAGCTGCAAGACTTGTGTTGATTCTGGCTCAGGAGTTTGGTTTTGGCAGAATGCAACTTCAAACACAGACATGAACATGATCAAAGCAACAACCCATCCTCTCTGTTTCAATAAGTGTCTCCGATAATCTATATGTCACCAAACATGCATACACACATACGATATCGTTTTGTTAGGAGTTAGGTTCTTATCATGTATATATATTTATAAATATTAGAATTTAAAAACAAATTTGTAATGATGTTTCTTCTCTGATGCGTACCTTTGGTCGTCACGAGCTTGAACACATGTGAAGAGAACAGAAACATGATTAAACCAGCGGATTTGTCTTGGGGCTTCCTCAAAATCTGTCCACAAGTAAGAAAGAAAGAAGAGTCGTTGTTATATATGATGACAACATAAAATCATTTATATAGGTTTTCTACTAATAAGAATCTATTACTCGTACAAAAACTTTGAAGTGGGACAATGACAAGAGACAAAAAAAAAGTAAAACATAAGAACATGTGAACTGATTAAACAGAAACATAAATAAAAAAAAATAAAGGGCAAAAAAAGGTGAGAAGCAAGTCAAGTGGTTTAGGCAACATCTAAAGTTTTCTTCTGCTATAAACAAAGAATTCCTTTTTTCTTATGGTAAAATACCTTTTTGGCGTCTTATGTTATATGCATTATCATAAGAATGGAAATAAAACCCGTTCTAGGGATTAAGTAGATTCTCGAAGCGAGAAGTAGAAAAACTAGACATAAGCGGATAATTTCAATGACACATATAGTTTAAGCATATTTATGATATAAAATACTAAACGAGTTTTTTTTTGTTTCCGGCTAAGTTATGTCGTAACTCATGCAATAATACATATATTAGTAGTATCACGTGCTACGATTCGTGCAAAGCAACCACTCCCAATAATCCTTCTTGCTTTTCTTTTCCCCAACAATATTTAGCCTACTCGGTAGATTTCTAAGGAAACTATGTACCTAACCATCACAACATCCGATTTACCTGAAAGTTGTTCGGCTTCTTGAAAGTGACACCACTAATTAATATTTCATTGTATTCTCTAATGCTTTTTGTTGTAGATGTATAAATATGTAAAAATATGCACACGATCAGAAGAGGGAATATAACGAATGCTGATGCTTGAAGCAAAAATAATTGTAGGCGGCTGCTTAGGTGGTTGATTGGAGTTAGGGAAAGCACAAACAAACATACATACATTCATATAAAAGCACATACATATAGAAGAGATATATAAAGACTTTTAACAGAGGTTGTTCACCAAATGCTTACCCAAATCTTTTCCAACGAACACTTTTCACGGGTTTAATTTTTCTTTTATCTAACAGAAAAAAAAAGAAAGAGTCTTTTTCGATGAGAAAATCAAAATGAATGAGTAAACTAAATACCAAAAACGAACCATAATGTCACTAACCATTCAATAGTTGATCTGGAGTCTGGATTCTTGACAATACAGCCAGAAAAAAAAAAAAGATTATTTTGAAAAACACAACATTGAGATGATTCTCAATTGAAGAGAAACTTAATTTATAAATTAACTTCGCCGCAAATAAGTCAACTAGTATTAATTTTAATACTTTATTAGATCATTCATTTGAACCCTCTGGATAATCTTCCATTCAAAACTGATTTATTTCTTAAAGAAATTGCCTAAAAATAATTCAGCAATACATGAATAACAAAAAAAAGACTTGAACAAAATCATTTACTATTATTAAAACTGGAAAGTCAAGATTTGTGCCTTATATTTTATGTGTTACATCAAAATTTCTATGTATCTGAACTTTCTCCTAATCTTTTTCCTTTCTATAAGATTTACAAAATTGAATGACAAAATAGAGTCAAAGACTCCTACCAAAAAAAAAAAATAGAGTCAAAGACTTTTTTTAGTAGTCAACAAAAGTATATACAAGAAATATTTTGTACCATTTATGTCACTATAATTCATTTCTAAAATAAATTATGAAAATATTTACCTGGCTGAAAATTTTTAATTTCTCGGAATTACTTAGATATTTTTTGGTTATTTTTTTTTTCTTTCAGTACGTGTGACTTGTGAAATAACATCCATTTCGCTTTATATATTTGTCTACACCCAAATGCTGTTGTTTAATTAAGATAATACAGAACAAGGATCGTTGAAATTGAAACGTCATATAATCGGAAATAGAAGAGATTGGAACGCATATATATATATATATATATATATATATATATATATATATATATATATGTAAACAAAGAATCGAATCAAGCAACACACATGTTAAATCAAATTTGGTTATACTTTCTGAAAGAATGATGCAAGAAAATTTGATTAGCTGGGAGCTTCGAATCGGATGTAATCATACATGAGCCCTTGGAAAGGACTTGTGGACCTTGGCTGTGTGAGAAACAATGTATTCTCGCCTTCTAAAAGCTTAGATCCAGCCACTTCCACATTGAACAACCAGTACAATCCATGTATTCCATGTCTTGCTATCGAGTTATCTCTCCCGATCAATCCGCTCGTGAATAACGGGCTTGCATTCGCATCGTTCACACGTATCTTCATCCCCAAGTTTTGAGTCAAGATTCATTTAATTTCGTCAGATTGTCTTTCAGTATGTTCTAATGAACAAAAAGGTCATGGATTGATAAATATACACCTACTTGGAGTTCGGAAAAAGTAGCTGATGCGATGGCTACTCGTAAAGTATAGGAGTGATTCTTATCAATGTTTTTGAGTTCGAATTTGATTTGCCATGTTGTTCCTTGATATGTTTTGCTATCTTTTTTTCTATGAAACGAAAATGTAACAATGTGGTTAGAGAAGAGCTTAAAAAATTCAAGAAATGGAAATCATCACGGCGGAGATGATGAGAAACACCTAGTGACTTGAGCGTAAAACCAGTCTTTTCTATAGTCGCTAGAGCCAACTACGTATACCAAGTCTTTATCTGGATAAAGTTCTGCATATCTTTCCCATAAGCCATATTGTCGGAATCTGCAAGAGGTTAAGAAATTCGAAATCATAAAAAAGTGCATTTTCGTTATATAAGGAATTGCATTTCAGTTCATTCCAATGTTTTATTTGTATCAAGCAATTTAGTTTCTCTTTAATAGTACAATGTAACAAGATTTGTATGTGTATATATGTCAATACCTGTCAGGGTGATTTTGATAAAGTTTATTGATATATTTTGGATTCGGATCGGGAACATAAAACTCCGCAGCAGATCGATCTGGAAAGCCGATCTCCCATAACGTAGCTCCATTTCTTGGAGGTTGATATACAAGATCTTCCACATATATATAACAACCTGCACATACAGTGAATTATTAACTACAGCATTGCAGTGGGCTCAATTGTAGCAAACAAATGTTTTGGGGAGCTAATAGAAAGCAAGATAACAAAAAATGAGGACCTGAGGTGATGGTGATTATATCATCATACTTATAGTCCCCAATAAAACCAGGAATCCATGCATAGAGATTATATTGGCCTGGCCGTATTCCACTTATGTAAAAGAATCCTTCTTCATCTGTTCTTGTCCAAAATTGATACTCCTGCAAGAAAAGAATCAAATCAAATGTTCATGGAAAATTTTATTTTTGAGTTCAAAACATTTCCATGTCTCTCCTTAGCTTTATTAAATTTCTATCAATTTCAAAATCACCTTGCATTCTCTTTGCCATGAACCAGCAGCTCCAGGCACAGCCAAACCAATATAACCTCTATTGGCTGCAATGAAATCTTTATCTACATACCTTAAAATCATAAATTAACATACTTTTAGATTATGTGAAGCGTATAGTGGAATTAGATTATGTGGTAATTATGTACTAATATTATAATCAACGAGGCTCACTTAGTAGTTTACCTGTCTTGAACGAGGAGTCTACCAACAACATTACCACGTTGTTCTGTTTTCACATAATCATCTGAAGCTGGAAAACTGTAAGGCCAGCTCTCTGCTTCCACATTCATCTGAGAAAGTAAAATTTATCAAAATTTGGAAATGAAGGTAATAATGTCTGATTTGTTCATCTAACTATATAAATCAAGATTTAAAAATGAACCTGAGATTTAGCATCTTGCCAGAGCCAAAGAGGGTCATTATCATCATCAGTAGAAGAGTTTAAATAGACGAAAACCGGTCCAAACACCTTCTTCCATGCCTCTCCTTCACTGAACTTTGGAACGAGATCTTCCCCTGTGTAGTGTGCACTCATAAATACCTAAAGATCAAGCTTTAAACTTGTCAACATTTATAACTATTTTCAGGAAAACATTTTTATTATCTATATGGACTTACAGAAAGAGCTGTCGGTCCAACGTGAGATGTCAAGTTCTGTTTTTGAGGTCCACCGGTTCGGTACTCATGGCTAGGAGTTATGAGCCAGAAACCAACCGATGGCTGCTCTGTGCATATCCATCCATGGACAGTAATGTCTTTGTTCTCACACGAATATTGGTACTTATCGTCAACCTAAAACCCGGTAAAACCAAAGCTAACAACATTTTACACAAGAAAACAACTTATCTCTAGTAATCTTGAAAAGGAAGCAAAATGAATAACTTTTACCTCTCCTTTGAACTGAGGCTCTAAAGGATTAACAAGTAGAACAGCTTCAGGGTAAGCCAGAGCTTGGCCTCTGTCCGGTAACCGGTCATCAGGCAATGGCATGAATCTCTGCCTATCATCCGTTACTGCCATGTAATGAAACCTGCAATCTCACTTAAAATTTATAAGTAAATGTCAAAGATGTTTAGGAAGAGTAGAAGTGATTTTTGCTTTTGTTTACTTCTCTTTTCTGAGCTTGAAGGCGATTCTGGTTTCGGCAAGTGAGAAAGCAGGCCATTCTTTTAAATGCTCGTAGGTGGCGTAAGTGTAGAATCCGGACGATCCACGAAGCATAACAAATCTATTTGGACAGTTCTTCAGGTCACAATATGAAAACATGGAACATGAAATTTATGCATTTTATTAAAAGACTAAGTACCTTTTGTCAATATTCAGAGGGACTGCTTTGCCTTCTTGTGATGGATCCCATTTTCTTGTGAAAGAAAGCTCAATCTGTTCTTCATTCTTCATTATTACCTCAAAGTTTGTTCCTTTGATTCTGTTTCCAAAAGAAAATAGTAATTATGGATTAGTTGCTTTCATACTTCATTGGATCTCTCTCGGCTGCTATATGTAAATATCAAATTGTATCTGAAAATTGTACCCTTTAGTCAGTTTTATGGTCTCAAACTACAATTTTGTGATTAATCTTGTTTTGGCGTTAAGCTTACATAGAAAACTTACACATCGAATCCACCAGCGGTTCCTGCTCCTCCCCAAACGAGATCCCAATACCTGAAGAATATTTAATGCAATAACTGGACTTTGTTTAGGTTTGTGTAGGGTCTTAGACTCTAAAAATTGGTTTCAGAGCAGCCATTTCCTAGTTTATGCAATCTTGATTGAGTCTTGCCACGGTTTAATCGCAAGAAACTGATCACTTGGCTCGCTATCGAATATCGATTACTAACATAAAAGCTCAGAGACTATATAGAAAGGTTAAAAGAGAGTAAAACAGAGACAATGCATACTCCAATTTAAAAACCTAAACATAGGAAAAAAAACAAGAATCATATATATCCCATTAGTCCATTACCCTCTGTTGACTTCTTCATTAAGAACCTCGAGCAAGTTATCGATGCCATTATACTCGATTCCGGTAACAATTCCATCAGGCTTCGATAATGTAACCCGTGCAATGCCATTATCCATCACCACCTGAAACAATATTCATACACCAGAAATATAGAAAGTTTCAGTCTTTTTGAGTATCTGCTGCTAAATGAACATAGAAGATCATGGAGTTAAAGTAAAAACCAACATGGTTGCCCTTATCATGCAACTGCAATTTAACAGACGACATTTTGGGAAAAATGTCTTGTGGGTTTTGATCTTAAGCTCAAAGTAAATGTAAATGTTTTTCTATATATAGATACGATTTGGAGAACTTATGTTGCCTTGGACGGGAGATAAAGAATAGGATATAGTGGAGAATATCTTGACTTTGTCGTCAAAACAGTTTGGTTGTTAGTGTTCGACGACATTTGTGTCTTTCAAAGCTTTCACTTACGTCAAAAAAAAAAAAAACAGCTTTCATTTACGTCTCTTCTAAACAGCTTTCATAAGGTAACTTTGACATTGTTTCAAAAAAAAGGAAATCACTCAAGAAAAACTTTTATCAAAAAGAAAGAAAAAGAAAAATAAGGGAAACATTAGGTTGTTCCTTTTATATAATACTGTATTTGGGCTGAAAAAAATGGAAATTTACTGCAACAAATATAATTTTCCGAGTGAAAGCCCAAACCAAATTTAAGGCCCAAATTTCACAACACTCCAAAAAGACAAAACAGTGCCATATCCTTTCGCTCACCCGCCTCCTCTGTTCTTCTTCTTCTTCTTCTTCTTCTCACTCGAAAATTTCTTATTAGATGTCTTAAAAACTTTAGTTTAGAGAGGATTGAGTTTAGTTTGCCTATCTGTGTAAGTTCCGAACTTTGGCTTTCAGTTTTGTGGGGAATCATTGTTATATCTCTATGGATTTGATGGTATCCACAAGCAGTGCTCAAGAAGGGTTTTGCTTGATTCAACAATTTCATCGCGAATGTAAACGAGGTAATAAGCTTGACGTCTCAGGTCGTACGACTCGTAGTATTAGTTCTAAAGTCCCTCTTTGGTCACGAAAAAGGAATCGACTTGTTCTTGTTTCTGCGGCCTCCAAAGTTGAGAGTTCCGGTCTTAACGGTAGAGCTCAAAAGTTCGAATCTTTGTCTTCTGTGCATAGCAATAGTAACGGTAATGGCCATTTCAGCTCTGTGAATTCATCTTTTGTGTTGGAAGATGTCGAGAGTAATAACCATTTGCGTCAGCTGGTTAGAACTGGAGAATTGGAGGAAGGGTTTAAGTTTCTGGAGAACATGGTTTATCATGGTAATGTTCCTGATATCATTCCCTGCACGACATTGATCCGTGGATTCTGTAGGATGGGTAAGACAAGGAAAGCTGCTAAGATCTTGGAGGTTCTTGAAGGCTCTGGTGCTGTTCCTGATGTTATAACTTACAATGTTATGATTAGTGGGTATTGTAAAGCTGGGGAGATCAATAACGCTTTATCGGTTCTCGATAGAATGAGTGTTTCGCCGGATGTTGTCACTTATAATACCATCTTGCGTTCTCTTTGCGATAGTGGGAAACTTAAGCAAGCCATGGAGGTTCTTGATAGGATGCTTCAGAGAGACTGTTATCCAGATGTGATTACTTACACTATATTGATTGAAGCTACTTGCAGAGATAGCGGTGTTGGACAAGCGATGAAGCTTCTAGATGAGATGAGGGATAGAGGATGTACGCCCGATGTTGTGACTTATAACGTTCTTGTGAACGGTATTTGTAAAGAGGGAAGATTGGATGAGGCAATTAAGTTTTTGAATGACATGCCAGCTTCTGGATGTCAACCGAATGTTATTACGCATAACATAATTCTGCGGAGTATGTGTAGTACCGGGAGATGGATGGACGCAGAGAAGCTTCTTGCTGATATGCTACGGAAAGGCTTTTCGCCAAGTGTTGTCACTTTCAATATCTTGATTAATTTCTTGTGCAGAAAGGGTTTGCTTGGCCGAGCAATTGACATATTGGAGAAAATGCCTAAACATGGATGCCAGCCGAATTCTTTGAGTTACAACCCACTGCTTCACGGCTTTTGCAAGGAGAAAAAGATGGATAGGGCTATCGAGTATTTGGAGAGAATGGTCTCTCGCGGTTGTTACCCAGACATTGTCACCTACAACACTATGCTAACAGCTTTGTGCAAAGATGGGAAAGTTGAAGATGCGGTTGAGATACTTAATCAACTTAGTAGCAAGGGATGTTCTCCTGTTCTAATCACTTATAATACTGTCATTGATGGGCTTGCAAAAGCTGGTAAAACAGGCAAAGCGATAAAACTGCTAGACGAGATGCGTGCGAAAGATTTAAAGCCTGACACTATCACATATTCCTCTCTTGTTGGAGGTTTAAGCAGGGAAGGAAAAGTAGACGAAGCCATTAAGTTTTTCCATGAGTTTGAGCGGATGGGTGTTAGGCCAAATGCAGTCACCTTTAATTCTATAATGCTCGGACTCTGTAAGACTCGGCAAACAGATCGTGCCATCGATTTCTTGGTTTATATGATCAATAGAGGGTGTAAACCGACTGAAACATCATACACGATTCTGATAGAAGGCTTAGCTTATGAAGGTATGGCAAAGGAAGCTCTGGAGCTACTTAATGAGCTTTGTAACAAGGGACTCATGAAGAGAAGCTCTGCTGAGCAAGTTGCAGGGAAGATGTAGTATTAAGTAGTTTACTCACGAGTCAGGTCCCTTGTATTGATTTGTGCTTAAGAGAACATTTCAGTGGCTCCTTTCTACTTATTATGTCTTAGGTTCAGTTTTGATTTTGTCAGATTTGGTTTGGGAGTTTGCATATCAATACGATTCAGTTTTTACCATTATCTTTTTATATCTATACATAAACAGTGATCACATATCATTGTAAGCTAAGAAGGAGGGCCTTCAAGACGAATGTAGTCATACATTATCCCTTGAAAGGGACCATTGCATCTTGGCTGTTTCAGGAATATAGTGTTATCACCTTGTACAAGCCGGTTACCCGGTATGTTCACCGCATACAGCATGTAAACCCCGTGGATCCCGTGCCTTGCTATTGAGTTGTCTCTCCCAATGAGCCCGGTTGTGAAGAGAGGGCGGATTGCTTCTGCATCATTGACTCGAATCTGCAAACAGAAAGTACCAACAAAGCTTTACAGTCTTTAACTTCCTCGTTTCTGTAGAAAAATGAAGTTTCATCTTTACCTGCAACTCGGCTAAGGTTGCAGATGCTATGGCAACTCGCAGTTTGTAATTTGCCTTTTGATCGATGTTTTCAAGATTAAACCTAATCTGCCAGGTTGTTCCTTCATGCACATCTCCTTTTTTCCTGGGAACATGAGCAAAGAACCAGTCTCTGCGGTAATCGCTTACACCGACAGTGTAAACAAGGTCATCATTTGGATACAAATCTGTGTATCTCTTCCATAACCCATATTGCCTGAACCTGCAGATAATAATAAAGGAGTGTTTAATTCAGTTTCTCGCATATCCAAGCAGTAAGGTTCACAAAAGTATAGCTAATAAACCTGTCTTGCTCATGGACTAACACCCTGTTTACAAGACTGAGATCAGGATCTGGGATAAAGAACTCAGAAGCTTTTCGGTCAGGGATACCGATTTCCCATAGTGTAGGTCCATCTCTTGGAGGTTCATAAACGATATCACCCATCTCAATCATGCACCCTGTGTTGTTATGTCCATCAAAATTTGGCTGCTGTACAGGAAACTGTAAAATTAGATAGAACTGATTTACCTGAAGTCACTGTAACAATTGTGCCGTTGTGATAATCTCCAATGAAACCGGGGACCCAAGCATAGAGATTATACTCGCCAGGACGTACGTTCCCTATTGAGAAATAGCCAGCCTCATTCGCTATCGCCCAAAATTGGTATCCCTGATTGGCAAAGATTTAGAGTGTAAGTGTAACCAATGCTCAAAATGTTGTACTCTTTACAGACAAACATTTCTTTTAGATCTCTTTCTTGATGTCTTTGAACCGATCTTATATGTTTGCTTGTTGCCAATATAATTAATAATAATGGAAAAGGAAGAAATCACCTTGCATTCAATTTGCCAAGAACCAGAATCACCAGGTGGAGCCAAACCCACATAAGCACCTCCTGCTGAAATCAAATCACTGTTTATGAACCTATACAAAATTTAACGTTAATATGTTGGCGATTTGGTGGAATGTTAATACACTAAAAATAAAAAAAAACACTAATACCTGTCGCGGATAAGTAATCTACCACGGGCTGTGCCACGTTCTTCAGACTTTGGATAGTCGTCAGATGCCACAAAGCTATAAGGCCAACTTTCAACCTCAGCCATCATCTGCAGATTAACTCATATAACTGAGCCCTTACATTACCACAAATCTATTTCTGTTTTTAGCACATCCAGTTGCAATTTTCTTCCCTCATACCTTTATCTTAGCATCGTCCCATAAGCAAAGTGGATCATCTCCATTGGCTGTTGAATTTAGGTAAATGAAAACAGGGCCATAGACTTTCTTCCAAGGCTCACCGTGTTCAAAGCGAGGCATCATGGTTTTTCCGGCATAATGAGTACTGTGAAACACCTGAAATAACCATTACTGAAACCAATACTTCTAAGTATTATATTGAAACATTCACCACATTTGTCACAGGGCACTTACTGCAAGAGTGGTTGGGCCAACATGTGAAGTGAGGTTTTGTTTGAGTGGTCCACCAGAGCGGAACTCATTACTGGGCGTAATTTGCCAGAATCCTACAGGTGGATCGAAGGATATCCATCCATGTACTCTCAGATCCTTATTCTCACACGAGTATTGGTATTTGTCATCTACCTGTCAGAGAAAGAAAAATGATTTAGTTATCTGTTAAACAATATTTATAGGATTCATAATTCGAAGTTGTAATACATCACAAAACGAGCATAAGTTCATAGTATACAAATTCATGTATCAGTAAATGGGAGAATAAACAGCTCAAACAACGGATGAGAAAGAACAGAATTCTGTAAGTTCTAAATTTGAAAAACTATGGAACTCATACTTCGCCTTGCAGGCGTGGATCACATGGAGCAGTGAGCAGAGAAGCTTCCTGGTAATCTAGAGTTTGGCATCTTCCTTTGCATAGATCATCTGGAAAAGGCATTATCCTTTTTCTGTCATCTGCCACAGCCATGTAATGGAATCTGTAAAAAAGAATCGCAAGGGGGAAATATATGAAATATCAAACAACTACACACTTGTGTTGACGAACAATTAAACCCAATAAATAGATATCTTACAAATGACACTATTCTTTTGCTTGGAATCTATGGTTTTCATCAGATGGACAGGCAATCACTAACATTTGAAATTTTCTTCTCAATGCACAAACATGAATCTTAAGGGCCTAAGGCGATTAGACTTTACATAAGAAAGAGAAATTGGGGTAGGAAAATGGGGACAATATTACTTGTCTTTTCTGAGCTTGAACGCAATTCTTGTTTCTCCAAGTTCAAAGCCAGGCCATTCCTTAAGGTGTTCATAAATGCCGTATGAGTACACTCCAGATGAACCACGGAGCATTATAAACCTGAAAGAAAGAGCATCTAGTCAATGTCTCTTCTCTACTTTTGTTTATTGTCGAAGGAAATACATCTTGCAAGATAGACCTTTTATCGATATTCAAGGGAATGTACTTGCCCTCAAGGGATGGATCCCATGTTCTTACAAATGAGATCTCAACCTGTTCTTCAGTCTCGACTATGACCCTGAAAGTCACTCCACTGATGCTGCATATATACAATCAAACAATCCAACGATTAGTAGTTTAGTACACATAATATACCATCCAATAATTAGTACAGATTATATAACATCTAACAATTAGTAATTTGGTACACATCATATATACAGGATAAAAAAGAGAAAACTACTTTTGAGTAATTTTGATGCACCAGTGACAACTGACAACTTCAGTTAGACAGAGAAAACTAGTGTTGGGTCATATATCAACTCTCTGGCACCAATATTGAAAAATCCCACTAACAGATGTTGCAATCAATAGCACGATTAAGACCTACAGAATAACATTCCTGAGCTCCTAATCCTAACGAATGTTAAGGTAAATGAATAGAGGACATACACATCAAATATTCCCTTGCCTCCAGGTTCATTCCAGTGCAGGTCCCAGTACCTATACAATCAGTTATTAACATATTATCGATTAACTTGGCTTCTCATAAAATTTGACAAAGAGAAAGAACTTTTGTTCTCCTCCGAAGAAAACAGTAAAATATACCCTCGGTTAGTCTCCTTGTTACGAACTTCGAGCACATTGTCGATACCGTTATACTTTATCCCAGTGATAATACCCCCTGGCTTTGACAGTGTAACTTGGAGGATTCCATTGTCCATCACAACCTGAACCATTTCTGTCTTCAGTCAAAACACATAACATAAAAGGACACATTATAGATAGACTGAGGAAGTTGCATTACATATCGGTCATGGATATGCAGGTGGACACCTTGAGAGGGCATATTGAGATCCTTTCTATTACTAAGACCACTTGTACCTTGATCTGTCCCTTGTGAGCCTGATATTAGTGTAAGAAAAAAATCAACACTTTTGCATGTAGAAAAACTAGAGAGACTAATATGAGCACTCCTCTTTACGCAGAAGGCAGCAGCACGAGATACTCAAAGAAACATAAGTGCTTGTGTAAAACAAGACTTTTGAAACGGCCATTGATATAGGATCTGTAGAACTGGTCTTTCTAAAAAGGCGTTTATTTCCGATAATCAAGCAAAATGGTATACAAACTATCTTTATCAATAAATTTGTAACTCTATGATCGTTTAAAGTCCCTTCCTTTCTGGATTTATACGTATACCCACTGAAGGGAAAGCATCTTTCAACAAAGAAACAAACCCAATTTGATGAAACAAGGAAAGAAAAACAGGTTACAGTGTCATAAGAAACGAAGTAAACAACAAATTTGAGCTTATTTTCTCATCCGGGCTAAAAATACAAACTTTGCTGTCACAATTTCGTTGAGCAGGTTTAAAGTCATTCTCATGTGAGCGAGATTCATCGCAAGAGGATGAAGAAATCCACGACAAAAGAAGGGTCGACGAGAAATTACAGTGGGGGCCGGCGTTTAAAGCGGTTTCATGGTTAGTGAAATGATGAAGGAGCCGACCAGCCAGTTTCTTCATCAGTACTCGACCCAAGCGATCACCACCGAAGCAGCGAGAGAGAGAGAGAGAGAGAGAGAGAGAGAGAGAGAGACTGTGTTAGCGTTTAACTAAAGCGGTTCTGTCTGTTCCTTGGTTTAGGCGCGACTGCGTTTGTCAACTGTCAAGGCATTGCCTTTGCGTTCAGTTTCACTTCTAACTGAATCTCATCAACCAAATCGATTGTAATTAGATTTTAGTTCGGTTTGATTCCAAAGAAATCTGAAATCTCTTTTATTAAAATGAAATACAAAAGCAAGTCTCATGGTGATCAGCTCAAACAATCTTTTGGGGTTTCTCTTGTCTTGGTAAGCATTAAAATGTATAAACCCTTCCTTAGAATCTGTCTGAAGGATTTGAGACAAATTTACAGAATTACACATAAGCTATGCCTCTACTCAGGCTTCCTCTGGAAGAACAAGGATCCTATGAAGACAGCTATTCCCGTTATTGCTATCGTGAAGAAAAGCCTTTTGTGCGAAACACCGTTCCCATCTCTTCGTCTTCTACCGTTTCCATCTCCTTCTGCTGCTCTCGGGATCCTTCTGTACAATCCATGCCATGACACGAGTTTAGCCAAATCAAAAAAAGATTAAGCTCTCAAGTTTCCAAAATAAAACAATGCAGATAAGAAAATGTACCTAGATGATTCAGCATTGTTGAGCACAGTGCCAGGGCATTTGGTTTCATGGTTATATCTTTCTCTCAATCTAACATAGCTGTTGCATTGATAACAGAGTTCTGTCCGGTTGCCACATACTTCCTAATATTCGAAAACCGAGCGGATGAGAAAATCCTTTGGTTAGAGAGAAAAGGCAAAATATGTGTGCACGTCAGAGCGAATACCTGATGCTCAGCAAGATCAACCGCAGGCAATGGAAACTCACAGAACTCACATGTTACAATCCTCTTCGGGCATATTTCTCCTTTATGACTATCGAAAATCTCACGTTCTATGGTCTCTTTGCACATCGAGCATGCTATCTTCTCAATACAGTATAAAAGGAATATCGTTAGAAAAAGTAGGTCATTTCAGTCATCTAGCAGCATCTAAAACCATACAAAAATACTGAGAGCCTATAACAGAAACAAAAGAAATTCCTACTTGTTATACTCAATAACTAATCTTGACCTAGTAATTGAAACAGACACAACCTTGCAAACACAAGCGCAGCTGCGCTTGGGAGAGTTCTTGTCAACCATAAAACCAAGAACAGTATGCAATGACAACACCTAAAGAACAAGCATTGATAACAACTAGGCTGTTTGTATTACAGACTAAGTTACTGAGTCGAATCAATGCATTAGTGATCTAATGTGTTAACTGTAACAAGCTTAAAACCCGTTGAAAGGACATCGATATATGTGAGAGCAGAAGCACTATATAAAACTACAGAAATCCATTTGATCAACATATCTAGACATACAATAGACAAAGTAAGAAAATTTGATGGAGCTAACAACGAGATGCTCTTCAACTCATAGATGATAGTAGTGGAAATTAATCAAACAGAAAACAGTTTCACAACTAATGAGAAACAGAGAAACCAGCGTACCGGAGCATGTGTGTTCAAGAAGTGTTCCTCAGCATGCTTTTTGGGTACCATATCACCACAAATCTTACATTTTTCTAAATTCCGGGCACAATGTACACGATGCAGATCGATATTCAGTGATGGAATGTCTCTGTCACTGAAAACATAAAGATAGTCAGTCTCATGGGATCAACCATCTAGGAAGATGCTACCATTGAACATAGACAAAGGGATTAGATTTACTGATTCCAATAATAATTTCGAAAATTTCCAGTCACAGCAGACTCAACAAAAGAATAACTAGACAAAGCACACATAAGCCCTCTAGAAAGTAAGCAAACCATCAGAGAGCCAGACAAAATTTAAAAAGCATGACGATAGACAGAACACAATCAAACACTTGTACACACACCAGGAAGCTAACGCATAATTCAATAGATTTAACATAAAGGATTTGAGGCAAAGAAACAAAAAAGAATCAACCTTTTAGTAGGTGAGCAAATAAAAACCAACTCTTTAGCAAAAGGGGACTGTATATCATATAATAGCCTAATCCATTCAATCGAATCCCTAGTTATTATATTTGTAATCACCGACACAAACCTAGCTGATTCTAATTGTGGAACCAAACTGAATCACACAGCTCACGAGTATCTTTAATGTGACACACATATTCTCAATTGCAAAATCACCGATCAATTCCAAAATTTTATAACCTCCTCGAGTCCAGAATATCGAATTACACACAAGTCATCATCGAACGATTACGCAACAAAGAGAAAGCAAGCAATCGACGTGATCAAATTGAAACAAGTCAACAAACCCAGAAAGAGAAATCAATCAATGGTTTTTGGGGGAAACGAACCAGTGGTTGCAGACGATGGTGATTTCTCCAGTCGCAGTCTCCATCGTCTAAGCAACTTATATATCGAAGCAAATAACAGATCAGAGGAGAAGAAGGACGATCAGAGACCTGAAGAAACGATAATTTCAGAATTCAATCACGGATCTTTTTTAACCTCGTTTTCTCGGATTTTGAGAGAGAAAGAGAGACTCAAATTATTAATAGTGAATAAAATAAATAAATAAAAAATATATAGATGAATATGGTTGAACCAAACTCACAAATTAATGAATGACTTTTGGCGTCGATCCAAATTGTGAAATTGATAACCACAGACATTTTTATATACCTGTCACGCTCCTATACTCTCCTCCACGCGCCACATTACAAATTCCTTTTTTTTTTAGAGTATTTGCATTAACTAAAATAAAATAATCTTATGTTTTTTTTTTTTTGGTAAGGAAATAATAATAAATTATATAATCTCAAATTAGTTAAAGATTTTTTACTCTCATCTGCATATTTATTGTTTGTTTTAAAAAAGTTTTTTTCTTAATATAAATTTTGGGATTGTCATTATGAGATTTTAAAAATCCTAGATACTCTACCAAATTTTAGTATAACAGAAAAATGGAACAACCTAAAAAAATTATTGAGTCTGTTTTTGTTAATCTGTACGATTTGATAAAATCCAAAAAAAAAAAAAAATCAGATTCAAGTCTAAAAAACAAATGGAACAAATATCTCCAGAAAAAAAAAAAAACTTTAAATCTAAAAGAACCAAAAAGAAAAAAATCTTAAAGACTTTAAAAAACAGGACAACCTTCAACTTGAATACCAGGAGCAGTAGGACAAGAAGCAAGAGGACAATTCTCACCATTAGCACCCCACCAATGATTTATCGATATCCCATTCATCGTCAAACTAAAGTATAACAGCACTCCCATGAACGCCAATCCCGCGTCCAATGCTGCCGATAGCACGTAGTTATACCTCTGCCACCACTTTTTGCAGTACTTGAACACAAAGTAATTGAATATCACTCCTACTATGATCCAGCAGTTGAAGTTCACGCTTGTCGCTGGCGGCATTGCAGCTGTTGCTCCTAAAAGAACTGGCAGATTGATCTGTGAGATCCATGTTTTGGTCGGGAAGGCTTTTTGGAGAAGCCACACTAATAGAGGTCCTATTAGTCCACCTAAGAAGAACCAGTTTAGTGCAGGGTAGTTTCCTAGCCGACCAAAGATTCTCTTGGGTCCTACTAATCCCCAAATCACTGATGCGTCGAAGAAAACTCTGTCACTTGGACATGTCCATGGACTGTTTGGAGGAAGCAACTCTTTCTGGCAGATGTTTTCTACTGATGTCAGCAAGTACCATGCCACTGATATATTCACTGTTCCTGCTATCACCGTTCCTATGAACTGGACTAAGAACATCGATCTTGGTGGTATCTTCATGTAATGGCCTAGCTTGAAGTCGTTAAGGAATGATATAGCTTGTGACATACTTATGTACCCATAAGTTTTGAAACAGACGTTAGCTATTGGTCTCCCCGGTAACAACACACCCATGAGATATTCTGTGATAATGTTCAGACCTGGAGTCTGCATCACAACAAGTTTTAAAGTAAGAAGAATAGAAAAAGATCCAAATCATGTTATTTTGAGGAATCAATAGTGGAAGTTATATATGGTACCTGATTAGTAGTAGCTGTGATAATGCTGACTGGTACAGTGAAGGTAACGGCCATGAATGATGCTAGAAGGAGTCCCCACCAAGGCATTTGGATCTCGTCTTTCATGAAAATGCAGAGAACAAGAGATAGTACCAATGAGATAGCGAGCAGACCGTAAAACCACCAACTTGGTATGTCTTTGTACTTCTTCATTAACCTTGTGTGTATGTCTACTTTAGCCTTGGTTGAAGCTCGTACTTGTTGCCATATTCCCCTAAGTCAAAAAGAAGATTAGTAATAGAATTCAGACATGGGTACACAAAGTTAGTCCATTATGGATTGTCTGACTTACTTTCCATTGAAGAGAGCAACATGAGTCAGTGTGGAAACGATTGCTGCGAAACCAATCCCGTAAGTGATAGCGAAGAATGTACTGAGATAAACCCGACCTTCTTGTTGATAACTCTCCATGTCCAATTCAAACTTATTGTTGACAATGGTTGAGATATTGTATAGCTGCCCTTGCTTATCAAACAGATCAGAGGAGAAAATTGGAAACTTGTTTGCTTCATACACATTCATGCCCCAATATGATATTGGTATAACCATATACATGACTAAAACGTAACCAACAAGGACATTGACAATTGCAAAGAAGGGAGTCACAAGAGGGCTTCCAAGGTAAGAAGCTATAACAGACCAATCAAGAGCAAATGCACCTATCCCAAGTCCTGACATTCCAGAGCCTAACTGCTGAGCTGTGATAGACTTAGGGAATGCCCAACAAACCCAAGATATTGATGATAAGGTCAAGAACAAGTAAGCCGGGAATATGTACCACGCGAAGCTACAAACAAACGCAATCACAAAGAACTTCCCTCTCGACATTCTCGCATGGTCCTTCTCATGAAGAGCACTAGATAAAGATCAAAAACAGTTTCAGAATCACTAAGGAAACGTTAGTAAAACAAGTAGTAGGTATGCTCTAAAATGCATCAATCAACATACCGAAACAGAGAGACTTGAAGAACACTCGTTGGCCACCACATCTGTGCAGGATCAACCACTAACTTTCTCATGATACCAGCCCAACCATACCCAAGAATCTGATTCAACAACAGATAAATCATCAACTATATATTCACCTAGAACAATATAAAAAGGAAAAATCAGAAAAACATTGGAATTGAAAGAGAGACCTGAGTAGTGATGACAAGAATCCAACTAGCCAAGAAACTAATCTTCCTTTTATAAAAAGCCATGATGATATCAACAATTCCAACAGCATAAGCAGTACCAGATCCAAATCCAGCACCAGCATTAGCAAACATAGAGATCAACACATGTTCCTTGACGTTAAAGGGACCAGGATTAAACGAAAACTCCCACGAACCAATCTTATACTTAGTCTCAGGCAAAACACGAGCCATAAGCTTCCCTAAAGGCAACGTAACCACTTGAACAGAGATCATAGTGATCATCAGTGGCTGAGTTCTGTATCCGAAGAAAGTGTTGAGAAACGAGAGGAGAATGCAAGAGAGAAGCCCTAAAAACCACATCCGAAACGTCCACACGGGTAAAGAAGGATCGTCGTGGTTTGATACAGTGAGACGAACCTCCTCCACCGGAGATTCGTCTTCGTCGTCATCGGCGTTGATCTCCGGCTTGTGTAATTCAATCGCAGCCATTGTGTGTGGTGGCTGTAGAGAAATCTAGGGTTATGGAATTGGTGAAAGAGACGTCAGAGAATATTGGAGGAATCTTTTATATATAAGAGATTCATGAATCTGTTAAATGAGAATCTTTAGTAATTATATAGTTTAGATTTGAGATTTTTGATTTATTTGGTAGAAAAAAAAAAAAAGGAAGAGTATCTAAAATGAGATAATATGTAACAGAAGAGTGTCCCCGGAGATATCGAAATTTGTTAAACAAACACGTAATTCCCCGCCTCTTTAAGCGGGAAATAATCTTATTGGTACTTCAATGTTTTTTTTTTAACAATTAATATTACAGTAACAGAATTTTAATCCGATGTTCGCTGGTTTATCTTTAGAGAAAATTAATATTTATGACTTTATTCAATTATGCATTATTTTTCGGCAAAATCTACGCGATTTAATAATGAGTTTGTTTTAATTTTAAGGAAAATCCACGGTTTCTATCATAAGTAAACGTATCTTTTTAATTATAGATTTTGTAACTAGTAATTACTAATTACAATGTATGAGTTTATAATAGGGGCTTTAGAAATCTTACAGTTTCTGCAGTATTTAATTTATATAATGTTGTTGGTCGACTCCATTTAAAACTTAACAATAATACATAAAACCAATTCATTCATTAACACTTGATTTTGAATTGAAAGTTTATGAAACTTAACAATGTAATAGTGGTTTACTAGTAGCTTGGTAATGGGATATATATTAGCTTCAAAGCTGTGTCTTTGAAGGACTTGCTTCTTAGTTGAGTAACCATTGTGGTTGTCCGGGGACATACTCATTGGTTGGAATCTCCATGTGTGTAGCTTGGAAAAGAAAACACAGTTCGTACACATACATGCCTTCTATTCAAGCGTGTGAATGGAAGTTGAAGGTGGAGTAACGTAATTTCTACAATTGCAAGTCGTTAATGTATCCGCTTCCATGTCACTGCACTTAAACGTATGAACATTGTTAGAAACAACACTACTTGTCAAATTCGTTCAATTCCATAAAGCAAACTTTCGTTACCTCTTTTCTATCCGAATGGACCGGAGTTCACAATTGGCAAACCTAAACGAACCAAAAAAAAAAAGATAAAATCAATTTGTTATGCATATGATTTCTATGTATCTATGTATAATATCTTGGAATCTTCAATTAAAGAGCAAAAGAGTGATTAGATTGGGGAGTAGTATCACCTAGTAAGGAGACTATCTTCAAGAGGTATGCCAACTTTTTCATGCAGCGCACGAAGTGTTTGTTGCAAGAAAATCCCATGGCTCACAATTGCTATTTCGTTTTCTGGTCTCTCCCATAACCTACACATGTTTTTTTTTTTTTTCTTTCTGACTTAATTATTAGTGTAATGTTGGGAAAGACATAGATCAAATATATGAGAAACATAAGAAACAACTCCAAAGAATTGTCTAAATTTTGAATCATACACCGAGATCTTGATTCCAAGCCTAAAAACTTATTCGACAATTATGTCAAATGGATTAACATAATCTTATTTAGAATGTCAAAACACTAGGAATGATGAACATATTTCTAACTTAGCATAGAAAAGATATATGTCACTTCATTATCAACTAATTTTGAGTTAGAAGTTTGTAATTCATAACATGATACATTCACTATATACAGTAGTTCGTTTTGTAGTTTTTTTTTTTTGTCAGCTAATTCGTCTTATAGTTGTAGTTTCGAAATGATGGATGTCAGAATGTCCCATATCGTACGTTGAGATATTTCTAAAGATATGGACCACCATTTAATAGAATGAAAAATGTGAGTCTAAAAAATGAAAGTTCGTGGTCACCATTTAACAAAGTGAAGACCTCTAGTAGCAACATCCTCTAGTTTTTCCCTTTCCTTGTCTTGCCATAGAGCATCTTCATCACTCTCTATCTATAACCATATGAAAAAAAAAAATTTATCAAAATTTGATAGATAGAAGAAGATCAATTTGAGCTTCTAAAGGAATGGTGAGATTATATTAACCACCATTGTAAAGTCGATCTCAGGAAAACAAGTGCTGCGAGTACTTATACTTGCTCTACGATCACACGGATAGAGTCCCTGAGAATATCGAACAATTAGAGTGAATTTTGATTCATCATTGGAACATAAAGTAAGCATATCACTTTCAGAGAATGAGATAATAAAAAAAAACTATAATTTAAAATTTATATCACTTATTTTAAAGCAATAAATACTTAATATTACCATTCGTTCTCTACAGATCTCAAGTGCTACAATTGGAGGGAAGTTGTTAGCTTTTGGAAAGTCGTCGGATATATTTACATCTTGGCCCCTAAATATTCCTATTGAAGTTTCCATTGCTCTGAAATTAAAGGGAACAGTAATCAAATTTATGAACAAGGAACGAATTATTTTATAGAGACTTGGGAACCATAATACAAAGAATAAAAAAACTTCACGATTTAAATTATACGCTATATGAAATAATTCAATCATCGTTGAAAATATGATTGTTAGATATGCCTAGCCTTAGGTCGATCATTTATTTTCAATGATATTGATGTTAACGGTTTACCAATTCTTTAGCCTAAAATCCAATCTTCGTAAAGTTATACCAGAAAACAATTGACAAACGAATAAATTGGTAGGTTGTATAGTACCTGCGCAGCGGAGAGGTAATCACTAACTCGATAGTGTTTAGTAATCCTGATTCAAGGATTTGGTTGCGCCTTTCAGAAACCTGTGAAAGAATCAAAAACGTTTCATTCATATATATATACAAGAGTGCATATCTCAAGGTACTACTATATCAAACCCTAAACATTTGGATTTTGGTGATACTACATAGATGTAGTTCTCTCACCTGTTGCAAACCTTTTGGAGAGAGGTGGGCATCAAAAAGCTTTTCTGATTCAGGTTTCTCTCCCTCCTCTTCTAATGCTATATTGTGGATTCCTTGTGCATGCCTCACCTTTACTCATTTTCCGGTCCAACATAATTTAGAATATGTACATATACCTTTCACATAAATGTAAACGCAAGCACAACAATGTGTGTGAAACAATCAGCACCTATATATCTTTCATTTTTAACATCTTTTTGTTCTTATGACTTATCAGAATCAAATAAAAAGGTCCGCGGACATGGAAGAAGAATCCACGTGAAAATGTGTGTATATATACATATTCCATGCGATCAAGATTGAAATAAAATAATAAATGCAAGACTAACCAAATGAAGGGTTTTGAAATTAGGCGATGAGAGGCGCAACATAGCTCCACATAAATCCATGTATCTACGCGTAGAGACCTTCTTAAACTACCTACAATATATATTATTAATTTACAAAACCATTTGTAAGTTTTTTCTTTTTCTTCGTCCTTTCATGTTCTTGATCATCATATATATATACAAATATACAGAATATATCCACTATCACCAGTCAGTTTCATGGAAGCTCCTCAGAAACCACTTTGAAAGTTGAAAGCATATTGAAGTTTTAAATGGTTTATAAAATATTGAATGGGTCACACGTCAAGTCTCTCATGCCGTGTTTTTTGGTTTATTTGTTTTTTTCTCTTTCCCCTTTTCCCCAACCGTCCATATTATTTATTTATTATCATCAATCTTTTTGATATTCTTTTGGTGTTTTTGGAAATATATTCGTAAATTGCTTTTTCCTTATGAAAAGAATGTTAGATATGTTATAAAATTTAAATGCGAAATTTAGAGAATCATTCACCAAAAAAAAAACACATTTGAAAGTAAATTAATTATTCATGTAGAATTTTTGGTTCATGCCGTTTGTTTGTAAAACCGTTGAAATCATCCGCTGGAAAGTGAATAAATATGTACCAAGAAAAATACGAGATCTTGAAAAACCGGTATGATTTTTCCAACGCTTAAATAAAAAAAGTTATTTATATAAGCTTGAAGAAAAGGTTTTAATCAAGTAGCTTTTTTTTGTTTGTCTCTTGTTTTTTGGTAGATACTAGATTGTAAATTTGTACATATCAAGTCCTTTTTTTTTATATCAAATTTACCTAGCCCGAAGTGGGTTACCGAATTTTGGAATATATAGGTGGGTTTACTTGGAAGTCTCTTAAACAAAACACGGTGGCTATATATATATAGATATCTATCTTTCCAAACAATAGGTCTTTATATTATATTCTTAAATAATTATCATACTATATATGATAAGTTTATTCCATTTGTTTAGTACATTTTATCATACTTGTATATGATAAGATTATTCCATTTGTTTAATACATTTCCTTTTGGCCAAAAAAAATAATGATAATACTTTTCCTGAAAAATGCAGAAGACGAAAAGTAGATAGAAGAAGCTCATTGAGCTTGAAGAATAAAACAATAAAATCAATAATATGTAATTTCTTCAATGTTGATTAATTAATGAAGACTCCGTCAATTCTTTGGAAACTTCCTCCTTGGAATCAATTTTCCGTAGATGAACTCATCATGCTGAAAAATAAAAGTATAACTTAATGGTCAAGAAATGGCTAATCATAATTAAGTAAATGAAGATCACACTAACCCTTTGTCTACAATCACGACAGTACGAATTTCGCAATTAGCAAACCTGTAAAATAACATATTAGTGATCAATAGCTTATTATTGGAACATATATTGCAAAACAGAAACTATTTTCTTCTTCTTTTTTCAAAAGAGAAACTTTTGTATACCTCTTGCAAAGTTCATGTCTAATTGACTCGTCACAATCGTTTGCGAACACATACAACATATGCTGCAAAACTATTCCATGGCTAACAACTGCGACCTCCTTCTCTGGTCTCTTCCATAACCTTTAAAAAAAAAAAAAATCATCAATTCTCTAACAGTATATGCTAATTTTATTTATACTTCATTCTGTTAAGATCTATAAGGGTTACCATTTCATGAACTCTAACCCTCTTGCCAAAATCTCTTCTTCAGACTCTCTAACATCCGGTCTCCATAGGTTGTCCTCTTCACTTTCAATCTATAGTATGATCCAAAATATTATAGAAACCACAATGTGTATCCTTACATATGTATTGAGAGAGATTTATATATGTATATTATAGTTATCCATATATATGAAGAGTGAAAAAAGCTCTTTGCCTGAGAGAAATCAATGGTAGGGAAAAGAGTTTGATACTCGCTAATGTTTCTTCTCATGTCAGGAGGACGGACTCCCTGCGTGCACATATACATATCGATATTTCGTTAACATGAATTTGTTTGATAGACGATGAATATATTAGACATTTCTCCATGTATATATCAAACGTACATTACGGTCTCGAGCAACCTCAAGTGCCAAAATGGGAGGGCTATTTGTCATACTCGGTTGTTCGTATTCATTTCCAAAAACTCCAACTGCGGTTTGCATAGTTCTATACATAAACCAAAAAATTAATCAGTCCAAGCCACTAAATAAACATAAATATATACTATCCAACTTTAGTCTTCAATGCATTTATGCAAATATATGTTACCTAAACAACGGAGAAGTTACAACTAGCTCAACCCTCTTTAGTAGCCCGCTTGAAACAACTCGTTCGCGGAGATTCTCAACCTTAAGAGAAGCATTAAACGATTAATTAGAAGTTATTCAATGCACGAAGGAGATCTTCTAAGGCGATTTTGATCCATGTGGTAGGTTAAAAGTTTAGGATTTAGGGTTTACCTGTTGGTGACCATGATCGGTAAGCGGGGCATCAAAAAGATGAGGAGACAACAACGCATTTCTATCCTTCTCGGCTTCTACATTGTGCAACGCTTGTCCATGTCTCAACTTTAATAAAATAAAGAAGAAACATCATTAATCAATACGTATATATCACCAAAGTCATATTAAGAGTGACTTGTGTAATAATAACTCAGCCTTATTATTTGTGACTTACCAAGTGAATGATTTTACAGCTCTCCAAGGGGTACAAGAATCTTGCATCCATTTCCCTACACATTATATTATTTTCTTTAAGAGACAACTAATAATTTCATTATAAATATGATATAGGCAGACAACACATTAACGAGACATTATTAAAAAAGATACTACAGTATAAAAATTATTGCCAATATCAAACCTATTAAAGAGAACGTATTGGCAGGAAAATGATATCTCAAGGGGTTTTCTTTGATCTCAAGGTTATCGTAAAGTGATGATATTGATAGGCAAACTGATGCATATGGGCTCTCTTTGTCTCCTTTATATACTGGAAATAATCAAGACCACACAGGTGAAGTCGAATTGTACGTAAACTTTCATGCAAATTAATACAAGTCAAACTTTTTGATCTGACTCATTCTTAGCTTGGTCTTACGTACTAATGTATAACAACGACCGATTTCAAATACTATATCGTTTCCAAGTGTTATATTTTTGGTTTTAGATTCTAATTATTCAGAGGAATTAACTCCCCAAAACTCATTTGAATTAATACATCAACAACAACAACAACAACAACAAAAACGAGAAAGAAACCATATGATCATGGAATATGGAAATTAAAGACCGTGTAATCACGATGAATGGTATCTATGGATCTGGAAGAAACCATATGATCATGAAATTCAGTATCTAGTAACAAGTTGAATGCGTGTACCTAGTAATATATAATCAGATATTATACAGATTTTATTTTATTTTGTGCCTTATATTGTTTGGATTAGCAAGAAATCGATTTTATTTTATTTTTAATTCAATTTTCTCAACATTGGATCTTAGAGCCAAATACGGATCGAATCACGTAGAAAAAGAAAAAAACGAAAGAGACAAAAGACAGCGTAAACTCCAAGAAAATTTGTTAATATATTGCCTTGAACTGGAAACATTACTCATTTTAAGTCGTTAGTCTTTACTCGTTTAGCTTTGAAACTTTACATTTCCGTCTTTGATATAACTGGTAGATAGTTGTCGTCAAATACATGTCGAAATATTTTAGTTAGAAATTTCTCACACATCTATGACTAATCTAGAAACCTTTATGATTATTATTTAGTAACACCGATATTCTAGAAAACTTTTATTGTTTGTCGATCAAGTTTAGGTTCGTTTGCTTTCCAAAAATCGATTCACTCTAAAAATTCATACAACATTTCCCAAATTGTAGTTACCAAAAATCCCTGCAAATTCTGCCTAAACAAAAACGTTGCAATTTTGTTGTAAATTTTTTATGATGCAGAGAATGGTTTGGTTGTGAAAGACGCATTAGCAACCACTTATAGAGTAATCAATGCAAAAAAAATATGAAGGGAAAAAATGGAGACAACCAAAATTTTACGTAAAGGCGTTTATCTACCTATCGGGTCCAAGATTGCTTTCTTTCTCAACAAAACATACATCAAGAGTTCATATTGTAACCTCTACGAACCTAAAAAATGGATGCAACAAAGACTCTCTCTCTCTACTTTTTTTCAACCTTGAACCATATTGAACCTAAAACATTGGATGTTATGTCCAATTCTTTTAATTTACACTAAATTTAGAAATTTAACACTTATCCAAAAAACCTTAAACTTTTAATAGTAATCTAAAAATATAAGTTTAAAAACATTTTTTAATATAAAAAAAGCAACTATTAAAAATTTAAATTATATATAAACCATATTAAACCTAGAACACCTCTTAGGGGTTTGGATGTTGTGTCCAATTAGTTTACACAATAAAAATTTAACACTTATCTAAAAAAACCTTAAAGTTTAAATAATAGTATTAAAATATAAGTTTAGCAACATTTTTTAATAAAATAAAACAAGTGTTAAAAATTTAAATTATGTGTAAATTATATTGAACCTAGAACACCTCTTAGGGGTTTAGATGTTGTGTCCAATTAGTTTACATCAAATTTTAAAATTTAACACTTATCAAAAAACTTTAAAGTTTAAATAATTTTAAAATATAAGTTTTAAAATAATTTTTAATAAAATAAAAAAAAGTGTTAAAAATTTAAATTATGTGTAAACCATATTGAACCTAGAACACCTCTTAGGGGTTTGGATGTTGTGTCCAATTAGTTTACGCAAAATTTAAAAGTTTAACACTTATCCAAAAACCTTATAGTTTAAATAGTAATATGAAAATATAAGTTGTATAACATTTTTTATTAAAATAAAAATAAGTGTTAAAAATTTAAATTATATGTAAACTATATTAAACCTAGAACACCTCTTAGGGGTTTGGATGTTGTATCCAATTAGTTTACACTAAAATTAAAAATTTAACACTTATCTAAAAAAAAATAAAGAAATTAAGAAAAAAATACCTTTGCTTGTGATTGACGAAACACAAGATTTTCAGGTGATGTCGTCTGACGGTCGGAGCCATGGAAACAAAACCAAACACAGATCATGATTTGGTTCTCTACTCGCTCGTCGCTCACTGTCCCTGTCTTCTTGATATCCTCTTTCCCGCTTTCGCATCCTTTGTCGCCGTCGTGTTCTCCTTCGCCGTCCTCGTCAGGATCCACCGCCGAGATCTTTGATCGTGTAAAATTAGGGGAGACTTGACATGAAATCGATCTGGATTGACTTAAGATGTATTCACAACAGAAGATGGAGTTGATTCACGAAAAGAGATGCTTTCTCTGCTCCGATCAATCTTACGGATGAAGTTAATTGCAGAGATCATCGGTTTACTTCAATGTCTATATGGATCATCATCGGCAAGCCTCTCTAGAAGAGAACTACAGAAAGAAAAAGATGATTTTTGTTATTTCTTGTTTAGGGTTTCGAAGAAGAAGAGAGAACGGAGATTTCTCAAGGAAGAAGAGAGAATGGGTGTATTTATAAGTAACGTTTGTTCAATAAAAAAAGGAAATTTTCTATTGTTTCCTTTTCTTATTTGAGTTGCAAAAACAAAAAGGAAATTTATCACAACGGTAACAAAAGATTCACCTAACTGTATTACTTTTAGAATCATTATATACAACACCAATAATAATAAACAATCTTGATAATGCATATTCATTATAAATTCCACCATAACTTGGTATGGATTAAGGCTTTGTACTAAACAATTTCAACAAAACCACATCTAATCTCTTTTGGTCAAAAACAATTCACTCCTAAAAACATCATAATTTGTGACTGTCAAAAACTTTTAGATCTTTGACGCAAAATGAACAAACAATGAATGAAAAACAGAGAAGAAAAGTGAAAATCTTATGAGAAGTTTTGTGTGTTCTTTCAAAGCTGAGGATTGCGTTTCATTGAACCTCTATTCATTTCTTCACTACTTGAAGCAGAAGGATTTAAACCATACTCACTTGTCCATATTCACTGCTTTGATATTCTTTATTCTCAACGCCAATTTCTTGAACTTTTTCATGTCTGCGGGCGGTGTACGAGCTTGCGTCATACTCTGAGCTCACACTTCCGGGGCTCAAATACGTGCTAGTTCAATAACAGCGGGAGCTACAAGGTGGTGTTCTCCTTGAAAACATTAACACATGTGGATAATACGATTCATAGCAAGACTCGCTATATACTTTTAAGACATAACAATTAAAAACAAGCAATGAATAGTTTGCATTTGCAACTGTGTAACGAATCTCAACTCTCATTGAACAAACACATTTTTATACATGAGCTTTACTTTTTCACTTTTAAGAACACCTCATGAAAAACGAGAAAAAGCTTAAGAAGAAAATCGACTTGGTGAACCTAAATAACTACTGAAGAAGAGTGTAAACATTACAAATCACAAGCAATGCTTCAGAAAAAATGATTTCAATCATTGATTCACATTTGCCTCATATGGCAGCTCCAATAATAGTTATCATTGTTTCGGACGCAAATGTTAGGAAATAAATTGTATATATTATGTATAAAAAGTTTAACAAAAGAACGTAATGAAACAATTATGGTATGCTTCCCATCAGAAGATCTTCTCCCCAAGAAGCTATCTTCACTCTCTACTCAAGTTTGTATATTACAAAGGTGCCGATATTTAACCTCTACGAACCTAAAAATGGATGCAACAAAGGCTCTTTCTCTACTTTTTTCCCACCTTTGCTCTAATCTTCTCCTCGAGTATCTCTGCATCAAGTCCATACATCCTGTTCAGAGCCTGCATGTTCTCCAGTGTCTCACTCAGTGTTCTGCTATCGCTCCCATCGCATCTCAAATGCTGCATTGGACCGTGCAGGAGCTTGTTCACTATACCTCGGATTAGATCATCTACTGATTTTCTCAACTTCTTGTTCATCTCAATGCCTGATTTCGGCAAGAATTTCTCAATCTCTGCAGCTATAATTCTCTCTGTATATCCCCTTAATTTCTTGATTGTGGGAACCGTCTCCAGCGAATCCCTCCATGCTTCAAAGTGTTTCGATTCATCTGTAATTATAGCCTGAGCTTCCATTGCTTTCCTCACCCTGTCCTCTTGATTTGCAGCAACGACTTCCTTGAGGTCATCCACGTTGAAAACCCGTGCACCATCTATTTCAGCGACGCAAGACCCGACATTTCTAGGAACAGAGATATCAACAAAGAGTCTCGCATCTCTAACAGGAGGGAGAGTCTCTACTTGCTCCTTCAAGAATAATGGTGTCTCAGAAGCTGTGCTAGTAAAGACTACATCGGCTTCAGCTGCACAGGATAGCATCTCATCAAGGGGTTTATAAATAATCTCAACACCAGATGGCATCTCCACGCGAATAGCAGCAACTTTCTCTTCACTTCGATTCACAACCACCATTTTGGTGCAACCTTTAGCAACCAAGTGCTTGATTACAAGCTTCCCCATCTTTCCAGCACCAATTACCAACATCCTAGCAGATGATGCATGAGAAGATTCGGGAAGTTTCATGAGAGCAAGTTCGACTGCAGCCGAGCTAACAGAAACAGCCCCAGCAGCGATATTTGTCTCTGTTCTGACACGCTTCCCAACTGTGATTGCGTGTTTAAATAGCCCACTAATGTTCCTCCCAAACCCATTGACTCCTTGACCTACTTTCACAACTTGTTTAACCTGTGCAAGTATCTGATTTTCTCCTAGGACAAGGGAGTCTAGACCAGCTGAGACTTCAAATATATGTTGTGTGACGTCCTTGTTGTACAATAGAAAACGATGCTGACAGATTTCGGAAACCGGGATTCCACTTGTCTGAAAATAAATAACATATGTCAGCATTTACCATTGATTGTAACATAGTGATAAGAACATTTGCAAGAGAGGGAGAAATGCCCAAAACATTTTAACAGTGAAGTAGTTTACTCAGCCATAAGGAGAAGAGCATTCTAGTGACTGAGATTAAGCTTGGGAAAGGGACACACCTTAGACATCCACTCAGTGACTTCTTTGACTCCACGATGCTGAGATAGAGCCAAGACATAAATCTCCATTCGGTTGCAGGTACTGAGTACAGCAGCTTCTTCAATATGATTCAAACCACACAATTCCGCGATAGCTCGTGGCCATTCAGCTTCTGGAATGGCAAGCTTCTCACGCATCTCAACAGGAGCTGTGTGGATGCTAAGCCCAATCACAATAATGCTGCTTCTTTCCTTAGTGTATCCTAGTTACCAAAAAGAATTGAGTTCAGTAAAACAGAGCTTTTAGCTTTAAGAAGTATACAATCAATCTCCTCCACAAATCTAAATCCAAAGTAATCATACGCAAGTAAACAAAGTTCACGAATGATAGAGATTAACTAGAGAAGATTGCTTTAAAGTCAAAAGATACATCTTTGGGTAAGCTAGAGAATGGCAAAATGTTGAATAGCTTACACAGGCCTTCAAAATTCAAAATTGGCAATCAAAGAGGCAGGATTAACAAAAACCCATCATGAATTTCAAATGCAATCAGGATGCAGAACAACAACAAAAAAGAACCCAAAACTGGAAATTCGAACATTAGACAAGCAGAGAAATTCGTACGGTCAATAGCAGAAGTCTTAAGCTGCTCGAGAGCTGAGATGCTAGCTGCCTTAGACGGAGAAATCTCGCAACGGGCTCTCTGGATCAGACCTCGCTTGTTCCTATTGTTGTTCATCGGAAGAGCATGAATCCCAATTACACCAAACGGCGCCGGAGAAGAAGACGTTGGATTGGCTAACAATTTCTCCAGCTTTGGTGTAACAACGAAGGAGCTAGAAACCGCCATAGATTTTGAGGTTTACAAAGCAATAATCTCAAATACACAAAACACCCCCTTCGTCTCCAGAACCCAAACCCTAGAGATCAGGAATCGAGCAGACAAAGAGGGAATTTATGCGATGTTGAAGAAGAAGGAGAATAATTGATAACGATTTTTTGAGTTGAAAAATGAGAAAATGGTTAGGATCACGAGCGTGTTAGTTGCAAGAAGCAGGTGGATCCGGGTCGGGTTTTAAGAACGGGTCAATTCAACACCATTGACCCAATATTTTGGACGGAAAATTCTTATGTGAAAACGGAATCTAAATCGGCGGGTGGTGAACACGTTTTTATTTTATCCCACACGATTTTTTTTTTTAAAAAAATCTCAATATTTGTTATGAGAAAATTAAATTGAAAAAATATGTGTAATACACTACTACACATTATCCGGGAAAAAAATCTGAGAGGTTTAGCTTCTATTTAGGACAATTCATGACGTGAAGAAGAAGAAAAAACAAGGCAACAATGCTTAACGTTTGAGTAATTTGATGCATTGGACATAACGTTTGTATATACTTTTGAAAATAATATAGTAAAAATATCTAAACAACGAAATAAGATAAGTCAAAATAGGGAACATTGAAGTATAACCGACCAGTTGACATTTGTTTGCATAATTGTTCTTTTTCTTCCTTGTTTCTGTAATTGTTTAAAAATTAGTATCAGCACTATTTTTTTATTTTTTTAAGTTATAATCATGTATTGTATTCGGATAATCATTAAGTTTCACTAAATTGGAAAGAATGACTTAGCCCATAATTTAAATAGACTTGTGGAAAATTAGAATATATTACATACAATAATTTGTGTACTCATCATGTAAACTAGACATGGACTAAAAATAGTTCAATTCAATCCATTCTTCAATTAGAGCATTGTTTTTTTTTTCTTTTCTTTTTTTGGGCAGCTGTTTGTTTATTTTCATAAGTTTATCACTGTATGAAAAAGGCCATCAAAGCTGACTTTTACTCCTCAGCTGGCAATCTTTAGGAAGCATCTACAAAGTCAACGCCATGCCTAACAATAACATCGACCAAGTTAGCCAAGAAAAATAAACATAACATCCTTTGAAATATTGGACTCCTTAAAATATATAATTTGTATTCGATTTGCAGAACTACGAACAAGTCTTGTTCACTGTAGTTGGCCCAATGATTTAAGCCCAGTTTTGGGTTGATAAATGAATATAATTTATTTATTTATTTAAAAAAAGAAAAAACAATTACATGTCAGCAAGTTAGTAAAGCATTGTAAATGACATGGCGACCACGTCATAAGCTACGTAGGATTTTGAAAGCAAAGTACTGTACTTTTGACTTATTTTGTCGATTGTAAAAGTAACTGATGAGAGATTTAGAACTGATTTAAGGAAGAAACGAAACCAAAAATAAAAAAAGCATGACATCATATCACTTAAACCACTACAAACAAAAAAAGCCCAATTCTTCTCAAATCTTTTTAAAATCATCAAAAAGGAAATCTAAATCTCAGGATCAAGTGGATGACCCCGAAACACAAAAATTAGTCATGACTCCATTGTTGTTGAAGAAGCAACGCAAAGCAAAGCAAGTATCTTCTTTTTTAAGCTCTTTGGTGGTCTCTCTCCGAATTCACTTCTCTCAGACGGAGGTGAAGCTCTCCGATTGTCTTCAACACTTTAATCGCTTGCGGCGGAGTAAGAATCTCCACCACTTTCCCCACCGTCGAACACCGTAGCTGATCAGCGTTGTTCATCGCCGCCGCCATCCCAGCTTTAAGCACCTCCATCGCCTCCTCCAAATCCGATTCTTCTCCGTCCACCATTCCCACAGCTCCGACTCGCCTCGCCGCGAGCATCACCGGCGGATCCGCCACGCTCTGTTGCACGAGGGCGAAATCTCGCATCACTTCTCTCTCTTTCCTCCTAGTCTCCGACTTAAGACTCGAGATCCGGTCTTTCTGGTGGCGCGTGAGGTTGTCCACGGAGACCTCGGTGAGTTTAAACACAAGAGAAGGCTTGAAATCGCCGACCCAGAGAATGAGTTTTGCGTAGGAGTTAAACCACGGTGGGCAGAAGAAAGTGAAAACGTTGTCACCGGCGAGGGAAACGGAGGCGAATTTCTCTTGGTAGTATTGAAGACAGTGAGAAAGAAACTGGGTCACAAGAGATTGTTGATCTTCGAGAGAGATACGGTTAGTTTCATCCAAGGAAGAAGCGCACATAAGCTGTTCGACGAAATACCTGTGACGGATTAACCAACCAGTAACGAAACTAGTGAAGCTTTGAGAGCTGCTAGTGTTTGGCATGTTCTTATGTTTGGAGTAGTCACTAAGTAGGTATTGACACTGAGACGTGCTTGTACTCAGTGTACATTGTCAAGGATGATTATATACTACTACTACATTGGGCTTGACCAAGAAAAATCTTTTAGGAATTAATTTATGATATGTCGGTCTATCGACGATGTGTCGGCGGGCCAAATGGAGTTTTGTGACTTTTGTCTTGTCGGAGTGAAGTGTGTGTAATCAGAGCAGCGCCTTACTGTGCTATTCAACTTTGGTTTTGGATTCAAGTTGGGGTGAATAAACAAATGTAAATTTACATGAAGAAAATTTATTAATTAACAGATGAAAATAAAATATTAACTGATATAAGTAAACAATTAATCGAAGGGATATTTGGTAGTTAGAGATTATAACCTAGAGAAATTTTATTTTCAAATAGAAAAAAAAAAGTGTTTCTTTCAAAAATAGTCGATTTTAAAAATTGTTTATTTTTAAGGTAGAAATATATATTTTATATTGTATCTAGTACTACTAGTTCCAGTTGGAATTATGCCAGGGTCGCATCTCGATATTATGGAATGACCTAAAATAGCATCTGAAGAGGAAACCGACACATGTTGCTAAAGTACGAAGGCACACGTCATGTAAAGAAGACGACATATGTAAGAAAAAGGAACATGTGCTTACAAAATAGAAACCAAATAAACCAACGGTTCATAAATGCTCCAGTTATGCCGCGAGCCATCTTTTCTTCTTTACTAAGAAAAATTACTACATTAATTTAGTTTTATAGTTGTGATCTCACACTTCTTTCGAAAAGATCTTACTCTACATCGACCTTGGGGATCGAGCAACCAGATTCTTCTTCACCACTCTAATAACGGACAAAAATAGTTTCAAGTTTTCTTTACTAAGAGCAAACGCAGTGGAGCATGTGTAATTGTGGGTGTAACTAATTGTTTATTATTATAATTAAAAGAGAAAGAGAGAAAAGAGAGATAGAGAGATAGAGAGAATAAATTTTTTTCTATTTTTATAATGCCTCACAATTGAGTGTAAGTCTACACCCGGTTTTTGTTGAAAATGTAACTTTTGCAATATTTCTCAATTGTTTATAACTTACACCCATGTCTCAACGCCATTGCGTTTGCTCTAACATGTTTTATCAAGATATATTTTAAATTATGATTTAGATATATGTACGTTAATAAAAATCCTAAAATATACTATATGTTAATCTAAACCAGTCCTTATAGCAAACCTTATTGAGAGTGCAAATTTATTTTAAAACATGATGAGAAATTAGACATAATTTTTTTTATAAGAATTTAACGAATAGAGTTTTTTGAAGTAGTTAAAATTCCTCTTCGTTTACAATTGCAAATTATTCTTCTACATTTCTCTGAACTACGCTTATAAACGTAGAAGCTTTTATAAATGAAAAAGGAACAAAAAAAATTACATGAAAGTTGACAAACAAAAATAGAGATGAAAAACAAGTGACGACAAATAACTGAGAAAACACGTTTTGCAAAACAAAACAAAACAAAAAAAGGGTGGTGGGCATTTGTTGGCTATGCGACTCACGAACGCGGATTCTTTTCAACTCGTTGCTTACGCGGCCACGTTTTCGTCACTGACCGCGTTTCTTTTGCGGCCCTGGAATTACTCTCTCAACATTTTCTTTTGTGAATCTTTCTAAGGCGGTTCTATGAATAAATTCATTAAAAAGAGAAACGGGCCTTCATGTATAGGTTTTTGTTTTCATTGCTTGGGTTATATATAGGCTCATTGGTAAATACTAAATAGCCCACAAGAATTTATTCACTTGATATGGGCCTCAATTGCATGCTACCCTTTCTGTTCCTCTCAATTTCTTATTTTTGGCAATAAAATCATTTTGCCTTATTTTTGATGGTGGAATCATCCGTTTTTCCTTATTTTGAACCGGTAAGTAATTGAACGCAAAGTAGTCCAATTCGTCAAAACCTTACAATTTCATTTCATTTCACCATAATAAACCTAAACATGGTTCAACTGATGCCACTACATAAAAAGGGGAACAATATGTTAGTAGAAAACTGAATTTTAACCCAATCAAGTGCAAACTAAACTATTGAGCAAAAGAAAGATAAAAATCAGTTCACCTACCCTAATTAGTACCTATATAAGAAAAATTCGCTTACTTGAGTAAAAGGTAGGATAATTACGTAAAGCTAATTCATGATTAGGTCTAAAAGTAAAAGATAAAAAGATGCCATTTTAGAGTGTGTGTAGAAAATTAGTGCCCTCGTGTTATACGTTTAAGCCGTATAACATGAATCATGCGGTACGTGTACGGCTCACATTGTCCTACGCTTTGATTAACAAACAATAACGTCATTTTCGTATTTCGACAATTTTGATTGCTCAATCCTGTCGACCTAGTTTCCATATTATGTTTATTAGTTAAAAATTTAAGACAACGGACTCAACCAAATTACATCTTAAGAGAATATTTGAAACTTGTCTCTGTAAGATGTACATGTGGCCATGTGGGTGAGAGTATAGTTCACTTGGCTAAACATGAATTTGTTTTAAAAAGAGAACGTTGAGTTTCTATTGTTGTTTTCATTGTAACATGATATATGGATCGGTTTAATCAAATTTACCTGCATGTTTTGTTTTTTTGAACGTAGAATCTAATGTTAGTATGTAAATATGTAATCTTGATTCGCTCACTATTGAGCATCCAAAAACCGTAAAGATGGACATTTTAAAGCCGCTAACCACGAATTTTGCGTTGAATAAACAAATCATGATGGTATCCACCATCTTTATGCATTATTGGACTTCGTTTATATAAACAAAATCGTTCCTTGTTTGTTAGTTTATATCAGACGTCGATCACATTTTCCAAACACAAAATTATTGAATACTCAACGTCTTATGTGAAACTTACTTACGTCCAAACAGAAAATGACGAATGCCTTTTTTCCCCACAAAATGATTTCATTTCTATTTTATTCCATAGAGAGAAACAAACCTTACACTATACCCTCTTTTTACGTGCCCACTTTTCATTATTTACAAAAATCCCCCAAACAAATTTAAAACAATTAAAAAAAAGCACTCAAATTTCCAAAAGTAGATTCCTTTAGTCCAATGGCTGTCTTACAACATCTCCTTCTTCGTCACCTTTTTCTCTCCACTTTAGCTTTTTTACTCTCTCAACGCCACGACGGTAAAGCGAGAAATGGCTACTACTTCCGATCAAGATCGCCGCCACAGAGCCACTCGCAACCGTCCACCACTACCTCGAGGTCCTCGACCTTCTACTTCTTCTTCTCGTCCCGTTGTAGCTCCTCGATCTAAAGTATCGAAGCGTGTGCTTCTCCGTGTAGCTTCCGTCGCATGTGGGATTCAATTCGGATGGGCGCTTCAGCTTTCGCTTCTCACACCTTACGTTCAAGAGCTAGGGATTCCACACGCTTGGGCTAGTGTGATTTGGCTCTGCGGTCCTCTCTCTGGTTTGTTCGTGCAACCGCTCGTTGGACATAGTAGCGACAGGTGTACTAGCAAGTACGGTCGTCGGAGACCGTTTATTGTCGTCGGAGCTGTGGCGATTGCTATCTCTGTTTTGGTTATTGGTCATGCGGCGGATATTGGTTGGGCATTTGGGGATAGAGAAGGGAAGATTAAGCCGAGAGCGATTGTGGCTTTTGTTTTAGGGTTTTGGATTCTTGATCTTGCTAATAACATGACTCAAGGTCCTTGTAGAGCTCTCCTTGCCGATCTTACTGGTAATTTCTGACTTTAGTGTTGATTTGGTCTTCAATTTGAATGATTCAAAGGTAATTAATACACTCACATGCAAAACATGAAAAAGCACAAATTTGTGATTTTGGACACAATTAGGGGTTATATTATTACCTAATTGGTTCCTAACTATGTTATGTTTTAATTCTTGTCCGATTGCTTTATTTTCAGAGAATGATAATCGCAGAACCCGAGTAGCAAATGGCTATTTCTCTCTGTTTATGGCTATTGGCAATGTTCTTGGTTATGCTACTGGATCATACAATGGTTGGTACAAGATCTTCACTTTTACGAAGACAGTTGCATGTAATGTGGAATGTGCCAATCTCAAGTCTGCCTTCTACATAGATGTCGTCTTTATTGCAATAACTACGATCCTAAGCATCTCAGCGGCTCATGAGGTGCCTCTTGCTTCATTGACTTCTGAAGCACATGGGCAAACCAGTGGAACAGACGAAGCTTTTCTTTCTGAAATATTTGGAACTTTCAGATATTTTCCAGGAAATGTTTGGATAATCTTGCTTGTTACAGCATTGACATGGATTGGTTGGTTTCCATTTATTCTATTTGATACTGATTGGATGGGTCGAGAGATCTATGGCGGTGAACCGAACATAGGTACTTCTTATAGTGCCGGAGTTAGTATGGGCGCACTTGGTTTGATGTTGAATTCTGTTTTTCTTGGAATCACTTCGGTTCTCATGGAGAAGCTTTGCAGAAAGTGGGGGGCTGGTTTTGTTTGGGGAATATCAAATATCTTAATGGCTGTTTGCTTTCTTGGAATGATTATCACCTCATTTGTTGCGTCTCACCTTGGCTACATTGGCCATGAACAACCTCCTGCCAGCATCGTATTCGCTTCTGTGTTAATCTTTACAATTCTGGGCATTCCATTGGCTGTAAGTTTACTACTGCAATTCTGCTGTCATGTTACTTACATTGACAAACCAAGAATTTATAGTTTGCAGCGAATCTTATATTGAGAATGCCTATTGGCTATTGTCACATTGGACATATATATCATGACACTATTACTTTGATATTTTTCATGCTCATCTGTAACAACATGATGAAATTTATTTACGCTTTTGCTGTAACTAATGCTATTGTTACTCTTCTGCAGATAACTTACAGTGTCCCATATGCGTTGATTTCCATACGTATTGAATCCTTGGGCCTAGGTCAAGGTGTGCATCCTTTTAATATTATGCTCACTGATTGTACTCTACATATGAGTGTTGTTTGTTATAAAAGTTCTGTTGTGGCAGGCTTATCTTTGGGTGTGCTGAATTTGGCGATAGTCATCCCACAGGTCTGCTTCGTTCAACCATCCGTTTTAGCATTATATTTTGCTGCAACTCATTTGAATGTTTCTGCCTGTAAAAGGGAGTCTATACTTCCCCTATATTAGTCGATTGGTGTATTTCTTCCCTATGTTGGTTATGGTTTTTGGGCATCAAACTCAATTTCTGTTGTTCAATAATTATGTGTTTGCAGGTAATTGTGTCTGTTGGCAGTGGCCCATGGGATCAACTGTTTGGAGGTGGGAATTCACCGGCGCTTGCAGTAGGCGCAGCTGCAGGTTTCATTGGCGGAATTGTAGCCATCTTGGCTCTTCCGCGGACAAGGATTCAGAAGCCCATCCCTCTCCCATGACATCCTCTCTTTTATTATAAGGTATAAATATCACAATCACAAAAAGTACATAGTAAGCACTTAAGTTGTCACTGATTATTAAAAGCGGTTAATGCAATATAGATGAGTGTCAAGCGAGGAACGCATAAGGGGAGTGCTGGAAAATGGCAAGGAGATGGAACACTTAATGTGATCCTTGTCGAATTCATGCAATGGCTTCTCGTGTGACTAACTTATTTGCAGCTACTAGGACTTAATCTCCTCTACTTTGGGGACTATGATCCTTGTATCCACGAGGAGCCATATAACCAATGAAATAAAAACATCATTCAGTTTGTGAGGTATATGCATTCTCCTTTGTTGGAAGTCCCAATTCGGGATTTTCTCTGTTTTTTTTGTTGTTGTTGTTGTTGTAAATTAATGTAAAAACCTGTGTGCAATGGAGAGTTTGTAATGGTCCCTGAATCCAGGGTTCTGTAACTGTTATAAAGTTCATTTTCTTTAAAATTAGTTTGATAAAGAAACCTGAGATCCAAAAAAATTGCATGCTCTGTGTAGCACAAGTATAAAGGAACCATTACGAGTGAGTCTCTTTGCTTGATTGGGAATCTCTTAGTTGTCTAAGTTTGGCAGAGGAATACTGCATCGGAATCACATTTTGGTGAAGTATGTTTTCACTGGTGTTAGCTCCAGCTGGTACTGAGAATCACTATATGCATCAGAATAATATAGCAAACTAGCAGCAGTAGTGTCAGCTAAACATTATTTGGGAATATTAAAACCAATAGAAAGGAATAGTAGCAAATCCGAGATTTCTTGTTGAGAGGGATGTTTGAGATGGAAATTAGTGATATGCTATTGAAGATTATGTAGGTAGATAACAATAATTGAGAATAATAAGTGGATGCTAATACAGCTTGAGCTTATCCTCGTAAAATTGTGAATAGTTCCAGAGTTAGAACTTTGACCGTCCAATAGAGATTGTGTGAGGTATGTATAACAAATATCTTAATTCTTTTATAACCTGAAAATAGTAGAGTTTGCAAATATAAGCACTCTTGTTTTTGGTGTAATGACAAAGAATTAAGAAAAAGAATACACGTGTGGAGGAGGAGCACAAGGGACCTAAAAGAATCTGTTGGGATTTGGAGAGGCCCTGGGCTATCTAACAAGGACAAAAACGTGGTGTACTGTCTGTTACCGACTCTCTCTTATTCATAGTCAACTACGGCGGCTTTCACACCTGTTGCTTCTAGACGAATGACAAATCTTATCATCTTTTCTATTAATAAATTCGAGGTAGACTCTCTCTACTCTAGCTGCGTGCACTACGATTTCAAAATTATGAATCTCCTTTTTTTTTTGTATAATTAAATTTTAAGTCTTTTTTTATACTAACTTACTAAGTGTATGCTTTATCATTCTCTATAATACACAAAACTATTAAAATGTGTCTAAAATCTCGACATACTGATTTTAGTATCACTGATTGTGTATAACAGTTGACAATTTTGGGATGTAGAAATAAACAAATTAAGATAGATGGCATTAAAAACAAGTTTTAATACCAATAGTTGAAAAATAAAAAATTCTGAAAGAGTAATATTATTATTTTTGGTCAACACAGATAAAGAAATTCAAGATTAAGATGAGTATTTATCGAGATTTTTTATTTATTTATGATGAGTAATATTGATCATGGTTCAAGGGAAGATCTTGAGGTTAGTACTCTTCACCTACAGTCTTTTGAAACAAAGCTAATTCAACTAGTTGCTTCAGCTTCAAGATTGATTCAAGAATCTTACGATTAAGATGAGTATTTATCAAGATGTTAAAATTCTTAGAATGCAAGTGGAAAGATGATGATGAGATCCTTGATTTTTAACCCTGCAGTATATTTTGGATGTGTAGAAATCCCATATTAATTTGGTATTCTGTTATCCTAAAATGTGATAAAATCCTTCTGAGGAAGAAAGAAAGATGAATCTCCATTCTCCACTTTATTTAGATTGTATTTTTTTTTATGAAGAATTGGGTAGTTGAAAGCATTCACTGTTGGCCATTTGATTCATCCCTTGTCGCCTTCGGATTTACATAAGTGGAGAGTTTTTTTTTCTTTAATTAACCTTTTTAGCTTTTTTTTTTTTTTTTTTTTTTTTTTTTTTTTTTTTATTTTTTAACCTTTTTAGCTTTAGCTGAAAGAAATAAAGTAATTGCCTTTTTGTATGAAACAAAGCAATTAGCTTTTATCTTTTAAGATTTTCATATCACACAAACATAAAGCTAAGTGAAGTCCACCCTGTATTTGTTGATTAGTACATTTTATCGTCATGTCTCATGTGCATGCACTTACCCTATCATAAAATAAATAAAAATAATAAAAGAATGATTTGTCTTTTCTTGGGCTTCAATTATTGGACAACTTATTTCCTCTAAACTTTTCTTTTCCTGCTGCAATGCCCTATTTTTCCATGAAGCTTCGAATGCTTTTTTGACGAGTAAAATGTGAAGACTCAAAGATTCGAAATAAGTCATTGACCATAAAAAGATTCGTAGATCGATATATATACGGTTAAAATATCAATAAAGATGAATCTCTTAGTTATATATAGTTTGAGATCGCAATCAACGACTCGTGAGTCGTGAGAGAAAACAAGAAGAAGTTGTGGTTACTTATTTTTACTGTTTATACTTTACTAGTCTACGTTTCATACAAATGAATAATGATCCATGCGTACGTTTAAAATTTACGTCATAATCTTTTTAATTTAGATCATTTTTTATTGCGCTTATCCCGTTATTACACGTTTTTTAATTACTTTTTGTTTAAGTCTGAAGCCCTGAAATTTTAATTGGAGAATTAACCCCATAACGCCTGAGAAAAATATAAACCAAAATGCATGGAAACTGCTCTGGCTTAATTTGTTTCTTTATATCATTGAACTATAGGTTTTGGTTGTGTTATAATTCTTTGGAAATTTTTCATTTCTGTCCGAATTGTATCATGGTTGTAGCAGTTTTTTTGGTTGTATCTTTCTTTTTATTAGTATCTAGCCTATGAGCAAGCTATTATTGTAATTATAGTTTACGCTTAATTAGACCATCTCTATTTTATCTTAGTTACCTCACCTAATCATAAACACTCTACAACAGCAAGGAAAATACTAGGAAAGAAAGTTTTTTCTTACTACTACTTTTCAAAGGTTTGAAATACATGTTTTTGTTTGGACTCACTAGTGTCTTCTGGCGTGGAATCAATTATTAATGTCTCCACCTAATCAGAATATGACAAAATGAATACTCGCATCATATTTACAAAAAGATAGTAATAGAAAATTCTAGTTATATTTCTTTCTTTTATTGGTTTATGTCGGAAAAAGAAGAGTCCACAGAGAAAAAAGAGTCCTCAAACAAATTTGAACATGGCAATTATGGAGCGGCAGAGTTTAATAATTAGTTTTAGTTCTATAGTCGATATATTATTGTCTTATTGCATTACCTAATGTGTCCACACACATTATAAGGTTGGTTAATTTGGTAATCAAAACTAAAGATTTAGAATGAAAATTTCCTTTTAAAAAAAGCCATTTGTTTCAAGATTAGAGCTAAGACATATAACTACTTCCTAATTAACTTTGGAAAAAAGTATATTGTTGCTAGTTGAACTCGTGTGCCATAAAAAGCAAGTTTTCAACATATGTTTATAGTGATGCAAATTATAAGGAAATTTAGAAAATTGTAAGGAAAATTTGAAATGTAGTTATTATGAGCGATACTAATACACAATCATCAGTAGTAGCAGTAGTATATTAATAGTTACCACGGACGTGTACAAAATATTACTAGTATATAGCGTGCTGCATATAAAATCTACATCTACCTAACCTACCATATAGTGTAGCTGCATAAAAGACGATTGTATAATGTAATTTTGTATTTTTTCTGGATTGGTTTCTTTGTTTTCGGTTACGTTTTTTTTTTTTTTTGGTATAATTAATGATTGTAGTTAAGTTTTGTTTAAGCTTCCACAATGAAAAAAATACAATCATACATATAAAAGTAGGGTTTCACTCTTTTCTTATTGGTCCATTTAGAAATGTAACTTAATTTTTTTTATTTTTAACTAAATCATAAATAAAACACATTTAATTCACACTTTAATATAAAAACTGAAATCATTAAAATTATACATTAATTATATTTTTCCTCTCAATTTTATTCAACTCACAATAAATTAGAATTGTAACTCCCATAATTTATTTTTTAAAATTGTAACTTATCTAACTTTTCATCCTATAAATACTCATTTCTCATTCTCTCATCCTCTCATCCTCTCACCCTTCCCCTATAGCTCAAATCTTAAATATTTTTTTTGTTTTGTGTTCTTACATTAGTTTTTTTTTTTTTTTTTTTTAAAGATGCATCTTCATTGTCTATTTTAGATAATCATCTTATAAGTAATCATTCTCTCATCTTCTTCTACTATATTTATGTGCCTATTTTTTATGTTGTTATATGGATTAAAAATCAAGAATTTGATTCTAAATATATTTTAGAATGTATTATATATATATATATCTAACATTGTATTTATTTTTGTATATTTCTAAAGCTATACTAAAATATACTTATTTATTCTTTAATTTTCATATTTTTAGTTTAAATTCACATATGTATACTAAAAGTTTTGATGGTTATAACAAAATTTTCAGGTTTATTGGTGATGGAGAGTTAAATATAACAATTCCAATCATAGCACAACAAGATAATGAAGTTGACATTTCCATTATCTACTTTAGATGTTTGATTATTTTCTAATATATTCATGTAACTTTTTTAATTATGCAATATTTAATAAAATAAATTATTGTAATACATTTATTAAATATATATTTCTTACCTTTTTCTTATCTCGAATAAATATTGTAATTTATTTTTAATATATGTATTATTATATTTACTTTTTAAAATCGTTATACTTTTATTTTATTTAAAATTTGAGGTTTAAGTATTTTTCAAAGTAAAAAGAATTTCGTTTAAAAACATTTGGTTCTTAAGATTAAAAAAATGAATCATATGGTTCAAGAAAATTAAATTTAGGTAGAATAGAAAATTAGAATGAAATCATTAGAGTGAAACCTAACACTCATACTTAAATAGAGTGAAATATACAAGAAAATAATTATAATGAAAACAAAAATCATTTTATTAAATCATATAAAGATAAAACCATTAGTATAAAATCTAGCACTAGAATTTAAATTGATGAGTGAATTTTTTTTTTTAAAAAGATAGAAGTTATCCTTGGATCTTTGATAATTTTAATTAGATTGAAGTTCATATGATTTTTATAAGAAAAATAAATTTAGTTTGCCACTTGCAAAATAATATGAATTTGAACTATTATGTGGGAATTTATATAAACAAACAAACAAATTATCTGTGAGTTTATATCAACAATTTATTTTGTAAAAGTAATAGATAACATATGTTTATTGATGTTTACATACATAAATAATAAATAATAGTAAAGTAAAAAACAACACTAAAATATGAGCAAATGCAAGATATCAAATCTTAAGAGTTTTAAAAAAATATTCAATCATATTTATATTGAAACAAATGTCATCCACATCATTAGCATATAATAATTTAAGATTTTTCTATAATAATATATTATAATTATATTTTATGTATTTTCTCATATTTTGTAACCTCCATACTAATAATTATCATTTTGTTGTTAATGCTCACACTAAATTACAACAATACTTTAAATACAATTAATACAAAATGAATTCTACACAATGAATTCTTTGAAATGTAACATAATTTTTATGATATACATACAATAAACTTACTCATAAATGATATTTAAACATAATTGTTAAAGTTGAATAGTAGTAAAACGTAAATATGTTATCTTTTATAAATAGTAATATACACATATCACTAACCATCATATTCCAAATTTCATAATATTGATAAATTTTATAACAATTTCTTTTTTAATCCGACTAATGGTGTTTCAATATTACATTTTTGTCAATTTTGTAAGAGGTTGTGAAGAGGAGATGACTTTTAATCAAATATTGTATTGATTAAAAGAAGTAATATATTCTTAATCATTTTTTAAAAAACATAAATATCATTGTATATAGATGAATACAATTCAAAATTTATAGAAAAAATCAAATTTGAATTTCCTGTCATTCATTTATTTATTTTTCTTTAAATGTTAAATTCAAGTAAAAAAACTAAATAAAATAAATAGCAAACATATAATATAGTATGCAACAAGCCGCGAGTATCGCGGCTAAATAACCTAGTTACATTAATAATGAACTCCATTTCCATAACACAAGATAGGCGTTACGTCTAGTCTAAATAATCTATAGCAAATTAAGGTTTTTGCTTAGTCAATACTCTACTCAGTAGATATAGATATCGTTTCAGTTTTGTATGTGCAATTTTTTTAAAAAAAATATATTTCTATTCAATTTCATTTGAGAATAGTCAATGAAAACCAAAAAAGTCACAATAATAATAATTATAAAGTATCTATCAAAACGCTCGTATAATATTCCACATACTCACTGTATAATTAGAAAACTAAATAGTATAGTTATCAAGGGTCCCTCTTAATAAAGCAGTACTAGATCATCACCCGTACTAAAGTACGGGTTGAATTTTATTTATTACAAAATTTATATAATATATATATAAGAACTAAGTTTTAATATATTATAATAGTAAGTGAAAAAATATTATTTTTTTTTGTCAGTCCCTATATACAATATTAGAATAAATATAGAAGTTTTTCTATAATACTCAATTATGGATTTTTTTTTTTAAGATATGAAAACGGAAAATAATTTTATTTTTTAAAAAGTAATATTTTTTGAACAATGAGTTAATTTATGTTAACAACCACAAAATAAGATTGCATATATTTCAGTTAGATCAAAAATTAAAATATCATAAATGAATCGCATATAAAACATAGATTATTTTGAATTAATTAAGAAAATTAGCTATTATTTTGAATTAATTTAGAAAATTCTTTTTCAATTTATAATTCTTTGGTTGTTGAAATAGAGATTTGTTTGAGCTAATCTAATTACAAAATTTGTTTGAGATTTATAATTACGGAATTTACCAATTATTCGCATAATCGAATATGTTATAAACATATATTTAGTATATAATAATACCAAAATCAACCCGTGCGTGGAGTCTATATTTTTATTTTAGAATCTCAATATTTCATTTTAAAATATTGCATGCACAATCTATTATTCGTTAATTCTAAAATTGCTTGCGGAATCAAATTTTTAAATATTTAGAGGTGTCAAACCATATTTAAATGTTCTACACTATTTTTAAATATTCCAAATTAAAATCTTTAAATTTTTTTTGTAGTTTATAAAATTATGAATTTCAAAAAACAAATTATATGAAATTAAATATAACTATTCAAATAGTTATAAGGATCAAAACTCATTTCATCGTATAATATATTATATTTAACCCGCTACCTATTATAAATATTTTTAAAAATAATCAAATTAGAGTATTTATAATTTTAAACTTTTTGAACTATTAAGTATTGATGATATTCTCTAAAAATATCAAGTAAAACTTATTTTAAATGTTGCAAATTAAAATATTTAAATTTTTATTGTAGTATATAAATTATACATTTCAAAAAAATAAATGTATGAAATCGAATATAAATATTCAAATTCTGACCCGTTGCTCAGTCGGAATTTTTGTTGACTTTATTTTTGTGTAAAAGAAATATATTACTCAACTCTGAATTTTTGACCCGTTTAATTGTTTCCTTTATAGATTGAACAATTTATATGCGTTTTTAAAAATTCAAATCTTGGCATATGCTGAAAAAAAATTACTTTTTTTTTATTATGTAGATGATATGATTATTTATTTGTTTCATATTAATATAATCATATTAAGATGAGAGGTGAAGTTTAATGATTAATAACAAATTAATATGGTAAGTTAGATATCAAATCGTATATGTTCATTTTGATTGGTCATTTTTAAAAAAATAATAACAGATTTTCGTTTTATAATTTAATTAAATTAATTAAATGACATAAATTAGTATTTTACTTGTTTATCCTTAATTAATTGAATGAAATTTGTTCTAAAAGAAGATTTTTGTAATGGCATTCTTAAGTAAATTCTTACAAAAGAGAAGGTTAGTTAAGGGTATCTTATAAAGTGTACTCCCTAAATAATAGTATAGGATTATTCAACTAGCTATAATGTATTTGAAGATAAGTTTATAAAGCATCATATAAAATAATAACGCCATTATTAAATTTATGTATATGATAAATAAAGAAATATAAAAACAGAGAAAACAAATAGTGAGTGATAGTGATTACAAGGTTAAGCCAAAATTTGAATATTTAATGGCTACGATCAGATAAGAAGAACTTTGCTTCAAAGCGGCAAAGCTCAAGCTTTTTCTCGCGCCCGCCATTATCATACCTCTCTCTATTCTCAACCAAAATTTCCCGATGTGAAGTACAAGTTTCTGATTAACTCAAACCACCGTCACACTTCCTCACTCCGGCCAAATAATCTCACCGACATCGACATGGCTCCCTCGTCAAGGAATTTCAACTTCTTTCACCACTTGTCCTCTTTCCTTGTCTTCTCTCTGTTCTCCGTCGTTTCTTCCGACGATCTCCAAGTCTTGCTCAAACTCAAATCATCATTCGCCGATTCGAATCCCGCCGTCTTCGATTCCTGGAAGCTGAACTCCGGTACCGGTCCATGTAGCTTCACCGGAGTAACCTGCAATTCTAGAAGAAACGTTACAGAGATTGATCTCTCTCGTCGAGGTTTATCTGGGAATTTTCCATTCGATTTGGTTTGCGAGATTCAGAGTCTCGAGAAACTCTCTCTCGGATTCAATTCACTGTCTGGAATAATTCCCAGTAATATGAGAAACTGCACGAATTTGAAGTATTTGGATGTCGGGAACAATTTGTTCTCTGGTACCTTCCCTGAATTCTCTTCTCTGAATCAGTTACAGTATCTGTATCTCAACAACAGCGCATTTTCCGGCGTCTTTCCGTGGAAATCACTTCGAAACGCGACGAGTCTCGTCGTTTTGAGCCTAGGCGATAATCCGTTTGATGCGACTGCTGATTTTCCGGTGGAGGTTGTTTCTCTCACGAAACTCTCGTGGCTTTACTTGTCGAATTGCAGTATAGCCGGAAAAATTCCAGCGGCGATCGGTGATTTGACGGAGCTTCGGAATTTGGAGATTGCCGATAGCAGTTTAACCGGAGAGATTCCGTCGGAGATCTCGAAACTCACCAATCTTTGGCAGTTAGAGCTTTACAACAACTCCTTAACCGGAAAACTTCCTACCGGATTCGGAAACTTGAAGAATCTGACTTACTTAGATGCTTCAACAAATCTTCTACAAGGCGATTTATCGGAGCTCAGGTCTCTGACTAATCTTGTTTCACTACAAATGTTCGAAAACGAATTCTCCGGTGAGATTCCGCCGGAGTTTGGTGAATTCAAGGATCTCGTCAATCTCTCTTTGTATACAAACAAGTTAACCGGCTCTTTACCTCAAGGACTCGGTTCACTTGCCGATTTTGATTTCATCGACGCATCAGAGAATCTCTTAACCGGACCTATCCCTCCAGATATGTGCAAGAACGGGAAGATGAAAGCTCTGCTTCTCCTGCAAAACAATCTCACTGGCTCCATCCCTGACTCGTACGCTAACTGTTTGACTCTGGAACGGTTCAGAGTTAGCGAAAACTCGCTCAACGGAACAGTTCCCGCGGGACTTTGGGGCTTACCGAAGCTCGAGATCATCGATATAGAGATGAATAACTTCGAAGGTCCGATCACCGCCGATATAAAGAACGGTAAAATGCTCGGAGCATTGTATCTAGGGTTCAACAAGTTGTCTGATGAACTGCCTGAAGAGATAGGTGACGCTGAATCTTTGACTAAGGTTGAGCTTAACAATAACCAGTTTACCGGGAAGATTCCGAGCTCCATTGGGAAACTGAAGGGACTTAACAGTCTAAAGATGCAGAGCAATGGCTTCTCCGGTGAGATACCGGACTCGATTGGATCATGTTCGATGCTCAGCGATGTGAACATGGCTCAAAACTCACTATCTGGCGAAATCCCTCACACGCTTGGATCTCTTCCGACGCTCAACGCTTTGAATCTTTCAGACAATAAGCTCTCCGGGAGAATCCCAGAGAGTTTGTCGTCTCCAAGGTTTAGCCTTCTTGATCTGTCTAACAACAGATTATCCGGTCGTATCCCTCTGAGTTTGTCATCATATAATGGTAGCTTCAATGGCAATCCTGGACTCTGCAGCATGACGATCAAATCGTTTAACCGGTGCATAAATCCTTCGAGATCGCATGGAGACAATCGCATTTTCGTGTTGTGTATAGTTTTTGGGTCACTGATCTTGCTTGCGTCTCTTGTGTTTTTCTTGTACCTGAAGAAAACAGAGAAGAAGGAAGGCCGTTCGCTTAAACACGAATCTTGGAGTATAAAGTCATTCCGAAAGATGAGTTTCACTGAAGATGACATCATCGATTCAATCAAAGAAGAGAATTTGATTGGTAGAGGCGGTTGTGGTGATGTGTACAGGGTAGTACTTGGTGATGGTAAAGAAGTTGCGGTCAAACACATCCGGTGTAGTAGTACTCAGAAAAATTTCAGCAGTGCAATGCCGATTCTCACTGAACGGGAAGGAAGATCAAAAGAGTTTGAAACAGAGGTGCAAACGCTTAGCTCGATACGACACTTAAATGTGGTGAAACTCTATTGTAGCATCACGAGCGATGACTCGAGCTTGCTGGTGTACGAGTACTTGCCTAATGGAAGCTTATGGGACATGCTTCACTCTTGCAAGAAATCGAATCTCGGTTGGGAAACACGGTATGATATAGCTCTTGGTGCAGCGAAAGGGCTTGAGTACTTGCATCATGGGTATGAGAGACCGGTGATTCACCGTGATGTTAAATCAAGCAACATATTGCTAGATGAGCACTTGAAACCTAGGATTGCGGATTTTGGTCTTGCCAAGATTCTTCAGGCCAGCAATGGCGGTCCAGATTCCACCCATGTCGTTGCGGGAACCTATGGCTACATAGCTCCAGGTATATAAAGAGACTCAACTCTTATATCATCAGCTTGTTATGGTCTTACATTTTGAAATTACATTTTAACATTAAGAATTCTTGTTGCAGAGTATGGATATGCGTCAAAAGTGACTGAGAAATGTGATGTGTATAGCTTCGGGGTAGTGTTAATGGAGCTGGTCACGGGGAAAAAGCCGATAGAGGCAGAGTTTGGAGAGAGCAAAGACATAGTGAATTGGGTGAGCAACAATCTGAAGAGCAAAGAGAGTGTGATGGAGATTGTGGACAAGAAAATAGGAGAAATGTATAGAGAAGACGCGGTCAAGATGCTGAGGATTGCGATCATCTGCACCGCAAGACTTCCTGGACTAAGACCGACGATGAGGAGCGTGGTGCAGATGATTGAGGACGCGGAACCATGCAGATTGATGGGGATTGTGATCAGCAAAGAGAGTGATGTGAAGATCAAAGAAATAAGTTGATGATTGAGGGACCAAGTCACTCTTTTGGGGTCTGTTTTGGTAACTAAGAAACTTAGAGAGAGGATTAATGTGGATCATCTAAATCTATTAAGACGTAAGAGTTTAGATGGAGAATGTGATTCTAGTACTACTCCTGGTTATGAAATCATAGGTATTGTAATGATCTCATGTAAACTATTTTCTTGTAATTGTAGAATTTGAAGGTTTTCAAATTAGTTAATGAAGAAGGTCAACTACTCTGTTAAATTTATGGTCCCATACTAATACTTTACTTAAGAAGTGCTTATTCGACTGTTAAAACAATGTCTATAAACTTGCTATCAATCACAGTTATATTTATTTTTCGTCAACATGCATATTTGATTCAGAAAATTCTCAAAACGAAACCAAACGCAAATTGGATTCTTGGTGTGATGACATAGACCAATTATTATTGTAATATCCTCTCGTGTGATTTCTAAAAGTTGGTCAAATCTAGGTATGCTCAAAAACTTTTGTAGTTGCCCACTTTGACCAACAACATAATAAAAGAAATATAAAAAAAGAAGAAGGGGAAATTGTATATTTGTTCATTCTTCACAAGCAGACAATAATGCTTCTCTGCATAATTTCGAACGATAAACTTGTATTATCTTTCTGAAAGTGGTCGGCAATTCTTAATCTCTTATAATGATGACTTTAAAAGCATAGGACTATAGATATTTTACATTTTAGTTTTTGATTAGATAGAGCAAAACTCATTAGCGGATAGTAAATTAATCTCGTTAACATCATCTAAAAGAAGCGTTCACATGTGCAATTTGCAAAATTTCCGTAATTGATTCAATTTGTACAATTGCGTTAGTTACAGAGCTATAATTAAAAATGGAACCATTGTTTATTCGGTACCTAACACATTGCCACAGTACTAATCTTACAACTTTAACAAATTAGTATCGTTTTCTTCCCTTGGTTTGCAATTCAATCCAAAGAACGCATTAACTTACAAGCCAGTGATTAATATCACACTCATCACAAGCTTTTAAAAGTAATCACAATGTTTATCACATGATACAGTTAATTGTAGTTAAACATTAAAAAAAACATATGCATTAATGTCTGGTGGACCAAAACACCCACTAAATTGCCTAGTCTTGTTAGTGGTTGAACTTGATTTTGTAAGACTAAAAAATTCGCTAGGAACCAGATCGAACCGGTTGATCCTGATGAATGAATTTGGGACAATTAACCGTGGATTGGCCAAAGAACCAGACCCGAATCACTAAACAACAGACCGGACTAAACGAATCTAATACGCCACAGCTTAATGATCCATAGAGAGGCTTAGAAGCTCAAAACCATACAGGGACCAGAGTTGAGGTAACATACAATTAGTAACTTCTTCCGATTGCGAGTACACAAACTAACAAAAGAATTGTCCTACTTAATATACAACAGTTTTTTTGGTATCCTCTATCTCAAAAAATTTCTCCAAAAACCAAGATTCATCAGCGGAATAGATCTTGGAATGACCACATTATGAATCTTGCAAAGATATCAGACTCCAAGAACTCGATGTGAGCAGCACGGCCGATGAATGAGTTCAGGTTACGACCATACAAGGTTGTGTCGAAGTTGACATCGCAGCGCATGAACACTCTCTGGTGGTGAGGAGTTTCAGGGGATGGCCCACGTATTTGGTCCATACAGTTATTAAGCATCTCCAAGAAAGCAACACCTCTTTTTGAGTTGTCGAAAGAAGCTGGTTGGCACGACTCAATCCTGGCTGAGTGATATGGAACATACCCATCCTGCAATAGCAAAAGACATGGCTCTAATTACACAATACAAAAAAATGAGGGCTTATGCATCAACATTTGCGCAACTAGCATCAAATCTAGCAAGATCTTTGTATTTGATGATCAAAATATCATTGTCTCTACAATTTTGTTAAATCTATAACCCTGATATACAGTCAAGATTGAGAAGTCCACTTAGAAGGCTTAGAACCAGAGATCGCTCGCATTAATTACTATTGAATTCCCATAAGTATAATGGAAAGTACCTGAGGCGAAGACAGGAGAATTATATTCTTGAAACTCCCCAACGTCTTTTGCTGAAAAGAATTTTAAAACCGACATAAGAACCAAAGAACAAAGGTCTGCTTGTATCTATGGTACAATATCTTGATGAATTGTTAAGATCTTTCTCTACCTTGCAGAGCTTGTAAAAGAAAGTATTCTGGAGATCAGGATCATCTGTGAGTGTAAGCTGATGAATAACTTGAGTACTCTTTAACTTCTTCAGGAGCCAAAGTCCAGAATTAAACAAGGAATTTGAACTGTATAGATAACCCAAGTGTGGACCCGAAAGCGATAGATATGTATGAAAATACTTCCTGTATGGATCCATCAAACTATCTGCAACAAATACATAAGTCGGCAATAATGATAAACACCAACACCGATCTGAGAACCGTTTTAAACATTGTCTGAGAGATTCTAAGACCATACCAGCTATTGCAGCTCTGATGATGACGTTACCGATTGAATGTCCAACAAAACTCAGCTTAATGTTTTTCAAGCGCCCATATCTCGCATGTTTATCCTTTTTCCTCTTGAAAAAAGAAACAACTTCCTGCGCAAGCCTCTGACCCATTTCCCTAAAATCACCATGTGTTTTCTCCTCATTTGCCTCAGACATGAGAAACTCTATCTTTGGATCAATTAGGAGCCACTGATTCCGGATAAGCCTTAGGTCTAAGTGATGCCCCTATAGCAGTTAACAAAAATCTATCATGTAACGAACAAAAATTGAATAGATACAAAAGCAAACTGTAACTAAGTAGAACAGAAACAAAAAAAGAAGCAGCTCTAACATATGGAGTATGGACACTGTGCCAATAAACACAATGATTTATAGACAAAAGATATATTACTCCATAAGCTTAAGAAAGAGAAAGGGATTACGCATTCACTTAGCATCTAGAAGATTACTTGCCTGGAAACCATGAACAAAAACAACGATCTTCAGCTCACGCCCAGTATGCTGTGGGTTGTTATGTTTTTTCGTCCCACTTTCATCATCATGCCCATTAAGTAAGCTAGAATCGATTCTATCAACATGTCTCATGTACGAATTATCACTGAACGTACGCCTTGGTGCATTCCAAACACGTTCAATTATAACTATAGGAACCCGCATAGGATCACCAAATATATGCATGTCTTGTATTGCCCGGTTGTTTATCTGCACATTAGTTATAATTAATCAAATTTTACAACTTACGAAACCAACAGGTAACTGAATCACAAAACTAAAATAACAGACCCGCATTTGTGCAATACTTCGACGGTGAAGTTCAGCGCGGGTGGCTGCAACTTGTGCAGGCTGCATAAGAGCAAAAATTGAATGAGTAGAGCCTAGCTGGCATTCTGATAAATTTGAAAAATAATCACTAACTATATAACTCACATCATTCGGCTTCAACACACTTGAGACTCTTTTGTGTGAACTATGGTTTGAAATGTCGTCCATTCCACTTATAAAATGATGTGGCATTTCAACCTTGGAGTACACCATCCATATTGACCATTCCGCTCTTCGATCTTTAGTCCAGATATCGCGAAGATATTCCAAGATTTTTGTGTAATTATCCCTGAAAAGGGGACAAATAAGATAAATGATCAGAAGATAACTTCGCAAACAAAATAAACCTACAGGCTTATTTGACTATGGATGTCCAAGGAAAATTACCGATGAAATGTCAAAAAGGTATTCCAAAGATAATGGAGCTGGGTGCCCAGTAAGTGGAATGTGCGAGATAGATGCTCCTTTGAGAAGTTGTGAAGCCAGTCATCACTTGCTAAATCAAATGGGCCATTCAACTTCTGTGTCAAAAAATGGAGAGAAGAGCTTATATTCCAGGAGATAGCAAAACACGGTAATAGATATAGAATACTCTGCAGTACAATTAAGCAAGGACCTCAAGATTGTTTTGTTGCTTGCCTTGTCCTGAACCTTCAACTTCAACAGATTTCCCCGTCGAAGCTGAGTCAGATAAAAGAGCATTGTCCATACTGGATACAAACTCAGACAAGTCAATTGTTTGACCAACTGCCTTGCTAAGCCTTTGCATTTCTTCAAGCAAAGTGTCACGAGCTCCGAGTAAGGCTTTCACAAATGACACCAACTTCTTGTCAGCAGAAGCGATTTGAGTAAAGGCCTAGTGAGTTACAAAACAATCAATCAATAATAGTATTGTAAAATCTCGAGACAGAGGGGCCTTACTAGACAATGTTGTTAGAATTTGATTTGAAAAAATGAAAAGAATTTACTACAAAACAGAGCTTAGTAAGTTCTGTGAAACCATGCTATTTGCAGCTTTATACAAACAATGCCAACAAGACTGAAAATAGTGGTGGGTTCTATATGACTCATAAAAGCAAGTATCAAAACACTGATGTATGATAGCTCAGCAACAGCTTAAGCATCCTGAAGGTAGAGATTCTAAAGTCGAATAAGAACTCTAGCATAAATTACATCTTCCTAAGAAAAGAACGATTGTTTAAAGAAGACAATGATAAGATCATCTGTAGAGACTCTAAATGAGCATAAAGCAAAAAATAAATTTGCTGAATCAGAGACGAGTATGCAATGCTGAAAGGAAGGTGTAAGAACACATACTTTTTTGGAAGACTGAACATTGCCGCTGGCCAAATTTTTACCATTACTCGCATCACTGCATCAAACATGTTGGTTGATATATTAACTGAAGAGATGTAGAAAACTCAGCAAAAAAATGGAATACAAAAATGGTCAATTATGCATACCTTGATAAAATTGCAGGCCGTTTGTAAGCAGCGGATTTCATGACGCTGACGTGGACACTTACATCGATAAGAACTGCGTGAAAGGTATCAAAGTGCACTGGACAGTAAGAATGCACGCCTGAAAGAGCTTTAGGAGGAATACGAAATTCATGCACTGCCGCAGAACAAGCATCTGAATGTGTCACTGGTATATCCTCAATGATTGGAGAATACAAAAGCTCAAACTTCAATATAACAGCAGATGTAGCTGACCCCTGCGTCAATCACAACTAGTCATTTATTGTACAAAAGCTCAACCAAGTACAGCACTTTTCACAAATTGGATTATTATTGTTGTTGACTATGAATAAGATCAGTAGCTAAATAACCTCACAAACTCAACGACGCAAATACTTTAACAATTCATGTTGTTTAGATATTATGCCTTCATAGTTGTGACTTGTGAGAGTACATACAAATAAGATACCTAGGAAAAAGGAAAGGAAGACTGGTACCTCATATCTTTCCAGAGGCATAGTAAATGAGACCATCATGCAGAGACGAACATCCTGCCTTGCATATTTAATGCGGAAGGGCTGTGTTAAGAAACTACTATCCTTATCATCTATCTTCCACACTCCATATGAGTCATTTGAGGTTGAATCAAGAGCTGTGACACACAGGAAAAGTAGACATATAATTCAGGAAACACTCTTGCATCATGAATAGTGGACCTAATCACAAGAACGTGGCAAGACAAAAGAAAATGATACAGAAGAAAGCTGGTGGGTAAAAGTACCTTCATACTGAACAACTCGTGAAGGAATTCCACAGGAGTTGTTATCACCATCCTCCCATCTCATGCTAATTTTTATTTGATACCATCTAAAAGAAATAAAGATACAACACTTTAGAGCCAGAGCAGAAAAATGCTTCAAGGTGAAGAGAAACTGTCATACCCTTGCTGGAAAAGATCAAGGTTATGAAACCTATGAATATAGATAGCAATCTCCTGAACTGTGTCGACCATTAGCACCGGCTTAACCCTGGCTACGTAAGGCTCAGCATCAAGCGACTTAGTTTGCCTACTTCTTTGGCTCAGTCCAATTAACCATCCAAGACGGCGTAACATATGGAGAACTCACATCACCTTCTAAAACTTTGGATGTGTGTTTTCAGGACAATGATATCCTGAACCAGTAGGACAACTTGTTCGAAATCTCATGTCTCCTACATAACCAGATGCAAACTCCTCAAAGTGAAAACTCAAAGCCAACCAGCAGCTGCAGATGAAAAGATGCAAACTTTGTAATCTCGATAACACTAGAGAGTTCATCTGATATAGAATAATCAACAAAGTAACAAAACAAAGAGATATTAAAATGTACATATCTATCTATGTTCGACTACCTAAAGTCGTCTCCGACAACACAATTAGGTCAAAAGATAAAATTCCAATCTGAGCCCGGTGGATTGCAAATGTCAAAAATTTGCGAAAATAACAAAACTTTACCATAAATACATACATTACCTCGAAATGGGAAAAAGAAAATCAAAGGCAGAGCAAAGCAGAGAGTTAAAAGGAGAAGATGGGTGGGCCTTGAGACTTAGATCTGACGAAAACCCAGATTTGCTTTAGGATTTGCTTTTTGCAGGACAGACAAACCCTGAGCTAAAAGAACAGAGATGAAAAAAAGAGAGGATCTGGGAAAGTTACAAATGATAATGGTAGGGAACAAACAAGTTTTTGAGGGATTCGATGATTTTTTTGATACTTTTTAAATTAAGAGTTCAAAAAAAAGTCAGATTTTATTATTTTTGTCGGGTAAAGGATGAATGTTCATGCGACGACACCAATTACTATGTGTTTTTTTTTTCTTCTCGGATGTTGTCTTTTTTTGGCCTTTTTTTTTGTTGTGTCGTAAAATGGTGGATCCGACCCACTACGTTTACTGGCCTTGCGAGATGAACTCCAAACCCGATTTACTTGGTTATTTATATGGAGGCCTATGTAAAAGCCCATTATCATATCATTCAACTTCTTTTGAGAATCAGGTTGGTTTATTTACATCTTCTTCCTTGTTCTTTTGTCAACAGATTCTTGTAAATATAGTTAGATTCTAAAAAACAATAAAAGACGTTGAATATGGATATTAACTTTGATGAACTCCATATCTTATCTTAGTCAACGTTAGTAGTACTTTATTCATTTGATTTCGCTAGATTTTACTTTGAGACGTTAAAAACAATAAAAGTTGAAAAGGAAAAAGAAAAGCAGAAGAAAAAATTTGATTATATTTAAGGAATAATTGGATTGTATGCCCTAAATTTTATTAGAAATTTGAAATGTATACTATAATTTTTTAAAATTTGAGATGTATCTTATTCTTTTTCCAAAATGACATTTTTGTCCTTAATTAATAATTAAAAATTCAGAAAACGAAAATAAAATAATTAGAGTAGTTAACTTTTACAAATATTATTTAAAATTCACAATTAAACTGTTCATATTAAAAATTATATAATCAAAAAAATTTTATTGTTATTTTGTGAAAATGTTAGATAATGATGGAACTAAACTAATAATTATGATATAAATAATGAATTTTAATTATATAATAAAATTATCAAGATTTTGGGTTGATGTAGTTAATATTTTGGAAAATGATTGGTTTATAATAAACTACGAATTTATATATAATACAAAAATATTTTCTTAATATTTTCGAGATATATAATATATATGCACTATATATATTTTAAATTTATTACAAATATAAATTATATACATTTAATTATCCTAAAATAAATTACTAATTAAATATTATAACTAAAAATAATTATCTATATTCAAAAAAAAACAAATCAACAGTTCAAAAGAATCGACAATGTAAAAAATCAATTAACCAAGATACAAGTCAGTTGTTTTAATATAAGTCAATAGAGAATAAAATTAAGTCGACAAAAATAAAATATAAGTCAACAGTTCAACAAATCAACCTTATTAATAAATCGATGTAAAATTAAATAAGTCAATAGTTTAAAAAAGTCAACTGTGTAAAATATCAATCAACCAAAATATAAATCGACTGTTTTAAAATAAGTCGATAGAAAATAAATTTAGTCGACGAAATAAAATATAAGTCGACAGTTTTAAAAAACGACCTTATTAGTAAGTCAACATAAAATGAATTGAATCTACCATGAATAAATATGTCGACATCAAAAATTATAAATCAATAAACAAAATAAATAAGTCAATAGTTCAAAAAATCGAGTATTTTATAAATCAACTAGTTAAAATATAAGTCAAGCGTTGTAAAATAAGTCGACAGGAAAAAAATTAAGTCAACAAAAGTGAAAAATAAGTCGAAAGATTAAAAAATCGACTTTATCAATAAATCGACTTAAATGAATAAATTTACCAAAAAGTAAGAAGAATTTATTTATTTACTATAAGTTATAGAAATTTTTAATTATTAATTTTAAGTAATTTACAAATTTGATAATATTTTTTATTTTTTATCTATTCAAAATTTTAGATAATATATGATTACTCCAAACATTGTAAATAATTTTTTTATTTTTACTATTAATAAATAAAAACGAATTTTAGTTATTTTAAATTTTTTTATATTATTTTTAATTTATTAATTAAATACTACTTAAATTAATGAAAGGGTATTATGGTAAATTTTTATTATAAAAAGAGTACTATTCAAATTACTATATCACTTAGTGTAGTTTTCAATTTTTTTATATAATTTAGTATATTTATAAAAATCTTAGTTGCCACCAAAAAAAATAACTTCACTCATATGAATGACAAATGGTTAAACGTTTGATAGGGTTAATTAGAAACACACAAATAAGTCCCCAAGATTAATAAGATTCGACATAAAGACATGTTTTTTTTAATAGAAATTATATGTTTTCCCACATAAGCATTGACGGGATGATGAGAGTATATATATAAATGTCATTTACTCCTCTCTCAGCTTCCTTTCTCACATATGAAAAGCTTCAACACAGAGCACAATCCCTCGGCGGTGGAGTCCGGTGACGCCTCCGGGAATAGATTCGACGACGATGGTCGGGAGAAGAGGACGGGGACGTTTATGACGGCGAGCGCCCACATAATTACGGCGGTGATAGGCTCCGGTGTGTTGTCCTTGTCTTGGGCAATAGCACAGCTTGGTTGGCTGGCAGGAACCGTAATTTTGGTCACTTTTGCCATCATTAATTACTACACATCCACCATGCTCGCCGACTGTTACCGATCTCCCGACGCCGTACCGGGAACACGGAATTATACTTACATGGACGTCGTCCGAGCTTACCTTGGTATATGTCTTAAAGACCCTTTAACCTGTGAAATTTATATTTTTTTGTTTTAGATTTTTTACAAATATCCTTTTATATTTAGGTGGTAGGAAAGTGCAGTTATGTGGAGTGGCACAGTACGGAAGTCTCGTAGGGGTCACTATTGGTTACACCATCACTGCCTCCATAAGCTTAGTGTAAGTCGCAGCATGTGATTTATTTCGATAAAGGCCGTTATGGTTACTAATAATTAATTAACATGTCGTGAATAAAATATGAACAGTTTTGATTGATGTTTTGTGTTGGCTTAGAGCGATCGGAAAAGCAAATTGTTTTCATGACAAGGGACATGATGCGAAATGTTCCATGTCGAATTATCCATCCATGGCAGCATTTGGGATTGTCCAAATTATACTCAGCCAGATCCCTAATTTCCACAAACTCTCTTTCCTCTCCATCATCGCCACCGTTATGTCCTTCTGTTATGCGTCTATCGGAATCGGCTTATCCATCGCCAGAGCCGTGCCTACTTAGATAATTTGGAAACATTCGCCTACGTCAGCAAATTTTGTTAGAAAATTTAGGAGGCTATATTTGTTAATAGTGGTTAGTATATACGTATTATTGAATTAATAAAGTTAAGAGAGATTAATACAAATAATAAAGGAAAGTAGTATAAGTTGTAATATATAAAATTCCTAAATACAAGGAATCTTGATACTTTTAAGGGGATAATTTAGTGTTGTTAATTTTTTTTTTTTGGTATCCGCTAGTTTTGTTTTCTATATATCTCATTAATTCTTTTTTTTTTCTCACTTTTTACCAACCTCTTGTTTGTTAATCATCTTTATCCAACTTTATTAATTAATTTTATATATTAGATACTACTTTTTGTATATCAGCATAATTATGTTAAATTTTATTATTACCAAAATTATATTTTGTTTTGCAACACTAAATACAAATTGCTAGACTACATATTATGATCAACCTAGTTTTTATAATTTTTGTTTTATAGTACTTGTTCTCATTGTGTGATGAATATTTTTTTTGGAACTGTGAATTTTTATAACTTAATCTTAATATTTGAAGATTTATTTTAAAAAATTAAAATATTAAATTATATATTTTACTATGTTTATTATATATTATCGATGTATTAAACTATATTTTTCTGCCTATGGTACCAAAATTTCTTGGCACGGCTCTGTCCATCGCCACTGTGACAAGTACATTTTCCCTCATCTCTATCTTATTCCTTCTTTCAAAATTTATGTAGAACCGTCTCAAACTAAGTTTTAATAGTATATACTTCAAAATAAAACAATAATATTAAAACTTTAGATCTTGTTCGGATACCCAAGTTCATCCTGAAAAAAATCTACTAAAGTTTGTTTAGAAAATCTTCTCAATCCATGCATGCCTAATTAAGATTCTCATAAAGTTTGCAAACTTGACATCAAACTAATGACGAAGGTGGGAAGGTTGGTAAGACGGGGCTGACGGGTACGGTGGTTGGGGTGGACGTAACTGCGTCTGAAAAACTGTGGAGATCGTTTCAAGCCGTTGGAGACATTGCATTCTCATATGCTTATTCCATTGTTCTCGTTGAGATCCAGGCATGTATTTATTCCTACATTATAACTACATATCTCTAATTTAGATGTTGGTGGTCACCATCCAATTAGCGTACGTCGAGCGAAAATTTTACTACTGTATTGTGTTCATTTTTGTGTAGCCTATAGGGTATATTATATGTTGGTTAGAATATAGAATTCATGATGTTATTGTGGTTAGAGATTGTTGACTATTACAACTTTTATCCTCTTTTTCACCAAAAAGAGCTAGAAGAGGAAGATGGGATGTTATCACCGGGGCACATACAAAACCCTATTTTTACTTGCTTTCGCACAAGGAAGAAATTATTTGTTTCTTATCAACAAATTTATCTTTATTGAATTGACACAATACCATATTATTTTCACCTTAATGATAACTTCAGTGTGTGTGTGTTGTGGTGTAGGATACATTGAAATCAACCCCACCGGAGAACAAAGTGATGAAAAAAGCAAGCCTTGCTGGAGTCTCCACGACAACTGTTTTCTATATCTTATGTGGTGGCATCGGATATGTTGCATTCGGAAACAAAGCCCCTGGTGACCTCCTTACAGACTTTGGTTTTTATGAACCTTACTGGCTCATCGATTTTGCCAATGCGTGCATCGTTCTCCACCTAATTGCAGCTTATCAGGTATAAGTCGTAAAGAAAAATTAGTCTAAGTTTCGACCTAGGATTCATTACTCAAGTATATATATAAAAGATACAACTATCCACCACTCATTATATTTTCAAGCTTGTAAATCTCATCAAGAAGAAAGCAAAACATTGATGATCAATTTATATTATGGACAGGTGTTTGCGCAACCAATTTTCCAGTTTGTTGAGAAGAAATGCAACAAAAAGTGGCCAGAAAGCATTTTCATCACCAGTGAACATTCAATGAATATACCATTGATTGGAAAATGTCGTGTCAACCTCTTCAGACTATTGTGGAGGACATCCTATGTGGTTTTGACAACAGTTGTAGCAATGATATTCCCCTTCTTCAATGCAATCTTGGGTTTGCTCGGGGCACTCGCGTTCTGGCCACTCACAGTTTATTTTCCGGTGGCAATGCACATTGAGCAGGCAGAGGTTAAGAAGTATTCTCTTAGATGGATAGGGCTGAAACTCCTTGTATCGCTTTGTTTGATTGTTTCACTCCTAGCCACAATAGGATCCATTGTCGGCTTGATAACTAGTGTCAAGGCATACAAGCCTTTCAACAATTAATATTAGTATACTGTACATGTGATCTATATGAGTTTTGTGAGAACTGAGTATTACTTCTCTCAAGAAAAATAGTTAATAACGTAATAAAGTATATAGTGTTCTCCAAAGTTTAAACCTTACAGTTTTACGGCATTACTATCAAACATTCGAAGTTTACAGTAATGTGAAGAAGTGAGGAACAAAGGTTTCGATCGAGTCTTTTAGGGCTAATACTTGTGGTGGTTGGTTTATATGGGCCGATACGCGTGGCCCATTTACTAGTATCTTGTTAATTACCGCACAAATAATATTTGATTTAACTATAAGATTTTAGCTAAGCCACCTATAGTAGAAATTAATATTGCAAATGTTCACTATCTAATCACTTACACATTCATTTTTTGGTGATGACATCCAAGTTTTCACCAACGGCTTGTCAACTACCGTATTTTAATGGTGTAATATGTGACATTTATTATGACAAAAAAAAATGTAATACTATGTGACATACTATTAGATATCTGAATCTGTCTCGACAACTGGAACAAAAATATTTGCATGTTTTGAAAATAGATGGGAATCTTGTGGATATAGTCAGAATCTGGAAAAGACTAAACCATAATTGGAATATTATTTGACGAAATATATTTTTAAATAATAAACTAAAATTTCAGGATTAAATATATATGTTGGTCAAAATCCATATTTAATAAGTAGGATATACATTAATTGTGCACAGTGCACAAAAATTATGGATTGTGAGATAAGATTGAAAGACAAGATAAGAACTAAGGCTCAAAGTCGTACATAATTGAAATTAGTGAAATATTATGTAAACCATTAAAACATCAAATATAGCACACGAAACATGTAAATTCACATAATTTTGTCTTTGGTGCGATACTAATTAAACATGTTGCTGATATATTATAATATTTAGTTGCTACAGCATATAGATTTACATCAGTTCTTCCTATAATGGTATTAACGATTAATGAAGTTCATGGGCATGTGAGGATTTGAGAAGAGATGAAAAGATAAATGAGCATGATAGAAGAGAGGATATAGCTAGGCAAGAGGCCAAGATATGAAGGTAAAGATCTCTCTGTTTTAGTCATCTAATTTTATTCAGTTACCTAATTTCGATTATTCGTATACTGTCATAAATGTAGGTAATTCTCTTTTAAACTTACGGACCAATTTTTGTTTTGAATAGACTACAGCTACCTAAGGTTTCCATAATAAGCAATAGTGGTTACACATTCAAAATCAAAATCAAAAGGAATAAATCTCCATAATATAAGATTCTCTGAATAAATAAGATTCAACGTACAAAGATGCTCTTTCCATATAAACATCAATATTTGTGTACATATATATACGTTAGTGCGTGCATGTGGGGAGGACTCTAAGACGACCTCTGTCATTTAACTCTCTTCCTCTCTCTTCTCTCCTCTTGTTCAGTGGTTCATCTCTCACAATGATGGAAGCATACCATAATCCTTCGGCGGTGGAGTCGGGTGACTCCGCCGTTAAGAGCCTCGACGACGATGGTCGTGAGAAGAGAACGGGGACGTTTATGACGGCGAGTGCGCACATAATCACGGCGGTGATAGGCTCCGGGGTGCTGTCGTTGGCTTGGGCCTTAGCACAGCTTGGTTGGGTGGCAGGAACCATAATTTTGGTCGCTTTCGCCATCATTACTTACTACACCTCCACCATGCTCGCCGACTGTTACCGTTCGCCGGACCCCATCACCGGAACACGCAACTATAATTACATGGGCGTCGTCCGAACTTACCTTGGTATGGGTTCATTTCGTGTCTTTATCAGCATTATTTTTCACAGATTTTTCAGTTTTAGAGACATTATTTCTCTGATTACGATTTTGTTCATATGATAGCATTTAGATTTTTCGTAACTAATCTTAATTAAGGATGTGTTCAATTTGATTCTCTTCCATTTCTGTCACAAGGATGATGGCTGGCAAAGAAAATAATCTTATCTAAAAAAATATTTAATGCTAAGTTGAAATTTGTAAATCTACAGTAATTGACTCATTTCAACAATTTTTTACCATGCAAATTTGTTGAAGAACATTATTGTTGTTGTTGAACAAAAAAAAACATTATTAATTGTTGTTAGAAAAAAATTGATTTAAGATTTTGCTAAGTGTGAATGCTCTTCTTGGGAAGATATGAATTAATTATCAAAATCTACAAAAAGGAAGAAGATCTATGAAATTTTATTTCTTTCCTAAATTAGTTAATAAATTGAATTGACTAGGATTGGTAACATAGTCAATTTAATTTATCCCGTTAAAGAATGTTGTCAATAAATTCGATAGTTGACCCCCCAAGTCAAATTTGAATTGAAATGCGGGATGCTTAATTAGAAACGTTGCCATAGTCTAGCAAAAGATTATTTGATAGCACAAGAGTAATTAATTTTATTGTTTAATAACATAAAACGACAGGGGGTAAAAAGGTTCAGCTATGTGGAGTGGCACAGTACGTGAATCTCGTAGGGGTCACTATTGGTTACACCATCACTGCCTCCATAAGCTTAGTGTAAGTTACAGGTTCTGATACATTTCGATAAATTTGTGATGGTTATAGCTTACATGTTGTGGAGAAAAGACTAAGTTTGATTGGTGTTTTTGTGTTCGTTATATAGAGCGATTGGGAAATCAAATTGTTTTCATGACAAGGGACACAAAGCGAAATGTTTTGTATCGAATTATCCATACATGGCGGCATTTGGGATCGTCCAGATTATTCTGAGCCAGCTTCCTAATTTTCACAAGCTCTCTTTCCTCTCCATCATTGCCGCGGTTATGTCCTTCTCTTATGCGTCTATTGGAATAGGCCTAGCCATCGCCACTGTAGCAAGTACATTTCCCTTCTTTATCTTTAAACATTTATTTCAAATATGTATATAGTTTCAAACTATATAGAAATTAGTGTTCGAAACAATTAACGGTTTATATGGATGATTCGTCAAAGTTGACACTAACCGTGAAAATGGTATAATATGAAAGGTGGGAAGATTGGTAAGACAGAATTGACAGGCACAGTGATAGGTGTGGACGTAACTGCGTCTGAAAAAGTTTGGAAATCGTTTCAAGCGATTGGAGACATTGCCTTTTCATACGCTTTTACCACTATTCTCATCGAGATTCAGGCATGTACTGATTCCTAGCTACTATCTTCCGTTTAGAATTGTTTTCATTTGCATTTAAATTCTGGTTAAGAGTATGGATCTAATGATGGATGACTGATAATTAGTATAACCATGTACTTTCTTATAGACCACTTCTATTATCACTTTCTTCAAAGAGAGGTAAAATAAGATTACCTTGAAGATAAGATCTTATTATTAACTAGACATGTAGGAAAAAATATAAATGGATAGAAAAAGTTTCATTTTAGATATGTGAAGCTCTACAGAGAGTGACGCTCTAGATAGTCTTGTTTATTTTGCAGGACACATTGAGATCAAGCCCACCAGAGAACAAAGTGATGAAACGAGCGAGTCTTGCCGGGGTCTCAACCACAACTGTTTTCTACATCTTGTGTGGTTGCATCGGATATGCTGCGTTCGGGAACCAAGCCCCTGGTGACTTCCTTACTGATTTTGGTTTTTACGAACCTTATTGGCTCATCGACTTTGCCAATGCTTGCATTGCTCTCCATCTAATCGGTGCCTATCAGGTATAACTCACAAACAAAAGAAAAAAGATAAGTGTGTAACAATATTCAAGTTCATTAAAAATCGTATTATTGTATTAGAATTTCTAGCTTTAATAATCCAGAAGAGTTATTTTGTAACAATGCTAAATATTGTTTCTAAAGAAATGCTCTGTTTTTTTAATCTCTGTATTATTCATAGGTGTACGCGCAGCCGTTTTTCCAGTTTGTTGAGGACAACTGCAACAAAAAATGGCCTCAAAGCAATTTCATCAACAAAGAATACTCGTCAAGCATACCTTTGCTTGGGAAATGTCGTGTCAACCTCTTCAGACTGGTTTGGAGGACTTGCTATGTGGTTTTGACAACATTTGTAGCAATGATATTCCCCTTCTTCAATGCGATCTTGGGTTTGCTTGGGGCACTCGGGTTCTGGCCACTTACAGTTTATTTTCCTGTGGCAATGCACATTGCGCAGGCAAAGGTCAAGAAGTATTCTCGTAGATGGTTGGCCTTGAACCTCCTCGTATTGGTTTGCTTGATCGTCTCAATCCTTGCCGCGGCAGGATCCATCATTGGCTTAATAAATAGTGTCAAGTCATACAAGCCCTTCAAGAATTTAGACAAGTGACTTGTGATCTATATGAATTCTATGAGATTTCTTACAAGCTAAATATTTATTTTTTAGTGTTTCTACAAACAAGTTGTGACCTTCTGTTTTCGGCTATGTTAAAACCAAAATGCTAATTGATATATATCTTCCTATGAAAATGGATAAAATAGTTTTAAACTTTTTCGAAGGACTACAAGTATTAGTCAACATTGGATTTGATGTTTGAGTCCCATGAGATACTACTACTATGAAGAAGATGGATTTCAGCTTTTGAAATTCGTGTGGTTGTGTCAATATCGAGTTATTATTATTTATTTTTCTTAATGGAATTGTCGGGGAAATCTTGAAAACAGACACACAAATTGTGTCATTTATTTGGTTTGGTATGCCCCACATAAGTTACTATCACATCTTGTGTATTGGAGGAGTTGGGCAATATGAGTATCAAGGCAAGTTTGGTCCTTCCTAACGTTTCTAGTTGTTTACTAGCTTTCTATTCACTCAAATACATTTATGTGCTTCTCCCTAATCTCTCTCTTCTATATTTACTCTGCATTTGCTTACAAAGTCATTGTCAAGGTTTTGTGGTCGTATGTCACTTGATGGATACCATCATAACCGCCATGTAACCAAACAATTGCGCCTTGCGGTTACCTAACTATATGACGCATCTAGCCAAGAGATGCATCCGCTAATCTTGGTCATTTTTCGTTGCAGTTCTAGTTGATTGTTCAATAGAGGAATTTTAATATCAATTGAGTTCGAACCCAAGCATTCATATTTCATGACTACAAATATGGATATAAATGCTGTTTAAATGCTGTTGTAGAATACCTTTGCAAATAGTCCATGTTTATCTATCTTCTCAACCACCAATACCAACTCAGTTTGTAACTAACTTAATTTCTAAGTTCTAACCAACTAAAGTTTATTGTCTCAAGTCCCACAATGGACATTGAACATCCAACACATAAAAGGAAAAAAAGCAAACCAAGCAAACAATCTCATGTGTTTTTTACATCAAGAGATTCTAAATTCGATTTTTCTAATTTATACACTTACATAATCAAATCAAAGGCAAAAGAAGAGTGACCAAGAAATTCACTCTTCACATCACTCGTAGAAACCCAAACCCAAAAAAGAAAAAAGACGATACGAGAAGCCACACAAAGTCCAAAATAGAAGCTCACTATGTACATCCTAGTTTGTTAGCGCCTTACCGGAAGTTTTTTTTCAAAAAAGAAAAAAACCTCCCAAGGCTATTTGTGATTCTAAATTTTCAGAAACAAAAAAAAACCAAAAAAATAAAATTCTTATCTTTTCTTCAGCTCAGTGACTCATGGCAAAGCTCTTTCCTCATCCGTTGATTAAACAACCTGCAAGCATCCATACTTAGATCAATGGCTGCAGAAAGCGCCACGTAAGCAGCCGCATCTTCCATACAGCTAACGTGCTGCACACTCACCTCTACACAAGGCTTACTACATTTCCCTTCACCTTCCACACTTGCTGACATCACAAACCCTTTGTACACGTTCCACGGCCACAATCCGTAACCATAATCGCCACTCCCTCCTCTCGGACTATTCGCCGGCGATGCTCCTCCACCGCTTCCATTGCTCCCACCTCTGCGGCTTCTTGATCGGTTCACGCCACTTGTTGGCGACGATGAAGAAGAAGACGATCCCAATTCTATTGAGAATTTCCCACCTCTGTGAGAACTTATGGTAGATTCGGCAAGCACGATTCCTGCACCGCTTGATCCGTCTGGGATGAGTTCGAATCTGTAACCAAGACCATCAGTTGCTCCACCGCGTTCCCGCCATGCTTCTAGTCTCCCCCACGGTCTCCAGGTACAATCTCCGGGACGCAGTATAAGCCATGACCCAGGGTTTGACCGGCTCACACGATCGGTTCCAGGAGATGCAACGAATGGAGTGACGATTGACGCCATGGCCACTGGAGAACCGGACAAGTCATGAACTGTTATGGACCATCCTTTTCGCTCTTTCCCTGGACGTTCTCTCTCACTCCCGAACGAGTTTAGCCAGCTCCGTGGAACACTTGTCTCAGTCGGCAATGATCTGATCAATCAAAACACCATTTAATCCACATTTTTTTTTAATATTAATCATATTAATTCCCATTATAGAATAAAAGTGGTTAAATATCATAAGAGTAAAGTTTATACTAAGAATAAAAGTGGTTAAATATCATAGAGTAAAGTTTTTTTTCAATAGATCCGTACTAAAGCAAAAATTAAAACAAGGAATGTGATTTCAGTAGTATTTCACAATAATCTTTGACGTTGGATCTAATTAAAGCGTATATTACGATTTGATTCCTCGGGAAAATAACATAATTAGAAATAATAAAAAAAATCGATATCCCAATTTCCGATAAATGTGGTGAAAAATTGATTTGATTTGATTCGATTGGCCGGAAAACAAACCTTGATCTCTGAGTACGATCACCGGTGTGCCGGCAACTGAATTTGCATGTGAAAACTGGTTGCCGGATATTTCCTTGAATCTGAACGACTTGAGGACTACATTCAGGCTCGCCGTCGAACTGAAAAACGAATCTAGGATCAGGCTCCGTCTTCACATTCAGGTGAAACTGAGCCGACGACGACGATTTCCCAGCTCCTTTTCCGACGGATATCCATCCGTTGTGGAAGACGCACGGTTTAGATAGCGTACCAGATAGATCCAACGGTACGGAGACTTTCGCCAGAAGACGACCGGAGTGTACGCCGCAAGCAGCGCCGGCTCTTCCGGTGTAGATCAAAATCTTAAGACATGGCTTAGAAGTAAAAATAGATCTGGAAGCTAAGCGTTGAATATCGGAGCTGCTGAGATGAAACGTGGCGGCTAGGGTTTGGATCTCCGGAAACTGAGTCGTCTCCAGAGGAATGTACGGGATTGCAGCGGTTTGCGGCGGGAAGTTTTTGAGTTTGATTTTACAAAAACAAGGAGAAGACGACGGATGCACGACGGAGCTCGTAGTCTTCGCCGCTAACGGAACTTTCAAAGCTAGATTCCCGATCGTAAGACGGATAAATGGACAAGGATCCATTTCAATCGCAACCAGAAAGAAGAATCAATTAGGGTTTTTGACGGAGGAAGAGAAAGAGAAGGAAATGTGAAGTAAAGGGTTTAGGAAGAGTTCGACATTAATGGAAGGAACCGTTCAAGAGACGATGACTTAGAGAATTAGGCAAAGGAAAAGGAGGTGACGACGATAAAACGCAGCGTTTTAATGGCGCCGTATTCACGACCTAACCATTAGAGGAAGCAGTCGTCTTCTTGGTCTATCTGTGTATGTCTCTGGTTTTTAAGTGGAGACAAACAAGGAAGCACAATTTACATTTTTCCATTTTTGCCTTCCCTCCTTCGTTTCCCTATATTTTCCATTATTGTCCAATACGCCTTTATTATACCACAACTTAAAGATTGGTACCAAACCTTTTTAATTTAGTACTCCTCAACCCCCTAATTCATAAATATTTTTTTTTTTTTTGAATAACCGCGGGTCTCCCAAAGGCTTCCTAGGCCCAAAGACTAATCCCACGAGGATGGCAATTTCCCTATGTAAACCTGCCAGTGGCCGTGCCACAAAATATTGCAGGTTAAGTTACTTCCACAAAAGAAATTGTAGATCAAAAATCATTTAATAAAGTATAAATAAATTTTAATGTTGCAAAGAGTTTGATATTAGAGAATGAATATTCGATTCTTTGATAGAAATTCTTAAAAAAATTTCACTTACACTATATGCTTTTTTCAAGAAGCTCCCTAAATCGTGGCTAAACTTCTGGAAATCGTAGTAGATTGGGTAACTCTGCTAGAATGTGACGCTTATTTTGGCAAATAAATAACCTTCTTTGGTTAATTTGCAAAGTTTTAAACAATTGGTTTTTGAGTTTTAAAATATGTAGGAGAAAAAGGGTAAATCCGAAATATAGAGTTAGTTGAGGTGTAGAGAAAAAAAAGACGATGGAGCACAGCTGGGAACAGGCTGGCAAAGAAGTGCCAGGTCGGAGAGAGGTTGACGTAATATTTTATTTTTGGTTTCTCTCTCAACCTGATCAGTGACCAACCACACAAAAACATAGGGCTCCACTTCTTTTAATTTTACGAAATTACCCTTCTTGCTTACGTGTACATTCGAGGCTCTTACTAGTGCCTTGATCGGAGAATCTTTCCGCCTCTATGCGGAACTCACGTTTTTGTGTCAGTCTTATAGTTTTCTGGTTTTTCCTTCAAACATTTGATTCGATTTTGAAATTTCTTTTCTTTTGTTAATTTTTTTTTCTTTTTTTAGTTTCGATTGATAATTGCCGTAATTTCAAATGTATTTTTCTTGATGTGTGAATTTTGGAATGATAAACTTCCTAACTTTACACCATAGTAAAGTGTATGCTTGAATTGTCTTGGTCGTGGGTTATTATAGCTATCGGTCTAACTTTTCTACAATCACCTATAAACAAAAATTTGATCAAAAAAGGAAACAAAATTTTTTTTGAGCCACAAAACTTTTCTATATTTGTGTAGTATGAAACTAGTAACGTGTTTTAAAGTTTCGAGGAACCGTCATTTAAAAATCACATCAAATAGTCATCTTTTCTTCTACTGCAAAGGTAAACTCGGCACTCTATTCTTTAAAAATGGTGTCTATCTTTTTTTAATAATCGTCATTTCGCTAAGAATGCAGCTTTTGTGTTATAGTATGCAAATTTTCTAAATTAGAAAGGTCAACAAAAATTAAAAAAATAAAGTTAGAATTCTTTGGGGATTGGGCGAGAGATATGCGTGCACGTTTACGACAAATTAGATTCAATTTTTAAAGTGTTTGTTTAGATAAGTAGCTGAACGAGGATCGTGGATGATAGCTGTATTTTCTGTGCTTTTTTTTTTTTAAATGACATTTATAGAGGAGGAGGAAATGCCTTGTCCTTGCCTCATCATCAACATATAAAATTACGTAAGCCCAATATAATTGAAAGCCCAATAGAGAAACCCACTTGAATCAGGCGGAGACTCCAACTCTTGTCGTCCCATCAAACAGTTTCTCCGGTGGTTGATAATTTACGAAATTACCCTCCGTGGCTTACGTGTTTTGATCGGGGAATCTTTCCGCCGCATATGAGCTCACGTTTTTTTTTTCTGTGCCAGTCTCATACTCCAGTTTTCTGGTTTTCCTTCAAAAAATTGTTGGAGTTTTGAGAACAAAATTAAAGACGAAGATGAAGGCGTTGGGGTATTGGTTAATGGTGGTTGGTTCACTGAGACTAGCTTCTGTTTGGTTTGGTTTCTTCGACATTTGGGCTCTTCGTCTCGCTGTCTTCTCTCAGACCACCAGTTCAGTGTTCTTCTCCCCCTCCCTTTTAAATTGTTCTTAATATGATTCCGTGATTGGATAAGAGTGTTTTCATGTCTTTTTAGCTCCCAATGATTTAAATGGCTGATAGAATCTGTAGATACTTCAGACTCTTTTTTTCCTATCAGTGAGTTCATAGCAATGGAGAACACATGTTTCGCTCTATTTCAAAGAGAAATGATAATGTCAAGTTTCAGAGGAACCATTAGTGCGGAAATTTAGATCTTTCATTTTTTTGTGTGTGACTTGAGTCTTCCAATACGGATCGAATTTTGGGATCCCTAAGCTTTGAGATCTAGAAAGATAATGAGGAATTAGAATAATGTTTTTTTTCTTCATGGAACTGATCTTGATTCTTGCTAGTAGAGTACATTGCATATGGAAAGTCAATAGTTTATGAATCACATAGTCAACTTGAGATTTTTTATCAAGGAAAGCCGGATTAGGATTCTTTGAACATATTCATGATGCTCTTTCTACATGTTCCTTTATGTGTTCTTTTAATTGCCAAGTTGAGGTAGTTGGGTTTGAAAGCAACACTCATGAATTAGTACACCATAAGTATAGCAAACTGAAGCAACATATCCAAGAAAGATATAGGCAATCTTAAATGTTGTACAGTTCCTTGGTGAAGTAATTTTGTAAGAAGTGGACCTCCATGTCCTAAATATCAGGAAAGGGGAGGGTATTTGGATCTGGAATTTGGTTGGATTGATAAGAGGTTTACATACTCCAATGCATAATCTTTTTTCGTGGGATCTTTGTAAAGTTTTTTCTTAAAATACTGTTGAAGTAAATTAGTGATCAGGTGAAGTGTATAAGATCTTGTCCTTGTATTAAAACATAAGCAACTTGATGTTTCTTTTTTCATTTCTGTAACTTGTGGTGCATGAATTTGCCGGCTTGCAGCGATGAGTGGAGTTTTATGGGACATTTTTTTTTTTTTTTCTTGTGATTGTAAGGTCTTGTACATGTTAAGTTTATCAGTTCTGATAACACAATGTAGTAATAACTTTGCATCATATTAGCAACTCGAGAACCGGGAACAAAAAAGATCTATCTAGAAAAGACTAGTTCACATAGTTGATGTCTCTTACTTAGGTTTTCTCAGGCTCACAAGAGTCCTATCCTCATTACTTGAAATGTTCTTTTTGTTAACTGTTTTGCAGTGAGTGAAGTTCATGGACGTACATTCGGAGTATGGACACTCTTGACCTGCACTCTCTGCTTTCTTTGTGCATTCAACCTCGAAAACAAACCATTATATTTGGCTACCTTCCTATCGTTTATCTATGCCTTAGGCCATTTTCTGACTGAATACCTCTTTTACCAAACAATGACCATCGCGAATCTCTCAACTGTGGGCTTCTTTGCAGGTATAACTTGTGGCAATGACCATCACTCGTTCTTGTATTGAATCAGTTGATCTAGGTTGCATTCATCGTGTGAATGATCTATATGCTGCGTTTTCTTTAACAGGCACATCGATTGTGTGGATGCTCTTGGAGTGGAATTCCCTTGAACAACCACACTCCAAATATTATTGATATTAGTCCGGATCCCCTGTTACTAAGTCTTTCTGCCTTTCAAGCTTTTCTAAAAGTTGGAATCATCTGAGTTTTTTGCTAGATCCCTAAAGCTGTTGATTCATTGTATCATCTAAATCTTTTGACATCTTTGATGGAGTCTTGAACGTGAGACTTGGTAAGATTGAATATTGATTTTATGGTTTAAGTAAGTGTTGTTCATTGCTTTTGAAACAGAGATTTGAGTTTAGTGTATTAATGCATGTAGTAGATTATGATTATACAAAAGCCTCCTTTTGGCTAAAGCAGGGGAACTATTTCTTGCATTCCTTTTTTATTTCTTTTGTATCCAAAATAATTCTATTTTCCTTCTTTTTTTCCGGTAACTGAGAAACTAACAAAACAGATAAACCTACTAATAGTATAGTAACATACATTACTAGATGACAGAATTTTGATAATATGACTGATATATTTCCCCTAGTGAATTTTTGACTTGTAAAGGAATTTGCCATCTTCCGATAATTATTCACACCTATGGCTCAAAATTGTCAATCATGTGTTGTATAACATCTGCTCCAGCTGAATTGATCATCTTTGTTTTCACCTGCAATGTTTTCCAAATTTGAGTGTGAATTTTAATAACAATACCAATGGTGATGATGATGACGACAATGATGAACACTTGCCTGAATGGTATTGTGAGCGAGAAATCTTTGCAGGGTTCCTCTGAAACTAACATCAACTCGTTCCCAGCTCAGTTTTGTTAGTTCACTTATCATCTCCTCTGCACAAGTTTGTTGTATTATGATGATTAGAAATCAAGATAAGAAACCCGAGATTGAGTTTTCCACTGAACCAACCTTCCATATCGAAATTCTTGAACCCGTCTGAACTGGTCCTTGAACGATCTTCCTTATGGTTACTTGCAGTATCCGGTGCTTCAACGTTTACAATGTGAGGATACTTCTCGTTGACTGGACTACGTTGAAGCTGCGAAGGTTATATGTGAGACTGATTCAGCATAACACACAACATTATTATATTAAACACTGAAAGTGAAAGGTTAACCTTAGGAAGCTCATTGTGACGCCGGATAGACGATGTACTCCACCCGACAAGGTCTAAGAACAAGGGAGGTCAAGGTTTCAAATGAATTGTAATAGCCACAACAGTTCTGAGTCTTTTTTTAGCTTAATTCGCATTGTAAGATCAGTGAAGAAGTAGAGAAATAGTTTTAAGACGTCCAACAAAGAAAGGATACGGTCGAAACTTGTATTCGCGTAAGCAATACGCCGTTTAAAGCATTGCAAAGCAGAACTGTTCACAAAAGCAGAGGAGACATACTAATTAATAACATAAGAAATCATTTGAACTATGTATAGAAAAAAAAATCAGTGAAAGAACTCACATGAATTTAAGATCTCTAGAATCTTTAACCATTCGGAGGAGTAATGGAGGTTTTCCACCATCACTATCAGCCAGAAAAAGATGTTTTCCCGTTTTACCAAGACACCCCGACATACGCGTAGCTAATCTCTCCAAAGTGTGAGATCCAGAAAACAATGGGACCTAATGCAATCAAAATGCCACACGATTAACCAACTTGTAACTTTTCATGTTGCAAAATTCCAAAACTTGTATCAAGCTACAAGCTTACAGGAGAATGAGACATAAACTCAACATGAAAGTTTAGTTCATAGTAGATACTGAGAATATTAAGGATCTCAACTTTGCTCTAAACATATTGACAAGAAATTCATATGTAAGAAAACCGTTCTCAAAATCACCTGTTTATGTCCTCTTGAACCGAGGTGTGGCGTTGCAGAAGTTATAAAATACATGGGCTCCAATCCGGCGATTCTCTCTTTCGGTTCCTCTATGGGGCATGTATCACCAATGTCGTCACTGTTACGTAGAAGCTCTTCTCGGGATTCCTTCTCATAAAGACGCCCAATAGCATACCTAGCAATCAAGCCACCTAAAGAATGTCCTACAAAGGAAATCTTCTGAAGACTTGGGTGACGTTTGATCACCGACCTAACCTAAACAAGATAAAAAAAATCTTACTTCAGCGTGGAAAACTCAAGCAGTGACAAAGATACCAACTTATAAACAAAAGGATCTAGCATTGTGAAAACATTTAGCCAAGAGAAAGACAGTATAACATGAGACTGAAATAAAAGCAGCCGTGAGAAAGAAACACAAACCTCTTCAGCTAATCTTTCTCCCATAACATCAACACCATCAAATGTCTGTGTCGAATGGTTGCGTTTACTGCCTGCAATATGATTATAAAGTATCACTAGCCATTCTCTGAAAATTATTACAGCAAGATGTAATTCTCGTTAATCAGTAAAGTGAGTTCAAAATATCTAAATGTGATTCTTTCTTCCTTGCAATAATCAATCTGTTTCACTTGAGACTTCCACAGAGATTCACTCTAGACCATTACGAGGAAACTCTGTTTCAAATGAAAAAGTTATAGAGAAAGTAGAACTCACAGTGCACGAGGAGATCCTGAGGATACTTCTTTAGCATCTGCTTAGCGGCGAATCTCCAATTCTGAGCACTGTACCACAAAAATTTTAAAATCAGCTTAAGATAAAACAAAATCAAGCACATAATAACAAAGGAAACTCTAAGAACCTGCCGATGAGACCGTTGACCATGACGACTAGGTGAGTTGGCTCAGTGCGTTCGCCAGGGAAATCAACAGTCAAATCGACGTTTCCACTCTCGTCAGATTCAGCTTTGAGACAACCCATCCAATACTTCTTCTTCTTCTTCCCGATTCTTTTCGTCTCCAGCTTCTTCTTCTCCTTCTTCGTTTTTGACCCACCGATTTCTTCAAGATCAGTTTCAACACGCCCATCGTGTTCTATATTCCTAGGAATCGTGCTATCTTCTTCCTCCATGATCACGAAACGAAGATGGAACTTAATGAAAAATAGAAACTTTATGCAGCTGTTAATTCAAGGTCGCCATGTTGAGGTCTCGCGTAGGTTTTATTTAGACTTGAAACATCAAAAGTTCAAATGGTCAGAGAGAAACAGAGAATAGTTTCAGTCGTTAGGAAGGTCCCCACCGCAGTATTGTTGTCGTCGTTGAAACGCCATTGACATTTTCTTTCTTACACATCTGAGATTTGGCCACTGTTGCTTTTTCTAGAACCCACACATGTTATAACATGTTTTAAAAGTCATTAACTTGAATAAATGAGCCAAATATGTGATTTAGCATAAGTTAAAAAGCATATTCAGACATGATGATGATAATTAAGATTATTTTTATATAATAACTTTAAAAGACAAGCCCGGCCCATTTAGTGTCAAGTATTGGATCCGAGTTTTCTTTTGTTTCTTCTGGAAGAGTCAAACAACAACTTTGACTTTTGTATCAGCAACCAAAACGTCGAAAGCAAGACAAGAATGAAGAATCAATCAAAAAAACAATAATCCGATGAGTTTTTTGGACCTTTCTTCTCCGAAGTGTTGCTGATTGATGTCTATTGGACTTCTCTTTCTTCAACTGATCACCTTCCTGTGTATTCTCGCTTCTTTCTTCTCTTCTTTCTCATTCAAAGGTGAGATTTTTAATTGACTTTGTTTTTTTTTTGGGTTGACCCATTTCACCAATTTCGAATTTTTCATCTTCTAGTGGTTCATGTTGTTGATTTGATGATATCCGAATTTAGTACAGGCGGCTAAGCTCATGGCGGATCCTAACATTGTAATGAACGGTGACTTCTCTGCTGGGATTGAATCTTGGTATCCCAACGGATGCGAAGCATTTGTAGTTTCCTCTGACCCATTTAGCTCAGTGGCAATGTCTGCTGATTCCTCGAACGGTGGCTATGTCGTTGTAACTAATAGGAAAGAAACTTGGCAAGGCCTTGAACAAGACATTACAACTCGAGTTTCTCCTGGAATTAACTATACTGTATCAGCTTGTGTTGGTGTGTCTGGTCCTTTCCATGAATCAGCTGAGGTTCTTGCTACTGTGAGGCTTGAGCATGAAGACTCGCCTACCGAGTATTTGTTCATCGGAAAGTACGTTTTTTGATGGTTATATCTTTGGAATTTGATGGAACTTTTGTAGAGGTTGCTGATGAATTGAAACTTTCCTGTAGAACATATGCCTCGAGAGACAAGTGGGTTGATCTAGAAGGAACGTTTTCGATATCAAATATGCCCGATCGTGTTGTTCTCTATCTGGAAGGTCCAGCTCCAGGGAAAGATCTCCTTATACGCTCTGTAACCGTTAGATCATCCACTTCTAATGAATTCCAGGTAAAACTTATGTCTTTCTTGACCAGCCGTTGTCATATGTTACTTAACAATTTGGGGATCATAGTTTTGCATTCTTGAATATGAATTAGCGAAAAATATGGGTAGAGCAAGGTGATTATTAGAGAAGATAAACCCTTAGGTGAGTGATAGATAGGCTATTAGAGACTGAGATAGATGTAACTATCATGTCCGTCCGAGTTTAAACATTATTGTTAATTCTGGTTGTTTGGGTTTGAAATTATATTTCAGTTGTTTGAAATAGAGAGAAGTAAAGCCAAATGAAAGAAGTTCAACTTGTTTCATTGCACGTTAATTGAAGCATGATATAGCTCACCAGGATCATCTGATTTTATACAGTATAATCCAGATTATAGGAAACAAGCGAGCTAAATTACTCGTGTTCTAACATCTTTTTGTGGCTTACTATTTCACTGCAGGAAACTAAAGAAAACAAAGAAGCTTCCAGTGTCTTTCCTCCTGCGTTTAATATCATTAAGAACCATGACTTCTCTGATGGGTTGTTTTCTTGGAATGCCAACAGTTGTGATTCATTTGTTGTTAGTAACAACGACTGTAACTTAGAATCATATGCGGTTGTTAATAACCGCAGTGACACCTGGCAAGGACTGGAGCAAGATATCACAGACAGCGTTTCTCCTGGTTATTCATATAAAGTCTCTGCTAGTGTTAGTGTATCGGGACCTGTTTTAGGGTCGGCACAGGTCTTGGCCACTTTGAAGTTAGAGCATGAAAGTTCAGCAACGGAATTTCAACTAATTGGAAAGTAATGGAACCACAAGACTTCTTTGCGATATATATATAAAATAGTCAAGAACACCCAGAAATGTTGACAATTGATGATGTTTTTATCTGCAGAACTTATGCTTCAAAAGATATTTGGAAAACTCTGGAAGGCACTTTTGTAGTGTCAGGAAGACCTGACCGTGTTGTATTCTTCTTGGAAGGGCCACCTCCGGGAATTGACCTTCTTATAAAGTCCGTCACCATCCATTGCGAAAGTGATAATCAGTTTGAGGTAACTGTGACATATTGTGGACTGTTAGATAGAGAGAATGAAAGTACATTGACATGATCAATCTATGATCTAAATCTTTTTTTTTCTTTTCCTTCTTAAGATCTTAAGATGCTGTTCTCAGAAATTTGATATGTTTCGTCACTTGCCTTATATGCAGAGAAGCCGAGAATTCTGCTCAGCTCCTAAATCTGATCATCACATCTTCCTGAATTCAAGCTTTTCAGATGGCCTCAATCATTGGTCTGGAAGAGGATGCAATCTTATGTTACATGAGTCTCTAGCTGATGGGAAGATACTACCACATTCTGGAACCTGTTTTGCTTCTGCAACAGAGCGCACACATAAGTGGAGCGGAATTGAGCAGGATATCACAGAAAGAGTCCAGCGAAAACTCATTTATGAAGCATCTTCTGTTGTTCGACTATCACATAGCCATCACACCGTGCAGGCCACTTTGTATGTTCAATACCTTGACCAACGTGAAGAGTATATAGGCATTTCCAGGTGAGGCTCTCCAATTGACGATTTTTTTTTTCTTACCAAGTGTTACTGTAAATGTGAATCTTACCCCAAATATATTTTCTGATACAAAATTTTTGAAGAAAGTATGTTCCCTTTTTCAAGTGTTCAGGCCACACACGACGATTGGGTACAGTTAAAAGGAAAGTTCCTCTTGAATGGATCTCCAGCTAGAGCAGTTGTTTACATTGAAGGACCACCACCAGGGATTGATGTTTTTGTCGACCATTTTGCTGTAAAGCCTGCAGAGAAAGACACTCCTTCAAGACGACCATATATTGAGGTTAGAAAATTAAAACTTTTGTGCTTTTAAACATTTACCTCTCCTTGTGTTTAGTGAATTATATATTGTTTCCATATTTCTACAGAGTCATGCTTTTGGGATGAACATTATTTCGAATAGCCACCTAAGCGATGGAACAATCGAAGGTTGGTTCCCTCTTGGAAACTGCCATTTAAAAGTTGGAGACGGCTCTCCTAGGATATTACCTCCGCTGGCGAGAGACTCACTTAGATCAACACATGGATATCTATCTGGAAGATATGTGCTTGCGACAAACCGAAGTGGAACATGGATGGGTCCTGCTCAGATGATAACTGATAAAGTGAAGCTTTTTCTGACATACCAGGTCTCAGCTTGGGTTAAAATTGGCTCAGGAGGACGTACCAGTCCACAGGACGTAAATATTGCACTCAGTGTTGATGGGAATTGGGTTAATGGGGGAAAAGTTGAGGTAGATGATGGTGACTGGCATGAAGTTGTGGGTTCATTTAGAATCGAGAAGGAAGCGAAAGAAGTTATGCTTCATGTCCAGGGCCCGTCTCCTGGTGTTGATCTTATGGTTGCAGGTCTCCAGATTTTCGCTGTTGATCATAAGGCACGATTGAGTTATCTCAGAGGACAAGCTGATGTGGTAACCTACGAAGCATATTACTCGTTACATGTTTGGAACGAAAAATTAAACTTCACACCAATGCTCTTTCTCTGTTATGCAGGTTCGTAAACGCAATGTTAGCCTCAAATTCTCAGGTTTAGATCCTTGCGAATTGTCTGGTGCAACGGTGAAGATCAGACAGACACGTAACAGTTTCCCTCTCGGGTCATGCATTAGTCGGAGCAATATAGATAATGAAGACTTTGTCGATTTCTTTCTTAACAATTTCGACTGGGGAGTGTTTGGTAATGAGCTGAAATGGTACTGGACAGAGCCAGAGCAAGGAAACTTCAATTACCGAGATGCAGACGAGATGCTTGACTTCTGTGAGAGATACAACATAAAAACCCGAGGCCATTGCGTATTCTGGGAGGTAGAGTCCGCTATTCAACCATGGGTCCAACAGCTGAGCGGTTCCGAGCTGGAAGCAGCGGTTGAGAACCGCGTAACAGATCTTCTTACCCGTTACAACGGGAAATTTAGACACTACGATGTGAACAATGAGATGCTCCACGGATCGTTTTATCGAGATCGACTAGGCTCTGATTCAAGAGCAAACATGTTCAAGACTGCGCAGGAGTTAGACCCGTTAGCAACTCTGTTTCTAAATGAATACCACATAGAAGACGGATTTGACTCGAGGTCATCCCCTGAGAAGTACATAAAACTTGTACACAAGCTGCAAAAAAAGGGTGCACCCGTGGGAGGAATCGGGATTCAAGGACATATAACAAGCCCCGTTGGTCACATCGTCCGCTCTGCTTTAGACAAGCTAAGCACACTCGGTTTACCGATCTGGTTCACAGAACTTGATGTGTCCTCGACTAACGAACATATAAGAGGAGATGATCTCGAGGTGATGCTATGGGAAGCGTTTGCTCATCCGGCAGTTGAAGGAGTGATGCTTTGGGGATTCTGGGAGCTGTTTATGAGCAGAGAACACTCACATTTGGTGAATGCGGATGGTGAGGTTAACGAAGCTGGGAAGAGGTTTCTTGAGATCAAACGCGAGTGGTTGAGTTTTGTGGACGGAGTGATTGAGGATGAAGGAGGATTGGAGTTTAGAGGTTATCATGGGAGTTACACAGTGGAAGTTGTCACATCGGAGAGTAAGTATGTGACCAACTTTGTTGTTGACAAAGGCAATTCTCCAATTGATGTCATTATAGATCTTTAACGTTTCATTATACTAATAAGCAAAGATTAACATTGGTAAGATACAAGCCCGTATCTTTGTTTGTGAAGATGGTTTTTACTGATGATCAGTCTTCTTTACTTCAGCTACTTGCATCACAAGAGAACACATTAATAACTTCCAAACCTAAGTCTAGGCCCCTCTCAGACAACACATTTAACTCTCTTTTTGTTTTTGGACAACAACACTTTTAACTCTTATTGTGTAGAATTGGAGAAATTCGGTGACATATAATAAGATTCGGTTTTGATCCGACTTTTCAACCCTATAGTCCATCAAACCAATTACAGTAGATCGATTAATCGATGCTAAAATATATTAAATAAATTCATTTTGGATATATTCTAATTGAAAAGTACAATTAAAAAGTTAGAGACTTCAATTCACACATTAGTCGAAGTTTTTGACTGAAATATAATTTACATGTAGTTTGTAAACTTATGATATTAAAATTTTATTTCCTTATAATAAATTTATTTTATTTTCTTCGAAAGGTTAAAAGGTTCTTAACTTTTATTCTAAGGTCGACACGTAATTTAACAGAAAAAGGATATGTATTATATCTGAATTCATAAAAATATATCAAAGTTTGATACTCATTTAATTTCTAAAGAAAAAAATAATGGTAAATGATCCTCTGATGTAAATGCATACCAGCTTTTTAGGAGAAATCACAAAGTTATGACAGGCAGTGGATAGAAGAAGATGATCCGTTAGTTAAGTCAATCATACTAATAAGAGCAATCACGAATGATCCACACCACCTACAATCTCATACGTACTTGCCCAACTTCACTGCATCTACCACATATCCTTAATTTAGTTGGCAGATATTATGTAGATATATATATATTCAACTTGGTGTTTTCCACAACCACCCATACATACAACTTTCGACAAAGATGCAAATAGGTTGGGTTTTAAAGCATTTAGTACTATCCTAAATTGAAACGAGACGGGCTCATTTAATGATGAACTTGGGGAAATAAAGTTGGTATGCATTTAGTTTTTCGTTGATATTTTATGTGAATAGTGACCATACGTAACTGTACCATACTTTTAAGATTCCACTATCAGGGCAACACATTGAAATTGAATGCTATCTAAAATAAAGCAAAGAGTCCACAACAGTTTTTATTTTTATTTTGGTTCTGTTTTTCCTTCGCTTTAAGCTTAGTGAGTTTCATATAGGTTAACAATCTTCTTTACTATAAAAACTCGCACAAATGGATTTGAACTAAAAATAAAATGAATCAAACAATTAGAAACATATCAATATATACTTTAACAGCATAGGAAAAGCTCAACTACTAAATATATAATTGCTCCAAATCGAATTGTGACTAAACCATCGTTAGCCTTCGTGATCTATATTTTTGGAGGTATTTTTATGGTAACACAAGTTTTGGTTTCGTAATCTAAATTCCGAAAAAAGTAAATGCCTCTAACTTCCCTTCCCTTCTCTATATATTTCAACCTCTATCTCTCTCTCTCTCCCTCTTTGTAATTTCTCAAATATTTTCTGCAGAGTTAGCACGACCTCATTAAATCATCTTCTCTACCTCTCAAAAAGAGAACTATAGTTTAGAGTTTCAATTTGGTGCACACACAAAGCTCGTACAACATTCTTCATATATGGCTCTACGCTGCTTATCTCAATCTTCAACAACTCCATCTTATCTCTCTAAGGCTTGTACTTTCTTCCAGTAGACCATTATACTGTACTTCTTTTTTTTTCTATACACCACGAAAACAACTACCACTTAATTACATAATTTGATTTGTAATAATACAGATCTGGGGACTTCGTATGCATGGGACCAAAGCAGCAGCTTCTGTTGTAGAAGAACATGTCTCTGGGGCAGAACGGTAACATTACCCTCCAATTAGATACAACATTTATGATTTATCCCTTCTTATTCATTGTCAACACTCAAATTTACAAGAAAAATGTAAGAAAACAAAATGAGAGGAAGTAAAAAACAAAAAGAAAAACTAAAATTGTATATTTTTAGATAAATATTGTGTGATGGAAACTCTTATTGTGGTGGTTGCACAATGCACCTCAAGCCTGTGCTCCTTCATGGTTAAACCCCTTCAATGGGGTAAATAAATCTTGTAAAAAAGGTGTATTATGTCAGAGTTATTTCTTTTTTTTTAATAAAGTTCAGTAAAAATATTACTTGCATTTCTTTCTTTTTTCCACCTAAGGTTATTTTGTAAGAGTATGTGGTTGCAATTTATTATTGTATTATATATATGTATGTATAAATATAAATGTATATGTTAAAAAATATAAGAAATTATTTTATTTTGAAATTCAAATGCAAATTGTTTTTCCTTGTGTTGCAGTGAGGATGAAGAGTATGCTGATGTGGATTGGGACAAGCTTGGATTCAGTCTTGTACAGACAGATTACATGTTCGCCACCAGAAGTTGCAGAGACGGTAACTTCGAACAGGGTTACCTTAGCCGTTACGGCAACATCGAGCTCAACCCTGCTGCTGGAATTCTCAACTATGGCCAGGCAAAGCTTCAAATCTCATCCACAGTCACACAAATACATTATATCAATGATATAAAATTACTTTTGTGGTGGATTTTGCAGGGACTAATAGAGGGGATGAAAGCGTACAGAGGAGAAGATGGTAGGATTCTTCTCTTCCGTCCAGAGCTAAACGCGATGCGTATGAAGATAGGAGCTGAGAGAATGTGTATGCATTCTCCTTCTGTTCATCAATTTATTGAAGGTGTTAAGCAGACCGTTCTTGCAAACAGGCGTTGGGTACAACATTTTCGATGTCTTTTGCTCCTAGAAAATGATCTTTGGTTCACTTTCCTTAAATGGTCAGGCTTTTTTTTCATTAGGTTCCTCCTCCGGGCAAAGGATCGTTGTATCTCAGACCGTTGTTGTTTGGAACCGGAGCAAGCCTGGGTGTCGCTGCAGCATCAGAGTACACGTTTCTTGTGTTTGGCTCTCCTGTTCAAAACTACTTCAAGGTCATAATAGCCTTAAAAATAGATGATTTTGTTTTTTGTAACAAAGAGTTTTGGTATTGAATTTGATTGCTTGTATAGGAAGGCACAGCGGCGTTGAACCTTTATGTGGAGAAGGTGATTCCACGCGCCTATCTTGGAGGAACTGGTGGTGTAAAGGCAATTTCCAATTACGGTCCAGTAAGTTTAAACACTCATCCTACATGGTTTCAAGTACTAAGCAAGGTGTTTCGTTCCAAAGTAAGTGTTGTTTTGGTGATAAACTGTGAAAGGTGCTTGAAGTGATGAGAAGAGCAAAATCAAGAGGTTTTTCGGATGTTTTGTATCTTGATGCAGAGACTGGGAAGAACATAGAAGAAGTCTCTGCTGCTAATATATTCCTTGTGAAGGTTAAACAAACTCTATTTAGGACAAAAGTGGAATGTTTTTTTCTTCTTCTAATGATGGTGTTGTATACTAATTGAAGTTTATTGAGTCTTTCAGGGAAATACAATAGTGACTCCAGCTACGAGCGGGACGATTCTCGGGGGTATCACACGTAAGAGCGTCATCGAAATCGCCCTTGATCTTGGTTACAAGGTTAGTAGTTATTCCACATCTGTTTTCTTCTAGCATTGTTTCCAATCTTGAGTCAAAAAAACAGAGCAATACTCTGTTTCCTTTCTCAAGGCAAAAGAGAGCGATGATTTCAATTTGCATTATATAGCTTTTACATATCTAAACTTCAAATTTGATTTCAAAAGATACTTTCTACATTTAATCTATGTAGTTGGGTAGGAGTGGAGTGACTTCCACCTAAAATTACAGGAATCAAATATGCATATATAAATACTTGATGCATGCAAGTTTTAAGAAGTGTGTAATGGACAGGTGGAAGAGCGAAGGGTTCCGGTAGAAGAACTGAAGGAAGCAGAAGAAGTTTTCTGCACTGGAACTGCTGCTGGAGTTGCTTCTGTTGGAAGCATCACTTATCAGAACACAAGGTCTCTTCTTCCTCTCTGGATACATGTATCAGAACACAACATATATCTATATGCTTGGACTTAATACATTTATATGTTGATAAATAATCTGCAGAACTGAGTACAAAGTTGGAGATGGGATTGTTACTCAGCAACTTCGATCTATTCTTGTCGGAATACAAACTGGTTCTATCCAAGACACAAAGAATTGGGTTTTGCAGATTGCCTAAGCTGTTTTCATATAGATAATGTTGCACTCTTTTGATCACCTGTCAAAAGCTTTTGAAATAGTTTTGGTAACCTTGTAAGTTAAACTTGTGACATAAATTTGTGATGATATCAACATATCATATTAGTATTTAACATTTGTTTCACTCTTCCATAGAGACAAAAGCAAAACAAAAGCCCAAACAAGTTTAGTCGGGAAAAAAACGAAACAACTAAACTTGTCGTAAAAAGGAAACAATCGAAATTTCCTTTTTTTAAGTTGGAGAACCTTTGCTTATAAATACATACTTGAAAATTTAACACTTATTTAAAAGTTAACACTTAGATTTCTGGTAGTAATCAAAGAATCAGCCTCCTCAGATTCTATTTGGCCAAACTCTACGGCCAAAAAAAAAAAAAAATACGGCGGTATATTCGCTTTTAGAAAAAAACAATTTTGTCGAAACTTTCTTTTGTAGATGTCGAAGATTCCACACACAAGACTATCTAAGATTCTTTGATAAGACACGACAAAATACGATTTAAGAATTTTCAAAGAAATGAGGTTCGTTGATTGTTTCACTAGGTTTGTTATATTTATAATTTGAATTTAAAAGATTTATTTGGTAACTTAAAAAAAAAAGATATTTATAAGAAAACGAAGGAGTGAGTACTAATAGTCGATGACACTATATATAGTGATACGACGATATTGGAAAGGGACATCATTATTCATTAGTAAGCATCGTAGCAAAAACGTTGTTATCGGATAAAAAAGCTCTCAGACTGACGTGGCTGTCAATCTCCACAACGTGTTTATCTCCGGCCCATTTGGGTAGTTATGGACGAAGACGTTGAAAAGACAACGATATTGTCTAAAAGATTGACATGGAAAGAAAAATTGTTTATCCGACAAAGACCTCTTGGTCCAACGTGGCTTTCACATCTCTTGTTTACTATTTCACATCTCATGGAAAATTACTAAAAATAAGTATTTGTTTGTATTTTTTTTTTCCGTCAAGTATTTGTTTGTATACTTTAAGGTAATTGCGTGCCGAAGAAACATTGCTAAATTGATATTTATACCAACTTACAACATTTTACAGTTTCAAAAATAGAAATTTCCGTTTGAAGATACACCACAAATTTTCTTCATATATTTACCTCATAAGAACGACAAAAAGAACAATAGTCCGTTGATTTCGTTAAAATTCTAGTTCCAGAGAGACACGTCTAGATATGTCTGATCAGGGCAGATAGACACAAGTGACGAAGCAAAATAACACAAAAACAAGATAAGAACTCTTACCACTAAAAGATAAAAAGAAGAAAAAATAAAACAAATTCAACGATTTGCCATGATAAAAGCAGGCAGACACTTCACATAAGCTTCGCAATCACTTACGTGTTGCATACTTAATTTGACACTCTTCTTTGTGTTTTCTTCCACCTTCTTTCTCGCTATATCATTCAACAAAATTGTCTCTTTATTTCTTTCTTTTGTTGTTTTTTTTTTTTAGTATTATTATTGAAATCAAGAGAATCAAAACAGAGGCTCTGCAATTTGTCAAGAAGATGATCAAAGCAATCTCATCTCTACGCAAAACTCTGGTTCTACCTCTTCATTTACATATTCGTACGGTATAAACTGGATTCTTACAATCTAATGATCATTACTTAATTAGAGACATAACTCGGATCTCAGATACAAACATGTTTTATGTTCTGTTTTTTTTTTTTTTGATGAAATAGCTACAAATTTTCGCTAAGTACAACGCACAAGCTGCCTCGGCCTTGCGAGAAGAGCGTAAGACATCTCTTTATCAGTAAGTTTTTGATCATGATCCAACTCATATTGATATTTTGCATTTTATCATTGAAAAGCTCTGTTTCAAACTTCTTGTTTTGTATTACATAGAAATGGAGATGATGAATATGTGGATTTGGATTGGGATAATCTCGGGTTTGGTCTAAGTCCAGCTGATTACATGTATGTCATGAAATGCTCAAAAGACGGCGAATTCACTCAAGGAGAACTTAGTCCATATGGGAATATTCAGCTAAGTCCTTCTGCTGGAGTCTTAAACTATGGACAGGCAAGGATCTTGTAACCTCAAAATGTTTCTTGATTTTTCTCTGAGTTGGCTGATCAATGGAGGTTTTGGGATTATTCGTAGGCGATATACGAAGGTACAAAAGCATACAGGAAAAAAAATGGGAAGCTTCTTTTGTTTCGCCCGGATCACAACGCTCTCCGGATGAAGCTTGGCGCTGAACGGATGCTCATGCCTTCTCCTTCGGTTGATCAGTTTGTTAATGCAATTAAACAAACCGCTCTTGCAAACAAGCGTTGGGTAAAACGCTTTCTTGTGATGCATATTTCTTCTGAAGAGGTTTGTTTTGGAATCTGATGATGTGTTTGGTCAGGTTCCTCCTTCAGGAAAAGGGACTTTGTACATTAGGCCTTTGTTGATGGGAAGTGGTCCAATTCTTGGTTTAGGTCCTGCACCTGAATATACATTCATTGTCTATGCATCTCCAGTTGGTAACTACTTCAAGGTATATATATTTCTCTTCCTGTCCAAGCTTTTTGGCGATGGAACGATTAGCAAATGTTTTGTTCACTGGTTTGTAGGAAGGGATGGCTGCTCTTAACCTCTATGTTGAGGAAGAATATGTCCGAGCAGCTCCTGGTGGAGCTGGAGGTGTCAAGAGCATCACAAATTATGCACCCGTAAGTGTTGAAACCAAATTAGTTTCTTAAAGACCAGAGGCAAAAGAGTTTTGAGAAACCATATATGTGTGTAGGTTATGAAAGCACTGAGCAGAGCCAAGAGTCTGGGGTTTTCAGACGTTCTTTATCTCGATTCTGTCAAGAAGAAGTATTTAGAGGAGGCTTCCTCTTGCAACGTCTTTGTTGTCAAGGTAGATATATTGTGGTGTCTCCAGTAAATTCTCTTTGTTGCATCCTAATTATATCATTGATTCAGGGTCGGACAATCTCAACTCCTGCAACTAATGGAACAATTCTTGAAGGGATAACGCGGAAAAGTGTGATGGAGATCGCAAGCGATCAAGGTTATCAGGTAACACAAATAAAATTGATTCACTCTAAACACCCAAATACTAAACTCAGCTAAGATTCACACCTGAGTTATGATCAGGTAGTAGAGAAGGCAGTTCATGTGGATGAAGTAATGGATGCAGATGAAGTTTTTTGCACCGGAACTGCCGTAGTAGTTGCTCCTGTGGGCACTATAACATATCAGGACAAAAGGTAAAAACTCAATGCCTGAATCAAGTTTTACTCAAGCCTTGAGCAAAAATTTGGACTGATGTAATCTTTCTGAAACATTCAGAGTAGAGTATAAAACCGGGGATGAATCTGTCTGCCAGAAATTGCGTTCAGTCCTTGTCGGTATCCAGACGGGATTGATTGAAGATAACAAGGGATGGGTCACAAATATCAATTGAAAATACAATCTTCAATATTTTGCCACATTGGAGATTACTCTGCATTTTAAGCTGTGTATACACAACAATGAAGAACACTGTAAACATATATATGAGATAGAAACAGAAAGCTATTTTGCTCATTTCTATTTCGTAAAAATCAAATGTCTTTCACAAAACTAAGATTAAAAAAGATCGTCTATTGTACTTGTAGAAAAGTGTTCCAAGCAAAGTTTCATTTTCCCCCTGCAGTAACTCCAAATTTACATTTCATTTTAGGAGGCAAAACTGTATATACGTTTCAATGGTTTTCCCCACTTCTTACTTTCATCACCCATAAGGGTTTCAACTACTGAAATTGTAACTCAACTGCAAACACTTAATCATCTGCAGAGTCAAATATACATTGTAAATCAAGTATCTATGTTCGTTTGTAGATCTCAGCAAACGCTGGGGAATAACGATTTGGTGAAGCACTGGGACAGGATTTCACCTCAAGATCATGACCAGATTTACTTCTCTGGAACGCCCATATGTAATCAGCTTTATGATTCTCTTTCTCAGGTTTCAACTGTTCAGAATCTGGTAACTCCTGATCTGAGCAAGGAGAAGTGCAACCAGCTTTGCTCGATTCCTCAGAACACGTTGGTATCTGAGAGTATGCAGCTTTCAAGTTGTTATGTATCTCTTCCATCTTTCCTGTCATCTCATCTGCTCTGTCCATAGCGATAAGAATCTGAAAGAAACTCACGTCAATATCTCCTAGGAGATGCAGATCAAGGTTATAAAAAGATGTGTAATATATATATACCTCGGCTGGATATTTCTTGAATATGGGCGCAAACCTTTGCCGGCAATACTCACTAAATAGAAGAGTGAGGAGAATTAACGGGATGGTGAAACCTGAAGCAACCGTTGATAGCTTTAAACCGAAAAAGCCTAGCGCTATGATTTGCGACAAGATCAGTGAAAAGATTGTAGTGTTGTGAAAAACAGGCCAATATTGTCCACCGCTTTCATATTTTGTAATATAGACGTTGATTATCTGCAAAAAGAAGAAAAACTTAGTCAGATTAAAAGTATGTCCAAATGATTGTATTTTAAACCTACAGACTTGTCTACCTATGGCACTACTATTAGTACAAATACATAAATCATATTTCCACAAGTAAGCACTCAATGAAATGACATCTCAAAGGCAAAGAATGCAGGAACAATTAGACAGCAGCTTATGCAGTTCTCAAAGTTATAAGGTAAAGCTTCAGACAGGCCATGAGAAACAGCTGGTAACATACTACAAGGTCTCAACAATATTTCAGTAGAGTTCTTGGAATTTTGTTACAAAACTTTCAAGAAAATAAAATGCAACTTCCTTATGCTTCTAAATCAGGTTTCATATCAAATCGTGAAAAGTCCAAAAACATTTGAATATCTTAAGGGTTAGTGCATAACAGCTGATTAGTAGTCAATGACCATGGATATAGGTGTCTGTCACAATTTCTTGAGGTCTATGTAAAAGAGATCAGAGCAGATATGCATCGTTTGCGTACCTGATTTTTGTATATAAGATATGCGAAGAAAAAGTAGATCAGCAGAAACGGCAGTATTAGAGGCGCTATGACTGAATTGGTGAAACCCAGGAGCCCGAACAAAAGTAGTCTTGGAATTTCTGTATGGTACGGAAACCTAAGTGTTTCATATGAGTCCTCCTTGTTCTTGACAATAACTTTTGCTATCAGATTCCAGATAAGACCTATAGGTTGCATGATTTCACATGCCAAACCGGCCCAACCAGATGTGAAACAATAGGTCATGAAGAAGCCAACCTGCATGTAGCCAATGAATATTTTCATACCGTTAACATTATAGAAAATAACAAAAATGAATATAGTCACAAGTGTAAAAGGAACCCTGAAAATTACCTGTGCTGGAACTACTTTCGCAAGTTGTGCAGGTACGTCCCTCACACTAGACAAGACGCTCAACTGCCTGATAACAGAGCCTGATAGAATATTGACGAAGAACACATTCCAGATGGTGAAGTATAAAATTTTGATACATGCACTTTTCTTTCTTAGACTCCGAGAAACACATCCCTCCAAGGTTGAAAAGTACATCATCAATGGCGGAACGGCATAAAAGAATAGAACCAAAATCACACTTGGTAAGTACCCTGTGATGACCTGCCTCATAAACCTCCTGCAATGTTTTTCAAAGGGATAATTAAATGGAAAGGTAATAAAAAAAAATCAATTACACAGACTTTAATTGCTCTCAGTTTTTTTCTGCGCTTTTCAGTCTAGAAAAATCTAGCATAAATATATCAACTGCCTAGCAGCTCCGACTATACGCATCTTGAAATTCTCTAAAAGCAACGTAGCTACACCTACTCTTTGGTGCCAACTCTATGTCATCTTAAGAAGAATCCGAACAAGAACCTTCTATTACTGAGTACAAGAGTAAGGAAATGCTGGATACTCACCTGTTCAAGAGATCTCTTAGAAAAGGAAAATTCTTGGATAGCGTTTGTAGTTGAGTCAGCCCTTGAACAAAGGCAACAGGAAAAAGAAACACAAACATGAAAGCAATTGCACCAACAAGGGTTGCTATTCTTCGCATCCAAAGTTGCCGATAAGGTATTCTGAGATTCCTCCAATGAACATCATGAGGCTCTGGAGCTAAGTCAGCCACCCATAACATAGGATTTGGCGTTTGAAGAACCTCTGAAACAACAAGAGCATCATAACGACTCTTGAAAAACACAAAAGCAACGGGACGTTCCTGCAAATGAGCAGCAAAGTGTAAGCCTTCCATACATATTTCAAGCGCTGATACTTCAAAGCTCTCACTCGCAAATTGGTAAAACCAGAAAACATGTCGAGATTATCATACTATATATGATAAATCATTAAGAAAGGTTTACAAATGCAGTCATGAACGGAGATATATTTCTTTTAGATCTGGCTTTTAAGAGTTTTAACTAAAAACTCTTTGTATTACATATTCAAGGTCCATACAATGCCTCAATGTACTTTTTTCTTGGGTTCCCCTAAGTCTCAATGTTACCTCTAAAGCTAAATTTTTGTCTCAGTAAAGGGAAAAAAGAGTCAATTCTCCAGGTTCAGCTGTAAAACTGCGAAGACATGAACAGGTAGAAACCACACACTATGCCTATATCATGTAAAGCACAAAGTTCACCTATCAAAGTGAAAAGAATGCCTTACTTCCTCTGTCGTAGACAAATTCAGCTCACCAAGCTCCACTCCTTTGACACTGTCTGTCTCGTCCGAGAGGATTTGAAAAGAATTTGTGGCAGCAGGTCCACAAAGGGCGCATGACTTCAAACTCGGATTACAACTTAAATCAGGAGAAACATGTTTTATAGCCTGACACATCCTCTCCGTCTCATTCTGAAATAGAAAATTGACACAATTAATATCAGAATCTAATTAACTCAATTGTGCTCCAAAATAGACCACTGCACTTCAACTATATGTTATCATGAGCACACACCATCCACATGTTGTTTACCAAATTTCTTTCCATTTAAGATGCTGAACAGATAACCAGCAAGAAACTGATGTAATATCAAAAGAACCTCAATATCAGATAACATGAACTACAAATAAAAGCGTTACAAATGAGCCAAAAACAAAATTAGTACTCCAAGAATGTGCATCAAAAGTATAATTCCCTAGAACTTTCTATATCTTTAATAATTGATACAAGAATATCAATCAAATCTTTACAACAAGTGACTGTTCTGTTATTTCATCCATATTTGATGCCCTTGACAAATGAAGAAGCATTTATGACAGACCACAGGGGAAGTGTTATGGTGAACATTTTATAAAGAAAAGGAAACATATAAAGTCTGAAAAATGTTAAATCACATTCCGGAACATAGAGTTATAACAGCTTCCTTTTTCTATTCTAGGATATTCCTATTCTGCTAAAGTCAACCACGCAGAGGTATTAGCTGAAAAATTTATTCCTAGCCTGACAGAAAACATAACAAAAAGACAAGTGACTGATAATCAAGTCAGCATGTTGCAAGAATAAATCAAAACACATACCATCAGTCTGTGAATGAAGCCATCACGGTAGACCATTAGGTGCGACACATAGCTTGGTGCATAGTAATTTGTGAAGTATTTGCTCACTGTCTCGCTGTAGGACTGGTCAGGAGACTGAGGAATAGCACGAATAAGAACAGTAAAATGACTTTGCTTTGAGGCAGATCCAGTAATATGGGCAAGCCTCCTTTTGGCTATGTTCTTATACTCCTACAGTGGTGAAACGCGAATAAACAGAGTGAGAGAGAGACCAAAACGATGAGGAAACGATGAAATAAAGAGAAACAGTAAGCGAGAAATGAACCAAGGTATAAGATCCTCACAAAGTAAAGAAGAGCACATGCTGCAGAGGATATGATGTACAATGAGAGACAATGAACCCAGAGCCTGGAAATAAAAAGAGTAAAACAAGGATCAGTACTTCATTGTACAAAATACTGGCAATCTATCTATTTAAGAAGACTAGTGTGAAATGCCACTATTTAATCTCCTGCACAGAGAAACATTATAAGGTAGAAATACAGGCTATGCATATTATCTGAAAATATTAGTATGATATGCCGCCACTTTACCATCGCGAGCGTTGATTGAGGTTCTCAATTGTGAATATTCCTAATGACTCCAAATGGACTTCCTTGTGCGCTCTCTTTTGCCCATAATAGTTGACAGGTAGCACAAAGGCAATGCAAACGACTGCCACGATTGAGAAAATACGAATGCTGCAGAGTTAAAAAACAACAAACTGTGAGAGTTGTGAAGAACAAAGGATAAGCAAATACCACATAGAAATAAAACTAGCGCTGGGACATAGAAACAGCAGAAAACACCATGGTTGCCTATTCAATTACAGTAAGGCGAGAAGCATGTTTAAGGTGAAGTATCATTAACCTGCAAATGACCATCCTGATGAAAACCACAGCATCCAGACCAGCAGCAGCCAACATCTCGTCCTCAGTAGTTTCCCAAGCTTTCACGAGCCAACTTGGAGAGGGCGCGAACCTCTCATACCAACGAGGATCATGACGTTTGACTCTTCCATTAGAAAGCATTCGACCAAAGTAAACACAATAATTGGCTGGCTGCTTTCGTAGAATGGAATAAAGCGATACAAGGACTATGCATATCGCTATATTAATCCCAGCAGACGTTAAAAGTGATGAGATATCCATCTCACTGTATCAAGTTTACCCTGCCTTACTAAATAATGAAGACAGAGAAGAACATAATAGCTGATCAAGCGCAGGCAGATGGCTGAGTAACAACACAGCAAGAACTTAGATCGTCAAAAGATCTGCAAGGAAAAGCAAAAGTATCTAGGATAAGAGATATGGCCATGAAGCATGTGGTAATATTGAAACAAAGAATTCTAGCAACTACAGGCATGACTTGTTTTTAATCTAACATGAACGTTACGATTAAGGACTGATCTCAAAAGCTTCACAAGTAACGTACTTCACACTTTACCAGTTGTGAAACACGGATTACGAGACAAGGGATGAAAAACAAAAGCCTAAAAACTTTCCAAGATACGGAATCAAAATCTAATCAACTCTAAAAAGTTGTGGACGATGATAAGACAATGTAACCCAATCGTCCTCTATGATGAACTAGAGCCACCCACAATTCCATAGAACCTTAAAAACACTATGAACACCCAGAACACCATGAACATGGGAATCAAAGAAAAGCGCATAATTTGATTCGTGCAGCGAACTCATTACAACAATCAAAACAAGAAAGCGAGCGAATTCAAAACCCAAGATACGAGATTCGATCAAAATTGCAGGAGGAGTTTGAGGTGATTCTCAACAAACAACGAAATCGTAGATAATTCCAACAAAATTTACCCCCCAAAAGAATAACAAACAATAATTTGAACAATTCTGACTTACATGGACAAAAAGGCAATGCTTTGCTTTGACTTGAAAGGAATCAAAAGTATGAGAAAACCCGACGAATCAAAAACCCTAATAATTTCTTCCTTTTAAGACGGATTCCGCGGAGAATTCGCTCGCCTTCAAAACTTTGCAATATGCAAAACAAAAATTAAAGAAAGATAATGATTAGTATTAGGTGAAAATATTAATTTGATAGATGATATTATGATAATTCTTTAGACGGAAAGATAACTGAAATAATATCATTAGTCGAAAAATTCCACGTTGGAGTAAATGTGGAAACTGCCAGGTCATGTGACGTGGCAGAACGAGAATGGCCCAAACTAGTATCTCGTCGGCAAAGGTCTTATTAGCCTGTGATAGTGACTACCTTGTCGGCGAAGTGATGACCGTTCGATTTTAGTAAATCGATACGATTATGACACGTGGACATCGACGTGACAGTTAAAACAGTTTTTGCCCGGGAAAATTAAATAGGTCGCATATCTTTCTTCTTCTTCTTTTTTTTTTTTGCTTTTTTTGACATCAAGGTCGCATATCTATTACCCGCGTGGTGAGTGTGTGAGACCCCATAACAAGGACCGGTCATATTAAATTATTCCCATTTGACTATATAATAACTGGATTCATTATTATACTACATGCTTTATTTATGCGGTATGCATATTACCGGTTTGCTGATATGGAACTTTATAAACGGCATGCTGATGATTGAGCTATAAACCTTTTTTTTATGATTTATTACAATAGAAAAGCTTACTTGGTTTGTCGGTCAACTTCTTCATTAATCAACTTATTAAGCTATGTCGGCAAAGGAAAAATGTCAAACAGATGTTCTGAGACATGGTTTGACAACAATTTATGCAGAATGCAGTCTTCTAGCTACTAACGTAAAAGTGTAAGAAGATATTGCATTTTGAAATCTCAAAAGAATCTTCAGACATTCACCAAATGATGCAAAAGTGAGGGTCTCTCTAGAGCAATTGTGCTCATTACACACTTCACTTTCTCTGTTCCAAGCTTCTCCTCAAGCATTCTCCACAATTCTGGCATTTTCTGCTCATAAACGAATGCATATCAGAAAATCAAAGTCCACCATAATCCATCATTCTGCTATACGGAAAACTCCCAATCTACTTTTCTGTACTTGTGTGAATGACAATATTGGCAATTGTTTTGATGACTTTATTTGGACAAAGAAGAGACCACTGTTACCTTTGTCAGCCATAGCATGTAGACAGCACCATGCAATGCTTGAGCTTGGAAATCTTCAAATTTGGTATCCGGAACGGTCATAGAAGATTCTAGAAGTTGGATCTCATTATCAATGAAGATGGCAATTTCTTCATTTATAATGATACTCTCTCCGGGTTCAGGTGAAACATCTGAATCATTGCAAGCGAAATACATTATCCAATTAAGAGAGAGGAACCGCCGGTGAAGCCATAGGGCCTGAAAGAAAAAGTGTACAACTCAAATAAGTCACTAATTCGATCATCTCCGTAGTAGCATGACAACAAACTGTTTACAAAACTATCATTGTCGTCCAAACCACTGTGAGATCAATTATGTACTTGGGCTGCGTCTACAAATTCCAACTTGGTTGTTTCTTTAATAACAGATCTCTATGATAGGTGCTAGATCTTCATACCGTGCCCATCTCTACACTAATTAATTTTTGAAAATCAAAGATAATCATACCTCTCGTCCCACATAACGCTCTACCAATACTTTGTTCCAATCCAGCTCTTCCTGTCATATATCGTAGATAAGTTTTAGGAGACATCCTCATTCAGCAAAAATGTAAAAATAAGATTACTTGGCAAAATAATAATGGTACCATAACAGGGATGGGTTAGCAAGGAAGACAAAGCGTACCTTCCAGATTTCACGTGCCTCAGTTTTAGCATAAGCAATGCCTCCTTTCACATAAAGTGACTCCAAAATCTTGAGCATCAGCCGCTGGACATTAGTGAAAAAAAAACAGTTGAGCTGCATGGAACACTGAATGGAGAATGATAGTTGTACTTTTTACTTCCAAGACCTAACATAACTTGGAGTAAATTAGATTGATGTATACTCTAGGTTTTTAACAATGATATAAACTGAATATGCGGTTCTTACTCTGCGATAATGGAAGCAAGAACTATCGGCTACATGAAGCCCGGCCCACCTTTTAGATTTGTTCAACTCTTGTATCACCTAGAATAGACAACATACATATATGTAATCGGAATCACATATACGAGAAAAATTATGGTGTATCTTAGACAATATGAAACTTTCACAAGTTCAGCTAACAAAGGAACCAATTTAATGAAGTCAGAGAAATTTTGCAAAGTTAAGTATATCTGACCATACAAAAAGGTTACAATTTCAGACCGTATATGTTCCAAAGATCAGGATATCTGAAGAAATGTAGAAAATGATTTACCTGCTCAATTTCCATGTAGGAAACCAACCAGCAACGGTGATACCATGCACGATAGTTCATCTTTGATCTCTGCAAAAGGCATGTATTTTGATTAGGAGCTACAAAATCTTTTAGGAACAAAGTAAGTGGTTGTGCCATATAAGTAGGAATGGTAAGACCGTAAGAGTGACCGACCATTCAATATATACATGATAGCCGAATTGTGAAGACTAGGAGAAACCAATATTTATTTCATTAGATATATGATGAACTTTCATTAATTAAAGCATCAAATCTGGTACTAAACCTCGCCTATTGATTCCACTAACTCAGATTCTTTGGTTATAATCTCTTGTGGTGTAGAAAATCTCTGAGAAATCATCTTAATTATCCACCTTCTGTTGAAATAAAAACCAAATATTACGAGGAAAGTAAATGGACAAGAACAAGTAGGAACTATTCAGGCTTTAACAGAAACTAAAATGCACTTAAGATCAGAAAATGGGTTTGCATTACTAAAGCATAACAGTGACCGGAAACATTGATTCTAATGAACACAATGAATCATAAAGACCGACCTATGGCTCCATGTTGACTCACTCTTAGGAGAATTTGAAAGAATGAGCCCAGAGAGACGAAGTTCATTCGTGAATGCCGAAAGTTGATCCTTTTTTGACAAAATCAACTTCCTATCTCCAGGACACACATACAAGATGAGGTTAAACACTAGGAAACATATTAGAACAATTATTACTTATATGAGTACCTAGCATTCCATGCAGTTCCAAAGTCTGAACTTAACAGCAAAACAGCTTGGCTATGCTTCATGACTTCACTCCCGGGAGTACAGGGGGAACAAGAGATATTTCCATGGCATTTGTACTCATCAAGCGCAAGCAGAAACACATGTTTGGCATATTTACATAGTTGAACAAGTATATCAGTTGATATTCCCAATTTGTGATCTTTGTTCCAGAACTTTCTTGAGGTTCCATTGTTAGGCTGGACTTCATTTTGATACACATTGGAGGAACTTGCTTCTTCATCCAGCATGATGAACTGTGAGGGGTGAATAAACCCTACTTCATCACTGAATTCAGAGAGACAAAACAGAGTAAGAGGAAGCATTAACTAAGGAGTGAGGATAATGGTAAGAGACCAGGAAGAAACCAAATTCAATTCAAACTCAAACCAATTAATAAGAACATGAGACTCACATAAGACGGTCAGATTCAAGAACATGCTCGAACTGCTTCAACAAGGTAAAGCAATCTTCTTCAGAACATGGTCCTTGTTTCATTGTTCCTCGAGCCTTTCCAAAAACTAAATCTTCCCCGCACTTTCGTCTCGCGCTGGCGAAGATTGCAGGATTTCTGCAGACGGAACCAGAATTTGATTGATCCTTGGCTGACGGTAGAATTCCTAGAAATTAGGGCTTTCGCCGGAGAAAATGGTAAGGCCGGAGAGATTTCAGTTGTTCTCCGATCTCGCTGGTGGAAAATCACAAAAAGGAAATAACTTTTTATTACTCCGATTATTCACATTTTTTACTCAAATTTGTCGAGTCATCGATATTTATTTCCTTACAAGATTTTACCTTTTACTGCTATAAAAACCTACTCTGTGTCTAAATAAATACGTAACGCAACCGATGCATACGATTAGAGCGATGGTCACAGATGGTGATACTCCGAATTGGTCGGAACTTGTCACAGACATCTTATCATTGGTTTTCAAGCACTTGAGCTTTACAGATTTTGCTCGAGCTAAGACCGTTTGTTCGTCGTGGTACTTTGCTTCCAAATCATCCTCACCTAGAAAAAACCATACTCCGTGGTTGATTCTCTACGAAGACACGCACTGGCTCATGTTTAATTCGGAAGAAGAGAAGTTTTACAGAACACAAAACCTAGGTCGCTTTGCCGAGTGTCGTGGCGTGGCGACTTGTGGGAGTTGGGTCTTGGTCTTTGACAAGGAAATAAATTTCTACATCATTAATCCCTTCACGCCAGAGCTCATTCGTCTCCCACCTCTTGAATATTCAAACACCGGCACAAAGTTCGAGAGACCCGGTAACTATATTTTCCACCTACTCTTCGACGATTTCAGAATAAACAGTGTAGTAGTGGGGAATTCGGTTCTGTGGGTAGACGAAAAAACCAAAGACTACTTAGTTGTGTGGTCGTACAAAGAGGCATGTCATCCGGGTCCCTACATATATTATTGCAGGAAAAGAGAGCAAGAGTGGTTTGAGATTCCGGCAAGCACTTGTGGGAAGCTATTCGGGTGTTTGGATATGGCCTACAAAGACGAGAAGCTTTACATATATACTTACAATGGTAGCATCAGAATTTTGGACTTTTCTCTTGGAGACTTGCCTAGACAAATCGACAATCATCCATTCTCCCATCGACCGTTTGTTACCGAGTTTCCTAATCGTAGGACGGGAATGAGACTAACCACGTCTGGAGATGTTGTGATGATCCAATGGGTGACAGTCACTCACAAAAGAATCCCGTTCCAAATCTACAAGATGAGTAGCAAAAGAGAGACGAAGGAGTCGTTTCGGGTGCAAGGGTTGGGCGACGACGACGATGCTGCGGACTGGGAGAGAGTGCATTCTTTCGAGGACGAGGAGTCGTTGGTTTGGGATTTGAGCGTCACTTTGCCAACCAAAGGCGTATCCGGTATCAAGAAAGATTCCATATATTACTGTCACACTTCTAATTCATCTAATCGGGAAGTTGCTGCCTATGAGATTCCTACGCACAAGATCACTGCGTATGAGATTCCTAAGCAGGATATCGAACCTATTCGACACCGCGGCATCTTGATTGGAGAGGCTCGTTGGTTCGTTCCTTGTTTTGGTGCTGGTATATAATCCGCACTATAATTAGGCTTCACCAATCAACCATGTTTTGTTAGTTTTGGACTCCAGTTTGGCTTTTTTTTTCAACATGTTTGTAGACTTTGGATAAAACTATATTTTCTGATTTCCATATTTAATAAATGCATTCTTCGTTGAGGAAAAGCAAAAACAACAACAACTGAGAATCCAAATCCTTCTGCTTAGAAAAAATAATATGGAAGAACGAACACATATGATACTTAGAACCAAAGCCATCTTCTATACAAACTCCCTGCAAATTTTCCGTGTCCTTGAAGTACTAGAGCTCAGGTTTCAATCGACCTAAGATAAGAAGAAGATGTTTTAAAGCCAATTTAAAGGAAACAACAGAGATATGAGAGAAGCAAGTTTGTGTAGCTTTAGTTACCATTAGGTGAGAAACTGGACATAGTCGTTGGATTTGAGACGAACCCCATCTGGTAAAGGTTTTGTAGTTCACTCTCTAGTGTTGTCTGCAAGATGAGATAAGAAAGAGATGTGTAAGATTATTTACAGTAATGCGAAAACATTGAACATGATATGTTGCTTCTTCCAAGCTGTTGCTTACCTGAGGTAATGGGTTGTATTGTGGATTTGTGGTGGTAGAAAGGTTCGGTATGGTCCCTTGAAAACCGGTAAAAGGATTCAGCCCGAGTGTAGGAGTGTTTCTGTCTCTTGATTGCAGAAGCTAAAAGGAGAAAATGGCAAGTTTAGTACTTATTCATACCTTGCAAAGTGCAAACAATTATTTCAGTGTGAAGTTTGGGGGATTTTGAGCTCTTACATCTTTGGCGAGAATCCTGTCTATATCAATGTTGATTTCTGGATTCACCGTCGCAAGTTTCATAGACAAAAACTGAAGAAAATAAAAGCAGTTTTTCAAGAATGAAAACCTCTTTCATCACACCATACTACCATAGCATGACCAAACTAACTTAAGCATTTCAAGAATCTCGCATTACAGGGATATTCTTACCTCAACTTGCTGTTGCAATGACTGAACATAGTTGATGATTTCATCGAGCATAACCGCTTTCCCGGTGATCTAGTTGAGCAAAAATAATCAACAATGAAAACTTTCAGCAAAATTTGATCATAAATCGAAGAAAGTTTAACAGCTAAAAGTAACCTCTAAGCCCAATACCTTGTTGCATCCGGGAACAAGCTCTTGAAGCAATCTCATCCTTTCACTGATCTTTTCTCTTCTAACCTTCAAAAAACAAACGAAGCAGCAAACTTCTCAGAACCAGCATTGGCAGAAAGCAAAGAGCAGATTCTCATAATCGATATATCCTTAAAAGAGTCCTTACCCTTTCTGCAAGACTGTGACTATTAGTGGCTTGACCTCTTCTTGCCCTCATATGAATGTAGTTTTCTTTGGGTGCTTCTTCACTTTGTGAGCTCTCCTTGTTCACCGTCTCTTTACTCTGATCATTCTTGTGTTTCTTCTGGCTCTGATCACTTCCCCTTTGAGGGTCTTCTTGAAATTCCTCCACAGCTTTCTGCCAATTTAACAACACTCACTTGTTTCAGCCCAAACCATACCCTAAAGGCCTAAATCATCAAAAGCTTTAGTCTTTTCTAATTATTCCTTGAACCTAGTTCTACCAAAATCCAATTCTATAAGTTTATACCTTGTTCCATTGTGATTCGGTTTCAGGTAGCCTTCTTTTCCCAATTGGGGAAGCACCAAGAACAGCATCATCTGAAACCTGATGATGATCCTCATGAGATGATTCTCCAGCTCTGATCAATCTTTCCCCTTTCTTGTCTGAACCAAGAAAATGACCAATTTGACCACCTCCACAATCACCAAACGGAAGAAGACTAGCAGGCATGTCTGCTGCAAAACCGGAACCAGAACCGGGTTGGTAATGAGAGAAGCAACTCATCCCTGGATTATCCATCGCCATTGAAGGGTGGTAATGAGAGCTTGAGAAGCCACCAGCAGCATTGACAACTGGATCCCAATCTGCAGAAGAGAAGAAAGGATCTGCCTTTGCATACAAGGGCATTGATGTAATTCCAACTCTTGAGATCCCACCACTCTCATCATCTCCATGCTTAAAACCCATCTCTCCTTCATTACTCTCACCACCCATTCCTCTGCTTCAACAACACCCTCAAAAGAAAAATGTTTTCCAATTTCAAAACCTGGTTTTGCTACTTTGCAAGACTTTGACAAGGAACAGCTGAAGTAAACCAGTTTGCAGATGTTTATACAGTGGAGAAAGAGGAAAGAGAAAAGAAAAACAAATCAACAGAGCATCAAATCTAATGTAGCAGAAGCAAGTCACAGGTTCTTTTAGGAAAGAGAGAGAGAGAGAAGCCTAGGATAAATGCTTATTCGTACTCAAGTCAAGCGAAGAAAATAATTAAAGAGAACAAATAGACTTATCATAGACAAAGAAAGCTGAGAACTTTCAGAGCATAAAGTGGTAACAAGCAATGGATTTAGCTAAGTTACAGCTCACAAGAGAAATAAAAAGGAAAAGAAAGCAACAAAAAAAAAAAAAAGGAAAAGTAGATTCGCTTTTAAGAGTGTGAGAGAGCAAAGTCACTATCTCATAAACCAATCTCTTCAGCTTCAAGAGGGACAGAAACCAAAAAAAAAAAAAAAAGATTAGGCCTTTCAAATGTAAAAGCTTGAGAGATCAGAGGAATTGAGACAGAGAAGCAAGAATTTTGGGAATTAAGGAAATGGAGACAAGCCCTGTTAGAGATACTCCAAGATTGTGGTTGCTTTCGAAAGAGAGAGTACAAAAGAAGAATCAAATTCTTCGGTGGGAATTTACATCATCACTGTTAAACCTAAATCAGATAAATAAGGGAAGAGATAGTACACTCAATTCAAAGAGTATCAAATGCTGTTTTTGCTTGAATTGGGGTGAATGTAGAATTTTTAAAGGAATAAACAAAAATGAGGAAAAAAAACGAGAGATTCACACAAGTTGGGTTACTTGAACAAACAACAAAGCAAGCATCAAGTTCCCAACTTTATAGAATCAAAGGATACTACAGTAATAATATATTAATAATTGTGTTTAATGGGCAATAAAAGACCTAGAGAAAGAGAACAAATAAAGCTGATAATGAGACTATGTTGAAGTTAACACTAATAGAGGAGACATAATAATATGATTATTAAAAACAAAGACAGAACAACTACTGCCAACTGCTTTATTTGCTCTTTTCTTTTTCATTATTACACAACCTAATCTACCTCTCTAACTTTTCTTTCTTTTGATTAAAATACATGTCTTAACTTTTACACCTTTTTTAACTACACTAATTTTCCCTTTGGGTTTTTTGCTTCACCATTTCTTTTGTTAATACTTATTTTATATGAGTTCATAAGTAATTAAAATTTTCAAAAAAGAATATCAAGGTTAGGTAAATTTTGCATTTTATATGGTAAAGAATGGAAATTTACCTTGTTTTCAGTCAATATCTCAAACAATATTAAAATGGAGTGTCATTATTTGTTTCTTATAATCTCAAAGTCTCAATGTACAAGCAAGAGGTTTCTTCTCTTCATGCCCAAGCTTTGCTTTCTAGCTTCTACTCTGACATGTGCTTTAGAATATTATATCATACAAGTACACATACATGCATGTATATATGTATATGATTATGTAGATAATATAATTTTTTACTGACACAAATTGCCAACTATATATTCTTACAGAAGACTCTTTGCTGTGACACACTCATATTTTTGTTCTGAGTGCCAACTAACCCTCTTTTGGAATAATTTTACGTTCAGCTTTTGTAACAGCCGTGTGATTAAACTACTACGTTTAGATCTCATCTCTACGCCGTTGGATCCAAGCAACATATTTTTATTCTTTCTTTTTACTATTTTCCTTTCTTTACAATAAAAAATGGATAGTTTAGTATGATTCTAATCAAATTTTTGTTGTTGTTTTTTTTTTTTTTTTTTTTTTTTTTTTTTTTTTTTTTTTTGTTGTGTTGTTAACACTCATTCTAATAACGTTGTGATCACATCACACTTTCTTAATTTCTCAGAATTAAAGGTAGTTCAAAAAAAAAGGTTGTTCAAATTTCCTAAAAGAATATGGCACGAGGGAATTATTGTTTTTTTTTTTTGTAAATTATGGAGTACTAATATTACAAACTTGAGAAAAAATCATTTCAGAAAAAATGATTTATTGAAAATGCCGTTGTAGTTTACAGTGCGTAAAGTTTATGAGGATCCTAAAATCTAGGTGATACTATTTGGTTGTGGTGTCATTTTCCGAAAACAAGCAAAGTTAAACTGGCCAGACTTTAACAGTTTCTACATAATTTACTTTTCTTGTTTTATTTTATTTTTATTTTTTTCCGAAAAAATTTACCTTTTTAAAATATTCATACTCTCAATAAAAAAAAATACAACTTGAAATCATAAAAATGATAGTTAAACAACAACAACAAAATTTGACCGTTGCCTTAAACCCTCTTAACTAATAAATTTAAATGCATATAACTTATAGAACACACGCCTTTAAAGTTGGGAATATGTGAAACTCGGTATTGATTTGGTCATTCAATGACCAAATCAAATTTCATCATGTATCGTGATTGTATAATTCAGATCATACAATTTTGTCAAATAATATTGATGTGGAAACCCATTAATGAAACAAGTATTAGAGAATGTATATAGTTGGTTTACTTTGGTTTAATCTCTTGTATAGTTCGGTTAGTATAGTGGTTTAGTTTCAATTGTATTTAACCTTGATTTGTATCTCATTTTACACTTGAATGAAGAAATTATCTTTTCCCAGATTCTATTTCATCTCTCTTGATCTTGTTCATGGGAAAAGTTGAAATGGTATCAGAGCTTAATCGAAATTCTTCATTCCACTTCCGCTGATCTTCATCGATTCATCAAAGGGATCGATCGTGTTCTTCGGATTTTAGTTCAGATTTACGATTCAGATTTTTTTTCTTCTTCCGATCAATTCGTCTCATCATAAGCGATTGATCTTTGTTCTTCCTTTTCTCGATTGATCGATTTCAATGGCCGATTCATCTGTTTTCTTTCGGTGTTATTGATGTCAACTGATTTCTCGAGTTTGAAGAACCTTTACCACCGATCGATACATCAATTTCGATTCGGTTCATCTGTTTCATTATTGATTCAGATTCTTAGTTTTCTTCATCAAATCATCTTCATCGAGCCTTGATCTCCACGAAGCGACCTCCAGTTTCTTTGAATTGAGCTGTGATATCATCATCTGCTAGCTCGATTTCTCAAATTCGAGTTTTGTTCCTTCGATTTCGAGATCAAATTTCCTCGATCGTTCTGATTTTTTTGTTTGAAGCGATTCATCATCACGGATTGTCTTCTATCTTATGAGTTTTATTCTGGTTATTCCGCAGAGGTTAGCTCGATTTCGTCTGGATTTTGGTCAATCCGCCATTTCCAGTTTTGTTTACCGATTAAAATCGGCTTTCTTCTTCTTAATTGATCGATGTTCTTTCAATTTTTTTTCTTCACTTATCCACCGTTTGTTGGATAGATACGGTTGTTGCACCGTTGTTGATGCTCCATATCACGTTTGTTCCGCCGAAGGAAGCTTTGTTGATGCTCCAGATCTTGGTTGAGATTCTCTGTCTGGGATTCATTTGATCCACGTGTTGCTTTGCTTTGTAATTGCTTCTTTGAAGCTTGGATTTCTTCACGTCGCGATCCTTTCCTGTAGCCTATGCTCAGATACGGTTCTCTATCGAAACAACAAGAGATTTGTTTCCCTTCATGTTCATGGTGCATATTCAGTGATCTGGTATGCAGATTTCTACTCCCATTGATCATTATGGATATAGATTATGGAAGTATCTGTGATGATGATGATAATGTTGCGTTATGGTCGAATTTGGAACGCATATATGCTCATAGTGAGGGGGAGTTTATGTTAGTCAATCATAAACAGAATCATGCATGTGGTAAAGCTTGTGTGATACATGGAGCTATTCTTCCCACCTTATGCAGTGTAGCTGAGATAGCTTCTTCATTTGATATGATCTGTTTTTGAGCTGTTCAGAGAATCATCTGTTACTCAAAAGCAGATTCCACTCGGATACTTTATTTCCCAAACAATGACTTCAGTTTGCAAGTTTTCACTGCAGTTGTTTATGCTCATGTTCTACATTGTGTATGCCCCTTAGCTAGTATTTTGCTGGAGCACAATGCTAGTCAGGTTCTTCCTCTAATGGAGTTATTGGAGGAGTTTGGTTTACTTGGATGCAAACCTGTTTCTACACAAATGGAATTGAATCTCAAGTTGAGTCAAGACATTGGAGATTTTCTGCTTGATGTTTCTTCCTATCATCTGCTTGATGTGGTTTCAAGTGAGTGCAGCAAGAACAGATTGATTATGGTTTATTGTATGTGCACACTCACACGATTTGGCCTCTTTGTCAAGACAGAAGCTTGCTGGTTTGAGGCGTTGTTAATCTTTGTTGGCATTTCTTCAAAATGGTTGGATATACATGTCAGAATTGGTTCACAGAGTGTTTCAAGACATGGGGAGTTAACAATGATAATTGTGGAGTGGATTTTACAGAGACGCCATATCTTGTTGCGTCATCTATCTCCTGCTCAAGTTTATGAAGTTATCAAGTCTTTATATAAGGAAGAAGCCAAACCAGTTGCAGTCACCAACGATGATTTCACTCTTTTGCTTCATGGCGATGGTAGCTTTGTTGGGCAAGAGGCTGTGGATGATTCTGTTCGTTTAAGCACATTTATCTTTGGATCACTAACAAGACCACCAGAGACTCATTGTGTTTTTAGTTTCAAGCCATGGATATTCATGTCCATTGATACTTCTATTATTGAGAAAGTTATGGAGGACACACACTAATGGAGTTCCTTGATACTTTCATCTTGAGGGGGAGTATTAGAGAATGTATATAGTTGGTTTACTTTGGTTTAATCTCTTGTATAGTTCGGTTAGTATAGTGGTTTAGTTTCAATTGTATTTAACCTTGATTTGTATCTCATTTTACACTTGAATGAAGAAATTATCTTTTCCCAGATTCTATTTCATCTCTCTTGATCTTGTTCATGGGAAAAGTTGAAATGGTATCAGAGCTTAATCGAAATTCTTCATTCCACTTCCGCTGATCTTCATCGATTCATCAAAGGGATCGATCGTGTTCTTCGGATTTTAGTTCAGATTTACGATTCAGATTTTTTTCTTCTTCCGATCAATTCGTCTCATCATAAGCGATTGATCTTTGTTCTTCCTTTTCTCGATTGATCGATTTCAATGGCCGATTCATCTGTTTTCTTTCGGTGTTATTGATTGTCAACTGATTTCTCGAGTTTGAAGAACCTTTACCACCGATCGATACATCAATTTCGATTCGGTTCATCTGTTTCATTATTGATTCAGATTTCTTAGTTTTCTTCATCAAATCATCTTCATCGAGCCTTGATCTCCACGAAGCGACCTCCAGTTTCTTTGAATTGAGCTGTGATATCATCATCTGCTAGCTCGATTTCTCAAATTCGAGTTTTGTTCCTTCGATTTCGAGATCAAATTTCCTCGATCGTTCTGATTTTTTTGTTTGAAGCGATTCATCATCACGGATTGTCTTCTATCTTATGAGTTTTATTCTGGTTATTCCGCCAGAGGTTAGCTCGATTTCGTCTGGATTTTGGTCAATCCGCCATTTCCAGTTTTGTTTACCGATTAAAATCGGCTTTCTTCTTTAATTGATCGATTGTTCTTTCAATTTTTTTTCTTCACTTATCCACCGTTTGTTGGATAGATACGGTTGTTGCACCGTTGTTGATGCTCCATATCACGTTTGTTCCGCCGAAGGAAGCTTGTTGATGCTCCAGATCTTGGTTGAGATTCTCTGTCTGGGATTCATTTGATCCACGTGTTGCTTTGCTTTGTAATTGCTTCTTTGAAGCTTGGATTTCTTCACGTCGCGATCCTTTCCTGTAGCCTATGCTCAGATACGGTTCTCTATCGAAACAACAAGAGATTTGTTACCCTTCATGTTCATGGTGCATATTCAGTGATCTGGTATGCAGATTTCTACTCCCATTGATCATTATGGATATAGATTATGGAAGTATCTGTGATGATGATGATAATGTTGCGTTATGGTCGAATTTGGAACGCATATATGCTCATAGTGAGGGGGAGTTTATGTTAGTAAATCATAAACAGAATCATGCATGTGGTAAAGCTTGTGTGATACATGGAGCTATTCTTCCCACCTTATGCAGTGTAGCTGAGATAGCTTCTTCATTTGATATGATCTGTTTTTGAGCTGTTCAGAGAATCATCTGTTACTCAAAAGCAGATTCCACTCGGATACTTTATTTCCCAAACAATGACTTCAGTTTGCAAGTTTTCACTGCAGTTGTTTTATGCTCATGTTCTACATTGTGTATGCCCCTTAGCTAGTATTTTGCTGGAGCACAATGCTAGTCAGGTTCTTCCTCTAATGGAGTTATTGGAGGAGTTTGGTTTACTTGGATGCAAACCTGTTTCTACACAAATGGAATTGAATCTCAAGTTGAGTCAAGACATTGGAGATTTTCTGCTTGATGTTTCTTCCTATCATCTGCTTGATGTGGTTTCAAGTGAGTGCAGCAAGAACAGATTGATTATGGTTTATTGTATGTGCACACTCACACGATTTGGCCTCTTTGTCAAGACAGAAGCTTGCTGGTTTGAGGCGTTGTTAATCTTTGTTGGCATTTCTTCAAAATGGTTGGATATACATGTCAGAATTGGTTCACAGAGTTGTGTTTCAAGACATGGGGAGTTAACAATGATAATTGTGGAGTGGATTTTACAGAGACGCCATATCTTGTTGCGTCATCTATCTCCTGCTCAAGTTTATGAAGTTATCAAGTCTTTATATAAGGAAGAAGCCAAACCAGTTGCAGTCACCAACGATGATTTCACTCTTTTGCTTCATGGCGATGGTAGCTTTGTTGGGCAAGAGGCTGTGGATGATTCTGTTCGTTTAAGCACATTTATCTTTGGATCACTAACAAGACCACCAGAGACTCATTGTGTTTTAGTTTCAAGCCATGGATATTCATGTCCATTGATACTTCTATTATTGAGAAAGTTATGGAGGACACACACTAATGGAGTTCCTTGATACTTTCATCTTGAGGGGGAGTATTAGAGAATGTATATAGTTGGTTTACTTTGGTTTAATCTCTTGTATAGTTCGGTTAGTATAGTGGTTTAGTTTCAATTGTATTTAACCTTGATTTGTATCTCATTTTACACTTGAATGAAGAAATTATCTTTTCCCAGATTCTATTTCATCTCTCTTGATCTTGTTCATGGGAAAAGTTGAAATGGTATCAGAGCTTAATCGAAATTCTTCATTCCACTTCCGCTGATCTTCATCGATTCATCAAAGGGATCGATCGTGTTCTTCGGATTTTAGTTCAGATTTACGATTCAGATTTTTTTTCTTCTTCCGATCAATTCGTCTCATCATAAGCGATTGATCTTTGTTCTTCCTTTTCTCGATTGATCGATTTCAATGGCCGATTCATCTGTTTTCTTTCGGTGTTATTGATTGTCAACTGATTTCTCGAGTTTGAAGAACCTTTACCACCGATCGATACATCAATTTCGATTCGGTTCATCTGTTTCATTATTGATTCAGATTTCTTAGTTTTCTTCATCAAATCATCTTCATCGAGCCTTGATCTCCACGAAGCGACCTCCAGTTTCTTTGAATTGAGCTGTGATATCATCATCTGCTAGCTCGATTTCTCAAATTCGAGTTTTGTTCCTTCGATTTCGAGATCAAATTTCCTCGATCGTTCTGATTTTTTTGTTTGAAGCGATTCATCATCACGGATTGTCTTCTATCTTATGAGTTTTATTCTGGTTATTCCGCCAGAGGTTAGCTCGATTTCGTCTGGATTTTGGTCAATCCGCCATTTCCAGTTTTGTTTACCGATTAAAATCGGCTTTCTTCTTTAATTGATCGATTGTTCTTTCAATTTTTTTTCTTCACTTATCCACCGTTTGTTGGATAGATACGGTTGTTGCACCGTTGTTGATGCTCCATATCACGTTTGTTCCGCCGAAGGAAGCTTGTTGATGCTCCAGATCTTGGTTGAGATTCTCTGTCTGGGATTCATTTGATCCACGTGTTGCTTTGCTTTGTAATTGCTTCTTTGAAGCTTGGATTTCTTCACGTCGCGATCCTTTCCTGTAGCCTATGCTCAGATACGGTTCTCTATCGAAACAACAAGAGATTTGTTTCCCTTCATGTTCATGGTGCATATTCAGTGATCTGGTATGCAGATTTCTACTCCCATTGATCATTATGGATATAGATTATGGAAGTATCTGTGATGATGATAATGTTGCGTTATGGTCGAATTTGGAACGCATATATGCTCATAGTGAGGGGGAGTTTATGTTAGTAAATCATAAACAGAATCATGCATGTGGTAAAGCTTGTGTGATACATGGAGCTATTCTTCCCACCTTATGCAGTGTAGCTGAGATAGCTTCTTCATTTGATATGATCTGTTTTTGAGCTGTTCAGAGAATCATCTGTTACTCAAAAGCAGATTCCACTCGGATACTTTATTTCCCAAACAATGACTTCAGTTTGCAAGTTTTCACTGCAGTTGTTTTATGCTCATGTTCTACATTGTGTATGCCCCTTAGCTAGTATTTTGCTGGAGCACAATGCTAGTCAGGTTCTTCCTCTAATGGAGTTATTGGAGGAGTTTGGTTTACTTGGATGCAAACCTGTTTCTACACAAATGGAATTGAATCTCAAGTTGAGTCAAGACATTGGAGATTTTCTGCTTGATTTTCTTCCTATCATCTGCTTGATGTGGTTTCAAGTGAGTGCAGCAAGAACAGATTGATTATGGTTTATTGTATGTGCACACTCACACGATTTGGCCTCTTTGTCAAGACAGAAGCTTGCTGGTTTGAGGCGTTGTTAATCTTTGTTGGCATTTCTTCAAAATGGTTGGATATACATGTCAGAATTGGTTCACAGAGTTGTGTTTCAAGACATGGGGAGTTAACAATGATAATTGTGGAGTGGATTTTACAGAGACGCCATATCTTGTTGCGTCATCTATCTCCTGCTCAAGTTTATGAAGTTATCAAGTCTTTATATAAGGAAGAAGCCAAACCAGTTGCAGTCACCAACGATGATTTCACTCTTTTGCTTCATGGCGATGGTAGCTTTGTTGGGCAAGAGGCTGTGGATGATTCTGTTCGTTTAAGCACATTTATCTTTGGATCACTAACAAGACCACCAGAGACTCATTGTGTTTTTAGTTTCAAGCCATGGATATTCATGTCCATTGATACTTCTATTATTGAGAAAGTTATGGAGGACACACACTAATGGAGTTCCTTGATACTTTCATCTTGAGGGGGAGTAGAGAATGTATAGTTGGTTTACTTTGGTTTAATCTCTTGTATAGTTCGGTTAGTATAGTGGTTTAGTTTCAATTGTATTTAACCTTGATTTGTATCTCATTTTACACTTGAATGAAGAAATTATCTTTTCCCAGATTCTATTTCATCTCTCTTGATCTTGTTCATGGGAAAAGTTGAAAACAAGCAACTGTTTTCACTTTGACTTTGTTTCTTATTTAGGCATGAACATGTTCGATCTGACTTCTTACAAAAGCAATGTTAAACAAAATTTTATTTAAAATTAAAACGAACAATATCTCAGTCGTATATATAGTTGGTGGTGGTAAATCAACTTACATAAAACTTATTAATTAATCTTTTTGTACTCAGAAAAATTGAAGATGGGGTAGAAATATTACATCTAGTTATTTAGGGAATGCTAATTTAATTTTCGTATAAATATCTTTTAAAATTGTCAACAAAATAATCCTAGATGATTACCAAAAAAAAATCCTAGATTAGTACCAAAAAAAATACATAATAGGAGGAAACATAAGGAATAAAAGGGAATCTTATATAGTTCGTATTAGAAAATTAAAAAAAAAATGATTATATAAAAACTCCGAGTCAAGTTACTGTTACAGCTGTTAATAAGACTTGCAGAAACTAGAGTTTCGTAGTTCTTAAGCATGGGATAAATACCCCTAACCTAACAAACCAATAAATCATTTGGTCAAACCTTTTAATTATTTGGTCAAACCACAATTGGTTGTTAACTAGCTGTAATATCACCACCAGATATGAGGCCTCTCGTGTATACATACATACATGTGTAATGTGTTTTATGCTACGATAAACTTAAAAACTAATACTTTGGTCAGTATTATACGATTTTTGTTCTGATCTCAAAATAAATCAGTCGAGAGATTAAAGTTTTTAGTAGAATACTATTTCTGATTAAAAATCCTTTATTTGAAATTTCGTTGGAGAGCATTTCTGATTTTTTCAACAATACTATAGAAAAAGTATACTTACGAATGTATATAACCTTGTAATAAGGGATGTACTTACAAATGTAGTTAGGTTAGGAAATATGACTTGTTTATTCAACTTGGAAATGCTTCTCATCATTGCAAACAAGCAGAAGATTTAAGATCCAACCAAATTATGATAAGTGAAACTTGCACACAACTCCTCTTTCTACATTACTCCATTGATAATATATGGGACCAGACTAGATTACTGTTTCTCTAAACGCATACAACACACGTATATATATGCACACATTCATTAGAGGCGTAAACGTAAAAGTAAATTCTGTAGTAGTAAGTTTTGTAAAAATAAATAAGTAATATCACACTAGACTTTAAAGTTACAATTAAGCATCAAATCTTAAATGTGTACAGTTGTATAGTTACCAACTAACCAATGTATAAACAGAATAGTACAATAATCTAATCTCCGTTTCATGTGCTGTAAAAGAACAATGACAACGTAAAAAGTGAGCAAAGGAATGATTAAGAAACCTTAATGGAGTAGGTTAAATTAAAGACACAGGTTCCTTTATACTCCATTTTAACTAAATTATGTTAACTTGATTAGAGTGAACCAATTAAAGTGAGAAGACCTGCGACCCACGCTCGGGACTTATGGACCCTCTTTTTAAAAAACTTACAATGGCCCACAAGAAGTGGTAGTGGGTCCATACTCTTTTATTTGCAATGATGCTCAAGATCTAGTATTAATTATGATCGCAAATATATTATCTCTAATCTCTTCGTTTATTTCTAAAGCCATAACAATCCGCTTTACCTATAAAAGTATAAGAAAATAAGAAATTGTTTAGTTAGAAAAAAGTATAGACAAGTGAATTTGCCTCCGTTTTGCTAAGTTGCATATACTTACTGATGGTTCAAATAGATTTTGAACTTTTGTTTAAATTGTTTGATGTATCAAATCAGCAATGCTGTCCTGGTTGAGTTAACAATGAGAGGTTTGAGTGGAGTCTCGATTGCGTGTAGATGAGATATGTTTTGCTATGAAAGGAGGCTTAAGTTGGATTCCCTCACGTTTCTTATCTTAATTGTGGTGGCTGGTGGTGTTTTCATTTCGTCAATGGATTTTGTGTCCTTGGAGAAAAAAATATTTGATTTGGAAGCTCCAAGTCACATAGTTTAGAGAAGAAGAAAAAATGATATTAGTGGTTAAAGGCGTATTTAAGGTTTAAACCCATATTTAGGCTCTTGGAATAACCATAATACCATATGACTTGGTAACACCATTTCATGTGTAGGCATGTTTCCTACATCACTTTGGATTTGGTTTCTTGTTTTTTTTTTCTCTTAAGGATTTTAATTTAATTTCAATTTTGATGATACTTACTTAATGGGCCTCACGTGAGGGAAGCCAACCCGCTAATTCATGTAAAGTGTCTATCAGCAGCAGCACTTGACTTTCACTTCCAGCGATCGGACGGAGAAGCTCATGGAAGCTGCTGCTGGCGTTACAAGTTGTCATCTTCTCTAGTCTTTTACATTTCACCTCATTTTCGTCGGCGACCCAATCGACGTTTTGGGAATTTCTCCCCCAAAAATCAGATACCCTAGGTTTCTCCAACATGGAGGACGCCTATGCCAGATCTGTCTCAGAGGTGCTTTGCATTTCACTTCTATTATCTTCTCTTTTGACTCTTGTTTTCTGATTTGAAATCTGTTAGATATGGCTGCGATCGCTTATAATGTTAGCTAGCTGGTGATGATATTCTTGGGAACTGTTTTACTGTGATGGAAGTGAATTTCTTGTCTTTGAGCTCTCTGTTAGGTGTTGACTGGATTCTGTTGTTGTTTGTTCAGGTCCTTGATTTCTTTGGGGTAGACCCAACAAAGGGCCTTTCCGATTCTCAGGTATGAGTCTGTATTCTCAACCCAACTGTGATCTCCATTGTTGGACAACTTGGAATTTTGAACTTGGAACTTGTTAGAGTCATTTTGAAGCTACCCATGATGCTAAAATTTAATCTTTCGTTTCCGTATATGTAGGTTGTTCATCATTCTAGGCTTTATGGCAGGAATGGTATGTATTTCTTCCACTTCACTTGCACTTCTAGATTTAGTGTTAATATAAAGGATCACTCGAGGACATAGGGAGATTTCATGCAGCTGGTGATGATAGGGTGTCTTGGTGTTTCTTGTTCTTTTCAATTAATCTTATCGAATTTAAGTGAGCTGTAGATTATATAGTCTTGGCTTGTACTTGTAAGTTTAGCATTGTATATTAGTTGTCAAGTACCTTCATTCGAAAATCCTGCATACGATTGTCTGTGCGTTTATAAATTCGGTACTCTATGATATCACTGTTGGCTTATAAATGGAATTAGCGTTGGCTTTTAAGTGGAAAATGCATACCTTTTCATATAGGATACAAAGAATATATTTACCTTGTTTAGTTCTGATCTTCTTCTTTTAATGTTTTTTGCATGTTTCTTCACATGATCTGCAGTACTGCCTGAAGAGAAAAGTAAGTTTGTTAATAACCGCCTTTGATAATGGATGCTTACTTTCATAATTGTTTCGGTATACGATTTGTTTCAGTTTTATTTCTAATCCCTGATCTACCATTATGGTTTGGGTGCTCCTTAACTGTTTTAGCGCTGTGATGATTGTAATTTTTGCATTGGATTTCATTTTTATTTTCACAGTATCATTCTGGTTCATTTGTCTACAATAAATCTGTTCTATTGCAAAAACATTTTATGTATCTTTAGCTTCTTTCTAGACTTTCTAGCTTATCTTGTTAGATCTTCCTTATGGTCTTAGCTTATCGTGTTAGATCTTCCTCATGGTCTTCTTCGCACATGAACCTAGCCTTTTTTAATTATGTTATAGGAGTAGGGTTTAGTTTTCCTCTGACATGTGCCAATTTTTCCTTCTATTCTTTTTAATTGATGCAGGAACTCCATTCTGGAAACTGGTTCTGAAACAATTTGATGATTTACTTGTCAAGATATTGATTGTGGCTGCAATTGTTTCTTTCGTATTGGCTTTGGCTAATGGAGAGACTGGTTTAACAGCATTTCTGGAGCCTTTTGTAAGTTGCATCATCTTTTTTACCACGCACACTGGCATACACATAATGGTTGATAATTAAAAGATTTTATCTGGTCAACTGGACTGGCTAGTGGTTCTTTGTGGCGAAGTTTAAACTTGAAACCTTGTTCTCCTTCTCTTCTCTATGGTCTTCGTGAAATGTAATTATTTATGTTTCTCTTTAGTCTTTTCAAACTGACTAGTTTTTTATGGTCTAGATATAATATCTATAAGCAGACTAAAACGATTTCAGCATTTTTGGGATTTAGTGTTGATAGATGATTTCATTAATTTATTTTACGATGCACCTTGACCAAGACCTTCATAAAACTAGATATTACGTGTGGAGCTTCTTTTTGGTATCACAATGCTTGTTTGAAATTACTATTCTATCACAGGTCATTCTGCTGATATTGGCTGCAAATGCGGCAGTGGGGGTGATCACGGAGACTAATGCTGAGAAGGCTCTTGAGGTAGTTATCATGCTACGGTTTAAGCTTTTAGATTGCAATTATACTACCAGATATCCGTTAAATCAATTATTTTATATATACCGGGCAGTAAAAGATCAGGTTTCTCTCTTTCCCCTAGGTACTGAGGTCAAGGGTACAAAAAACTCTAATGTTCTTAATGATTATGTTAATATTAGTTCTATTTTGGCTGTAAGTTTGTATTGCTTATCTATCTTGTATGTTCTCCCTTTGTCTTGTTGTAGGAGCTACGCGCCTACCAAGCAAATATAGCTACAGTGTTGCGAAATGGTACTGATACAATTCCTTGTGTTGTCTTGAATGACAGCTATTGACATTAAGAATAAAGTTTTTGCACACTTCCATTTTGTTTTGTTGTTTAATTTGTTTTAGCTTGGGACATTGTTCCAGTTGGAGTAGGATATCTGCAAGTTTTTTCTAGGTTGATGACATTCCATGTTAACATGTACATAATTGCAGGGTGCTTCTCTATCCTACCAGCAACAGAGCTGGTTCCAGGCGACATTGTTGAAGTTACTGGTATGTTTGTTCTACCTAAATGATATTTTGTGGCAATGGCTTAGCCTCTTACTAGA